CAGTCTTCAACAACAACGCGAACAAATGCGCTTTAATCCTGACCATGATCCAAAGGTTGAAAAAGAAACGATCGAAAAAATCAAACAGATGAAGATCATTCCGATCAAACAACAATCACGCTTAGCATCTATCAACGAATTCGAGAAATATGCGATCACATTTCCATTAGACAAATCAGTGAAGTATTCCAAACACTTGAAACTCGTTCTTGAGGATATACCAACATTGGATGAGTATCTCTTAACTTTTATCGAAGATAAACATCCAAGACAGGTGGACTCGATTAAACAACTCCTTCTGAAACTCGGTATGTAATATAAACTTTCGTTTCTTTTTACTGATCAATCATTTCTATGCTGTAGGTGTTACCGAAACACGTAATATTAATGAAATGTACCGTCTTCATATGCTACCCGTCATGTCAGATCCAAAGCGTTGGACTGCAAAGTCAGATTCGGTATTAGTTGCCTACGTTATGTGTATTTATGATTATATCTATAAAGCAAAGGGATATATGCTATCTGAAAATGAATTGGAAACGTTGAGAAAAGTTTTGGTTGTAAAAACCCGTGACAATAAATTCGTTTCGTTAGGCTCACCTGATATTATTGTCCATCTAACAGCAAAATATGGATGTAAAAAGTCTTTAGAGACGTTGAAATTATCAAAACATCAGTTTGTATTCATCTCCGATGATTATTACACACAATATCGTACAGATCTGTTGAATACCGATAGCGAAATAAACTATTTTCTTTCATTTCTCAACCAACTGGGCATCTCTGACTCTTTTCAAGTCAATTTCAAAGATGAACGTAAGTTTGCTACCAATCAGCTATTTCTCAAAATAATGTTTTCTTCTTTTCATTAGCTTTTGCCAGTGTGGATGGATTACTAAATACCAAATGGGCATATTCCATGGCACAATTATCGGAATCTGTTCACGAGCCGTTTATCATCAAAGATTGCGTGTGCGAAGAATTCGATAAACTCATTTCGACTCTTGACGAAAATGAATCTAATGACCTGGATCTATGTGGACAGTTGCTTCACTATTTAGACAAACATTATCGATATATTATGACATTTTTCACTGCTTCAGTCTATCTAGCTCGAACATATAAATACAATCCAACGCCAATTCAAGGTATTGAATCATCATTTTGTCTTTCATTGAGACAACGTGCTTGGATTCCTGTTCTTGGTGGTAAACTATTCAAACCTAACGATGTATATATAATATCGCAGAATAGTCAAACCTCTGCTTTTCGACGATATGTTCCACATTTAGATGAATCGAAAGTATCATTAATCAATTTAGATTTTCTGTCTAATATACTTGGTATTCAGCAATCTGTTTCGGCTAGAATTATATTCGAATTATTGATGAAATGGTCATGTGATTTAAATAAAGAAGCATTGTGGAATTTGGTAAATGAAACACAAGCGTCTGAATTGTAAGTTGAGATAAGAAAGTCACATTTCTTTTCATAGAATCATGTTCTGATCTAACTTTGGTTCGATTTTAGCATTCCTTGTACTCTTCCTAGTACATTTAAACAGAGTTGTTTGGACTCTATCGATAACTTCTGTCAAATCTACCAGTTTCTTGCATCGGATCATGAAACTAGAAGTCTTGTTCATCGTTTTCACCTTTGGCCACTCATATTCATACCCGAAAATCAAAAGGAAGGAAACTTTGTCTTTGTCCGACAAACATTTTGGCATGATCCCTCGTTACTTCTCTCATCACATCCGACCTCCAACAATCGAATTTCGCTGGAATCTTATTATGGAAATAATACAATTTTACAATCCTTCTTTCTTGAAGTTCTCGGTGTCGAGTGTCAACCAATTATTGATGATTATATTCCGTTGTTATCAAATATTCACGAGAACGATCAACTCTGGCAAGTTATTCAAGTAATTACGAAATTAACTATAGAGCAAGAGAAGCACAAAGAAGTTCGAGGTATGAAAGATTTCTACAAACGATTTCACATTTGTATTCATACTTTTTTTTAAATAGAGAAATTACTTGATCTTCCATTCATTCCCTGTATGAATGAAAATCAAAAACTAATGAAATACACTGATCATCCATTCTACCCGCATGATCGTGATATTGCTAATCTGTTCGTTGATGTTCTATCGGTCATCAAACTACCGAGTAGGTGAAACAAAATTTCAATTCTTTGTTTGTTGTCAGTTATTTATTTAGGTTATGATCTTTCATCTGATTTCAAAAAGCATTTTTGCATACTTTTCAACATCGAAGATCTTGCAAATCATATTCAAACAAGAGTTACTGTTGAAAATGAGCAACCTGCAATAAACTTATCCAGTTTTTACCGTCAATCAATCGATCTTATTCAAGATTTTGTACTGTCGAATCATTTTATATCCGATACCCAATCGAATCATCTATCAGCAATCTTTGCACGCATGCAATTTTTGTGCGTTGATCATATTCAAGTTTCGTATTCGTACGGAAGTGACCTTGTCAAAGCACCTTCGAATTTGCACAGCATCGATACGTATATTGATCAGCAAGAATGCAAATTTTATATTTTGAAGAAATATGAAAATTCAGAGATGCGGTACATCGATGCAATGGTCGAATTTATCGTGAAAGATGACGGCGCTCGATCAAAACTCTTAACATGTATTCGAAAACTCTTGCAGATGTATCAGAACGATGCGGATCATGGCCTAGATGTACCGCATAAAAATTTAAAGACAAATCACGAACCAAAATGGACCATTCCAGAGATTGCAAACAAAGATGTTTCAGTTACATTGAAAGAAGAGAAGATACCAGTAGTCGAGAAACCAGTAATAACAGATGAACAGATTGAACAGTTGAGTAGTGAACCTACTCGTCGACCGAAACCGCGAGCAAAAGAAACTACAAATGAAGAAAACGCGAATCAACTAACAAGTTTCCCTTTGAAAGCAGGCGCTGCAGAATCGAAAGATCCTTCTACACTGAAAACAACGTCAAAATCTACCGCTGAAAACTCAACCAAAGAAAAACCTACAGTTACATTAGATTCGGGCGATCGTCAATCACGAACATCGGACGATCATGAACACCAAAATAATGAAAATCGAGCGAAGCAGACAAAACGAGACAAACATCCCGATAGTAAGTTCAAAATCAATTATTTGACTTGAAAACTAATAGTCTCAATCATTGTTTTTAGGTGAACAAAGTAAATCTTGTTCAACCGATGACAATAACAAAGAAAACTCTCGTCAATCTCATGTTCCTATTAATTATTCGGATCCGATTTCGTTCGCCGCTAATTTTGAACGTATTACCGTTTCTACCCTCCCTGATCTTGATCTATTTAATGCTTCATCAGCAAATGATCCATCCGTTAGTATTCCCAACCGTCCTCACGGAACTGAAGCTGATGTACTCACAGGTCGTCAAGGTGAAGAATTCGTATTCTATTACCTGAAATGGAAATATCCGAAGGAAACCATCGAATGGTTAAATCAAACAACTGAATCTGGGAAACCGTACGATATTCGGCTAATTTTTTCATCAGAAGATGCCAGAATGGAATTCATTGAAGTCAAAACAACTCGCACACTTGAACAAAATACATTTCCTGTATCTTTTGCTGAATTTGAATATCTCCTCCAACACCCGACTAATTATTTCATTTATCGAGTTTATTATGCAGATAATCGAGATTTATCCACGATCACAGTAATCAACCGAATCAAAGAAAATTTACAAAAGAAACAACTTCAGCTTAGTATGACAATGAAGCCTCGAACCTAGCCTTTTTAAGCGAAAAAGAAAACTGACAATGATGGATAACAGTATTTTATTTTTTTCACGCTGTACTGTTTTCGAAATAAAATAGAATCAAAGTTTTTAAGATTACCTTCTGTCTTGTGTTCAGCAATCATAAAAGAAACAAAACAAAAGAATTTTTATAAAACAGATATTCACTATTGATATTTTTTGACATATGACTTTCGATTTTGAAACGCATGAAACGATACGAAAATGTTACTCTAACAACACTGGGAAAATATACAAATAATAATCACTGTTCTGGTTTAATATTATTGCTCTAGGATATAATGGAAGCTAGATATCAATTATTTCTGCTTATTGCTGTCCGGACGATGGAACACTATCAACTGGTTTGTCATAATTTGGATTCGCTAACAGTGAATGCGTTCCATTTAATACATCAATCAAATCCATTTTTGTGTTCCATGTTCCCATTAATACATCATCACATGCAAAGCCATCTTTTGAACTGATATTTGGATGATTAATCGCACTAGTGAAGTGAACTGCTGGTGGTTTGAAAGGATATTCGGGTGGAAATCGAAGAATAAAATTGAACTGATTACCGGCGTATGGACTGTTTTCTGGTCCAGTCATGATACCAGTCACTTCATTGGTACCATCATGTTGTTCTGTGTTCAAGTTTTGAACAAAACTCAATGGTTTCTGCCGTAATATCTCCAACTGACGTTGAATCAGTACTACCTGCTTATTTGGTCGTGCAGAAGCAGTAGCGGCAGCAGCGGCAGCAGCGATGTTAGCACTCATAGACTAGTGATCTGAAAAAAGCTCGATATCGATTATTTTGTCTTTTTATTTGTATATCTTGGAAGTAAATCTTTATTCATTCCTCCCCAAACTTCACTTGTTTTTCGATCACCTTTAGTAACAGGTGTACAATTCAAACTACGTAAACCGGGTAGCAGACATAAAACATACGAACGTAAAAAAGGCACTGTTATTTCAATTGGATTTCCATGCAACGTCAAATATTTCAATTGTTTCAACGGAGCTAGTTTTTGAACTTCATTCATATCCGTAAGGATATTTTTATGAAAGTAAAAGCATTTCAGCGCAGGAAATTGAGTTACGACCTAAAAAAAAATAACAGAAATCGCACGGCGATGATAAACAAATGAAAACTTGTCATGACGACATCTGTCTCTCCCGAGGAGTTAAGAAGAAAAAGATGTCATGAGAATCGTTCATGTTCGCTCACCATCGGGATTTCAGTGAATAAATTAAATGATAAATCTAACGTCGAAAGAGCATCCGGATTCACCAGAATCGATCGAACAAATTCCGGAAAGGTTTCGAGCGGACCATGCAAAGCATTATGGTTTAAATTAATTCCATACGAATTGTATCGATCGCCTTCCTTAGTTAGCTTCGGTCCAGTTGTTAAAATACGAGGCTCGACGACAGCGTCTATATGACAGATAACGTAGAATTTAAATAAACAGAGCATCAACAGATTGTACCTTCGAGTTGTTGAGCATTATGAAATGAATAATCCAATGGTGGACACGATTGCGCATGATTATCAATACGCTTTTCTGATGACGAAATTACTTTTTTCGAGCTCATCGTTGAAGTCACAATTGATCGCGAACAAAAAAAACTGTGAAAAATGAGTGACATATGATCATGCTTATCGAGCTAATAAAAGTTGTTGCTTAGCAACGTGATGTTCTTCAACACTATCTCGATCTATTTTGATATTTTTCAACAATCTAATTATGAAATTTGAAACTCAAATGCTCAGATTAATAAATATGTTCGAATGAATCGCATCAGCAGATAATAAAGGCTGTTGTTTAGCAACGCTAACCGTGATTGGTGCTCATGAACGACGAAGAAAACTGTTTTAAAAATACAAACAAAGAAAAAAAAAGAATTTTACTATGGCACTTCACATAGTGACATTGGAATTCACTTAATTGAAAACATAGGAGTATTTTTTAGATTTATGAAGCCTTGGTAAACTCGTTTTAGAAGATCGATAAAATGGCTGCTATAACAGGTAAAATCGAATTGAGATATTCTTTTAGTATAAGTCAATTCGTTCGTTTAATCAGAAACTGATAAAATGAATTTTCGAACGCAAATGGTGAATGGTAAACCTCAAATTTTCTACGATGCAATCGGTTTGTATTTAGCAATTAATTGAATTTTCTATGTCAAATGTTTATTGAAAATCAATGTAGATGATTCGTCGACAAAAGCAAGATCAAAGAGAAATAGTCGAGCAATAAATACTACAACCCGGCAGTTCGATCAAAGAAATAAAGGAGATAATCAAAAATATGTCGAACCAAAAAGACAACCAACTAAAAATGATCAGTCAACGAATAAAAAACGAGTTAACGAAGATGATTCATTAGGAGTTTATATGACTATGGATGAAATCGCTGATCTTGTCACTGCTGTGAAAGAAAACTCTAAAAGTAGAAAGTCATTCGACAAAACCTTCATTTCATTAACAAAAATCATTCTTTTAGACGATTCAAATCATACTTCAGATACCAAGGGTATGTTGACAGATTTGAGTGTAAAAATTTTCTCCTAAACTATTTGTTATTTATTCAGCATTGTCGCCACCACGATATCATAGTGAACCAACAGTTGCAACTACTGTACCGAATTTAGATTTAGGATTGGAACCGCCACCATTACCAGTATCTCAAACGACACCGCGAGAAGAGACATTGAACAGAATGGCAAGTAAAAAACGTGAGAAATGGTTGAAAGAAAAAGGTATACTTATATGGAAGTAGTTTTACATCACGAAAATCCGGTTCGTTAATATTTAATAGCTGAAATTGAACGAATGCAACTGGAAATCGAATATGATCAACTCAAACATCAGTTATCACCGCGTCAGAAGAAAAATGCATCACCTCGTAAGGTTCAATAGAATTCTTTCGTTCATTTGTTTTCTTGTACATCAGAACGATCAACGTTTCAATACGATTTTCCTCCACCAACGACGAATAAATCGTCGGCTCCTGCATCTTCAAAGCAAAACGGCCAGCAGTACGATATGTCAACAAGAAACAACGAAGGTAGGTCGAGAAACAAGTACATCGTCGAATATTTAATATATTCTACTAGATGAAAGTCAAGATCCAGCGAAAACACGACTAATGGAGAAAAAGCAGCAGCAATGGAATCAAGAAAACTGTAAGTTTGAAATGAAATATATTTGAGAGATTTGTTCAAGCATTTGCCACTTTTTAGCGGATAAAATGCCATACTGGGATCCATTTGGACGTCCAGGCGCTGGTGCACCCAAACGTCATGATACTCAATCACGAATATATGTTCGTATCTCATCAGCACATTTCTCATTGGAATGATGTTTTGAAATTTTAGAATCCGATAGCAAATGTTCCTCCACTTCATCGCTCTCCACCACGAGTGCAAGAAAATTCCGTATCTGCCATTCCTCCTACCGATCGAGGGCGTGTTCCAGCTGCAATGCGAACGAACATAGCATTTGGTAATGATCGTCATCAGGAAGACGTTGAAACACTCAAAGAAATGGAACGTCGTCAATGGTTAGATGATCTACATAAACAAATCGAAGAAAACAAGCGGAAAAAATATGTACAGCAGGAATCTGAACGTCGGCAAGATTTTTTACGTGATAAAGTACATCCACTCGTTCAAGAAGCAGCCAGTCGACATCCACCACCACCACCATCATCTGACGTTTCTTCTACACATCACAATGGTATTCACTTTTCCTTGTATTTTCATCAATAATTCATGGTCGATGTTAGTAGATGTAAAATCGAATGGTGCAACATCGAATCAAAGATCTGGAGAAAATCTGTTCGGTTCAAATTCGAATAGTAAATCTGAACCGCCTCATTTGCATGTTGGTTTTGACCGACAGCAAGCCTATCGACCAAGTGATGCTCGTCGAGATGAAGCTGTCAACACGGTTGACGCTACATTTCGAGGGTGAGAACAACAATGAATCGAATTTTATTTCAAATAACTTGTTGTCCTATCCATCTAGAGATCAAACTGATTATCATCGTCCGCCGAATCGTCGAGGGCCCAGTAATGCATACGAAGATTCAGATCTCCCTCCTCAAGTTCCTAATCATCGTCGTGATGGAGTCTATCGAAATAATTCTCACCATCCAGGTAGAAAAACGACTCATATGCATTGTCTTGACGACAATCAGTCATCACGACATACATCACATGCAAATCATCATATGAACGCACATAATACTAGTACAACTTCCCAAATGAATGGTCAACGTACGAGCCATGGTCCAACTGACGTTCATAATCGTCCGTTATGGAACTATAACCAACAAAAGCGTGGTGAATACGTTCCCAATTCAAAACGTGACCCACATTATGAAAAACGACAGCGTCTTAAAAACATGGAACTAGGAAACTATGATTGTATCGACGATGTGCAAAAGAAAACATGTTACAATCGTTGGAACAGCGATAGCGAAATCGAGAAAAAACAAGTAACACGTGCTCGTGTTCCAAAAACAGCAAGTCATGGTCATCACAAAGATGAAAGCATCATGAATTTACTCAGAGGGCAACATAAACAACAAAATGATACGTACGGAACAAGATATCCTCCAAGCAATCATGTCAAAACAGATGATCAATATACTTCCAATCATCCGTCATCATTAGAAAGATATGATAACTATGTGCCATATTCACGGACTGACGAAGCGCCTGAATCGTCGCAACCCGTGGAAACAACATCTTATCAACCAGTATCAGAAGTAAGTATTTTACTTGTGATCAACAACACTTATATTTGTTATTCTAGACGAATGCAAATACAAACTATCAAGCACGCGATTGGGAAAATACCGATCGACAATATCCTACTGCACAACCTATTCAGTATAGTACACCTGCAACGAAACAAGAACAAATCTTACAACAACTATCGACTATTAGAGAGGTTTGTGTCTAGAATCGATTTCAGTACAGCAATGAATACATATGGCTTGTTTTTAGAATATGATTCGTCGACAACGCGAAGTTGTTTCTCCGATATGAATATAATTCGAAAAATTTTTAATCTAATTAAATCGCTAAGCGACTCTCAAATTTGTTTTCCTTCATTCTCATCAATAGATAACACATTTTTTGTTTTGTTCAATTTGTTTGTATCCGTTTGTGTGCGTGTATCACTTTTCAATATGAAATGAAAGACAAAAAAAGAAAGCGAACAAGAAAACAATATTTACGGACACAGTAAATGTCTTCAATTTACTTGTCCCACTGACATATGTCTGCTCAAGGCTAAAGAATGATAAATAGACGGACGAATGACGTATAAGATTCTCCTGTTTTTCTTCCGTTCGCTCGATTACGTGGATATCAGCAAGAAGATTTCCGTAAAACTAACCACAAGTTATTCATGGAAGAGTTTATAACAACTATTGGTAAGATAAGATAACTCCATCAAAAATGAATTCCAAGAATATTTGATGTTGTTTATCGATTAGGTGTTGGAACATTTAGTCGAGTTATATTAGCTCGTCGACGTTCTGAAAATTATCAAGAATTTTTCGTAGTGAAAACGATGGCCATACGAGATATCGTACAAATGAAACAAGTGAATCATGTGAATGATGAACGAAGAATTCTTGCGGCTGTTCAACATCCGTTTATAGTTCGTTTGTAAGTTGTCAACTAGATTTAGTTGATGATTATTCGGTTTTTTAAAGTTATGGATCGTATCGAGATACGCGTTATTTGTATTTATCGATGGAATTTTTGTCTGGTGGCGAGCTCTTCTCTTACTTTCGTCAAGCGGGTCGTCTAAGAACGACGACTGTAAGATTTTATGCTTGTGAAATTATCCTTGCCTTGGAATATTTGCATAACCTTCTCATCGTCTATAGGTAACAGCGAAATTCAAGAATGTTTTCTTTTTCTATTATAAATACATCATTATTCTCAATGTTAGAGATTTGAAGTTGGAGAATTTAGTACTTGATGCTCATGGACATGTCAAATTGACTGATTTTGGCTTTGCAAAATACGTTCCAGACAGGTTAATTAGGCAATGAACGTTATTAGTTCATTAATTAAACGTGAGATCTTTTCTTTTCTCTAGAACGTATACATTATGCGGTACACCTGAGTATCTCGCTCCGGAAATGATTCTCTCAAGTCACGGTCATTCGTTTGGCGTTGATTGGTATGCTTTAGGCATTTTAATCTATGAATTATTAGTGGGACATACACCATTCGCCTCAATCGACCAACAAAATCATCCATCTAGCATATTTCTAAGAATCCTGAATGATCAGATCCCGTGGCCGTACGCTCCTCCATGCCACTCCGAGTAAATACTCTTTTAAAGAAATATATAAAATTATGAAGTTGTTTAAATATAGAATTATTGATCGTACGGGACGAAATTTAATACGGAAACTTCTTGAACGTGATCGAACGCGTCGTATAGGATGTATGGCTGGAGGAGTTAGTGATATAAAACGACATCGATGGTTTAAACAAGTATCATGGACAGATGCTCTTGAAGGAAGAATACGAGTAAGACAGTCCTGCAGGGAAAAAATCTTAAAGGCATTCTTATTTTAGCCTCCGATCGTACCGAGAGTTGATCATCCAGGTGATATACAAAATTTTGAGTCGTTTAAACACGAACGCTTTCGCGCACCACAATGTACAAACGAAGAATACAATTTATTTGATAAATTTTAGTAGAAAACATTGTCTCATTTCTATTATATAGAATAAAATTTCCTGGAATGCTCGCTGACTTTACTCTTTTCTTGAAATTTCCCGCTGATTGTTCATTCTTTCATTCAATTTCTCTCTTTTTCTAAATGCAATGTCCAACACCAGAAATCGTTGCCGGCCAGTTAACTGCCATACGAAATATCTATCTTCGTCAAGAACTCAAAACTATTTATAATCTTATCCAAACGAAACACAGAGAACACTTACCGGCACTCGACTTAGTAATTCTTGCTGCTTACGAGCAAGTTTTTAATGCACAGGTAGTATATCTACCGAGAGAAAACAAACACCGATAATTACTTGATCCAAGTGTAGCCTTTATCATCGCCGGAGGTATTACGGGAACTTGCAGTGAAATACATTCTAATGTACTATGCACGCAATCTAGAAAACCTAGTAAGCGAATAGAAAATATTGATGGTACTAAATATATTCAATAGAGTATGGCAGAAAAAAGCTATGGTCTTCGTTCTGAACCACCGGTGATAAATGCATCTCTAATCAATGATACTACTGACAATGAAGATAACTTTTCGACTGCTACGTCAATATCAAATTCATTGTCCGAGAGTTCATCTAGTCAATATGTGACGCTTCGTAAAAATAATCAGCGATTATTATCAAAGGAGAAATCTTTAGGTGCCGAGTCACCACAAATTGTCGTGCATCGACCATCAGATCATAGTGGGTTATCAAAAAAAGCGAAAACTTCGTCGAATTCTTCGAATAAGAGGAAACGATCTCAAAGGAAAAAACGACGGTCGAAAAATAAACGTTAACTGACGTTTACTATCTGTATCTATTTGACCCATAGAGGTCACTACAGTATGCTATATCGACTTCGATCTGTTGTTTCTATTGGTGTTCTGTCAAGAGACAGTCTGCCATTTTTTATTTATCGACCTTTTACCTTTTTCAAAAATTTTCCTTTCTTAAGTATTAATAGAGGTAATAACTACTCATTTGATTCGACTGTTGTTAGTCATCTAATCATACTCATCAGATTTGTTTGTCTACTTTGTTTGTCATTTATTTTATTTTGTGATTGCGAGTACGAATGACGTTGAATGATCATCCGATTTTTCTTCGACGTACTTGAATAGTTTTCAAAACGACATGTCCCTCTTGTTCGTATTTTAGACGAAACTATCATACACATTCAAACATAGTTACTGGAAAACAATGATATCTTACATCCGTCGCGTCTTTAAATTTATTCATTGGCTTTATCTTCAATATCTCTTAAATACTGCCTTGTACATGCTCGAACCTTGGGAACGACTACTGTTCTCAACCTTATTATTCGCGATACTTTCCACAGCTCTCTACTCGGCATTAGTCTTCCTTCCACATCATATCCGCTCAATGGTACAATTCTACTCGTGAACAAAAGACAAATATTTACCATAAACGTTTTTTCTACAAACTGATTAGGAGAAATTTTCAAACAATTCAATGTGAGTCTATTGCTTACTGAATGCTTAAATAAGGTAACAATAAAAAATGCGATTGTTTTCAATTGAATTACTTTTGATTTGGGAAGCGTCTTCGTTTGAAAAACCTTGAACTTCGTTTAGCGTTTGACGCGATTAAACACGAAAAAGAGCGCATCGCATAGACAGTACTGTTTTGAAATGACGCATTGCTGTTAAAGTAAAAAAACAATTTGTATCACCTATGTGATGTAATGCCGCTATGGTGCTCAAAGAACACTTGAAACTTTTGAAAAGAAAAGTCTACACACGATCGCAAGAATGTTCTTGAAATAACAGCACGAATTCCGTACACTTACTACTCTAGTTACATTTTCCTTAGATATGTAGGTCATTCTGAACTTAATCAAAATTTCACTTACTCTGCGATTAAGAGAGTAATATCCATAGTACGAATGAGTTTCCTACCTGTAATAAATATACATTAAACACCCTCTTATCGTTTTATGCGTGTTATATCATGTATTAAGAAATAAATATACCAATAACTCATTCAGGTAGATCATTGTGTGCGCGTGATTGGTTTTTCTTCTCTCTTACTTTAATAACTTGTTTATCCATCGAAGATGGCCTTCGGTTGCAATTATAATTTATCCAAATTAAGATTTTTGTCTAACATGACAAATTTTCATTCATTGCTTTTTTCTCGTCGTTTCATATTTATGAGTTAAAGCTCAATCACTTCGTTTCTCATTTCTTTCACAATCTTTTTCTCCTGCTTCTATTGTAGCGATTACTCTGTCTCTCTGTCTCTGTCACTCTTTCTCTGCTATTTTTGTTTTACCAACGCGATCACTTGCTTGCGAGTTAAGTGCGTTACTACGGTTGCTTCTTGTATATTCATTTTATTTTGCCTCGATCAAGTCGCGCATATAAGCTCAGTTGAAAGGATCGACGATCAAACAAAGCAGGACACCTTTCTTTTCTTTTGTGAAGTATGAATGTAACACGTCGAACACCGTATTTGAATACCTCATCGAAAAACGACGACGAATCGATGGTAATCTTGTATATTCGAACATCATTCTATCTGCTTTCTCCTATAAATTAGATGAAACAAACAAGAAAATCCTCTTGGTTTAATTGTCTATATCAAACGCTCCAGCATTTATATATGCAGTTTCTCTTAGTAACAACACTCTATGTCATGGAGCCATGGGAAAGAATCTTGATGATCAGCATCTTCTTTTGTGTTATTTCATTAGTGACTTACTCGGCATTTGTGTATATTCCATTTCACATTCATAATATTCTACATTTGACAATCCCAAATCTATCGACAGTTTTGATACGTTAATCGAAATCAGGAAGACTATCGTATACAGGATATTTCGCCATATACATTACATACTATTATCTGATAACTTCGTTTGATTCTTTTTTTTTCTGTTCTGTTTATTTTATAATTAAACAAAGAATAATAATGATGTCATTGTGTTTCATTTCTTTGGAAATCGATTCGTCAAAGAAATCAGTCGTAGTTTGACATCAAGCTCTTTCTTATATATATATAAATTTTGAAAGACCTTCAGAAGAAATAGGGCATTGTACCTTCATTTCCAAGGATGCCAGTGTTATTTATTTACCAAGATATACAAAATGCCAATCATATGTTCATGTTTTCATTCTGTTTGTTTTTCAGATCGAATTTCTTTTTTTTTGTATTTCATTTACTGTGTTGTGATTCATGGATGTCGATTCAGAACCTATATCATCCAATCCTGCTATGGCAAATTTAGACGAAGATTTAATGGAAAGATTACGATCTATCACCACAAGTAATCGAGAAGATCTAATTGCACAATTTCGTTCGACGACAAATGCAATGTTGACGGACGAAGGATGTGCTTTCTTTCTTGAAATGAGCAACTGGTAACTTAGAAAAGGAGAATGTTCAAATATTCATGAAAGTCTTTTCTAGGAATTTAAACGAAGCTATTCTTGCGTACTATGATGCTGAAATGCCGACAGATAAGATTCCACAAATGCGTTTTGTTGCCGATGTTACTGTTGGTGAAGGCGAAGCCATTCCACCCAATACTAGATTTGTTAAAACTTGGCGTGTACAAAATTCTGGTAAATCAATGGAATTGAATACGAAGTGAAAATGATCTGCTGTTTTTTTTTCAGGTAGTGAACCATGGCCAACGAATTGCTCATTGAGATTTGTTAACGGTGATCGATTGCAAGATCGTGATGAAATCTATGTTGGTTCACTAGCACCAGGTGAACAAACAAACATTTCTGTTGATATAACCAGTCCGTTCACGCCGAAAATTATCAGATCACAATGGCGTCTATTCACGTCAGCTGGCGTACCTTTTGGAGGTAAGATAAATATTAGCTAATTCGAATTGAGAACTCGAAATTGCGACATTCAGATCCGATTTGGTTAATTGCGAGCGTTGAAGAAGGTGGACTAATGGGAATCACTCAACAGCTTGAGCAATGTCATTCTCTCGGTATGAATGTTGGTGAACCACATGAAATGAATATTCAGCCGTCAAATAATTTACTTCATCAGACATCTCCAACAAATCCTTTTCAATCAACGAGATGTAAATGAAATGACTTGTGAAATAAAACAGATGACTAATTTGTTGATTTAGGGCCAAATACCGACACTAATAATGTACCTGGCTGGACGAACTATCCTCTTGTGCCTGTTACAGTGAGTTTTCCGATGAGAACTTCGAATGATTTTTCTTAATGAATGTTTAGGAATACTCTCGAACGAATAATATCAATCATCAACCATCGGACCCTTCGTCATCGTCAAATGGAATGACTGACGACAATTCTTTAGACACATTTTAACTGAATAAAAGATCATCTATTGTTGTGCTAGTCGAAACCGAGTGTGTATGTGTGTTGTCAATGGAGAAAAAAAAGCATTTCACCATTCTTTCTCTTTGTTGGATATTTTGTTTACAAATTGACCATCATTATCAGAGAGATTTCCTCGTATTTTTGTTTGCTATTTTCCTTTAATGTTTCTTAAAAATATATACGTATATATATTATTAAAGATGAGGATGGTAAATTGACTATTTATGTAGATAGGTTCTCGGCTATTGACAAGTGAACATCACTTTCTTTTTCTTCTTGTTACAACACGATTTGTGTATTTTTCATTTCTTTCCTTGTTCTTGTTTCTCTTCTCTTGTACTTCTCTTTTTTATAATACAAACTTGCATTCAAATAGACACAGTTACAACGATGGATGTTTCTTTTTCTTCAGCTCCTTTTTCACGTTTTTTTTTTGTTGTTGTTTCCTACTTGATAATGATGAATATTCAAGATGAACTATTCAAAGAATTTCTATTCAACTCATCACAACATATGTGATTAAGAAGTTTTTTTGCGAGAGTAAATTGTTCAATAACTATGACTCATAGATCATCTAGTACAACAGTAGCATTCATCACAAGCATGTTTGTGTATTTCACAAAGACACAGCGTTTGACAGTGAATCGAAGGTTTTCTTCGACATATGATTGATCATAGTTAGAAACAAAAGAAGAAAAATGATTCGACATCAAGTCTGAAGTGAAATGCAATTCATCTAGTTTTCTTTTATTTAATTCATACAGGAAAAAAAAATAAACAGACATTCGAAATGAATGCACAGATTTATGTTCATTTCAAATTCATCTTTCTGTTTTATTTATGTTAAGCAAATGACAAAAAATTCATAAGGAAAAAAAAATTCCACATAATAGCGAAAAAAGGGGAAAATTCGTGACATAAAAAAGCAAACAACAATAACAAAGAAGAATCTTTTTTTTTCTCAACTAATTTTCATCTTTTTTAGGATTATCATGAGTAAGAAATAAGGTGTNCATTTGGTTTGTCCTTCGGATTGTTCATGTTCACATGATGCTCAATGGTCACGTCATTTGGTTAAATGTCCACGTACGAATCTATCCGATATACATATTCTTTTACCTCAATCAATCACTGAACTTGATTACGAAGGGAATAACATTGAACAAATCAAACCCTATGTATTCATTGGTAAAACATCATTGATTAAACTTAATCTGGCAAGAAATCATTTGAAACAATTAACAAACGAAACATTCTGTGCAGCGAGTCATTTACGTGAGATCAATCTCAGTTACAATACCGATTTAGTTTCAATACTTCCTGGCATTGATGATTTGTTTCAATGTTTGAAACATTTGCAGTATGTGATCCTTTCAAAAGATCAAATTGATCCCGAACGACCGATTACTAACGGATGGATGATCATTTCGAATAATGACGAAGACATTGTGCGTCTGACACGAATTCCACTAAAACCAACAGGTTTGCTTTGACAAATTCCTTCTTATCATTCCATTATGTTTCTTTGTAGTTCTATCATCGACCAGTACGATTCTCACTGTTCTTATGTCCTCTACAACATCTCGTTCAATACGTTATTCTCATACAAAAGCTGTCACTGTTTCACCTATTTACCAACAAGAGTGTACAACATTTATTCCATCGACTTATTCGACTATCACTCGACATATCTCGTTTATGCAACACAATCAAACGCTCATTATCGTCGTTTTCTTTCTACTCGTATTTGTGCTACTCTTTCTTGTTCTATTGATTACATTAGCTATCTGTCGCCGTCGACTTCGTCGTCATCTAACGAGTGAAATTCACCGTCAACATTCTCACCATTATTATTATCATCATCCGGTTCGATTGCATCAACCATCCATGAAAGTCAATGAAACTCATACAAGTGTTGGTATCAACGATAGTCTCTACGAACAACTACCGTCACTATCTTCTGACAGTGATCAACCTTTTCTTTACAACGAAAAGAAATTGACTCCATCCAATGCGCCGGCGATACCACCACATCCGCCAACACTTCGACATCATTTCTGTTGTCATCCGGCAAGCCGCTTATTACAAATTCCGACAACGAATTCTCATGAATATCAATATGCGACAAATGTTACAACGACTACAGGTTACTCAACACCAACATCACAGCAACATCAATGTGCTGCTATTCTACTTTGGGCTAATCGCCTACTCTATCCGACACAAACGAGCGCTAATCGTCGTGATTGCGCATCCCATTCCTGTCCATCGGAATTACAACATTTACAACAACGTCTTCTCTCTAATCAACAACAAGATGGAGCATCAATTACAGCAGATACTAATGTTCTCCGTTATTGTAACAATGAAACACTTTTTCTTCCAAGTTCAACTTGTCGATGTCATGGTCATGTACAAAATATGGATACATATATTCATCCACATGTACATAGATAATATCTGACATGTTTTTCTGTATCGTACTCGCGGTGCTTGTTCTGAAATAAACTATTGAACATTTCTTTTTGCATTCTCGTCAGAAAAGATCTAGTTAACATAGTATTTCGACGTCGATCTTCACAAATCCTTGTATTGTTATGAATTGTTCCTAAGGAACAATGTGCGTGATTTATATAAACTATGCATGAACAAAGGAAATGAAATAAAGTAGAAAGAGATTTATTTAAATAATGAGCGAGTAGATTTTATATGAAATCATCAAAAGCAAGAGCATGAGAGACGTCATATAATTATAATCAATTCCAGTCTGTCAAACTGCTTTCAATCGATGCATAAAATCGCAAGTGACCATTCTTATGGGCAGACTTTTTCTTATTACTTAATTAAACCTATTTCAAGTGTTATTGAGCACAATGTTACCTGATCATACGGATCTCGATGTTGTCAAAACTTGCAGAAAAATAGTTTTAATAGAATATTGTTCGGCGAAAAGCATTTTGATTCCACTAGACATTGACTTGAAACTAATAGGACGAAGCTTATTTCTCCAGTCTGATGATCATATGTTAATTCGTTAAGTTCTCGAACTGCCATGCTAAAGAATACCGCCAACCGTCATTGGTTATTGTAAAGCAAATAGATGGTAAAACTGTGTTCTGTATGGGAGGAAACACACACTACTCATATTTTTTTATCCTGCAATGAGTCATCGTAAAAAATAAACGAAAAATATTGTTATCGGCTTTTACTTTGCAACCGCATTTTACTAAAACTATTTTTCACATTGCGTCGAACATGAGCGGTAAAAATTCAAATAACAACAAACCAACTTATGCAAGCAGATCTTTTGGGCGCAGACAATCTTCTAAACAGGCAGAAGAACCGACGGCAGCATCTACTACTCAGTTGCCACTAACAACCACATCTTCTTTCTACGAAGCAGATTTTCCGTCGCTCGAAGAAGCATCATCATCACGTTCAGTTTGGGTATAATTTTTATCAAACGTTTTTGCAAATTCGCTACTACAATGAATCTTTTAGGATCAATTAACAGCATCAGGTATAGAGCAATATCAATTGCCGATTCATAGCAGTACAGTAATGGTTAGAATTATTGATTTATCTTCTATTTAGAAAAACCCACACATTCGCGAAGTAAAGCAAATGATTTCAATGTTTTGTTATCAACATCCTCCACTTTACCACCAGCGCAAAAAACTACTGGGAAAAAACACAATGTCTCGTCGGTCTATATGGGAACACAAATTCCGTCAGAACAATCATACGGAAAACATTCAGAGTCGCGAGCTGTTTCATCGTCTGTTGCATCATCAGGTAGATAATATCGACAAATTTTATATACGACTAGTTCATTTTCATGTGTTAGATACAATGTCAACTCAAGTAGTAACACGACCATTGACGCCGTACGAGGAGCAAATTAACAAAAAGATATGTGAAATAATCTTGACCATCCATGAGAGTAAAGAATATGTGTCGCGTGAACGAGTGCAACGAGAACTATTCGATTTTTATCACGTGGATTCATGGAGTAAGTTAGGAGTTCAACCGTCAAGATTTAATCCATTGATTAATCTTACTGATCGACAAAAGAATGTCAATTTCTATATGAAAATTTTCGAACAAATCTTTAATCTATGCACGTTGCACGACCTCGACTCACTACTTGCTCGATTCCTGGAAGTAGAAAACTACGCAGACCTTCGATTAGGTCCACTTGATAAGAATCCTGATGTACGACAAGTATTCGCGTACAATCCAACTGATCATGATCAAGCCATTCCAAATATCACTACTGGACAGGTTATTTGCAGATTTATGGAATTCATGCGCACCAATCGACATCAACGTCAGGTGCCGTTCGACATTTTCCTTGATGATCTTGTTAAAAGATATAAACTTCAATCACGTGAAGAATTAGGTATTTATTGCAAATCATTTCCATATCTAGTTCAGGTAATGCAATCATAAGCGTAGTTTCTTTCGCTATCATTCTTTCATACATTCTAGGTTACTCATACTGTTCGACGCGATTTTGATTCGCATACAAAGCATGCTCAGGAAGAAACTCAGAAAGAGTTGATTGAAGTCATTCGTGCTCGTTTGAATGAATTCAAAGACAAAATGCGGGACGAACTGGAATTGTCGCTATTCAATAAGAAAAAGACGCCAACGGCTGTGTTCAATCATTTGACCACGCTTGTTCATAAACATTTAGACTTTCTTCCTCAACAGCCAGCAGTCTACGCAGCTTTAACTCAACTTCGCGACGATGAATTGCTACGCTGTTTGTTCAATGTGAGCATTTATCTTGGCACTATTGAAAAGCCGGAAACATTCATTCCTGAACTCAAAAAACTTCTCGGGCTCCAGGAAGGACAGCAGAGTCTACCAGGCCCAATGGTAATACTACCACCATCCGTGCCACAAGGGAAAATGAGTAGAAAAGATCGTAATAGAATGCAAGCGATGGCTCAACAACAGCAGCAATTAGCAGCACAAAAGTTCGATATTTTATCGAACAATGATCCACAAGTATGTATCATCTATATTTCAATCTGTAAAGGGAGACTTCTTAGAACAAGAAAAACTGACATATCCATTCATTCTAGGCGGCAGCATTAATGCATGCAAATTCAAATATTCCAGTCGATACATCGTTCGCTAGTTCATTTTTCACAACTCATCCAACAAAACACAAACCACCAGTTAGTTTCACTCAACTCTGCTCAGATATCTACATCGCTCTTTCTCGCTACAATACAGTACCGCCCATAAAACAACTTCTGAAGATAGAAAATCACCTACATACTCAACACGGTGTCTCAAACTTCGCTGTTTTTAACTATGATGATAACGACGATGACAATGACAATCGAACAAGTTTGGTTTCCTTTTTGGATAAACATCGCCATACGATTGACCCACACGGAGAACTATCTATCTATGAGCATGCGACATCGACAAATAATCGAGAAGAATTGTATTCATTTGTTCAACAGTTGAGTGCAATCAATCCTAACAATGCAAATACTGACGAGTATCAACATCAATCGAGTGTGTTGATTCATGGCAATGTTCACGCTGATCAGTTTCATTTGAGCAGCGAAAACATGTCTGCGATCGAAAAAGCAGTCAGACATAAATTTCCTGAAATTCATCATTTTCAGCAAGGAAATCAAATCATGCGGAGAGTTAAACAGGAACGTCACAGAGCTAAACATCCAATTATTCGGTCAGTACAATTTCTTTGATTGAACATAAGCTAAAACCTACTATCCATTTCGTATTTAGATTTGAAGAATCTGTATTAGATGTCAATGGTCTCAACCGTTTGAATGTTTGTCCAACATCTCTCAATGGTGAACCATTGCATCTTTGTCAACTGATACTTCACTGTCCATTGATGACTGATCTTCACACCTGGCTCCAATGGTCCTATTTCTTTCAGCCAAAACATGGCACTCTGAAGACGTTTATAAACAAACACGAAGATCTGTTAAAAGATCTTCATCTATTGGAAACGTCAACTGGAGAATTGTATCGCTTACCTGATCACACTACATTAGAAACATTCGAGCATGAACTGCGAAAGTTCCATGTTCGGTCAGCTGTCGGCCATTTATGTGCTTTGATTCTTCAAGAAGGTTTGATCACTCACTTTTCATTCAATGTCTACCGAACATCTATGGATACTTGGTTCCGTCATTTGAGAACACAAGTGAAATTGCAAAGCGAACAAATCGATCCACTGGAATATATTTTAGATTTCATTACATATCTTCCTGTGTTAGTTGGCCAAGCAAAGATCATTGAAGAACTTATTCTTGTTCCACTCGATAACGTGTTTGATAATGTTGATGGAACGAATATGCGTAAAAAATTATGGGACTTAGCTGATATGCAACAACGAACAAAATTAGAATTATTTGGTCATTTGATGGATATCGATGAATGGAAGAATGACTCGAAATGGTTGGATGAAGACGAATCACAAGAAAATTCTGCAAGTAATATGAGTCAACGACTGTTACCAGAAAACAGTACCAAGGAAGGTAAAGTCGATACCCTTCTGATCATCTTTGAGTCTCTTACTTTTTCCTGGAAATAGATGCTGATACTAAACGAGCAGCGGCAATCAATGGCGTGTCTTCTGCTGTTTCGTACACTGAAGTACCGACACCGGCTCTATCGACTATTCCGATAAAGAATTATACAGACGATGAAAAGAGTTCATCGAACGCTGCATTCGAACATATCGAATCGATTCGTCGTGGTTTCGGTGTTGATAGTACGCTCGATTCAGCAGGTCTATCTATCGTTACGAATCTACAAGGAATGATCGAACGAAGCTTAGAGAAATTATCCAATGATCTCTATTCCGATCAAGGTCATTTTGTTTTGGAATTGATTCAAAACGCAGATGACAATCAATATTTACCAGATCATTTACCAACATTAAGATTTATGCTTTCGAAAGAACGAGTTCTCGTATGTAACAACGAGCTGGGTTTTCAACCAAGTAACATTTCAGCTATTTGCAATGTTGGTGCTTCAACGAAAGGAAAACATAAGCAGGGCTATGCTGGCCACAAAGGTATTGGATTTAAATCGGTTTTCATGGTCTCACATCGACCTGAAGTTCATTCTCGAGATTACCATATACGTTTTGATACTGTTAATGGTACACAACAGATCGGTTACATTCGACCGATCTGGCTAGATGAATATGAAGAGACGTTGCCGAATTCTGATGAATGGACAACATGTATTCGTCTTCCGTTGAAACAGGAAACGCGACAAGATCGATTGGAACGGAATTTTAATGATATTCAAGCAAAACTTTTGCTCTTCCTTAATCGTCTAAGACAAATTGAAATAGTTCATCAGCAAAACAACTCGATTACCCGAACATTCACGAGAATTGATCACGCCCAAGGGCAAATCATCGAACTGCAAGAAAAGATTACCAATCAGCCAATTACAACTAATTTCTGGTTAGTCGTCAAGAGAGTAATCAAAGTCCCAAACACGATAAAAGTATTGAACACCTTTTGCTCATTTTCCGAACATTTCTCTTGTTTTGTGACTCATTTAGGAGAAACTACGTGATGTTAAAGGTGAAGTTGAATCGACAACGATAGCAGTAGCTTATCCATTGAGTAAAATTCAAGAATCTTCGAGTCAACCACCGCCCACCCAACCTCTCTTTGCATATTTGCCACTTCGGTCTTATGGATTTCGGTTTATTCTTCAAGCTGACTTTGAAATTCCAGCAACCCGTCAGGAAATACGTCGAGACAATTTATGGAACGAGTGGCTGAAAACCGAAATGACTTGTCTTCTTTCTCTAGCCTATCAACAATTCAAAAGTTTACCTGACTTATTTGCTTCATCGGCCATCGATGCACAAATTACCAATCAACTAACACCGATACAAACAATCAAATATTTTCTCAAACTGATACCATCACGAAACGAACTCGATCCGTATTTCAATGCATTTGTTGATGAAAGTATCAAATTGTTAACAGGAATCATCGAGTTACCAATCGTTCGACAGAGTGAAAACAATGAAACGGCCATCGATTGGGTCGCTCCCTCGAAATGTGTGATCGTACGAGATCCACACATACGAAAAATTCTCTCGCAAGATCTACTTATCTCGCATTTTAATAGTTATTATGTTCATGAACAGTTAATTCTCGAGTGTGACGAACAAATTCTTCTCAAATTAGGTTGTCGTCAACTTGATTTCTCCGATATTACACGACTTATCGAATTGTCATATAAACAAGATGAACAAGAACGGCCAAAAACTCCAACCTCAATTGAACAAAGTAAATCTTACCAATATGAGGATTGTCTTACTCTTTTTCATTTCGATTTTAGTCGCACAATGGCTTGTATGTCTTGATTACAGTCTTCAACAACAACGCGAACAAATGCGCTTTAATCCTGACCATGATCCAAAGGTTGAAAAAGAAACGATCGAAAAAATCAAACAGATGAAGATCATTCCGATCAAACAACAATCACGCCTAGCATCTATCAACGAATATGAGAAATATGCGATCACATTTCCATTAGATAAATCAGTGAAGTATTCCAAACACTTAAAACTCGTTCTTGAGGATATACCAACATTGGATGAGTATCTCTTAACTTTCATCGAAGATAAACATCCAAGACAGGTGGACTCGATTAAACAACTCCTTCTGAAACTCGGTATGTAACATGAACTTTCGTTTCCTCTTACTGATCAATCATTTATATGCTGTAGGTGTTACCGAAACACGTAATATTAATGAAATGTACCGTCTCCATATGCTACCAGTCATGTCAGATCCAAAGCGTTGGACTGCAAAGTCAGATTCAGTATTAGTTGCCTACGTAATGTGTATTTATGATTATATCTATAAAACAAAGGGATATGTGCTAGCTGAAAATGAATTGGAAACATTGAGAAAAGTTTTGGTTGTAAAAACCCGTGACAATAAATTCGTTTCATTAGGCTCACCTGATGTTATTGTCCATCTAACAGCAAAATATGGATGTAAAAAGTCTTTAGAGACGTTGAAATTATCAAAACATCAGTTTATATTCATCTCCGACGATTATTACACACAATATCGTACAGATTTGTTGAATACCGATATGGAAATAAACAATTTTGTTTCATTTCTCAACCAACTGGGCATTTCTGACTCTTTTCAAGTCAATTTCAAAGATGAACGTAAGTTTGCTACCAATGAGCTATTTCTCAAAATGATGTTTTCTCTTTTTCATTAGCTTTTGCCAATGTGGATGGATTACTAACTACCAAATGGGCATATTCCGTAGCACAATTATCGGAATCTGTTCACGAGCCGTTTATCATCAAAGATTGCGTGTGCGAAGAATTCGATAAACTGGTTTCGACTCTTGACGAAAATGAATCTAATGATCTGGATCTATGTGCACAGTTGCTTCAATATTTAGACAAACATTATCGATATATTATGACGTTTTTCACTGCTTCAGTCTGTCTAGCTCGAGTATACAAATACAATCCAACGCCAATTCAAGGTATCGAATCATCATTTTGTCTTTCCTTGAGACAATGCGCTTGGATTCCTGTTTTTGGTGGTAAACTATTCAAACCTAACGATGTGTATCGAATATCGCAGGATAGTCAAACCTCTGCTTTTCGACGATATGTTCCGCATTTAGATGAATCGAAAGTAGCATTAACCAATGCAGATTTTCTGTTTAATATACTTGGTATTCAGCAATCTGTTTCGGCTAGAATTATATTTGAATTATTGATGAAATGGTCATGTGATTTAAATAAAGAAGCATTGTGGAGTTTGGTAAATGAAACACAAGCGTCTGAACTGTAAGTTGAGAGATAAGAGAGTCATATTTTTTTGCGTAGAATGATGTTCTAATCTAACTTTGGTTCGATTTTAGCATTCCTTGCACTCTTCCTAGTACATTTAAACAGAGTTGTTTGGACTCTATCGATAACTTCTGTCAAATCTACCAGTTTCTTGCATCGAATCATGAAACTAAAAGTCTTGTTCATCGTTTTCACCTTTGGCCACTCATATTCATACCCGAAAATCAAAAGGAAGGAAACTTTGTCTTTGTCCGACAAACATTTTGGCATGATCCCTCGTTGCTTCTCTCGTCACATCCGACTTCCAACAATCGAATTTCACTCGAATCTTATTATGGAAATAATACAATCTTACAATCCTTCTTTCTTGAAGTTCTTGGTGCCGAGTGTCAACCAACTATTGATGATTACATTCCGTTGTTATCAAATATTCACGAGAATGATCAACTCTGGCAAGTTATTCAAGTAATTACGAAATTAACTACAGAGCAAGAGAAGCACAAAGAAGTTCGAGGTATGAAAGATTTCCACAAACGATTTCACATTTGCATGCATACGTTTTTTACATAGAGAAATTACTTGATCTTCCATTCATTCCCTGTATGAATGAAAATCAAAAACTAATGAAATACACTGATCATCCATTCTACCCGCATGATCGTGATATTGCCAATCTGTTCGCTGACGTTCTATCGGTCATCAAACTACCGAGTGCGTGAACCAAAATTTCGATTTTTGTTTGTTGTCAGTTAGTTATTTAGGTTATGATCTTTCATCTGATTTCAAAAAGCACTTTTGCATACTTTTCAACATCGAAAATCTTGCAAATCATATTCAAACAAAAGTTACTGTTGAAAATGAGCAATCTGCAATAAATTTATCCAGTTTTTACCGTCAATCAATCGATCTTATTCAAGATTTTGTACTCTCGAATCATTTTATATCCGATACTCAATCGAATCATCTTTCAGCAATCTTTGCACGCATGCAATTTTTGTGCGTTGATCATATTCAAGTTTCGTATTCGTACGGAAGTGACCTTGTCAAAGCACCTTCGAATTTGCACAGCATCGATACGTATATCGATCAACAAGAATGCAAATTTTATATTTTGAAGAAATATGAAAATTCAGAGATGCGGTATACCGATGCAATGGGCGAATTTATCGTGAAAGATGATGTCGCTCGATCCAAAATTTTGGCGTACATTCGAAAACTGTTGCAGATATACCAGAACGATGCGGATCATGGCCTAGATCTACTGCATGAAAATTTAAAGAGAAATCACGAGCCAAAATGGATCATTCCAGAGATCGCGAACAGAGATGTTTCAGTTGCATTGAAAGAAGAGAAGATACCAGTAGTGGAGAAACCGGTGATAACAGATGAGCAGATTGCACAGTTGAGTAGTGAACCTACTCGTCGACCGAAACCACGAGCAAAAGAAACGACAAGTGAAGAAAACGCGAGTCAACTAACGAGTTTCCCTTTGAAAGCAGGCGCTGCAGAATCGGAAGATCCTTCTACACTGAAAACAACCTCAAAATCTACCGCTGAAAATTCAACCAAAGAAAAACATACAGTTACATTAGACTCGGACGATCGTCCATCACGACCATCGAACGATCATGAACACCAAAATAATGAAAATCGAGCGAAGCAGACAAAAGGAGATAAGCATCCCTATGGTAAGTTGAAAATCAATTATTTGACTTGAAAACTAATAGCCACAATCATTGATTTTAGTTGAAAAAAGTAAATCTTGTTCAAACGATGACAGTAACAAAGAGGACTCTCGTCAATCTCATGTTCCTATTAATTATTCGGATCCGATTTCGTTCGCCGCTAATTTTGAACGTATTGCCGTTTCTACCCTCCCTGATCTTGATCTATTTAATGCTTCATCAACAAATGATCCATCCATTAGTATCCCCAATCGTCCTCACGGAACTGAAGCTGATATATTCACAGGTCGGCAAGGTGAAGAATTCGTTTTCTATTATCTGAAATGGAAATATCCGAAGGAAACCGTTGAATGGTTAAATCAAACAACTGAATCTGGGAAACCGTACGATATTCGGGTAATTTTTTCATCAGAAGATGCCAGAATCGAATTTATTGAAGTCAAAACAACTCGCACACTCGATCAAAATACATTTCCTGTATCTTTTGCTGAATTTGAATATCTCCTTCAACACCCGACAAATTATTTCATTTATCGAGTTTATTATGCAGATAATCGAGATTCATCCACGATCACAGTAATCAACCGAATCAAAGAAAATTTACAAAAGAAACAACTTCAGCTTAGTATGACAATGAAGCCTCGAACCTAGTCTTTTTAGGCGAAAAAGAAAACTGATAATGGCATATAACAGTACTTTATTTTTTCACGCTGTGCTGTTTTCGAAATAAAATAGAATCAAAGTTTTTGAGACTACGTTCTGTCTTGTGTTCAACAATCATAAAAGAAACAAAGCAAAAGAATTTTCAAAGAACTGACATTCAGTATTGAAATTCTTTGAAAAGTGACTTTTGATCTTGAAATACATGAAATTGTGTGAAGATTTTACTCTAAGAACACTGGGAAAATACAAAAAAAAATCACTGTTCTGGTTTAATATTATTGCTCCAGAATATAATGAAAGCCAGACACAAACTATTTCTGGTTATTGCTGTCAGGGGATGGAATACTATCTACTGGTTTGTCATAATTTGGGTTCGCTAATAGTGAATGTGTTCCATTTAATACATCAATCAGATTCATTTTTGTAGTCCATGTTCCTATTAATACATCATCACATGCAAAGCCATCTTTTGAACTGATATTGGGATGATTAATCGGAGTAATGAAGTGAACTGCTGGTGGTTTGAAAGGATATTCGAGTGGAAATCGAAGAATAAAATCGAACTGATTACCAGCATATGGACTGTTTTCTGGTCCAGTCATGATACCAGTCACTTCATTGGTACCATCATGTTGTTCTGTATTCAAGTTTTGAACAAAATTCAATGGTGTCTGCCGTAATAACTCCAACTGACGTTGAATCAGTGCTGTCTGCTTATTTGGTCGTGCAGAAGCAGCAACGGTAGCAGCGGCAGCAGCGGCAACAGTGGATGTAGCACTCATAGACTAGTGATCTGAAAAAAAAGCTCGATATCGATTATTTTGTCTTTTTATTTGTATATTTTGGAAGTAAATCTCTATTCATTCCTCCCCAAACTTCACTAGTTTTTCGATCACCTTTAGTGACAGGCGTACAATTCAAACTACGTAAACCGGGTAGCAGACATAAAACATACGAACGTAAAAAAGGCACTGTTATTTCAATTGGATTTCCATGCAACGTCAAATATTTCAATTGTTTCAATGGAGCTAGTTTTTGAACTTCATTCATATCCGTGAGGATATTTTTATGAAAGTAAAAACATTTCAGTGCAGGAAATTGAGTTACAACCTTAAAAAAAAAGAGCTGGCAATGATAAACAAATACAAATTTGTCATCACGACATCTGTCTCTTCCCAGGAATGGAGCAGAAAAAGATGTCATTAGAATCGTTCATGTTCGCTCACCATCGGGATTTCAGTGAATAAGTTGAATGATAAATCTAACGTCGACAGAGCATCTGGATTCACCAGAGTCGATCGAACAAATTCCGGAAAGGTTTCCAGCGGACCATGCAAAGCATTATGGTTCAGATTAATTCCATACGAATTGTATCGATCGCCTTCCTTAGTTAGCTTCGGTCCAGTTGCTAAAATACGTGGCTCGACGACAGCGTCTATATGACAGATGATATCGAATTCAAATAAGTAGAACATCAACGGATTGTACCTTCGAGTTGTTGAGCATTATGAAATGAGTAATCCAATGGTGGACACGACTGTGCATGGTTATCAATGCGCTTTTCAGATGACGAAATTACTTTTTTCGAGCTCATCATTGAGGTCACAATTGATCGCGAACAAAAAAAGCTGTAAAAAAAGAATGACATGTGATCATGCTTATCGAGCTAATAAAAGCTGTTGCTTAGCAACGCGATGTTCTTCAACACTATCTCGATCTATTTTGATATTTTTCAAGAGTCTAATTATGAAATTTGAAAACCAAATGCTCGGATTTATAAATATGTTTGCATGAATCGAATCAGAAGAAAATAAAGGCTGTTGTTTAGCAACGCTAACCGTGATTGGTGCTCATGAACGAAGGAGAAAGCTGTTTTAAAAATACAAACAAAGAAAAAAAAAGAATTTTACTATAGCACTTCACATAGCGACATTGGAATTCACTTATTTGAAAACATAGGAGTATTTTTTAGATTTACGAAGCCTTGGTAAACTCGTTTTAGAAGATCGAGAAAATGACTGCTATAACAGGTAAAGTCAAATTGAGATATTCTTTCAGTATAAGTCAATTTGTTCGTTTAATCAGAAACTGATAAAATGAATTTTCGAACGCAAATGGTGAATGGTAAACCTCAAATTTTCTACGATGCAATCGGTTTGTGTTTATCAATTGATTGAATTTTCTCAGTGAAATCTTTATTGAAAATGTATGTAGATGACTCGTCGACAAAAGCAAGATCAAAGAGAAATAGTCGAGCAATAAATACTACAACCCGGCAGTTTGATCAAAGAAATAAAGGAGATAATCAAAAATACGTGGAACCAAAAAGACAACCAACGAAAAATGAGCAGTCAACGAATAAAAAACGAGTTAACGACGATGATTCATTAGGAGTTTATATGACCATGGATGAAATCGCTGATCTTGTCACTGCTGTGAAAGAAAACTCTAAAAGTAGAAACTCATTCGACAAAACCTTCATTTCATAAACAACAATCATTCTTTTAGATGATTCAAATCATACTTCAGATACCAAGGGTATGTTGACAGATTTGAGTGTGGGAGTTTTCCTAAACTATTTGTTGTTTATTCAGCATTGTCACCACCACGATATCATAGTGAACCAACAGTTGCAACCGCTGTACCGAATTTAGATTTAGGATTGGAACCGCCACCATTACCGGTATCTCAAACGACACCGCGAGAAGAGACATTGAACAGAATGGCGAGTAAAAAACGTGAGAAATGGTTGAAAGAAAAAGGTATTCTTATATGAAAGTAGTTTTACATTACGTAAATTCGATTCGTTAATATTTAATAGCTGAAATTGAGCGAATGCAACTGGAAATCGAATATGATCAACTCAAACATCAGTTATCACCACGTCAGAAGAAAAATGCATCACCTCGTAAGGTTCAATAGAATTCTTTCGTTCATTTGTTTTCTTGTACTTCAGAACGATCAACGTTTCAATATGATTTCCCTCCATCAACGACGAATAAGTCGTCGGCTCCTGCATCTTTAAAGCAAAACGGTCAGCAGTACGATATGTCAACAAGAAACAACGAAGGTAGGTCGAAAAACAAGTACATCGTCGAATATTCAACGTATTCCACTAGATGAAAGTCAAGATCCAATGAAAACACGACTAATGGAGAAGAAGCAACAGCAATGGAATCAAGAAAACTGTAGGTTTCGTATGAAATATATTCGAGAGATTTGTTCAAGCGTTTACGACTTTTTAGCGGATAAAATGTCATACTGGGATCCATTTGGACGTCCGGGCGCTGGTGCGCCGAAACGTCATGATACTCAACCACGAATAAATGTTCGTATCTCATCAGGACATTTCTGTTTTGAACGGTGTTTGGAAATTTTAGAATACGATAGCAAACGTTCCTCCACTTCATCGCTCTCCACCACGAGCGCAAGAGAATTCTGTGTCTACCATTCTTCCTAGCGATCGAGGGCGTGTTCCAGCTGCAATGCGAACGAACATAGCATTTGGTAATGATCGTCATCAGGAAGACGTTGAAACACTCAAAGAAATGGAACGTCGCCAATGGTTGGATGATCTACATAAACAAATCGAGGAAAACAAGCGAAAAAAATATGTACAGCAGGAATCTGAACGTCGGCAGGACTTTTTACGTGATAAAGTACACCCACTTGTTCAAGAAGCTGCCAGTCGACACCCGCCACCACCATCATCTGACGTCTCTTCTACACATCACAACGGTATTCAGTTTTCCTTGTAGTTTCGATCAATAATTCATGATCAATGTTTATAGATGTCAAATCGAATGGTGCAACATCGAATCAAAGATCAGGAGAAAATCTGTTCGGTTCAAATTCGAATAGTAAAACTGAGCCACCCCATTTGCATGTTGGTTTCGACCGACAGCAGGCCTATCGACCAAGTGATGCTCGTCGAGATGAATCTGTCAACACGGTTGATGCTACATTTCGAGGGTGAGAACAACAATGAATCGATTTTTCCTTCAAATAACTTGTTGTCCTATCCATCTAGAGATCAAATTGATTATCGTCGTCCTCCCAATCGTCGAGGGCCCAGTCATGCATACGAAGATTCAGATCTCCCTCCTCAAGTTCCTAATCATCATCGTGATGGAGTCTATCGAAATAATTCCCACTATCCAGGTAAAAAACCGACGCATATGCATTCTGCTGACGACAATCAGCCATCAAGACATACTTCACATGCAAACCATCATATGAACGCACATAATGCTGGTACAACTTCTCAAATGAATGGTCAACGTACGAGCCACGGCGCAACTGACGTTCACAATCGTCCGTTATGGAACTACAACCAACAAAAGCGTGGTGAATACATTCCCAATTCGAAACGTGACCCGCATTATGAAAAACGTCAGCGTCTGAAAAACATGGAACTAGGAAACTATGATTGTATCGACGATGTGCAAAAGAAAACATGTTACAATCGTTGGAACAGTGATAGCGAAATCGAGAAAAAACAAGTAACACGTACTCGTGTTCCAAAAACAGCAAGTCATGGTCATCACAAGGATGAAAGCATCATGAATTTACTCAGAGGGCAACATAAACAACAAAATGATACGTACGGAACAAGATATCCTCCAAGCAATCATGTCAAAGCAGATGATCAATATACTTCCAATCATCCATCATCGTTAGAAAGATATGATAATTATGTGCCATATTCACGGACTGACGAAGCACCTGAATCGTCGCAACCTATGAACACAACATCTTATCAACCAGTATCAGAAGTAAGCATTTTACTTCCGATCAGCAATACTTATATTTGTTATTCTAGACGAATGCAAATACAAACTATCAAGCATACGATTCGGAAAATACCAATCGACAATATCCTACTACACAACCTATTCAGTATAGTACGCCTGCAACGAAACAAGAACAAATCTTACAACAACTATCGACTATTAGAGAGGTTTGTGTCTAGAATCGATTCCAGTTCAGCAATGAATACATATGGCTTGTTTTTAGAATATGATTCGTCGACAACGAGAAGTTGTTTCTCCGATATGAATATAATTCGAAAAATTTCTAATCTAATTAAATCGCTAAGCGACCCTCAAGTTTGTTTTTCTTCATTCTCATGAATAGATAACACTTTTTTTTGTTTTGTTCAATTTGTTTGTATCCGTTTGTGTGCGTGTATCACTTTTCAATATGAAATGAAAAACAAAAAAAAAACGAATAAGAAAACAATATTTACGGGCACAGTAAATGTCTTCAATTTACTTGTCCCGCTGACATATGTCTGCCCAAGGCTAAAGAATGATAAATAGACGGACGAATGACGTATAAGATTCTCCTGTTTTTCTTCCGTTCGCTCGATTACGTGGATATCAGCAAGAAGATTTCCGTGAAAGTAACCACAAGTTATTCATGGAAGAATTGATAACAACTATTGGTAAGGCGAGATAACTCGATCAAAAATGAATTCCAAGAATATTTTATGTTGTTTATCGATTAGGTGTTGGAACATTTAGTCGAGTTATATTAGCTCGTCGATGTTCTGAAAATTATGAAGAGTTTTTCGTAGTGAAAACGATGGCCATACGAGATATCGTAGAAAAGAAACAAGTGAATCATGTGAATGATGAACGAAGAATTCTTGCGGCTGTTCAACATCCGTTCATAGTTCGTTTGTAAGTTGTCAACTAGATTTAGTTGATGATTATTCGTTTTTTAAGTTATGAATCGTATCGAGATACGCGTTATTTGTATTTATCAATGGAATTTTTGTCTGGCGGTGAGCTCTTCTCTTACTTTCGTCAAGCGGGTCGTCTAAGGAAGACGGCTGTAAGATTTTATGCTTGTGAAATTATCCTTGCCTTGGAATATTTGCATAACCTTCTCATCGTCTATAGGTAACAGCGAAATTCAAGAATGTTTTCTTTTCGCTATTATAAATACATCATTATTCTCAATGTTAGAGATTTGAAGTTGGAGAATTTAGTACTTGATGCTCATGGACATGTCAAATTGACTGATTTTGGCTTTTCAAAATACGTCCCAGACAGGTTAATTAGGAAATGAACGTTATTAGTTCATTAATTAAACGTGAAATCTTTTCTTTTTCTCTAGAACGTATACATTATGCGGTACACCTGAATATCTCGCTCCGGAAATGATTCTCTCGAGTCATGGCCATTCATTTGGCGTTGATTGGTATGCCTTAGGAATTGTAATCTATGAATTATTAGTGGGACATACACCATTCGCCGCAATCGACCAGCAAAATCATCCATCTAGTATATTTCTGAGAATTCTAAATGCTCAGATCCCGTGGCCGTACGCACCTCCGTGCCACTCCGAGTGAATATTCTTTCAAAGGAATGTATAAAATTACAAAGTTGTTGTGATTTATAGAATTATTGATCGTACAGGACGAAATTTAATACGGAAACTTCTTGAACGTGATCGAACACGTCGTATGGGATGTATGGCTGGAGGAGCTAGTGATATAAAACGACATCGATGGTTTAAACAAGTCCCATGGACAGATGCTCTTGAAGGAAGAATACGAGTAAGACAGTCATGCAGGGAAAAAAACCTTAAAGACATTCTTATTTTAGCCTCCGATCGTACCGAGAGTTGATTATCCAGGTGATACACAAAATTTTGAGTCGTTTACACACGAACGCTTTCACGCACCACAATGTACAAACGAAGAATACAATTTATTTGATAAATTTTAGTAGAAAACATTGTCTCATTTCTATCATATAGAATAAAATTTCCTGGAATGCTCGCTGACTTAACTCTTTTCTTGAAATTTCCCGCTGATTGTTCATTCTTTCTTTCAATTTCTCTCATTTTTTAAATGCAATGTCCAACACCGGAAATCGTTGCCGGCCAGTTAACTGCCATACGAAATATCTATCTTCGGCAAGAACTCAAAACTATTTGCAATCTTATCCAAACGAAACACAGAGAACGCTTACCGGCACTCGACTTAGTAACTCTTGCTGCTTACGAGCAAGTTTTTAATGCACAGGTAGTATATCTGCCGAGCAAAAACAAACACCAATATTTACTTGGTCCCATTGTAGCCTCTATCGTCGCCGGAGGTATTACGGGAACGAGCAGTGAAATACATTCTAATATATTATACACACAATCTAGAAAAACTAGTAAGCGAATAGAAAATATCAATAGTGTTAGATATGTTCAATAGAGTGAGGCAGAAGAAAGCTATGGTCTTCGTTCTGTACCACCGGTGGTAAATGCACCTCTCATCAATGATACTACTGACAACGAAGATAACTTTTCGACTGCTACGCCAATACCAAAGTCATTGTCCGAAAGTCCATCTAATCAATATGTGACACTTCGTAAAACTGATCAGCGATTGTTATCAAAGGAGAAATCTTTAGATGGAGAATCACCACAAATTGTCGTACATCGACCATCAGATCATAGTGGGCTATCGAAAAAGACGAAAACTTCGTCGGATTCTTCGAATAATAAAAGGAAACGATCTCAAAGGAAAAAACGACGATCGAAAACTAAACGTTAACTGTGACGTTTACTATCTGTGTCCATTTGCTCCATAGAGGTCACTACAGTATGCTATATCGACTTCGATCTGTCGTTTCTATTGGTGTTCTGTCAATAGACAGTCTGCCATTTTTTATTTGTCGACCTTTTACCTTTTCAAAAATTTTCCTTTCTTGAGTATCAATAGAGGTAATAACTACTCATTTGATTCGACTGTTGTGAATCATCTAATCATACTGATCAGATTTGTTTGTCTACTTTGTTTGTCATTTATTTTATTTTGTGATTACGAGTACGAATGACGTTGAATGATCATCCGACTTTTCTTCGACGTACTTGAATAGTTTTCAAAACGACATGTCTCTCTCATGTACATTTTAGACAAACTATCGTACACCTACAAAAATTGTCACTGGAAAACAATGTTATCTTACATTCGTCGCTTCTTTAAATTTATTCATTGGCTTTATCTTCAGTATCTCTTAAATACTGCCCTGTACATGCTCGAACCTTGGGAACGATTGCTGTTCTCAACCTTATTATTCGCGATACTTTCCACAGCTCTCTACTCGGCATTAGTGTTCCTTCCACATCATGTTCGCTCAATGATACAATTCTACTCGTGAATAAAAGACAAATATTTACCATAAACGCTTTTTCCACAAACTGATTAGGAGAAATTTTCAAACAATTCAATGTGAGTTTATTGCTTACTGAATACTTAAATAAGGTAACAATAAAAAAATACGATCGTTTTCAATTGAATTACTTTTGTCTTCGGAAAAATCTTCGTTTAGCGTTTGACGTGATTAAACACGAAAAAAGAGTGCATCGAATAGACAGTACTGATTTGGAATGGCGCATTTCTGTTAAAAGAAAAAACAATTTGTATCACTCATGTGATGTAATACCGTTATAGTCTTCAAAGAACACTTGAAACTTTCGAAAAGAAAAGTTTACACACGATCGCAGGAATGTTCTTGAAATAACAGCACGAATTTCCTACCCACGCTACTCTAGTTACTTTTTCCTTAGATATATAAGGTCATTCTGAACTTGATCAAGATTTTACTCACTTTGCGATTAAGAGAGTAATTATGCATAGTATAAATGCGTTTCCTACCTGTAATAAATATACATAAGCAGCCGCTTACCGTTTTATGCGTGTTGTATCTTGCGTTAAGAAATAATTGTATCAATAGCCCATTCATGTAGCTTATTGTGTGCGCGTGGTTGGTTTTTCTTCTCTCTCTCTCTCTCTCTCTCTCACTTTCGATGGCTTGTTTATCAATCGAAGACGACCTTCGGTTGCAATTATAATTTAACCAAATGAATATTTTTGTCTAACACGACAAATTTTCATCCATTGTTTTTTCTCGCCGTTTCACATATATGAGTTAAAGCTCAATCACTTCGTTTCTCATTTCTTCCACAATCTTTTTCTCCTGCTTCTATTGTAACGATTACTCCGCCTCTGTCTCTGTCACTCTTTCTCTGCTATTTTTGTTTTACCAACGCGATCACTTGCTTGCGAGTTAAGTGCGTTACTACGGTTGCTTCTTGTATATTCATTTTATTTTGCCTCGATCAAGTCGTGCATATAAGCTCAGTTGAAAGGATCGACGATCAAATAAAGCAGGACACCTTTCCTTTTCTTTTGTGAAGTATGAATGTAACACGTCGAACATCGTATTTGAATACCTTATCCAAAACCGACGACGAATCGATGGTAATCTTGTATATTCGAACTTCATTTTATCTGCTTTCTCCTATAAATTAGATGAAACCAACAAGAAAATCCTCTTGGTTTAATTGTCTATATCAAACATTCCAGCATTTATATATGCAGTTTCTCTTAGTAACAACACTCTATGTCATGGAACCATGGGAAAGAATCTTGATGATGAGCATCTTCTTTTGTGCTATTTCATTAGTGACTTACTCAGCATTTGTATATGTTCCATTTCATATTCATAATATTATACATTCGACAATCCCAAATTTATCGACGGTTTTGATACGTTAATCGAAGTCACGGAGACTATCGTATACAGGATATTTCGCCATATACATTACATACTATTATCTGATAATTTCGTTTGATTCTCTTTTTTTTCTGTTCTGTTTATTTTATAATTAAACAAAGAATAATAATGACGTCACTGTGTTTCATTTCTTTGGAAATTGATTCGTCAAAGAAATCAGTTATATTTTAACATCAAACTCTTTCTTGTATATAAATTTTTAAAGACCTTCAGAAGAAATAGGGCACTGTACTTTCATTTTCGAGGACACCCAGTGTTATTTATTTACCAAGATATACAAAATGCCAATCATATGTTCATGTTTTCATTCTGCTTGTTTTTCAGATCGAATTTCTTTTTTTGTATTTCATTTACTGTGTTGTGATCCATGGATGTCGATTCAGAACCTATATCATCCAATCCTGCTATGGCGAATTTAGACGAAGATCTAATGGAAAGATTACGATCCATTACTACAAGTAATCGAGAAGATCTAATTGCACAATTTCGCGCGACGACAAATGCAATGTTGACGGACGAAGGATGTGCTTTCTTTCTTGAAATGAGCAACTGGTAACTTAGAAAAGGAGAATGTCCAAGTATTTATGAGAATCTTTTCTAGGAATTTAAACGAAGCTATTCTTGCGTACTATGATGCTGAAATGCCGACAGATAAGATTCCACAAATGCGTTTTGTTGCCGATGTTACTGTTGGCGAAGGTGAAGCCATTCCACCCAATACCAGATTTGTTAAAACTTGGCGTGTACAAAATTCTGGTAAGTCAATGGAATTGAATACGAAGTGAAATGATCTGCTGTTTTTTTTTCAGGCAGTGAACCATGGCCAACGAACTGCTCATTGAGATTTGTTAACGGTGATCGATTGCAAGATCGTGATGAAATCTATGTTGGTTCACTAGCACCAGGTGAACAAACAAACATTTCGGTTGATATAACCAGTCCATTCACGCCGAAAATCATCAGATCACAGTGGCGTCTATTCACTTCAGCTGGCGTACCCTTTGGAGGTAGGATAAATATTAGCTAATTTGAATTGAGAACTCGAAATTGCTTCATTCAGATCCGATTTGGTTAATTGCGAGCGTTGAAGAAGGCGGACTAATGGGAATCACTCAACAGCTTGAGCAATGTCATTCTCTCGGTATGAACGTTGGTGAACCACATGAAATGAATATTCAGCCGTCAAATAATTTACTTCATCAGACTTCTCCAACAAATCCTTTTCAACCAACGAGATGTAAACGAAATGACTTGTGAAATGAAACTGACGACTAATTTGTTGATTTAGGGCCAAATACCGACACTAATAATGTGCCCGGCTGGACGAACTATCCTGTTGTGCCTGTTACAGTGAGTTTTGCAATGAGAACTTCGAATAATTGTCTTGATGAATGTTTAGGAATACTCTCGAACGAATAACATCAATCATCAACCATCGGACCCTTCGTCATCGTCAAATGGAATGACTGACGACAATTCTTTAGACACATTTTAACTGAATAAAAGATCATCTATTGTTGTGCTAGTCGAAACCGAGTGTGTATGTGTGTTGTCAATGGAGAAAAAAAAAGCATTTCACCATTCTTTCTCTTTGTTGGATATTTTGTTTACAATTTGACCATCATTATCAGAGAGATTTCCTCGTATTTTTGTTTGCTATTTTCCTTTAATGTTTCTTACAAATATATACGTATACATATATATATTATTAAAGATGAGGATGGTAAATTGACTATTTATGTAGATAGGTTCTCAGCTATTGACAAGTGAACATCACTTTCTTTTTCTTCTTGTTACAACACGATTTGTGTATTTTTCATTTCTTTCCTTGTTCTTGTTTCTCTTCTCTTATACTTCTCTTTTTTATAATACAAACTTGCATTCAAATAGACACAGTTACAACGATGGATGTTTCTTTTTCTTCAGCTCCTTTTTCACGTTTTTTCTTTGTTGTTGTTTCCTACTTGATAATGTTGAATATTCAAGATGAACTATCCAAAGAATTTGTACTCAACTGTCTTTTTGAGAGAGTAAATTGTTCAATAATTATGACTCATAGATTATCCAGTACAGACTATCATTCATCACAAGCATGCTTGTGTATTTCGCAAAGGCGGAGCCTTTGACAGTGAATCGAAGGTTTTTCTCGACATGTGATTGACCATGGTTAGAAACAAAAGAAGAAAAATGATTCGACATCAAGTCTAAAGTGAAATGCAAGCGTCTACTTTTCTTTTATTTAATTCATACAGGAAAAAAATAAACAGACATTCGAAATGAATGCACAGATTTATGTTCATTTCAAATTCATCTTTCTGTTTTATTTATGTTAAGCAAATGACAAAAAATTCATAAGGAAAAAAAATTCCACATAATAGCAAAAAAAAGGGAAAATTCGTGACATAAAAAAGCAAACAACAATAACAAAGAATAATCTTTTCTTCTCAACTAATTTTCATCTTTTTTAGGGTTATCATGTGTAAGAAATAAGGTGTGCTGAGCGCCAACAGCTATATTAAGAGCCATTTTAATATCCATGTATTTCGATGACATCATTCGCGGAATTTTTACATCTTGTTGACCATGACCATGTTGTAAGGACGTGCCAGCTCCAAATGAAAAGACTTTACCAGATCGATTGATCACAAATGAAACATGATTGCCACAAGATATGTCAACAATATCCGATAGGTTTGGGATCAATGTTGGTTCAGTGAGCTGTCCGGTCAATTGATCAATACCCAATTGACCTTCATGATGTCGGCCTATAGCATATACTTCACCTAGATGAAGAAGAACAAGTAGAAGTTAGTTTCGAATGAATACAGTTGTCTATTACCATTTGCAGTGAGACCAAGTGTGTGATGTAGTCCACCGGAAAATTTCACCCATTTTTTACCTTCGAGGGATGGAATAAATGTCGGAAAATAAACTGGTTCATCGGATGGTAAACCTAAATCAAAGTGAAAATCTTGTCACTATACTGTTCATATAAGATGATTGAAGAGGAAGAATTTTTCGCAGTCTTATAGCGATACTGACTCCGATCTCTTGACTTACCGAGTTGATTAAAATTATTTAGTCCGCCACCTAAGATCCAATCATGACCATGTACTTTCAAAAAGAAGTGATGTGAGCCAGTGAAAATATCGTCAAATAGTAAATTTCTTGCTTTAATTCCCATTCGATTATAAATGATCGGTGCAGGTCGGATTAGTCGATCTAAAGACGAACGAAGTTAGATTTTCATTTAACAAAAGATATTTCAATCTAAAATTCTTTACCAATGCCACCGCGTAGGCCATCTTCGGCTGCGTAACGATTTAATCGAGCAAGTTGACCCGTTTCACCGTTTCCACACGAGTAAACATGTCCAGTTTCACTGAGAAACAAAACAAAGTCATAACCACTTGCTAATTTCACAATTTTTTCCGGTAAAACTATTTCAACAGGAGTCTTTGCCATAACACCTTTCTGTACGAGACCATATACGCCCGCTGTACTCGAACGAAATGTACCCCAACCTATTCGTGAACAAGATAACGAGTAATTTCTAGCAAGAAAACAATTTCTTCTGTCTTACCATAAACTTTCCCCGCATCCGATAATACTAATGTATGACTATCGCCGGCTACTATTTGAACAATCTTTTCTTGATTAACATCCATAACTCCACTCAGATCAACTAATCCAAATTGATCAGCTTCGTCGTCATCTTCGTCATTGACATCCGCTCTGCCTAATGCATGTTCATCATTACAACCAAATGTATAGATTTGATTTTTTTGTGTCAAACAAACGGAATGCAGCGGACCGCAAGCGATTTGTACAACAAGTTCAGGTAATGGTACTGGTTGAGGATTTTGTCGTTCACTAATCGCACTTTTCAAACCCAGTTGTGCCATGCCATTATCACCAACAGCTAAGACTTGACCAGCCGTTGAAAGCGAAAACGATGGACAAGACACATTGACGACGGATGATGCTGAAGGAGTTTTTGCACGCGATTTGGCCTTTGTTGCATGACCGTCTAGAGACGAAGGAGAACAAGCTAGCCTCTAATCGTTTTTTTCTAAAATTTTGAGATATTTACTTGTCAGATGAACGACATCAGGTGCTGGCCTAGTTCGTTTTTGTGGATGGCTATCTCCATTGTGTAAATCTATTTTGAAGAGAATAATGAAATGAAAAGGTTGCTTTGAAATTCTACGAACCATCGTGAAGATCACTGTCGTCTTCGAGTGTACGTTTTTTCGATTTAGTTGTTGCTGCTTGTTTGTTTTTTGGTGACGATCGACCAGCTTTTTTCCGAACTAAAACAGTCAAGTATCATGTTACTTATAGCATTTATCAGTTAACTTACCGGAAGCGGGCATTGTTAATTAGAATAAAATGATTCTTTAGTGATCTGAAAGTTTACGAAAGAATAATGAGTCATTGTACATTTACACAGCAATAAGAAAATAGAATCAAATCGACTGAAGGATGACGTAATTATATGACTTGATATGAGTTAAATAATCGATAATGAATATATACTTTTCTTCTATACATCGTCTTACTTTTTACCTTCGTTTTTCGTTCATCCATTCACTACGAACAAAGAACTGCAAGTAACGAGTTAGAAAATTGTCGTATTGAATAAAAGCCTCTCTAGATGTCTCTGGTCATCATACAAATGCACACTGGATGCGCAGAGAAAAGATATTTATCTCATTTCTCACGAACTATGGCATATAGATTGTCGAATTAAGTACTAGCTGATTGAAGGTCAAAGTGACTTGTTTTGAGACGGTGGACCTCAAGCTTCCATTTTTACCCCCGGACCAGAATTCTATCGAAGGAATTGATGACCGTGTCCGGCTATGGGCGGATCTTATCGATTACAAAAAAAATCTGGTACGTTCCACAACGAGGGTCGCTCACACAAATTCGTTAACAAAAACCCCGCAATTCTTTTTAGAACAACGAAAGTAAAACATCAGTATTAGCGACCATCCTTGCGTCGTGTCCTTCAATTTTGTTTTCATCAGTATGCTTCTTCTTCCACGCTGTTTATTATGTTGCCCACTTCATCTTCTGTATCTAAACGATGTACAACCCATGCAAAGCATTCTTGAGCAATAAATCCGCATAACAAACGAATACTTAAACCTTTTTTATTGCTAACTGCTTAGTTTAGAATGACAGATAATATACAACGTTAAACTAATTAAGAGATAAAAAAGCACTCCTTCACATACAGTGATATAGAATACAGTTTCCTGAGAAGATTCTCGAATATGTAGAAAATTAGTTCTGGATGGACTTTGGTTATAGTTTGTGAATTACTTTCTCCAATTGACCTATATAGCGCTTCTGTTTACCTTAGAGATCGTCACAACTGTTAATGCGTAATGCTTCACGCCTATGATCATTCACTCTGTTCTTTTCTGTTTTAGAAAAGAATGGAATCATCAATCTAAAAAGAAAAGATTTTCCATAACAGTCACACATCCGTTTTGTTGATTATATAAGATATTTGTGCATTTTTTCCTTCCACACTAATATTAATGATTTGCAATTTTATTAATAGATTTATTTCGTCGTAAGATGTGATAGAGTAAACTGTATGAAATAGTAAGAACTGATGGGAAAAGTCTATTTGATTAATTGAACTATTGGCTAAATGGTAAAGTAGAGGGCTATGATTGACTATTGTTCGTTCTTTTTGGCTGAATCTTGAAGTGATGCTGATGAACCATGTGTTTCTTCGCCTTCATTTTTCGTGCCAGGTCGACCTTCATGGGGATTAGGTAATGGTTGAAGTGCTGGTTGAACACCCCAGATCTCGCGAGCATATTCCGCAATAGTACGATCGCTTGAAAATTTACCCGATGCAGCAATGTTCAAAAGACTTTTCTTCGTCCAGGCAAGTGGATCCTAGGAAGAAGAGAACCTGTTGTCAAGAAACCTGACCAAATGAAACTGGTTTACTTTGAAAAGTTCATCAACCCGTCCTTGACACTGAATGTAACTTTCATAATCAGCTAAGAGCATATAACTAAAACGCATACGAAAACGATATCTATTCTATCTCTTCAATCCAAAGATACATACTGATCGCCATGTTCGCATAATAAACTATTGACAATGTCATGAAATAATTCGGGATCCTCCGGTGAGAAGTATCCGCTGTTAATTTGATCCAATGCTTGTTTGAGTTCAGGAATCTTTTCATAAAAATTTCGTGCGCGATATCTAAGGCAACCATTGACATTTTCAATCTTATCTCAAATTGTTCTCATACCCTTCTTGTCTGCGTTTTTCAACTTCTTCGACTGTCATGCCAAAGATAAAAATATTGTCATTGCCAACTTCTTCAGCCATTTCAACGTTTGCTCCATCCAATGTACAGATTGTCAACGCTCCATTCAACATGAACTTCATATTAGATGTGCCACTCGCTTCCATGCCGGCAAGAGAGATTTGTTCAGATAAATCAGCTGCTGGAATAATTTGCTCAGCCATAGTCACACGATACTAAAATTTCATCGATTACTTAGAAGGAAGACCCTCATCTGACACAAAAGATCATTTACATTTTCAAGATAAACGACTTTCAAACGATCACCAACCACCGGATCATTGTTAACAATTTTACCAACACTATTAACCTAAACAGAAACGAATTTTCGATGCAATTCTTGATAACACTGCAACACGTACCAATTTGATAATCTTCTTTGCCATATGATAACCAGGAGCAGCCTAGAAAGAAAAGCATCACATCATGAAAGTTTTTTTCGTTTTTATATAAACCTTTCCGCCAATCATCACTGTTCTTGGTACATATTTTCCATTGGGATTCGCTTTAATTCGATTGTATAGAGTAATAATATGTAAAACGTTCAATAGTTGTCGTTTATATTCATGAATACGTTTCACCTGCATATCATACAATGACAACGGATTGATCTTTTGATTGTGTGTTTTCAAAAGCCATTCAGCTAAACGTTGTTTATTTTCTTGCTTGACACGTTGAATGTCCCGCAAGAACATCTCATTGTCGGCGAATTCTCGTAAAGTTTTCAATTCATCGAGATTTGTGATCCAATTTTCTCCGACTTTCTAAATACGTTCTTCATGAAGAGTTGTTTTCGGTGAAAACAATTTGTCTTACTTCAGCAATTGCATCACTCAAATTAGGATTGCTTAGAACTAGCCAACGACGTGGAGTAATTCCATTTGTTTTATTTTGAAATTTTTCTGGCGATAATTCATAGAACGACTTGAATCTAATATCAAATAGAAATACCTTTCAAGTAAATATATTAAATGAAAGAAAATTTTACAAAGTTGTTTTCAATAATTCTGAATGAATTTGTGCAACACCATTCACTGCATGAGATCCCTATGTATCAAAACCGATCATCGTATTCAAGAATCGAGAATTTTAGACATACAATAATAGCTAAATAGGCCATATTGATTCGTTTATCTCCACCTTCTTCGACAACCGAAAGAGCTTGAAGACGACCGTGATCACCTGGATAACGAGTAGCTACTTCCTTGAATAAAACATCATACAAGGTAATCTCGCGAAAATGATTTTTAGATTCTTTCTTTTACTTGAAGATGACGTAAATTGATGTCATAAATAATTTGTAAATGTCGTGGTAAAACATGTTGCAATAACCCCACTGACCATCGTTCAACAGCTTCAGGCATCAACGTATGATTGGTATAAGCGCATGATCGTTTTGTTATGTCCCAAGCTCGATCCCATGATAAACCTTCGACATCAATTAACAAACGCATCAATTCTGCGACAGTCAACGCCGGATGTGTATCATTCATTTGTATCGCAACCTGTTAGTTTTATCGAAAGATTGCGTGTGAATTTCAGTCAGGAAACGATGTATAAACTTACTTTATCGGGAAATGTACTGAAATCATCACGTGTTGATGCAGTGACGCCAAATTTTGAATGCTTGTATCGTCGGATAATATCGGATAAAGTTGCAGCCACAAGAAAATATTCTTGTTTCAAACGAAGTTCTTTTCCTTGCATATACTACGTAGAACAAAGGAGAAAAGCTTGTCTAGCTTTGAAGTTAAATAGATGGATAATTACATTATCATTTGGATAAAGAACCCGTGTTACATTTTCAGCTAAACTTTGATCGCTGACAGCATTGAGATAGTCTCCATCATTAACTAAAATTGAATTTATGTATAAAATCATTTTGAATAAGAAAATTGAATACGAACAAAATTGAAAATTGAATTTTTGAGCTGCTTTAGCACTCCATAAGCGAAGAGTATTAACGACCTAAAAGTTGAAAAACATATTTCGAAAAAGATTCTCAAAACAAAATTGTTTACATTATTATTATAGCCAGGCACCGGTGTATCGTATGGCATTGCCATAATCACCTAAATAAATATGGAATCTCATTGTTTTTCGATTTTATATATTGAATAAATCATACTTTGGTATCAACCCATTTTGCCTTTCCATCTTGTTCAACAACACGACCATAGAGATTCACAGGTATTTGATATTCTGGTCGAGGAATTTCCCATGGATTTCCGTAACGTAACCTATACATAACTATCGACATAAAGAATGCCATCAATTATTTCCGGTTCATTACCAATCGTCAGGCTCTTCACATTGAAAACCATCCTTAATTGTTTGTTGAAATATACCAAATTCATAACTAATTAACAATAAAGAAAAGGCAAACCATTTAGAAAAGCGAACAAATCCAAGATTTTCATTTTTACCGTAAACCATAACCATAACCAGCTAATCCCAATGTAGCCATTGAGTCAAGAAAACAAGCGGCAAGTCGACCAAGACCACCATTACCTAAACCAGCATCCTCTTCAAAATCTTCTAATTCTTCGATCGATAAGCCAAGCTAAATAGACACGAACAAATAACAAGAAATTGCCGAGTTTTCATTTGTCAATTCATACTTCATATAAAGCTTCATCCAATTCTGATTCAATGCCAAGATTGATCATCATATTTGATAAAGATCGTCCCATGTAATATTCCAATGACAAATAATAAACACGTTTGGGATCCGTTTCATAATAATGCTGTTGGGTGCGAATCCATCGACCAACGAGATGATCGCGTACCGTATATGCTGTTGACAAATAGTAATCACGATTGGTAGCAACATTACGATCTTTGACAATTGTAAAATGTAAATGACGATTGAAAGTTTTCTTAACTGATGCAACGTTTTCCAAGACTGGTAGACCTCGAATCGAAATTTGTTTACGACGATCCTTATCGGTTAATGGAACTGTTGTCGATGATTTTGACATGATTTTTATATGTTGACAAAGTTTTTAATAATAATCAATCTACAATAACAAAAATAACTAGCGAAATAGTAAAACAAAACGCGGAAAACAAAGTATCTAGTTCTTTTCTCGATGTGAAAAACACGCTTATGTTGTTTTTGTCCTCATACAGACGTTTCGAGTCGCACATAAAAAACGAGAGGAAAAAGCCTAAGATTTTCTGTTTCCTCCAGCTAGAACATATACCAACGCACATTTGCCGTTCTGTCAGACGCTTAGAAAACAGGACGTAAGGAACAGAGCAAGAGTTGTTGTTGCGAAGAAAATGCTTTCATTCGATACCGAGAGAAAAAAAAGACTACGACGAAAATAACTCCATACTAGCGTTGCTAATATAGAGAAGGAAAAAAAGGGGGTCATACTAATCAAAATATGTACCCAAAAGTATATAAAGGAAAAAAGAACACAGGTTCTCACATAATTATTATCAAGTGAATATTACATAAGATAATAATGGAGAAAGTCATATGTTATAATTTTATAATTGATAGGTATATGTACGAGAGAAATCGAAGGTCAAATTATATGGATATTTGTTGCCTAGATTTCGCCCAGAACGAATCAAATAAACTGGCTTTGAAAAAAAAAACCTTGTGTACTTTTTATTGATCTTGTCAAAAACTGGTTTAAGTAGGCGTAATCAAGAGATTCCATTCTGAAGAGAAGAAAGCATTTTCTCTTTCGTTAACATATATTTCTTTTCTAACAAGAGAAACGATAGTAGTCTATTCTTTTTTTTTGGCATGTTTTGACTAAGAACACTCTCTACTGTGCTTTCAATCCTTTTCTAGTGCGATATTTACTTTGCAAAACTTTAGCTGATTCCATTGTCGACAGGATGGAAGCATTTCTTTCGTACTTATGAAATCTATGAAGTTTTAAAGGAAAAATATTTTTGTCAAGTTATTTTTATGCATCCTTTGCAAAATATCTCGAATAATTAGAGTATCATGATCAAATAATGTAAAAACTATGGTTCCTGCATTTTGTTCCTAATTATTGATTATTAAAATGTAAAATGTCAGCAATGATGTCTTTATGGTAATCATTGATATGCTGATAGAAATGTACGACACAAAAACTGCTTATTAAGGTTATTGATTTCATTTTTATAATGATGAAAGAATTTTCATTTGTCCATGAGCTTTCTTCATCTTCTGCTAACCCTCGATTCGAATTTCGATTGTTCATATAGATAGAGACAAATGTGCGTATCGAAACTGGTCGGGTTTTTTTTCCTCTTCTTACAAATGACCGTTCATTGTAGTTCATTATTCTACACATGCCTGGAAAAGACAGCGTGGATCTGAATATCCACGTGGAGAATCCGTCGGAAAAAGTATAGAATAGTCTGAAAGTAATCGAATATTAGGGGAGAACAAAACACTGCTTTAGCTGAAAAGATAAAGCAAATATCTTCAAGTTGAATTTAACGTATCAAAATCTGTTGTATGAAAACGGATTTTTTCGTTCATTAAAAACAAAGTAGTTTCATTATTTTCTATTACAGTTGATCGACTTTCACGGATTGAAGTTTGATTATCAATCATGGAATCAGTTGGACGTGCCCGTGGACGTGGCCGAGCTAATTTGTTTAATTTAAGTTCGTTGATTCTTCGATATTTTGCTCACGTGTATCTATGTATCGATTTATTAGCTGGTCAAACGGAATCTAGTCCTCGGCCAGGTGCATTTGCCAATGCTGCTGTAGCTGCTTCAACATTTTCCACGATCAGCTCGGCCTCATCAAGTTTGACCTTTTTCCCCAAAAAATATCTTTTACCTGAAACTTTCTTCGAAATCGTCAATAGTTCTAACAACAGCTACACCAACCGAGAAACAACCGGCAACATCAACAGGCACTACTTTTCAAGTAAAGTGTCGAGTTTCTAACTGTTAACAAACATATCTAATTATAATTCAGCCTGTATCTTCAACAACAAAGTCAACAGTTGATAAACCTCGCCGTGGCAATGCACCAGTTATCATGACAGCACCACGTGGCAAAGGCGTCGAACATCTTGTTTCGGATTTCGCTGCTCTGTCAACTGGCGAACGTCAGGGTGGCTCAGGACGGGGCACACCATGGTCAAACACAGCTCCGCCCAAAACAAAACCAAGTCATATCGAAGATAAACGAGGTAGATTAAAGTCATCATAGAAATGATTCTATGTAATTGAAATCTCTCTGTAGGTGTCAGCGGTGATCCAATTAGTATTGTTGCGAATTATATTCGGATTTTATCAAAACCGTCATGGCAATTGTATCAATATCATATTGGTAAGAAAGGAAGTTTTTATTACGACTAGATGATGAAATGGTTGGTTGTTTTTATTCGTTTAGACTTCAATCCGGAAGAAATGGTCGTCCAACGTAAAATGCGTCGAGAGATGGTAAAATTTGTTTCTAAATTCGTCGAAACTTCACATTTTCTTTCAGATTCTTCAACATAAAAACGTTCTGAAAGATGTGGCATTTGACGGAGCGACTCTTTACTCTTTTGAATATATTGGCGATGTAAGTTTGTTCATCTTAAATCGTCTCGATATCCTGTTTTCTATTCTCTCGCTTAGGAACGTACCTTTCAATGTCAACATACAGTTACAGGTGATCCAATTGAAATGCGTCTCCGATTAACAGCAAAAAATTCCCCTGACTCGCCGAATTTCTTTCATCTTGTACGTCAATTTAATGTTCTCAACAATATTGTTCGTCACAATCGAGTTTTCTTTCTATTTAGGCTAATCTAATCGTACGAAAGTAATATTCGAAGAAATATCCTATCAGAATCCTATATACTGGTAATTTAGATTATTAGAACTATCTGGCCTAAGACTAATCGGTCGAAATTATTATCAATTTGATCGAAAAGTGGATTTGGAACGTTATCGTTTAACACTTTTTCCAGGTTTTCTAACAAATGTTAACATATACGAAGGTTCATTAATGATCAATGTTGATCTATCCCACAAGGTTCGATTTTTCTCTCTGATACAATTTAATTTGAACTCATTCTATCCTTTACAATAGGTTTTGAACAAAACCACTGTGTTCAATCGTCTTCAAGACATATTCACCCAATTTGTTGAGTAAGTTCAAACGAAAATACGATCATGTATTGAGATTTTATTTAGTTTTAAACGTGCACAAGACGAAGCAACAAAAGAACTTGTTGGACAAGTATGATGTGACTTCATTGTCCATGTAAAAGCTTAATTTACTTCCCATCTAGATTGTATTGACAACTTACAACTCGAAAACATACAAAATTGATGAAATTGCATGGGGTTAGTTCAAAACATTTGAAATGAAGACAGAACTGTTGTTTTTCTCCAGATAAATCACCCAATTATACATTCAAAAAGCGTGATGGCACCGATGAAACATTGGTTAAGTATTATTATGATGTAAGTTGATCAGTTCTATTAGACATACAAATCTGTTTTCACTGATGAATATTTGTAGCGTTATCAGTTGAAGATCGAAGATACGACTCAACCATTACTGATCAGTAAACCATCGAAAAAAGATCGTCGTGCTGGACAAACAGGTCCACTGATGCTTATTCCAGAATTATGCTGTGTCACCGGTAAGTTCTCTTGTGTTTTCCTCGATTCTTGTAAAATCTTCCTTCTCTAGGTATCTCTGATGTTATGCGATCAGATTTTCAATTTATGAAAGAATTGGCCACCCATACTCATATTGGTCCAATGGCTCGTTTTGACAAACTAACTGAATTTTGTCATGATATTCAAAAGTAATTTCATTGATTTGAATCTCGTGTCTCCATTAAGAACTTTCTTTTGTAGCAGTCAAGAAGCACGAGATGAATTAAAGAAATGGGAGATTAGTTTAGATACTGGTTTAGTCGAATTCGATGGTCGTCTTCTTGAATCCGAGCAAATTCTCTATGCAAACCGATCGATTCGATATAAACATGATGAAGCTGATTGGAGCCGAGAAGGTCGTAGTTTAAAACATATATCATGTAAAAATCTCAAACATTGGATAGTTTTCTATCCATCATCTTTACGCGAACTTGGCGATGAACTTATCAATGCACTCCATCAAGTATGTTTACCATTCGGTATGGAAGTTGAATATCCCAATGTGTAAGTTATTCTTGACAATGTTATTCTCGTTGGATTTTCATTCTTTTCTAATAGAATTCAACTACCAAATGATCGTCCGGAAACGTATTTAAGTGTTTTACCAGAAAAAATTCAGAAAAATACCGATCTTGTTCTTTGCATCCTACCGAATAATCGTAAGGATCGATATGATGCTTTGAAGAAATACATGTGTTTGGATAATCCTGTGCCATCTCAAGTATGAACTTATTCTTTTAGCACATGATGCTATAGTTTGACTTTTCCGATAGATGGTTTTAGCAAAAACGATCTCGAAGAAGAATCAATTGATGTCCGTAGCAACTAAAGTTGGTATTCAATTGAACGCAAAACTCGGCGGAGAAATTTGGGGTGTGACGATACCGGTAAAAAACTTCTTGATTTGAAAAATAAAAACTAAAAAAATTGATTTTAGTCAAAAACATTAATGGTTATTGGTATGGATTCATATCACGATTCAAAACGAAAAGGTAAAGATATGAATCGATCATTTCTCAAGGTAACTTTTCGATCTTTTCAGGTGCTAGTGTAGGCGCATTCGTTGCATCGACCAATGTTACATGTACTCGATATTATTCTCGTATTATTTATAATCGCACAGCACAAGAATTAATGGATGGTTTGCAACAATGCATGCGAGGTAAAAGAAATTAATTTAACAAATGATATCGAATTCATTTCAATTAGATTCATTGAAAGAATATCATCGCGTGAATAACACCCTGCCGGAAAAAAGTAATTCTATCTTCTGATTCATCGTTCTTGCATATTTATTCTTGGTTTAATTAGTTGTACTCTATCGAGATGGTGTTTCGGATGGGCAATTAGCTGTTGTTGCTGAGCATGAATTACCACAAATCATTGATACTTTTCCAAAGATCATGCCGGGATACCAGTAGGACGTGTTCACTTTCGAAAAATTAACGTTTGTTCACATGAATGTTTTAGACCAAAATTAGCCGTAGTTATTGTGAAGAAAAGAGGCAATGCTCGATTCTTTGCAAAAATGGGTAGTACATCCATGATGAATCCACCACCAGGTACAATTATCGATCATACCGTGACGAATGGTAAGCTGAGTGTGCATTCAATCGTATCCGTACATTTTTCACTGATTTTTCTAGCGGAATGGTATGATTTCTATTTAATCTCTCAATGCGCACGCCAAGGCACTGTTGCACCTACACATTACAATGTCATCTGGGATCGAACAAAGTAAAATTACTCTCGTTTTCTCCAATAACTTTCATTATCGAAAACCAACTATTTAGTTTCAAAGTTGATCACATGCAACGGCTTACTTTTAAACTCACACATTTATACTATAAGTAGGTCTCGTAAGAACATGCGACGAGCGTTTTTCTAAGTAAAATTCTGATTTTAGTTGGCCAGGTACCATCCGTGTACCAGCTGTTTGTCAATATGCTCATAAATTAGCTTTTCTGGTTGGTCAAAGTTTACATCAGGACTTTAATCCTGAACTTGCTGATCGTCTTTTCTACCTTTAATTTTGTTGTACAAGTTATTTTGATCTTTTTTTTCTCAGAATTTGTGCGCGATATGCCACTCTTCTCGTGATTTGTTTTTGGACATTAAGTTTTTCAGTACGAATGTTTTTCTTTCTTTCGAACAGTCGTTCTGTTGAACATGTTTCTTTTTCAGAATATTTTTTGTCTCAAAATTTATGAACCTGTCGTTTTCTATTCTCTATTTTTTATATATTGAACAAAGTTTCTGTGAATAGATTCATCACGATCTATGTACATGAATTATACACGTGATTGATAAGTTAAATTTCCTGTTTGATTGAAATCTAAGGCAAGAAACAAAAATATTCGTTTAGAGACCATTCCAGAACAATCGACTGAGTCTGTCTTGATGTTTATTATTATTATTGGATTCGAAAAATAAAACAGAATTACTTGATAAAAGTTTTGAAATGCTTTAAATAGATGATAAATGAAAGAAAACAACGATATGATTTGTTCATTTAGACATCCCAAGATGAAACAATTTTCTGAATACTGCTGGTCCGTTCCATGTACCTCTAGAAAACAATTCAAAGTCAGATGAACATAGAAATCCTACCACGCCTCTCACCTAATTAACATATTCCAATACAAATTTGGCATCATATCCTTCTTCATTATGTATGACAAGAAACGTTCTTTTGCTTGATTGATCGGTAGTGTTTCCAATGGTTGACCATCAAAATCGAATTCAGCGAGAATGCATTTATTGAAACCAGTTACAAGTGGACAACTTGTATATCCATCGTACTAAACTCACACGTTCAAAACTTCATTCATAAACGGAAAACATACTTTTGGAACAGCATCAGATTTTCCTTCCATGATATTTGTTAAATTTCGAACTAGAATCGAATTCGATGCAGCAATAGCTGCAGCGGTTTTACTAGTCGGAAGATTTGTACAATCTCCAATAGCGAAAACATTGGAGAATTTCTTATGTTGTAATGTTTCTTTGATTACATCGACAAAACCATTTGCATCAGCTAATGAAGATTTAGCTAAGAATTCGTACGGTGTCATCGGTGCGGCAATATGCAACAGATCATACTGAAAAACAGAATGGTTTTAGCTGAGAAATTACCTGCGGAAATTTGTTTAATTTACTTTAAAGGTTTTCATTGTGCCAGGTTGATCCAGATTTTCAAAAATAGCTTCTTTCTTGTCAGCACATACTTCTACGAGATTTAATCGCGTATTTAATTGAATATTTCTGAAATTGAAGTCATCTTTAAGACGAATCTCGTTTTCTTGGCATTTACTTGGCCTTGACAATTTCCATTAACGCTGCTGCGTATTTCTTCACACCAAAAATAACTGGTAATGCTGTATTATAAGAAATTGTTGTTTTGTCGCGAACATTGTTCTAAAATCAACCATCTCATTATCATTCAAATGCAATCCATTGTCTTACTCTTCGAAATATGTCATCAGCAAGATACATTATCTTTTGTGGTGCGCCAGGACATTTAATCGGAGTCGAAGGAAATGTAAATATCGCTTGACCACCGCGAAAATGATTCAGTGTATTATAAACATTACGAACGTATTTTCTTGAGTACATGCTAACAACATGTTGAGGATGATTGTCTAATGCTTCAATGGCTCCTTTGATTTTATCAAGTCGCGTTTGAATACCGGAAGCAACGATTAGATAATCATATGAAATCTAATTCGAAAAATTAGTTGAATTGTCTCTAGAATAAACTTGTCGTTTACTTTGCTGCCATTTTCTAATTGAACAAAATTCTTTTCCGGTTCGATTTGATTTGCATTCGATTGAATCCAAGTTGTGTTCGTTGGAATGCACTGTGACTGTGGCTTTTCAAGTTCATCCGGAGTCTTTAATCCAGCACCCGCTAATGTCCAACCTGGTTGATAAACATGCGTCTACACGAAAAACACAACAAACAAAATCAAGGTCACAACAGAAGGAAAATAAAATCATCATACGTCGTTTTTATCAATAATGGCGATTTGATCTTTGGACAATTTTTTTGCAAATTTCGATGCACATGCCAAACCACCACAACCAGCACCAATAATAACTAATTTGTAATGTTTTTGTTGTGTTGATAAACGACGAACGAATATGTGATAAACCGAATTCATGCCGATGTCTGCGACTCTCTCCCAAAAAGAAAAAAAAACGAGTGTGTTTTGTTTCGTAACCTTCTTTACGGTGCTTTTTTTTCTCTTTTGCGTTCTCTTCAAGGGTACAGACTTGAGTATGCGAGTACAATGACCTTGTCATGATGTGTGTTTTCCTATTTCTTTTTTATTCGATCTCATCATGATTCAAGCATAAAAACAAAATAGAAAGTTCATTAACTGTGATGATAGTTAGAATAATACTATCAGTATCATGTTCTACTAGGTATTTGCTCAAGAACAAGACCGAGGAACACCAATATCGTTGCAATTATTTGACGCGTTGTAAGTAGATTGCCAAAAATAAATACGGAACAAAGAATTGTAAAAAATTTTCGTGTAGTTGTAACAATCGAACATGTTAGTGGACCAAACCATTCAATCGTCAAGAAGATGAAATTCTATTAGATTAAAAATTTCAATATGAAAAACAATTGTTTTCGGTAAGATTTACCTGTCCTATTGCACCTGTCAAACCGAGTAATAGAATGTTTGAAATACTATTTGGATATGTTTGGAGAAAATTGAGAAAACTAAAAATTTCACCAGTGGAAATAATACCGATAAACGACCATAAACATGACCAGAGATTCATGGAAAACATCATATGATAAGCTTGAACTTTATGCTTAGCTCGAATACTATCTTGTAAACCACCGGTTAATCCGTCAAAAGCAAGTGAAACAAACTAAAGCAGATTGGTCAAGTATAATTAATCTCCAATCATTAGAATTAACATACCAAAAGGAATTCTCCTATCCCAATCATTGCTCCTTCTTCAGCCGCTTTTTCTGTTTCTTTCGGTTCTTTATACATAAACAGAACTACACCAATAACAATTAACAAAACATAAAGGTATTTTCTTAATGGATAACGTCTTCTGGCTATTAAGACACCGAAAAGCATGACTGGTACAGGTTTCGCTGACTTTCCTAAAACCTAAAACGGACAATCGGAGAAAAACGAACGAATTCAGTCGTAAACTATTTACCTGCATTGGATAACTCACGAATTCTAATGCATAATTACTCGAGAGCATCGCGAATAGATACGTAAAGGAGACGAATGCATACATGACCGAAGGTGTCGAATCTCGATGTGATCTTCGGATACTTAAGACTACCAACAAAAACTTATATTTTTTCTAAATTGAAAATAGACGGAGACATACTTATTTTCGATACAATAGCATTGAACATGCACAGAAAGAAGACAAGAGATAAAATAAATGTGAATTTGTCATTCTTCCCATAGGTTCCCTTAACACTGAAACAAAATGATTTATCAACTCAATTAAAACTTTCTTATTCTTACACTGATTCTTGAACAATCCCAAAGACTAAATATGAAACAAATATCCCGACAAAAGAAATACATAACTTTCCAAATTTCACATGTTGACCAGTCCCTCCATGATGAATATTGCTGTGCGTGGATTTTGAAATCACACTCGTCGGAAATAAATCAATCTTCGTAGCCAGCGGACCGTCGTGTATCCTTTTATTTATTGTGACATGTATTTAAACAGAAAAGAAAATAACAGGCTCAGCGAATGAGATCGGAGGACATCTATGATGGAAAGGTTGAAGATCGAGATAAATGGCTACTGAACGATGTCTATATAGATTGTGAGAAGAAGAAGAAATTTATTTTATCTAAATCGAAACGTCATGTCGACGACAATGGACCAAGTGGTGAAAAAAGCAAAAGATAGTTTTGGACCGATATTTGACAAAAGTTTACATGATCTCGTTCGAGGAATACGAAGCCATAAGGATGATGAAGTAAATTAAAATATCTATCAAATGAATTTTCATTATGGATTATCTTTTTTAGTCAAAATTTATCAACGAAGCCATTGATGAGATCAAACAAGAATTGAAACAAGAGAATATGTCGGTCAAAGCCAATGCTGTTAATAAATTAACATATGTAAGAATAACAATACGAAAGACATTGTTGGATTGACAAATTTTTCGTTATCATTTAGCTTCAAATGTTGGGCTATGACATATCATGGAGTGCATTTAATATAATCGAAGTCATGAGTTCAAATAAATTCACATTCAAAGTATGAAATATTCAATGTGAATTATCTATTCGAACTTTTGTGTTTATTTAGAGAATTGGTTATTTGGCTGCATCGCAATGTTTTCATGAAGGAACCGATGTATTGATGTTAACAACAAATATGATTCGAAAAGTGATTGATCAACTTGCTGAGTTTGTTTCGGATTTCATTGAAAATATTTTAGGACCTGAATAGCTCGTCGATGTATGAAGCTGGCCTGGCAATGAGTGGTCTCTCATGTTTCATTAACGCTGATCTGGCGAGAGATTTAGCAAATGATATTATGAGTTTGGTAAGAAGGAAAAACATTGTTGATTGGGCTGACCGATATGAGAAAACTTCATTTAGTTATCGTCAACGAAACCGTATATTCGGAAAAGAGCAGTTTTGCTTTTGTATAAAGTATTTTTAAATAATCCAGATGCACTCAAACCTGCATTTCCACGTTTACGTGAGAAATTGGAAGATCAAGATCCAGGTTTGCTCGCTACTCAATCAAAATACTCTTTCGTGACCGCGGTTTTTCCTATAGGTGTTCAAGCGGCAGCTGTCAATGTCATCTGTGAGCTAGCAAGACGCAATCCAAAGAATTATCTTTCATTAGCACCGATTTTCTTTCGTTTGATGACGTCATCAACAAACAATTGGGTTTTAATCAAAATCATTAAACTAGTATGAACTTTTCGTGCGTACTTTCATCAAAAACTTGCTTGTTTTTTTTCTTAGTTTGGTGCATTAACACCGTTGGAGCCAAGATTAGGCAAGAAATTGATTGAACCATTAACAAATTTAATTCACAGTACATCTGCGATGTCTTTACTCTATGAATGTATCAATACTGTCATTGCTGGTAAGGCAAAACTCGATCAGAATCATATCATTTGCTTTGCTTTAGTTCTTGTTTCGATATCAACAGGTTTACCGAATCATGAAGCGTCGATTCAATTATGTGTACAGAAACTTCGTATTCTTATCGAAGATTCGGATCAGAATTGTAAGCGAGAAGTATATTGAAGAACTTCATCCGAAACATTTTTGCTATTTAGTGAAATATCTTGGCCTCCTTGCCATGTCGAAAATATTGCAAACACATCCCAAAAGTGTTCAAGCGCATAATGATTTAATTCTTCAATGTCTGGATGATAAAGATGAATCCATTCGTTTACGAGCACTTGGCCTTCTTTCCGGAATGGTAAACAATGAATTTTGTTTCGAAGAGAATGCGACTAATTTCGATCATTTCTATTAGGTATCGAAAAAGAACTTAATGGAAATTGTGCGAAAACTAATGATCCATATGCATAAATCTGAAGGATCACATTATCGCGATGAATTATTATCGAAAATCATCGGAGTTTGTAGTCAAAATGATTACCAGTATATAGCTAATTTCGAATGGTCAGTGCAGTGATCTTCTTTTCTTACTAAACATTCGTTTTCATAGGTATGTAAGCATTTTGGTTGAACTCACTCGACTCGAGGGCACAAAACATGGCGGTATGATATCATTACAATTACTCGATGTAGCTGTTCGAGTGGAATCGATTCGTCAATTTGCATGTAATCAAATGGTAATGTTTGTTTGTATAGTTTTGCAGAACTCTGTATTGAGTTATTCTAGGCGATTCTTCTGGAAAATGCGCATGTTTTTATTCTTGGTTCGAATTCTTCCAGTGTTGCTGAAGTTTTATATGCAGCTGCGTGGATTTGTGGAGAATTCAGCTCGTAAGTGTGATAATATGCGAGAGAAATTTCTGACGAAACTTTTGTTATAGGAGTCTGAAAGAACCAGAAAAAACTTTGGAAGCAATGCTAAATACGAAGATAACGTCATTCCCTGGACATATTCAATCAGTTTATTATCAGAACATCTTGAAAGTCATCACGCATATAATTATATCATCGGAGAATGGTGGAACAGTGGCCAAAGATCTTGTTTCGATGGCGATTACGAAAATGTCCGTGTTTTTATCGAGTGGCGATGTTGAAGCACAAGAACGAGTATGTTTTTCGAATTGTTTTTCTTCAAATGTCTATTACTAAAAGATTTTCTTTCCTAACTAAGGCAAGTGTGGTTTTAAATATCCTTAAAGTCGTACTAAAATTAATCGAAAAATCGGAATTTAATCCGAACGAACTGACAGTTCTCTTCGATGGCGTTCTCAATCCTGTTGCAAGCAAAGCTCAACGCAAAGTTGCCATACCGAATGGGTAAGTCACTCGATATCCACCAATATATATATGTCGATTGTTTCTTTCAGGTTGGATTTGGATGCTTGGATCAATGATCCACCGTCTGAAAGCGAAGACGAAACAGTTCCAAGTAATCCTTACGAGTACAGTAAACAAGGTTTATTTTCGGACGATCAACGAGAAAATTATTACAATGCAAGCAATCTTAGCTCGAATACAGGTGATAACTCACCGAGACAATATACTGAATTAACAAGCGAAGAATTAGACAAACAACGAGAGACGAGAAAACAAAGCGAACATTTAAATCCATTCTATATAAAAGAAACGAAAAAATCGAAATCAACTGCACAAGTAAGCGTTACAAACGCGAACAATGTTTTTCTTAATTTTCAATCTTTAGACGAATGTATCATCGGCCATTTTGGATAGCAGTGATCGTTCACAACCAGCAATGTCGAAAGGAACTATTCCTGCTGGTTTGCAACTAGTATCATCCGATCAATTGTATCGTCAGTCGAAAATTGATCAAGAAAATCATCGTTTAAAGAACAAATCCAAGGCGGATAGTGGATCAGCGAAAAAAGGCAAGAAATCAACGAGAAAAACTGATTCTGCAGCTGCTGACAATGTCGATGAGAATCTCTATCCAGCAATCAAAGTAACACGTGGCGGAGAATTACCCGAAGGTGCTACTGAAAGTGGTAATGAAGACAACGACGAAGAAAAATATGTTGGAAAAAACAAAAAATATGACCCCCATCGTGCATTGAATATCGATTTGAGCGAACCTGTACATGTCGTACCTCCCTTAGCACCAGCACTAGCAGTTCCAGAACCCATTTCGACAGTTACTGAACAATTAACAACGGCTACAACAAAGACAAAGAAGAAGAAAAAAACTGAAAAGGATGAAAAACCCAAATCGAAGTCAAAACGAGAACGTACCGATTATAAACAGTTATCACCTGGTGACGAAGAAGACAAACGCGTTGCATCACCAACTCCACTACAACCGCCAGCAGCGACTAGCACCATTGTTGAGACCACTGTACCTAAAGAGAAGGTGAAAAAGAAGAAGCCTAAAGGGAAGGAGTCGACAACAGAGACACTAACCTCAGCACCATTAGTTCGCGATATCATGGGTGATGATGATATCAATCCAATGAGTTCTTCCAACCAACAAGCCAACGAACCAGCTATTTATAAATCAATTGCTGAATCGGAACATTTACTCATCGTAAGTCTTCATTTCAGATCCACATAAAAAATAAAACGATCGAACTCTTCTTATCTACAGACATCTTCCATTACTCCATCATCGTCTCCTGCTCAATTAGATGTGACATTTTTATTAAAAAATCGTACATCATCAATTATCAATCAGATTGATGTGCATGTGATCGATAGTATGAGTTCGAAATTATTGAACACAACTAGTCCAAATCATGTTTCATTTCCATCAATCAGTGTGTTTCCGCATGCTGAATATTATATCCATATATACTTTGCAATTACAGCCATATCATTTCCACAAAAATTAAAAACAACGTTAACTTATACAATTAATGTAAGTTGAAATCGAATAGAGAACAGATGAAGAATTTTTCCGTTTTTTTTTGTTTTAATTAGAAACCCTCGAGTGAAAATTCTAAAGAAACAATTGAATTCAAACTCGATTTACCTTGTTCACAATATTTAATAAAGAAAACAATAGATTCGTAAGAGAAATTCATTCTTCTTGATAAAAAGAAACAAATATTTGATTTTTAGAAATGCATTTGCTGATTTAATGAGTTCAAGTACTTTAACTAGTCAATCACATATCAATATTCCATCATCTAGTCAAGATTTTCCATCTATACTTAAAATTCTCTGTCAATCTTATCGATTTACTGGTTTGTACATCGAATTCATTTGAAAATTTCAACAAACAGAACCTTCTCTTTTTAGTTGTTGATCAAATTGCTTCTGCTGCATCTTTATATTCAGAAAGTGTTCTAGGCCATCCGATAGCACTACTTTTGAAATCATCTAACGGTATTGCCATCGATGGCAAGTCAACTGAAATGCATTTCTTATCGAATTTATTGGAAGAAATGAAAAACTTCTTCAAATGATAATTCAATGTTCTTTTTTCAGTCACACATTTAATTAGTCATTCCATTTATTCTTCTTTCCGATTGGTATTTTGCTTTTGTGGACAGTATTTATTCGCGACAGTGATTCGACCTTTTTCCATTTCTATTTATGTGTGTCAGATACGAACAAACCATCAAGTTAATTCTTCTGACACATAGACAGATTCCGATGTGAATAAACGAAAATTATTCATGAGTTCCGAATGATTATAGTCAATTTTCGTGTGTATGTTTTTCTTTTCTTTCCTTTTTTTAAATGATTATTCCATTGTGTTGATTGTCAATGTGTAAAAAATTAAGATGAATATATACAGAAATATTTAATCATAATTGATTTCGTTTTTCAGATGATCGAAAAGAATTCGTCAACATTTGAAGTAATTCGACAACATATCGAAGTAAGATATTCTGTTAAATATAGAAAGAGTTCTATTTGATCTTCGTATCAGACTGATTTGAACGCATCGCAATGGAATGTACAAAGAGTTCGCGATGTTCTTGACAAGTGAGTCTTATGATGTTTTGAATTTTAAAAAAAAATCATTTGTGTTCATAGAAACAAATCGCCGGAATACCGGACTGCAGTGGAACATGCATTTCGATCGGTTCTTTTTCGTTTAATGGTACATGGAAACTCTTACACGCGTTCGAATCGTCAAATTTCTCTTTCATAGGAACAGCAAGTAGAGATAACACATGGTACAAATCTTGATGATATGGAAACATCAACTTTTGTTACCGATCAATTTTTGGCTAGTGTTCGTCATCTTATTGGATGTGCTATCGAAGCAGTTCATAGTGGTGAGTCACAGTAAAGTGACTTCTTGTTTAAAATCATACTCTCCATTGCATCTCGTTTAGAATTTGCTGCTGCGGCAATGCCCATTTATCTGTTCAATGACTTATTCGCTTATACAACGATCGATGTCGGTGAAAGAATCTTTATTGTGTTGGAAGAAAATGCCTCAGTTTGGCGATCGGTATGTATCTTTGCTTTGATGAAATTTATGTTTTACAACGAGACTTCTCTTGTGTTCTAGGCGACGTTTTTCCCATCGGTGAAAAATGTACTTCTTAGAATGTGCAATGGTAAATCATCGCGTTATTGTTGACAAAGAATATGACATGAGACGCATTTAGATTTACTGAAACGTTTATCGAAAATGCAAAAAACGGTCTTTTCCGGACGTATATTAACATTTCTGGCACAACTTTTTCCTTTGAATGAAAAGTCGGGTATGTTTGTTTTGATTTCTTTTGTTTCCATTTTTCGTGAATCTTTATTTAGGTTTGAATCAAATCGGTCATTTCAACACAGACAATGTGACAAAACTAACGAAAACCAAGCAAGCTGTTTCGCCTGTTGAAGAAGTTGAAGTTCGTTGAAAAGACTGCCTCATGGGCTATTTCGAATTTTCGTTGGATTTTCTAGAAAGAAAAGAAAATGGAAGTGGATGAAGATGGAGAAATTCATGATTTGTAAGTATTGGAAACTACTCGTCTTCTATTGATTTTTGTCGGTGTGTTATTGTGTAGACATCAGAAAAATTCAGCTGAATTCTATTCAAATTTTTGGATGTTACAAGACTATTTCTCAAAGCCATTTCAACTTTGGGAGCGAACATCATGGAACACTTTTGTACATGTAAGTAACGTTCGCATCGAATTGATCTTTCATCGATTGATCGATTGTTTTAGAATGCAAATCAAGTTCTGGAAATATTTGTTAACAATCAATTAGACAATGTGAAAACAGTTTCATCAACTGATGATTCATTCTTTGCGAAGTATTTAACAAGTGAAAAAGTGAGCTCTTGATTCGTGTGAAAGTAATGCTGTTGTTAATTGGACTTGATTTCATTAGCTATTGGAATTACAATTGAATGATGTGACATTTCGTCAAAACATTCTCGTTCAGTTTCTTATTGTTTTTCAATATCTTGTTTTACCTGTGAAATTCAAACAACCACATCAAACTCTCAATGAAGAACAATCTCAATGGATTAAAAGAACAACACATCAAATTAATGAAGTAGACTGCGCTCTTGCTCCAAGAAAAGTATCACCATTTTCTTTTTTTTTAGTTACTTAAACAAACAGGGACAAATGCCGAGATATTCACAGTTTCGATTCAGGTTAGACAAACCTGTCTGAAATTATTTCTTCACTCAACGTTTTATTTAGCATATACTCAAACGAGAGGAAATGTGGAATCTATGGAAAAATAATGGTTGTCCAGATTTTTCCAAGGCGAAACTTGATTTGAAGAAAAAGAATGCATCGCAAACCTATGCACCATATCGATTATCCGATAGTATTCGGTAAATCCTTACAGAATGCTTTTCGCCATTCTAAATTTCTTCTGTATGTTAGACAATCGATTCAACAATCATCGAAACGTCGTGCAATGAACTTTGAAGATCTACGCAATCCTTCTCAACAATACGTTCCATCCATTCGTCAATTTTTCGATCCTATTATTGAACAACTTCAAGAAGTGTCCTCAAAACTGTCCAATAATGATTCTCAAGAAAACAAACAACCAACAGCACAAGATATCGATAAAGAACGAGAAAAATTTCTGCAAGAAGATTCTTCACTCATTTGGCGTGCATTACGTTTATTAGCTCGTCAATCTCCATACTTTTTCGTTCAAAATGCTCAAACAGTTCCAAGTATGGCGCAATTCCTTGTCACAACATGTGAAAAAATTCGACGTGAACATATGACTTCGTCAACAACAACGTCGACGGCAACAGCAAGCACCAATTCTACTGTTCCATCGGCAACATCGACAACAAATGGAGATGAAGAAGAAGAAGATACTAATATTGACGACGAACCCTTAGAAAATCCTCCTAGCACAGGTGAAACAACAAACACTGACCAGGAAACAGAAGAAGAAGCAACAACAACGACAACATCGACACCTGTCGCACCCAAAGTCGATGAAGATGACGATGATGACAATCGCGAGCGACGATTTTCATTAGCCAAACGAACATCCACATAATCTCGTACTTTTTTCTTGCTTGTTTAATGCGTTCGTGTTCCAACACAGCTCATACATATACTTGTATTTTTTTTATAAAAAAAGAATTTCAATCAGGAAAACAAAAGTCATCGCTCACTTTCTTGCATCGACTGTTTGTGTGAGTTAATGAGTTTTAGATTGCAAATGACATCGTTATCAAGTGTGACAAATGAGGAGAAAAAACGTTATGTAATCATTAGCTATATGTTTGAGTGTGGTAAATAAATGAAACTCGTAAAAGCACATATATCTGTCGTTCTGTTTAATTTTAGCGGCGAAACTTCGTTTGAGTATCGTAACAACTGCATCAGCTGCTGTTATTTATCATAAATGTTCATGTCATTTAGAAGAAACTGATTTCGATCAATATGTAAGTTGAATAATTGAGACACTAGTTTTCAATATTGCTTTGTCATAGACATTAGCAGCAACAGCTTTGTCTCTGGCAAGTAAATACGAAGAAGAACATGTGAAGATTCGAGATTTGATTAATGTCACCTATCGGTAAGACGAACATCTCTATTTTTGCTTCTGTAAGTCATTCATCGTTAGAACACTTCATCCTGATCGACCGTATCTGCGTATATCGAATGAATACCATCGTTTACGAAATACATTAGTTGATTGTGAACTATTTCTCATTCGTATTCATGGTTTTCATTTTCAATTCAATCATCCAAATAAATATCTGCTTCATTATCTTGATACATTGAGTAGATGGATGTTGATTACTCCATCGACGCCAATAAAAACTAGCCGGAATCTAATTGATATCGCTATGTCCATCTTGCAGGATACTTATTATGATTTTACATTGATTAAAGACTTCGCACCACAACACGTGGCAATCGCGATTATCTATCTTCTGATTAAAACTTATAATTTAGAAATTCCAGGTATGACGAATGACGATGAACATATTAATTGGATGAAGGTAAACTTGGAAATCGAAAACTAGTCGGATATTTTGTCGAATTTTCTCTCTAGGTATTCAGTTCGACAATGACTAATGATATTCTTGTAGATATTATCACTCGAATCAATACTGTTTACAAATATGTTGAACGAACATTAGAACAATCAATGGAGACAAAGGCTGATTAGAGAAATTTGTTTTATCTAAAAATATCAATTGTCTTTTTCTGTTTAAATAAAGATAAGCAAATACAAAGTAACACTTATTCTTGGCATATTTCAGATGAATTGGTTAGCACGTACTATTTGGCTTCTATTTAATGTATTTTTCGGTGCACCGTCCGCAACACTCCTGTTCTTGTGGGTTGCATGTGATTTGCAGTTACCATTGATAATTATAGAGCCGATTTCATCATATTTACCGGCGTTCAAAACTCTATTCAACGTTCCTTACGTTCATATCAATGAATTTTCATCTTCAGTATCTGCTAAACTTCTATTTAATGCATTTCTATATGCAATTTTCGGCACAGTACATACATTGTTCGCCCAAGAGTTTATGCAGGTTATTCTCCGACGATTTCTATTTCCTAAAGAAACACTTCGTACAGTCTACTGTATCTTGACAACGATCACAGTCATCGTTCTTATTGGCTTCTGGCAACACACTCATATACAACTTTGGAATTGGTTACCGAGAACGATGGACATTTACCAACAACAACGCGTACTGTTGTTGCTATTTTTACTATTTTATTCGCCAGGTAAAAAGCAAACGTTTTGAAAGATGAATGTTTTCACACGATTCATTTTTAAGGGTCGTATGTAATTATAAAGTTTAATCCATTGGAATTCTGTGGTGTCAATCAGATCTTCAGTAAATCGAAAACTAGTTCATGTCCATATGCATCATCGGAAGAATCGGAGAAGCGTACAAGTGGAAATGAAACATTAGTAACCACTGGTCTTTTTCGTCTTTGTCGACATCCACTTTATTTTTTCACAATCTTAGCTTGGATAATTACACCAGTGATGTCACTTGATCGACTTGCGTTCATCGTCTATACATGTCTTTATGCATTAATTGGTATTCGTTTTGAGGAACGAAAATTAGTGCAAATATTCGGTGAATCTTATGTTAGATATCAGCAACGTGTACCGAGTATTATTCCTTCTTTTAGAAGGAAAGCAAAAGAACTTTAGTCATTGTTTTTGAAGTAATCTGATGTAAAATCGGATGCATTTGTTACTTTCTTAAGTAAATAAAAAGATTCGTTTTCAGTATAATAAAGTATAAATTGCCGCCTTGTTTTGTTTCTATGGTTTACAATTGACATAGATACTACGCATTGTTGACAATAAACGTAAATTAAACAAAATTCTCATTTTTCGATTTATTTTCTTTTCGGTATAAAATCAATTGATAGAAACAAAACTTTGGTTCGTATAAATTATTTCTCGAAAGAAAGAAAGAAAGGGAAGATTCATATAAAGTTATATATATATATATAAGATATCATACGCAAGCACTTATGGTATCCAATGGCGACTATTTCTTGATAATCGATGTGGCGCTTTTTGATGTTCGTCGGATAGTTCATTGTTACAATTGACACATAAATGTGAAAAGTAATTTTCTCTTTCATAATGTGTTGATAAGACTACTCGTGGTTCTCGATTGCAACGTGCACACAATCGACCTTCGTCAACTGAACTAGCGCGTGGCCGTACAAATGTTTTTCCTTTAGATCTTGTCGGTGTCACTGTTCTGCGCGTGGATACCGATGGTGCTCGTGCATGATATCGATTCAGCAAGTGTTCAGGTGGACCTTCAATTGTATAAACGGTTACTTTATGATTATGACCAAGATGTGTATATGGTTGAGACACATGGTTAGACATTCTTGAAATTGTTCGAGTTCCTGGTCGAGGTGATGATGCTACCGGTTGTGTACGTCTTTCGGGTACTCGATTAGTCTCGTGTGATGGATAAACACTTCGAGAAACATTGTAAGGAGCGTGTTGTTGTAGTTTAGCATGTCGATGTATGTAATATGTGACCATGTACAACACAGCGAACAAGATATATAAAGAAGCGCAAAGTAATTGAAGACTTTGAAACAAACGCTTGATATTCATATTTGTTGTGAAGTAATCTGGCCATGTAATCGAGACTGGCCAGCCAGATACACTTACACTTCCTGTTGTAATAGTAGCATAACTGCAACTTAAGAAGAAACATCGAGTTGGATCAATAATAACAAATACATCATAAACAATAATGGCGATACATAAGAAAATCATAATGCAACAAAGTGCTACTGTAAGGCGAAGAAGAACCAATTTTGGTACACATGCTAAATAAGAAATGTCAAGTATTTCATTTATTTATTTCAAAAAGTACTTTTCGGTTTTTGATTACATTCTTTAACCTTTACGAACTGATACCTATAAAAAATTGAAGCTCAACATTCGTCTTCCGACATGTTGTGAATAAATGCAGTCTTCTTAAGGTTTCTCACATAATTTATCATTATTAATATCTCTCCTCGTTCGATAGAGTTCAACTTACCAGTAATCAAAACGAAAATAGCACAAAGGAGTAATGGAAAGAAAACGATATAGCCTCCAAAAGCAGTCGACCGAAAGACATCATAGATCGTATGACCAGTTTCCATGCCTGCGATAGCGAACGTTAAGAAAACTAGAATTAAACCAATAATTATGATCCAAACACGCGGCCATCGTACAGGTAATCCGTGTTTATTAAAAATAGCTGTTGATGTGCCTGACTTGTACGCCATTGGAATTCGATTGAAATCTAAATAATGATTTGCGACTCTTTCGTAGCAGAAGAAAGAATTTGAATTCTTTCATTTTCGTTTAAAGATGAAAGAGAAAAATTCGCGATGTTAAAGAATGAAAAAGCAAACTTTATATTAAATCTGTCGTTAAATGATGTGGCAGTGCAAAAAAATAAGTAAAAGATCAGCAATGTTGTTCTTGTCAGTGTTTCTTCATTCTCGTATATTATTTTTCATCAGGAAAACGTGCACAAATCTCTTATTTTTGTGTTGCTATTGATAGCAGTGTTAGCAACAAAAACAACTAGAACAACTACGAAATCAAATAATATTTTTTCCTTTGAAAGAGTTGTGCAATTAGCCTACTAGGCGCATCTGACCAAAACGAAAAAAGAAAAAGACTCAAAATACACATACTTTCCCTGAATAAAGAATCGAATTTTCTTTCTCTTGACACTTGCTGCCATCTGTCTGCCATCTAATCTCTAGAGGAATGATCGTATCTTTTCACTGCATGATGAACCACACCAATAAGTGCTGTAGTTCTTTTTCTTAACCAAAGGATCGTTTTCATTTTGTCTTGTATTTATTTTGCAGTCGATTTCAAACAAATCACAATCTCTTGTCCTTTTGTTTTTCTTTTATATTCAGTATGAATAAATATTTCTCGAGACCATATCTGATATAATGTTCAAGACTTTAATCAAAAAAGTTCGTGAGGAAAGCAATAATTCGAGTATTTTACTCGAAAACAATCCCGAAGAAGTCAATGACCATGCGAACAATTTTGATGAAGAAAACTCGTCAACGATGCGAACTCATCGTTAGTCATCAAGTATTTCCTGAACTTTCATATTGAAAATTCATTTTTAGGTCGATCGAATTCGATCACGCATCGCTCCTCAACTCACAATTCCAGACTTCCATCAGCTTCTCACGAAGTACGTGCCTTCAATGAGAAACATCACTTCTCCAATGACTTTTCTCTTTGTTATTTTAGCCGGAGAAAAAAGAAGAAACCATCACATCTTTAGCAGAAATCTTTTCCCCGTACATCGAAGGTATGAACAGAATTTTCTTTTTTTTCCAAGATTAATCTGAATTTTCACATATCAGAACCAATATCGATCGATAATTTCGTTCAAGTGCTAAAAGCTTGGGTAATTAACATTGAGAGAAGAATTCTTCTAGTTTTCTTTCTCTTTGGTTTTAGATCGCTTCAACAGAAGAAGCCCTTCAATCGAAAGATGAAAGCATAGAACGATTAGTGCAAGAAACAAATCATTTGCAAGATGAAATGATCACTTTGAGAAGTAAACTGAAAGAATTACAGTAAGTTGTTCGTTTTTTTTTTCTAAGGGAACTCTTCGATGAATCATTTGTTTATTGAAGTTCCAGACGAAATAGTACTCCAGACAATACAACTAAAGTAAATCTAGGGATTCTTTGAATTAAAAGAAAACAACGTTGACTTTCTTTTTAGACTCTACATTTACAAAAACAAATTGAAACTCTCCGTACGGATAATGAAAATCTGAAATCAACTATGAAGTCTTTACGAGTACAGTTAAATGATGTTGAAGCTGGTTTGTCCATTCGAACATGAGAATTTCTCGATATTGACCGATATAAATTCATTTAGAAAGAGATGATCTACTCATTAAGTCCACGGATGTTACCAACTTGAAAGCAAGTGATGATCTTCAAAAGCAATTAGAAAAGCAAAACGCTGAAAATGAACAACACCAATTAGAGTTAGCTAAACTAAGACAAAGACTGATCGAGCGAGACGCCATTATCGAAGAGCAAGACAGACGTTTACTAGTTGATCACGAAACACAAGCGATACAAACAGTTCGTACTCAATTCATAATAGCCCATTGAGACTAGATCACATTTTGCTTTAGGATGAAGATACTTCATTCGTACAAGTACTTGCTGAACCAGATGTTGACACACTGAGTAAATTACAAGCAGAATTAGATGAAAAAAACCGAGTAAGAAATGCGTGACACTGAATTAGTTCAAGTCAAGTTCGTTTGATTATTTAGACCATTAAAAACTTGCAACAACGTTATAATGATCTTCGAAAAACCCTACAACGTGAATTCCATGCGTCTATACCCAAAGATTTTAATCAAGTTGGGTCTTCGAAAACAAGCGCAAACACTCCCTTCTCATCGAATAATGTACCGTTGATACATTATGATGCAACAGCAGCATCACAAAGTGACGTTGATGCAGCTAAACGAGCATCGACAGCTCGACAGATGACAGCAGTACGTAAGAATGTGTCATTTACCTCAATGGCACCAGCTGCAGAGCCTACCAGCCCAGCGATTTTACCTCATACGTCCGTAGAGTTAACTTCTGTTAAACCTCAAAAGAATGGACATCGTTCTTCGATTGGAGATAGTCAAACACCTGTAAATGGTACAAATTTTAAATATTTGAAACATGTTGTATTGAAATTCATGACTTCAACGGAGGATGAGGTAAGCTTCGAACTATTTAACAATGATTTTCCATTCTATTCATTTGTTTGAAGGCCATCCATCTCATTCGTGCAGTATCAACGTTGCTCAATTTCTCTGCAGATGAAGAACGACTCCTTCGTGAAACATTGGATTATAAAATGTCTTGGTTTGGGAAAGTCTCTCGTATAAAACCATTATAATTCAGTACAAATTTTTAGTTTTTAAAAAATCTATATATATACATATACAATTGTTACATTCTTTATTTATTCAAATAAACATTTGCTTTAACAAAAATCTTCCGGATTGATTAGAATTCATGCGAACCACTATTTTCCAAATGTTTTAGTATAATGTTTCAGGAAAGTTGAATTCGGTGAACCTTTGATGAATGCTTCGTATTGTTGAGAAAAGAATGGGGCTAAACCAAATGATTGAGGATCTAGTTTAATGTGAAGTTTGCCACGTTGAGTATTGATAGTTTGCACAACCATTGGATCTCTTCTTTGATAAACATCTTCTTGTTCGTTTTTAGAAATTGTTGTAAATGTTGCTCCCGAGGGAAAGCGCTGATCGCCTATGCCTTCACAATTGTACAATGGGATGGAAATACCTTGACATGAAGTGATATTAGGGTCTTTCAATACTGAAGGATTAATTCCCATTGATGCCATGTTTAATGCAAACTATTAAAATTAGGAAAGGTGAAGGTTTCAATCTCAGTTTAGATACCTGTTTGGTTTGTTCTGCATCACGCATGATTTGCCGCAGAGAATCTAAAACACATTGGAAAATGACTTTTGTAAAGAAGATGCGTACATAACAACGAACAATGGAGGAAATTACAACAACAGTTGTTACATTGTGGTAGCTCAGCTGGTACTTTCATACTGGGTTTTGGTACAGCTTTTCTCTTTTTCATCTCAATGACACATATTCTAATGAGTGTATCACAATTGTTTTGTGTTTACCGATCGTGATGTGTGTTTTTCTATAATACAATCATGGAAGATAATTGGAAGAAATGTTTATGCTACACAAACTGCTGTTCTTTGCTGATCTTTTCGATTTCGCTGGTTTTCTTGCTCTAGCTTAGACGTCATAAGATTGGTATTTTGGATATAGACTCACCTTGATTTTGTTTTCTTTTTTGCTTTATCTATAAGAAAAATCATTCTTGCATTGCTTTTATCAATGGTTATTACTTTTCCTCGATTTTGATTGTTTTCTTCTTCTGACTTTTTTAGATCTAAAAAGTCTTTCGAAAAAGAGACAAGTCAGATTCGATTGCTTACTTTGCTTTCTTTTTCGATGGTCTTTTCTTTAGACGTCTGGACTTGTGCGGTCGTTTAACCTGATGTTTTCGCCTCCTTTTCTGTTTTATGTTCGGCTTTCGACTCTTTTTCAATCTTGATGCATTAATATTCCGATTGCTCGATCGCATCGTCCGAGAACTTTCATCAGCAGATACAATCGATGGATCGTTTTGTTCGCCATTGACCAGTGCATTCATATCCCTTCGAACATTGTTCACTAATTCTCGTATTTTCTAATAAAGTGAGATTAGAGTGAGAACGGGTGTTTTGATCTATTCATTTGTTCATACTAATTCATCGTCTTTCTCTTTGGATTCTTCTGATTCGACCGATGTTGAGGACTTCTTATTCTGATTTTCATTCCAGGAATTAATGTCGTATTCAACCAGATTCTTGTCTTGATTTAGATGAATAGATCGTTGCTGATACTTGAAGTTGTGCAGTATGAATGGTCTTGGAGATATCAGTTGATTAGATGAAAAACTGTTGGCATTGGTAAAATCATCGATATTCGAATTCGAACTTGTCTGTTGACTATTTTGATGATTGGTCTTTGTTTTCAGGGAACAACCGGTATGTTTCTCTTGACTATTACTTTCTTCCTTCCATAATGAATGAACTACGTTCGATGATGCTTCGGAATGTTGAGTATATTGATGAACAACAGCGTCTTTCTCAATGCTTCTCTGAAATATTTCTTCTTTTTCTTACAGATTAGCATGAGGTATTACACACTTGTTTAGACGATGAAGATAGATTGTGTTTGATAGATAATAACTTAAAAAGTATTTTCTTCATACCATACCATGTATCTTGTTTAAAAACAAAGCGCTCTTTCGAAATAAGTCGAATTTATTTATTGACCTTTATCAAGACATCAACTTATGAATAAAAAACCCGGAAGAAGTTATGATGCAATAAAGGCTACGCCGATGCTTGAATGTAAAAGAAAATGATGACTTTGAAACATTTTACCTAATGTATACGGCAGATTGGTAAACAAATCAGGATAGTTCATCGTATGCAATGTCACCATAACAAGTAATTGTAAATAAATCTTTTGCACACCGTATTCAGTTTTGATCAATAACATCGAAATTCCAATGAACAACAATTCGACAATCCACGAAATAATAGGAATCTACCATCAAAGGTTGAGACCGTATTTAGAATACACATTTGGATAGAGAGGCATATCAGATTGATGCACAACATAATCAGTCAGAAGATGCGACATAACTGCAAGAAAACTGTACAGTCATAGTTGATTGTCCTGATGTGTTCGATTGACGGTCACGTGGCAGCACATAGCCCATATGATTGTCCAAATTGTGATCATTATGAATGAATGAGTCCAATCCATATAAATTAAATCGATAGTTAAAGATTAAAAGTCCGGACTTGAACGAACATTTTCAGTATTAATTATGAGGAAGATACCAGTAATGATATCATTCAACGTAGCAGGAAAAAGTTGTGCGCCATGATGGATAATAAGTAGAGATCTTCGATTGATGATTGTTCTTTAGAGAAAAATATTACACTAAAAGTCCAGAAGCGATATGATCATCAATCATTAAGTATTCATTTTATAAATCATGAAGAAATAACAATGATATGTATAGCTCTATGTTGTATTCATTGACCTTTATAGTTGGATCATGTGCGAAGTCTTTTTCGATTGTCTACGCATCATTTTATGTACTGTTTAATTGCGAAAATTCGTGATTATATATTTTATTTAAAGACAATCGTATGATGAAAAAAAAACTCTAGAAAGCGAGGAAAAGGTATATGTGTGTCGTTCATAGATTTGCATTATAAAAAGGAATTTGTTTTCATAATGGATAGTCTCTAGCAAGGATGTTTAATGATGAACTAATCCATTATCCGGATGCTTGCTTTTGCAGTGATCTTGTAAAGCCTTTTTCGTTTTAAACGTTTTCATTTTGGACGAACATGTTGTATGTGTGCACTTGAAACGTTCTGTTGTATTTATGTTTGATTTCGCCGATTGGGTCGTATTTGTCGTAACTGGCAAATCAAGATATCGTGCGCCATTTCGTACACCAAGATTCACTATATCACTATTGTTCAGGTGATGCTTTACCATCATATGCTGTACCGTTCCAAGGATGGTTTTACGCTTCTTATTACACTTAGGACACGTGTTTGATAGTAGAATCTGGACTGGGTTTTCTGGAACAGACTGGACATTGTTTGTAGTAAGCAGATTGTCTTGATTAAATTTTTTCATGTCTCCAATTAACTTTCGTAGCTCATCTGGGTGTGGAGAGTTCACTTTATGAGAACCAATCTTAGTTTCTTCAATAACTTCATCAAAGATAGTATCGCCGCCGTGGACAATAACTATTTTTTCAAATTCACTGATTAATTTACCCAAATGATAGATCAATAATCCATCAGCTGCATTTTTGTTGTTGGTACAACTAGTTGCATGAAGACGGAGTTGTTGATTGTCTTTCAATCGGTAGAGGAGAGCATTAATATTTGAATCATGACTATTCCAAAATAGATGTAACTCGCAATTGTTTGGTAACTCCATAAGCGCCGAATTATCATTGAATATGCTGCTGCGACCACCGTCACAATCAAATAAATATAGTTGTCGAAGTACAGTTCTATTTGGAGCCATAAATATATATTACAGTGGAATACAAATGGATGAATCAATGCAATATATATGCCACACGGTGTCAGAAAAAAAAACCACTTGTTCTTTTTTCTTGTTCACGGTACTTGAATTCTGTTAGGCGCAGAGTTTATTTCGCCGACCAGTGAGAAGAAAAAAAAAACCATACGAACATGTCTGTTATTTTATCGGTAATAGCATCAAAGGGAATGTTATGAAATAAAAAAAAGAACGGAGGTTATTAGAGGTGTAAGCCGAGCGGCTCAGCCGCCGCCGCCGTGAAGACTAGAATTTCAAAACTTTTCAAGCCGCCGCCGCTGAACAGGAGAAGGTTTGGAGCCACCGCCGCCGACAGGTCATAAAAAATTTAAAATTTCGAGCCGCCGCCGCCGTGTGAGAGATAAAAATATTAAATTTTTACATAATTCTAGTTCTGAAAACGACTTTTTCGGTTGTTCGAGTCTAGTTTCTCACTGTAACGCTTTGTATAATTCTTTATTCGTTGTTTTCGATCAAAAGTCTCAAGAAATTAGAAAAATTTTTGAAAAAATCTTTCGAAATTTCTAGCCGCCGCCGCCGTGACAATCATAGTTTTTAAAAATTTTCAGCCGCCGCCGCCGGAAGCAAAAAGGTTTTGAATTAGCCGCCGCCGAAATAGAAAAAAAATTAAATATTTTGAGCCGCCGCCGCTGACTGGGTCATCGGCTTACATCTCTAGAGGTTATTCTTATTTTTCTCCTGAAACAATTCATTTTACTAAGCTGAACAAAAAATCATTGTGGATACCATTGAACGTCCAAAGATAGCACTGTTTCGACATCTTGCTTTCGCAATACTTGCAAAAATCGGCAAACATTTGAAGAGAATGTACATACAACATACTTCACACGCGATAATATCTTCAATTCTGTTAGCATTTCGCGACCTGCTTCAATTTTAATATGCTCAGGTAAACGATTGAACGATGTTTGATCGTGACCAGATGAACCTTTCTTTTGTTCAGGTAACTGTACAAATTCCCAATTTGGTTTCAGCTTTCTCAACTCATCAATCACATTCGATTGATCACTTGCAACAAAGATACGAATTTTGGAATCTATGCAAATTAACATCATTAACAGAATTTTCATTCACGAAAATAAAAGATGACTACGTTACTTGTCTGTGATTGTTGTTTCATGAAAAATTCGACTCCAGCGACGTAGTCACTTGCTGCAAATAGTTTTGCTTCAGTTGCTTTGTCACCTCTGCGAATGTGCATTCCATATGAGATTGTATCAATCTGCATCGCGCTCAAATGTCGATCAATGAAGCATCTTGTTTCATTGTTCAATGATTCCCATAGATAATCAACAACAAGTCGTCGTACCGCTATTGTATCATTACCACGCTCGTGTAATGCCATTAGACGCGATAGATAAGTAAAGCCGCCGTCGGAACTGCGGCTTGTTGTCAAATGTGCAGGAACATTTTTAGTCCCATTTTCTTGATAGTTAATAAGATGGATAAATTGTCGCTGTGAACAATATGATGATGCTGGCAACCATGGTGAAAAATGACCTTTTGTGACGTTGAAAAATGATGCGAATGAACCATAGTTCCAATACTGATCATCGACAAGAAACTTTCGTCGGGTGTGTATTGCATAGGTGAATGCTCGAACGAGATTGTTCAGCTCTGAAGTAAGGCCGGGAAACCAGTGAAGACGAAACAGGAAAGTTTGATTGTGAATGTGTTGACATGCATCGATATTAGTAAATGAGCATAATGAAATATAAATCGAATCGTTGATAAAATGATTCTGCATATAATCTCGAAGTGATGATCGAACAAAACAGTAACTACCAAGTAGTTTTGGTTGATAAATAGCATGATCAATGGTTTTGTAAACTAGATATGCGCACTGTATGACGAACAAAACAATTAGAATGTACACAAATATTGTCCATCGACTAGAAAAAAATTTGAATTAACGAATGATCAAAAGACGTTTTTATGCTAAAAACTTCTGTCGATTTCTGTTTCATATGCCATTTCGAGTACAGCTAATCATACCTCTTCTCCCATCTTCCGGTAACGCCCTTCTGTCTCTAATACAAATTTGATGAAATTCAATCCGTTCTGTACTTACCAGAATCTCATTTGTTATGTAAAGCATCTGTTTGACATATCTAAAATGTGAATTCGAATAGACTTCCAATCAGTTCTCTACTTTATATATTGAGCATCATAACGAGCGTTTTTTTCTTTTTGCTCTTTTCTTTTCTCGTAAGCTGTTACAATCTACCATTGTTCTCATGCGTTCGATTGTTTTTATTTAACATTGCATACTTCCCAATGAACAGACCACGATAAATTCATTAGTCGTGTAACAAGCACACATGTGAAATAGAAGACTTGATCGAAATCGACATGTTATCAGCAATATTTACATGTAAAAATCACCGTAAACAACTGTGTGACGAGAATGAGAATATTTCGACATTCGATCTATTAGCTGACGTATTGGGAATTCTTGTTTATTCTATACCGATTGGTCTTCTCTCAAGACTAATCAATACTAATACTACAGAATTATACTATATTCTTTGAGAACTCTTATATCTCTTATACTCTTACGTCTTTGTGCATATTTATTTGATGGTATTCATTAAAGTGTTTATCTCGATTTTGTATTATTCGGAATGATTTTTATTCTGATTGATATCATTCGTAAGAATATATAGTTTTAGTATAAAAAATTATGAACAAGATTCTATAAAAAGAAACGTTAAATTAACTCGACACTGGTGTACAATTCTGTAGTGGAAGAATCGATGATGATGAAGCTGATCGTTGTCGTAAGTATGAAAGTGATGGATCAATTGGATCACAATTGATTGAGTTTTCTGATTGTTGTACAATATAATAACATTTAGCACTGAAATGCAAATCAACGATTATCAAGTGAAAACATCTCTCATACGAAAGAATCACCTTGCTAAACGTCTCACTGGTGAATCGATAACTGATTGATCATGCAACTTCCAGGTGTGCGTATTTTGTGATTCATGCCCGTCGAAATGAGGTGGTGCGGTCGTCGCGCGGTGATGTGAACGAAAATCTTTGTCGAATACGATGCGATTAGGATCTTCGTTTTTCTGTGCTGGAGTTCGACATCCTAAGGACGATAGTGTGCGACGTTCGTTCATCCATTTACGATAGGGAAGAAGGGTTGGATCGGTCAGAAATCGTGTTTGGATCTTGAATACAAAGCATGCAGTGAAAAAGAAACGACCCGTGTATGGCGTTCGTGTCTTACTTCATCGGGTTTATCTTCATAACGAGCAAAAGCATCGTATTCGTGTTTATCGTAATCATCTCGAGTAATAAATTTCTAAAAACGAAAGTTATACAAACGATTGCCATTTAAAAAACCGTCTTCTTGCTATTTTTAATTGTTCATAACTTTGGAAACGACCTATTTTTACCAATTGTTTACAAATTGTTATGAATGTAACATGTCACTGGTTTACTTTCTTTTTTTAACTAGACATTGTGTCAGAAAACATGACCCGCCGACGTTATACTTACATGTTTATTAACAAATTCAAGAAATTTATTGTACTGTTGAGTATTGAAGCGATTCCGATTAGTACGTGTTTTTTCCAGTCGTTCACATTGTTTAGCTTTAGCCACTGAAAACGGTTCACGAACATGACAGCAATAATTTCGATAGATAAATTCTCGACGACGACTTTCTTCAAAATCGTATTTATTCATTAGTTGATCGTAATCCTAAACAAAACGAACGTATTTCTTTCCGTTGAATTTTTTCCTACTTACTTGAAGTAAGTCTTTCGTTGCTGTTTTGATCTCATTATACGAAGAACTGGTGTTCGATTCACGCTGAAATACACAAAAGTACTTTGAATATGAAACTGATCGATCGGATGTTTTACTGGTCGAAGTTTTTGCTTCAATCTTCGTTGCTGTTCATCCCATTCATTAATTTCAAACAGTCGACGAGCACTCGCACGACGTGATAAAGGTCGCGTTGATTCTTGTTGTTCATTAGAATCACCTTGACAAGATGCAGGTGACGATGCGGTCCTTAGACTTAACGATGCACTCTAAAGAATTAACTATTTCTCTCTGCTCTATGAAAGGATTCGAAGAAACGTTTCTACTTGAATTCGTTTTACATTATGTTGAATATAATTATTTATAAACTTCTCCTCCAATTGTTTATCTTCGGTCGCACCATCACCTTTGTCTAGATCAACAGCTACATCCGACGCCGCTTGTTCTGAGACAATCTCAATCAAACCACCTCGTCGTGGTTGATATAAAGACGGCATCTATATACGAACAACAACACAGAAAAAGAATTTCAATTTAACAAGTTATTTCACGAAACATGCATATGACGGGTGCTTTCTCCATCAATAACACAATGCGTTGCTATGTAACACTATAAACAAAATTCTATTCAAAGTGCGACATCTTATAGAGTTCTCCCGTGTCGATAATTCACAAGATGATGATGACCACTTTAATCTTTCATCATATTCTTCTAAAAAGTTCTCAATAGTAATATTTTTATGTCATATTTGCTATTTTATAACTGTTTCGTCTTGAATTTCCACATGATTTTCTTTCCTGTGATTAGTCGTTAAGACGAAGATCATAAAACGACTGAGAAGGATGTAGGTGTCTACAATATCTTCTTATCTGTTATTTACTTTCGAACAAATGATATGTTTGAATAACTTCTGAACTAAGGATTTTCAATTACGTGCTTGGTTAATTGATCTTGCTCTAATAACTGGCATGTCTCATGTGCGTAGGACGTTGTACTTGAACACGTTCTTTGTTGTACTTTCGGGATCAAATAGCATGTCAATAATACTATTTGATATAATCTGTCTGATTGTTGATCATCAAACATGGCTTACCTATGCTCTGAACTTTCAACTTATGGATACATATTGCAATTTATTATTTGTATGGTTCGTGTAATTGCGTAAAAAGCAATTTTGTCGTCATCGTCGAATGTTTTTCTTCCCTTTTCAGTCATGTGTTATGCTTGTACAGCAAATCATATATTTGGACGCACACTATTTTGTCAAGGTCAAACAAAAAAAAACGTAGGCTGGCCGAAAGAATATAATTTTATCAAATAAATACCCCTCCTTTCTCTCCCTCTTTCCGCCTTTTCCCTTTTCTCTTATTGCTTCATAGCTGCTTTGAAATTGTAGAGATAAATGAAGTAATAATATGAGAGAAAAACTTATGCAGACACTGTTGGTACACATAACTTTCGCTGTTTGTCGTTCTCTTACAATTTTACCTGTTCTCAAGAACAGCAAACGTAACCTCCTAAAGAGAAAATATTATATGTATGAAACCTAAAAAAATAAAGAGAAAGAGAAAAAACGAGAGAGGAAAAGAGAACCTATAAAAGAGAAAGATGTGCTGGCGAGACGCTGCATTCTTGATCGAGCGAAATCGGCAGAGGGTGTTTCTATACAGCTGCGGGTCGGCACCAATATTCTCCAAAACGGTTAATCGCGGGCGATATCAACCCAATTGAACAAAAATGTATGAAGGAAATATCCAACAAACAACAAATCCAACGGCTGGTCTGGTGGGTTTGTTTACAAATTCGTACTATCAACAAGAAGAGACAGAGACAACGCAGGTAAGACAAGTGACATATACATTTATTAATGAAAAAGATTTGAAAACTAAATATGAGATACTTGTTCACATTTGTACTCAACGAACTTTTTCGACCGGTGAAGTCTGTACTAAGAAGACGCTACGAATGACTGCGCGTTCGTTTTAATTATGTATTCTATTTCGATAAAAAAGAACGATTTGAATCATCTAGTGTCGTTTCTGTATAATTAGTGTAGAAAGAGAAATTCGATTTGAAAATTCTCAGGTAAATTTATGATGAGTCATCGATCCGAAAATAGGTGTAGAATTTGTCTTTTAACTTGGTTTTTTCCAATCTTTATTTTTCGATGACTCAGACAATACTCCGTGTTTTTCTTTGCATTAATATGTCATCACGAGATGAAAGTTTTCGAAATGGTTACTATGTCAACACAACAAAAATAAATCGAGCAGCCAGGTAAAAACAATTCTGTTGAGTCCATATTTTCTTTTTCTGTCTACCACTTATTCAAAAGTAGTTCCTCTATATAGTCTCGATAGGTTTTTGTTGTTATTATTCAATAGCTTGTGTCGCATGAAAAGAACGAACAGAAAGAACATCATCGTTCGCCATAGTTACTTGCTGCTTTTAGAGAATAATGAATTCAATAAATATCACAGATGCCTTTTAAAAATGTTCCCTGCCAGTAAATCTTCAGGGGGGAGAATATACAGGCACACGCCAAGCGTGAAATCAACTCGTATAAACTGTTTCTTACAATGACGACAACAATTTTCATTTTCTATAAAGGAAACAGCCAGTCGGAAATAGTTCTATTGCATACAGCAGAAGGCAGATGATTGAATAACAAGTTTACAAATAAATAAAACCATATGGCCGGCGTTAGACACACTTCATCGATACGAACTACAGTTTTCCAGACTATCAGTAGAAAAATCTAATAAAAATGTTTTGTTTTGATGAAGTACTCCAGACATTGATATCAACGTTCTGGTTTTATTATAATAGCTTGAAGTTATTGAATAGATTCTAACTTTTTTATTAATTAATTTAGACAAAAAACAAACATAGTCAGAAGATCAATAAGATCGTCGAAGAACTTTACAAGCTAACGTTTATATCACGACGTGGTCAATTTGAAACAGCTCGTTCAGGTGGAAGGAAAAATAAAAATGAAATCTTGGCATTAGTTCTTGCACGGCTAAATAAAAAGAAATATTTGAATGGTTCGAAATACTTTCGTAAGTGTGCAGATGTAGATTTATACGATTTGAAAGACGATTCAATTTCATTCTTTTAGATGAATCGAATCTCGCAAGAGATATTCAAGTTCATGTAAGAAAAAAATACATTTCTTTCTTTCGAATCTATGTTTTATTTGAATTATTTAGTCGAATACTGGCGAGTTCATTCTCGTCCTCCGCCTTGACGGTCGTGTTATTGCCATGAGCGATGAAGCTGAACATCATTTAGAAAAATCGATGGTAAATAAGCGTTTGATTGTGCAACCAAAATCAAAAATACAAGTTTTTCTTTAGCGATCTTTATATACACAATGTGTGAATATCTTTGAGAGCCTCGATCAAGCAGATAGCGAACGCTTACATTCAATTCTCGCTTCTTCGGCTGATTCGAATCAACAGGAACATCGTATGGTGTGTACTCTTCGTTTGCCTAAAGGTAAACGACCAAGCAGGATCAATGAAGATGTGAAGGTAAATAGATCTTGCATATCTCAAGGCATAGATGATAGATTTGTTCTCTTCGTAGACAATAGCGATGGCAGGCCACTTTTATACATGCCAGGATTCATCATCTTCAACATCAAATGAACGATTGTTCATTGCGCGCTGCGAAGCGCTAATCTCTGCAACAGTAAATCGCTCGAGTTCATCGCAAACAACATCAATGAACACTTCGAATTCGCTAATGAAAATTATGCTGAACGAGGATATGACCGTTCAGAATATTTCATCAAAGTATGTTTTCAAGTTTAACAGATATTGTAAACATCTCATGTTCATCTTTGCAGTGCCCATACTATCCTCGGGTATTCGAACAAAGACATGTTCGGTAATTGGATCGGACGGTATTTACCAACATCCGATATGGATAAATTCGAAGCTATTCGTAAAAAACACTGTAATGTTAACTAATCTATCAATGTTTTTTTTTATTGCTTTTTCTTTCATGCTGTAGTCGAACATGAACCGAACCAACAACAATCGCCAATCAGCGTGTGCGATGTGTTCGATATGTATACTAACAATGGTGAAGGTCGTTTGACATTCTTGTGTCAAATAAGACCTATTCGTGAGCGTCGAAAACCGGTGAAATTCGCCATCATTGCTCAACTTGTCAAGTATGTAGAGAGAAACTAAGAGATTGAAGACCTATTTCTCTTTTTTTCTTTGATAGTCCATCACAACGAGGCGAATATCTGAAATATGTGCAGTCAGCAGGTGAAGCAAATACTAACACAACTAAAGCTGAACAAGTAAATTTCGGTGCGCCGTGTTCGTGTCTCCTTGCAAGCATATTCTGACGATAGATTTTATTTTTCAATCTCTTTTAGTTTCATCATCAGTATCGCAAACGAGCAAAGACACAATCATGGCCCATAGTCCGACATTCACCAATGTGGCTGAACTCATATTCGATGGGACCGCCCAGTATGATACCCTCCACCGCCAACAGTACTCACCATTCAATGATATCCTCTCAAACGCCGTTGCACCGATCAATGTCGATGACGAATCTGGGAATGAATTATTCAATACCGCTTACGGCGAATATTCAACCACAGACTCTCAATACTGGCCAGGCAAATACATCGACAGCATCTGCAACGACGACAGTTCTGCCGATGATCTAGAAAACGCTATTTATCTGTTATGTAATTCTGTTTAATTCGGAAAGCAATGTATGAAGAACATTTTAAGGATCGCGTGAAAACATTTTATTAATTCATTATCTCTGTCTTCTTCTTCTTGGTGTGCTTTGTGTTTTTATATAGATTTTCGGTGCTGGTCACCGAGATCTATTTTTTTTTGTGTGCGTGTGCAAAGACGTGATCCTGTGTTGAAAGATTCACATTGTGAAAAATGTCTTCGTTTTCCCGTGTCGTTTTTTTCTTAACTTAGATGAGCTTTTTTGTTCCGCTGCTTTTATTTTGCTTACTGTTGTTAGTGTGCATGGAGACAGAAACTAATATATGCGATTGGCCGGTGAGTTCGAAAGTTTTTCTTTTTTTTTGTTGTCATGTTGTATGACTATCTAAGTGTCAATAAAGACTTTGAGAAAAGAGTCAAAAATCAATTTGCAACTCATTTAAAGGAAAAAAGCATCGTTCCTATTCATGGATAGAAAGATTTATTTACATTTGAAGAAGACAGACTCTCACCTTGAGATTTCAATGCCATTTACTAATAATAGACTGTTGAACAGATATCCTATTTCACTCTCGATCAGGCAATGCTCATCTCACTCAACAAGTACAAAGGAAATTCTGCTAATCAAAGCATTGGGTATCAAAGTCAGGAGAACAAATGTTTTCGCTGGTATCAGTAAGAGTCATTTTCCAGTGAAATTCAACAACATCCGCTCTCAAAAATCTATTTTATTGTTTTATTAATAAACAAAACGCCTACTTTTGTTCTACGCAAGAGAAAGTCACATTTACGGAGTTTACACTCTTCGAATATTAATAGTTAAAAACGCATTTCAAACAAAAGTCCATTATGTAGATGTTAGTAATAGAACTCATTTAGTTTGTGAAGCACTCTAGTTAAAACAGTGGTGCAGAATCTCAATTCATGATTACGTTGCATATCAGATTTCTGTATAATTCTCTCGAAATGGGTCTTAAGACGTCGTTAGAGTGGATTTCCTGATATTCACAAAACATCCGCTCAAATTACTTCGACGTAATGAAAATAGATAAATATAGAAGGTGGCTGATGTCAATCGGTGAGTGCAAACACGAACTCGAATCGTCTGTTGGAACGAATTGATCAATGTTTATTAATCTAATATATTTGTTTCATTCGTATTTATTCATGTCAAAATAAGAAGACATATAATATCAAAGAAATACAATATAATTACATAATTCGTTTTTCTGTTATAAATATAAAATAGATAATGAATTTAAAATAGAATGTAAGACATCAAAAACACGCAGATTTTGTTGTATATATTTGAGAGTTTGACAAGTAAACCATTGACAAAAGTCGAGTCGATTAACTAGACAAGATGACTAGATCTCTGAGATGAAAAGATCCTAAAGAAAAAGCAAATCAACTGGAAAGACTCTCTACTAAACTTACATTAACATTAACGATTAAATATTCGATTAGTTTAGCTTGATAAGGTGCTTCGAGTAACGTCGAAAGCGTAGTATCGTCTTCCGTTCTAAAGAAGAAAAGTGTTAGTTTAACTAAAAATAGTATCAGGAAGGTTTTCTTTACCGTTGCTGAGATTTAAATAACGTCGGCCCAAAGACAATGCCCAAGTTAGCGGCAGACATTTGATTTTCTTGTTCGCTCAAGGAGATCAAATGTAAATGTTGAAGCAAATGACATAGGGCTTGTCGTGCATGGCAAGACACTCTTTGTTCGAGAATTTGTCGTAAACGATCGTTGATTCGTGGAGAAACTTGATTTGATGAAACACAGATTTCTTTTCCAATATGCATCAATTCAGTCTGAAGTGCATGTGATGAGTCGGATGAATCAACAATTAATAGTAATGGAACAGGTAATTCACGCAGATATTTCTTAACAGCATTTGCGAGTACGATGGCCGAGTAATTGTTAATCAAATCTGATTCATGTAATTCCACACCTTGAACGAACTGTCGGCAGAGATAATCAACTTTGGATTTCACACCTGATAAACGATAGATTCCCTTGATTTTGTGTCCTTCGAGTTGTTCGATACACTGACAGCAGAGTTGAATGATATTCGGAATCTGTCGGATTGAGTTGTCTTTCGTCGAAACGGTTTCCTCTTGGGTTGCACAAGGTGGAAGTGATTGAATATAGCTGCTGTAAGACGAAATTAAGTCAGCTTTCGAACGTGGAACATATGTTGATGAGACATTGCTAAGAAAATCTGTTAAACGAAAGTATGTGTTTAGCGATTCGGTGATAACATTCTCGGTGTTCGCAATCAGTTTGTTCAGCATTGTTAGTGTTTCGTGTTTGGTCAATTGAAGTTCTTTTTGTTTCAATTCCAAATCATTCACAATGGCTTGCAGATTTGTTTCATTCGTTGTGGGCAGTGTTAATGGAGTGGGGGATGTGTGAATTGTTGGTGGAGATGATGCTGTACGTTGCAATGCTGTGTGTGGTAGAGAAATAGAGAGATTAACTGAAGTATTGATCGGATCTGACGATGTTGATGATGATGACGACGATGTCGGAAGGTGAATAACTGATTTGGAATTTGAACGAGCGTCTTCAACTGCTTGCGATGCTTGTTGCTGAAAAATTACAATTGTATTTTCGATCATTTCTATACAATAAAGAACTTACGCATCGTTTATAGCATTTATCCCACTGAATTTTCACTGTTTTTCTCACACTATCATGATATGTTCGCCAAGAATCAAGTTTCTAGAAAACAATGTAAGTTTTACTACAATTAAATCTATTTTTTCCTTACTCCCACGAATTCATGCGTTTGTAAAACCATCCATGTCGATTGAATTCGCGAATAATGCTCATTATCTTTCTTCAATTGTTTCAACATCAAATTGACTCCAGGTAAATATCGATAAGTTGTTAAAAATGATGATAATGAACTGTGATTGAGTATTTTTGTTGTCCGATCGACATGATTAAGTTCTTCAACAGATCGCTCTTGCACATAATGTACCAATGAAAACATGTACTTGGAGAGATATTTTGCATGGTCGTGAGCAATGTCGACGCCATCGTTTCGTTTCATGAGAATATCAAGTAAAACATCACTTTCTCGATTTGGTGCATCCGTACTTTTATCATTCGTTTCAGTGACATCGGAGTTAACTGGTGATGGTGGAAGGATAAAACGATTGGTGATCCTAAAATCAAAGATGTTTCTCTTATTCTCTTCTTGATTTCGTCATTACCTTGCACTTAAACACAAGGCTAATTGATCGATAGCTTGAGAAAACGGTTCTGGATTATAATCTGTACTGTTCGACGAATGAATTTCTATGAAAAAGAAAGAGAAGGCAATCGGACTATCGAGAAATTCGTTGATATTACCTTGTAAAAGATGGATTAGTTTAGTTGCATACTCGAGAACATCAATCGAATCAATTAATCGATAGGTTTCAATGATATGTTTGAGAATAGTTAACAATTGATTGAAAATGATTGGCATACGTTCCAAATCTGAATGAAACCGATGGGAAAATGAACGATAAACAAAAGAATTCTTTACCTTTCCCGTCGACGGCTTCTTTGAAATGTACCATTGCATCATTGAAAGTTTCTAAATCGATTAATATATCATTCTCATCCATCTGAAAAAAAGAACACAAGTAACACAAGAGATATAATTGAGATAAAACAAAAAATGACATGAATTACTAATTTGTGTATGTTGGAATAAGTAAAACACTAACGAAAAATGTACAAAAAAGAAAGAAATGCATGCTAAAATGTAATATCAATTCGATGAAAGAATATTTGGTGTCGATAATCACAGTATTATTAGTTGATCTACTTGCAAAATACCAGTTAAAAGTATAAGAAAGAACGAAAACGAGATTATTGGAAAGATCTGAGTATAAATCGTTTATTCACTGTGGATAATAACTACCAATAGATGTTCGTCAGTCACGTTGTTCATGGAATGTACCTCATCGGAGAAAGTTATCGACGGGCAGATTAGTTTTAAGATCTTTTTTGTGAATTGACACGGAGGAAATATGTGTAAGACAGCGGTCTCTTGTCGAGAAGAATGATTGTAATCATAATGATAAGTTGGATAGAACGGAACTGATATAACACCTGCTGCTTCTTTTCTAAAAAAGAAAAATTTCAAATATTAGATAGTATCTTATAATTCTCAGTTGGATCGATAATTATTTCCGATCAGTCTTGAATAACTGAAGGAAAATGCTCTTAATCTTATCGGATACTGAGACATGCACGGAAGCCGATGTATAATTAACAAAGCCGTGTTTTCAAACACTACTAATCAGTGTGGAGATGCTCATTTACACACTTACTCAGCTAAATATGAGATCAAACGTGAAAGTAATGGTTCATCTTCGTCAGTTGTCTTCTCTATTGTTTCTTCTTTGATTCGAACAGGTTCATCATTTCCATTGGACGGTAGATGTGATGGTGAAGCTTTTTCATGTTTTATATGACCATTCGTGTCATGTTCGAGACGTGGTTTAGCCGTTGTATCTTGGGTGTATATCTTAGGTGTGGCGATAAGAATGGAAAATCTTGTTTGATTTGGAAGCGTCGATTGTTTTCGACTAGCTAATGATGTGGAATCATTAGGTGTTTGATTTGTTGCATTCGAATTTGTATTGTTGCTTGCTGTAGTTAACGCAGCAGTTACATTAGCACGAAGCTTCTTCTCCAAATCTTCTAATTTATGCTGTTCAAGACGAAGTCGTTGCATGATCCGTAATTCCGTCTTCGCTGCAACGAGATCACCTGGTTGTCCTAGAGAAAATCAAATAAAACCTTGCCAACAATGACTTCAACAAATAGATACCTAGCAGAATACTGGCTAATGTTGAACTTCCAGCAAGAAAATGCATCCGTGCATCATAAGCATGAGATTTTAGAATAAATTGGACAGGATAAACAGTCGATAATGCGGTATTGTTCTGTGTTGCTGAAGAATTCAATTGTTCACAAAGCACCATCAGCGAATTAACGCTAGTTATATCAGCGGTATGAGTTGCTGATAAATAAGAACCTAGTGGACCATGAAATGTTCGTCCAGCAACAGGAGACATATCCGCTAAAGATGGGGTTTGACTGCCATCCGTTGATCGCCGTTGTTTAATGGGATTGGCTATCGACGGCGTTGGTGAACGTGAATGCGTTTCCGTTTTGACATTTTCTATTGCAATATCTTCTGTCTGTTCGACTGGTTCCGGATGATTCGATTGTGAACGTGAACGAGATGATGATCGAGATGTTGACGAGCTCTTATGAGATGAGGATTTGGACGATGATCTTGATTCACGTCGATTTGATGAATTTTGAGCTAGTTGACTAATGAAACGGCGAACCACGGCCGAACGATCATAATAATCAATATGAAATCCTAAAACGATACCAAAGACTTTGCACCACAGACTTCCTTTCATATTTCGTACCTTCACGTGATAATGTCGATGGATCACAATGATCAGAAATAATTTGTCCACCAGTTACTTGTATAGCACCGCTAAGTTTCGTTCGAGCTTTGATTGCATCTTCAACATCAACATATGTAACAATTGCTGATGAATTACCAAATGAACAGTGGAACTTTTCAATCGGTCCATATCGCGAAAACGCATGTTCGAGGTCACGTCGTTTAGCATGTTTACTTAAATTTCCGATCCACAGATGTCTGCTTGGTCCAGTTCGACCTGAAATATATAAAATATTGATAAAGACGAGAACAAAAGGCGTACCATTCGTTATCTATGTATGCAGCATCAAATATGCAACTGAAAAGTCAACGAGAAAGTCATACAAACTGTCTGTCACCAATGGATCAATCTATCATTATTATCTTTCTGTAAGTTGAAAGAATGCTATGTCCAAAACATAGATAGACGAGTGCAAGAATTAAAGAAACAGACTTGTCGAAAAGGCCGAGTCAGAGAAGAGTACATCTTTATCGATAGAATCATCTCAAACTTGTACATATGTATATATTTTAACGAATCGACCACATTACGGAGTAATATATCAAATATGATAACTAAAGTACCATCTCTACTCCACTTGACATATACATTTATTATTCACGTAAAAATTTTTATTTGTCAAGTGTGTACACATATGAATAATAATTGATAGATGATACAGTCATCTACAATGGATATGTACAAAGAGTCGTGTTTGTACATCAGCGTGAAGTCATACTAAATGGAAATCGATTTGTGAGATACATCGATACTATCGTGATATGATACTCTAATTAACGTCTCTCTGTGGGAAACTCTAAAACGATAAACTTGGAGGGTTGCAATAGAGAAGAAGCAGAGTGGGTTTGATTAATGGATGGAAAAAGTGAATGAGATATATGATCATTTACACACCATAGCCAATCTTGCTTACGGTTTCACCAACAGATTGACCATCCATTGCTTGTCGAGCACGATAAGCCATTTCCATTGTTTCAAATGTAATTATCGCTGCTGCACGTTTCGATGATGACGGAGAGTTTTTGATACAAACTAAATAAAACTCATCGGAATGACATTTTCAAATTCTCATTTCCCTTACTGTCGTCAATTGTGCCATATCGGCTGAAGATTTGTTCTAATTCTGATTCAGATATGTTTCGTTCGAGATTTTCAACAATTAGAGTACGTGATGGATCTTGTTGAATGGCAGGTTCATGATCTGAATTAGCTCGATGAGATGGTGATCGACGATTCGCTGGACTTCGACTTCGTTGTTGTCTCGATGATTGTTTCGAAGAAGGACGATGACGATCTGAGGAAGGTGGAGAACATCGATGCGATCGATTTGGTTTTTTCTCGATATAATCTTTCAAATCGGGTGGCAGTGGCAAGTATGATGGAAAATTCCGACGCAATAATCGAGAAGGGCGAGAACGAGGAGGAGAAGATGAAGATATTGGACGTGGGTATTGCAATGATGTTTGACGATAAAAATGGTTTGGAAAATTGATTGGAGGTGATGGAGAACGTCGTGCCGATCGGTGAGTTGAACGTTGATCCGCTATAAAACGTTTGTGAAGTAATCCAGGACCGATTGGTGTGTTAGAAGGAATGGTTTTACGATAAAACACTCTACACACATTGATACAAAACAACAATCAAGACACAATGAAAAACTTACGGTTCTAAGAAAACTTCTTTGCCATCCCAGGTATGTTCTGCTTCACTTTGACGAGCTCGTCGTGCATCCGTAGCATTCGTGAAGTTGACAAATACCACACGTTCATTTGGCTTATGAAAGATTTTCACTGTATGTGAACCATATTTCGAAAATTTCTTATCACACAATTCTCGAACTCCTATTTTAAAAACATCAAATTACATAAGTATTTCTTCGTTTCTTCTAATCGCTTACTTGAATCTGAGATTTTCGAATTGATCTGTTTGACACAAATGGATGTATAACCACAAGGATCAACGTGCTGATGGCGTTGACTCTCGTAATAATCAGGCAAGTTAGATGGTTTCGATCGTTTTGACAGAGACATCGGATCAAATGGTGAACGTGACGAACGTCTTCGACGTGAACTATTAGATCTGTATGAAGATGAAGGTGGACTAAGCATTGTTGTCCTAATCGATTTGATCTAGAAAGTACAGATGGAAAGGATGTTTGATATAGATTGTCATTTGGGAATGTGGAAAAGAACACACAGGAAGAGAGAAGACAAGACAAGCAAAATAAGAGTAAATATCAATGTGATAGGAAATAAATAAAATCTTTTCGAATATCTAAACACATATTCTCTTTTGTCTTTTTTAATTATTTATCGATGAATAAAATGATAAAAATATTTTCATTCTTTTTTTTGCGTAGAAATAGGTTTCTCCTCCTTTGATTAATCATATAGATGTCAGTAGTAGTACACGCGTGAGACAGTTTTAGAGAATTGAGGACATCTGTAGAGAGAAAAGCGGAATAAGTAGAGTAAAGAATCGGATTCTTTGCTTTTACTTTCGTTAGAAGGATTTCCTTTTCCGCGTAAGTCTGTTTGGAAATGTTGGATCAGTAAAGAAGTGAAAGAGTTCAAATATTTTCCTGTTACAAACGGGAAAACAAGCATTCATATTCAACTGTCCTCTTTCTTTTAGACTAATAGAACTCCGCTTATATTCGTTCTGAACAACGCGCACAACAATGAATAAATAATCTCGTCGAATGAACAACTGTCAAAATATGGAAAGTTTACTAAGAAAACCTCCGTTCAAACGTTAAACGATAAGAAAGATTGCTCATAATCTAGAAGAGATAGTCCTTAATCTGGAGGAATAACGACAAAATTGATGAGATTCGTACATTCAATATGATAAGAACATCTCAGGGATAGTTAAGTTCTTAGATCAAATTTACCTGGTTTCACAAGTCGCTCTTCTCTGGTATTTGATGGATTTAAATGATCACAGAGAGATTAACACATTGATGCATTTCGATATGCCCAAATATTTTCAACTGTTCTTCTAGTGTTGACGGAAATGAAGATTTCTGAATAGAACCACATAATAGTCTACCAAATGCCTGTGACTTTCCATTGTATTAAACAAAGGAACAATGACACATTGTCTTTTTTAATAAAGCTTAGTAAGCTTTTCAGTAGTAATTTCGTTAAACATAGGAATGCAGCCAACTCATCCATCGAGATCGGATCTAATTTTAACGCAATCTCCGCATCCAGTTGTGAGTTCACTCAGCGGAAAAGTATGTCTGTCGTTCTCGATATGGATGAAATCAATCAACGAGTATCATTTTGCTTCATAGGAAAACAATGAGCCTCTGACGCCGATGTCAATTAAACGAAAACAAGTTCTAATTAATGAAAAGAATACCAGTATCCTTCAACTATGGGATCAAAAGTTGCGTCTATCCAACGATCGAATGGAGGTACAAACTTCGATTCGTGATCTTATCTCGCCTGTTGAAATACTTTCTAGGCATATGCTTTGAGCGAAATGGCAAATATCGAACGTTTGCGTAACGTTGAGCAACAAATAACATCGACAGTTGATGAATTCACTAATGATTTTAAACAACGTATGCAAACAATTCTTTCACAAAATCAATTATTACTAAGTGAGAAGAAGCTCTTGATTGACCGACGAAAATTACCTTTTTGCTATCCATAGCACAAGTACCACAGACATTAGCACCATCAACTCTCTTCAAAGATGGACAACAGATGTCTAGTGAAGCTTTTTTTGACGAAATGAACGTAGGATTGATCATTTTCAAGTTGAATCCGACTGCTATTATAGACTTGTTTAGAAACGTTATTTTACTAATGATAAATCTTTTGAGAAATATGCTGAAACAATGGAATTATTTCGATCGACATATCTGATTTTGAAAAAGAATAATGATCAATTACGCGAACAAATGAAAAATCTGGATGTAAATCAAGAGTTACTCGAAGTAATGCTTTGTTTCGAACAATTATCTAAAATTTTTATTCTGCACGTATTTACATAGATGCAAGAACGACTGGAGAAGGCGCTGTTAGAACGTGATAGTTATTTATCATTGTACACAATGGCAAAGATACGTGCAGAGAAAGCCGAAGAGAAAAATACGAAAAACAACGAACAACAACAATCCATTGTTGAACTTCTTGTTGAAAAATTCGGCTTCATCGATCGTATCCTTGATACGAGCACATTGCTTGCACGTGATTTATTTAAAGTTGATACCAATATTGAAATATTTGTCAACTTTAATGTACAACTAAGTACAGGAGAACAAGGATACATTGAAACAGCGAAAGGTTGTCCACCAGGCAAATTTAAAATATGTATACCAAGTATGTGTAGACTTTTGAGATGAAGTTCGGTGTTGAATATACCTGTTTCATTTTAGATGGAATTACTCGTGAAACGCAAGAATTAATTATGAAAAATGATGATGAATCCACGGAACCTGTGCGTGTTATTCTCAAGTTTCGCAAATATCTTTTTCAATCAGATATTAACTTAGATGAGTCAGATTAATAATCACTGTACAAATATTATTCTTCATACTTAATCAAATATACATTTTCATAACTTGAATCACTTCTTTTGAAACAGTTCGATGACAGTACCGTCCATCAACTAATTGACACCATCAATCATCTGTAACAAGCGACTACCTATGTGCTAAAATATGATGAACCAAAATAATGCATCTTTGTGTTTCTCACCAGATGATATCATTTCGTCGTTTTTCCTTTTCGAAAATGCAAATGAATTGAGTAATTGACGCATCTTCAATCATCATTATCATCAACAGAACAGACATTGATTAGCATGATTGTTCTCAACTTTCTCCTATCAGTCACGTAGGAGGAGGAGGAACGAAGATCGATACGGCTCGTTAATATCTGAACATCAGTTTCCAATAATAAACAAATTGTCAAACAATATGAAGATTTTTTTTTCACAACGATTACCTACTTGTCTTCATTTATCTTCACATATCCAACGAATAGAATTGAGAGAGAAAAATCATTCCAGTATTCTATTGGCGGAAAATTCATTGAACAGTACCCTACTCCAGTCTATATAAATACCTCCTCTTCATCGATGGATATCAGTTCGTAAGTATCATCAATCCGATATGGTTATTCATTGAACAGGTTCACATTTGTTTGCTTTTGATGGTCAGTAGTGATCGAGAACGAAGCAAGCAGTTGCGCACCTGTACGGTATTAACCAATACTCGACGAAACTCACAAGACAATTCAAAATAAGCAAGCTGATCTTCAACGAAGTGATTTTCAAGAAATAGGCTCATCACCTGTAAACTGAACGATATTTCAATACCTATTCAGTTGCCAGGTCTTCAGCCCTCTTGCGAGAATCGATATTCATCATTGATCTACCTTTCCATTCGTCTTGCATCCACATCTCATCGACAAGTTCAATTCAAAGAGATTCATAATATATATATATTTAAAAAAACGGGAAAAAAGCAAGCCAATGCAAATGAAATAAATAACTGAATATAACTTTTCTCATACTAAATCCTTTCGACGAGAAGGTAACATGCATAAATGTTTTAGAATGACATGACAAAAAAAAGTGGATCTTTTCAGCGCAATAGACAGAATATGACTGAACCTAGAATATTGAAAGAGTTCACTCTTACTTCTCGTATGTCCTGAGAGAAATAATAGATCGACTTCAAATGCAAGGATAAACAGAAAAAGAGAAAAAAATAGGGAGTTGAATAACAATGAAATGTGATAGAAAAAAAAGAAGAAAACAAACAAAGTTCGTGTAAATAAATAAGTGTTCCAATAGATATCACAATAGGATTTTCAGACCAGTTCTTTGGTGTTTATGCTGTCATTGGTGAGGTTGTTAGTGTGTGACTCAACAACGACTTCTCCTGATCGTTGGACTGGTGCAAAAATCGTCGGTTGATTTTTTGCTAAAACAAAAGAAAAACACAAATGAATGAAGGCATTTCAAGTAATCATTGAGAAAATTATGTCAATTAAGCAATGAAAGGAAACAAACATTCTTCTATAAGTTTTGTTTTACGTTCCTATGTAATCAGATAGTTTTTTTCTTTGTTAAAATTTCAAAGATTTCTTTCAATATTATTCTTACTTGTCGGCGCCAGAGAAGTAATTCAATTACAACAATGATTGCAACAGTGGAGAATAAAGCGACAAGAATATAAACTAATTTCAACGATTGATGAGCACTGTGACCTTTTTGAAGAATACCACTGACACGTTTCAATCGATTTAATGTTTCATCATTCAATGTAATTCTCTGCAAGAATCAATGAAAAATTCCATTTGTAAAAGTGGTCTTCTTACTTGATCGATCCACATCATTGGAATAAAACGACGAACAGCACGACTATTTGTTGGACTAAAAGAAATTTTTAGTAAATCTTCGAAAAAGTGTTTCTTTGACTCATCGTACTTTGTTGTACCATCTTCACTGACTTTGATACGATCGATCCAGGCATTAGCATTCAATTGAATTCGTAATTGAGCAAGAAGAGGTGTGCCGGACAGTGGTTCGAAGTAAATTGTCGATTCATGTTTGTCCGCATCGGGTGTAAATGCAACATTTGTTGCCGAAGAATTATGACCATACATATGTGGTTTAGTAAGAAAAACAGTTTCAGGTGGAATTTCAGCTGAAAACAAAAGATGAGATTGAAGTAGAAAAGTTGAAAGAAGACAGATGTGACAAGAGACTTGTGATCTCGTAATCATAAAATCGATCGAAACATCTGTTTTATATCGAACTGTGAGACTAGCTGTCATTGTCATTTACAAATGAACAATTCAACGCTTAGTATACAATAGACCATCTCTGACTATTTTATATGACAACGAAAACGACAACCATCAAAAGAATGTCTGATTTCACTTACAAGATAAGCATTTTGTAATATCGAGTTTATCAGCTTCTGGACAAGTTTCATCCATCTGTGGGCAACTTTCATAATCGACTAATTTGAGTACATATTCATGCACTTGATCAATACCGAACATTGAGACAGTTCGATTGTAACGAAGTTGTACTGGTCTATAGAGCACAGTGACATCTTCGTACGTTCGATGAGTTCTCTTACCGGCAAAAGTCTGGTTGAAATACATTAATCACTTTTCGTGTTGTTGGGTTGCCGAGTGGTGGAAAGGTTAAACCATCTAAAATGAGAAAATATTTACTTGACCTCGTACGAACGAGAGTACGTACCAAAGAACGTTGTTTGCCAATCACTTGCTTTGGTTTCGAATGATGTACTACAAAGAAAATCAAATGTAATCGATTTCGACAAGACAATTTCTTTCATCATTTTTACTATTCAGATGCGAAATCAACCACACGACCCTTGTTTGTTGATTGATCAAGACCAGTATCGATTGTAAAGTTAAATCCATTACTTCCATTGTACTAAAATGTTGGATAGTCAACGAAAAACTTTCTTGCATAACAAATAGAAGTTACTCGGTAGATGAAACCATATTTTTCACGATTTGGTCCTTGCATTCTAGCTGAAATGGCTGCAAATAGTGGCGAAATATAACCTTCTAATTTATCGACGGCTTTGGAATGATTAAAAGCATTATTTCCGCCAAGAATATAGAAAACAGAATCTGCTACACGATTAAATTTTGTTCGGAACATCTGTAAAACGAAAAGTGATTGATAGAACGAACAAGACTTTCTCTTCCTGAATAAACATACCACACGAAGAATATCGACGAAAGCACCTTCTTGATTCAAAATTGTTTCGTTAAACTCTCCTTCGCGTGTAAAGATACGTTCAACTGAATAATGAATATTCTTATGATCATTTAACCATTCAACATTATTCTTCTTTATTACAACACTATCATACAAATCATTATTGATTTGACAATCCTATTCCAAGAAAAATGGCTTACCGATAATGCATTGGTATCGTTTCTTGAAATTCAACCATTGGATTATTAGTTTTGGTCATGATATCCATATGATTCGTGATATCAAATAAACGATAAGCACGGACGGTTTTCACTGGTGGATTCGACCAACTTTCAAGGCCGTCCGATGCTGGTGCCAGACGTGTTTTCTAGTTGAATGATACATTAGACTACGTGGTTTCTTTTCTATTAGATAAGAAATGATACTTACGGAAAGGACTTTTCCGTGAATAAACGATTTTGCAGTAGGCCATTTCATCAGAAACATGATTGCTGGTACAAAAAGTAATAAAATTAACAAAATTTCCAATGTTAGACGAATCGGCAAAGAACATAGTGACAGTTTCTTTCGTCTTCTTCCATCTAACGGTACTTCTTTGAGTTGCATGGTTCTAAACGAAAGATATTTGTGAAGATATCGGTCTACGTTCACTAGTACTACTAACTTAATCGGTGTAGTTATCGGTGGCGATTGTTGCATTATCTAGAAAGGTAAGCGAACTGTATTCGATACAATATGAGTAATCAAAACACCTGAGGACATAGAGAGCAATTGACGTGTAGAAAAAACGTAGAAAAGAAAGTTGCGTGGTTGCCACAACGTACGCAAACAAAATTTTACTTTTATAATGACTTTACCAATCGACGTAAGCACATCTACCTACTTTTCTTTCTTCTTCTTTAACTTCTCTTTACATCGTCTGTCTAGTCATTCGAAAGTAATGGTACAAAAATAAGTATTCATGTCTAACGATATGTGTTGCTGAAGTACAAGAAGAGAGTGCTTACTTGTGACCAGTAAACTATAGAAAAGAATAATACATACAGATGTAAATAATTGCTGCTTGTTCTTATGGACGTGGATGGTGATAACAATAAGCGAAAAGAGGGAGGCGGCAGAGAGAAAGAAACAGGGACGAAAATACGTACAAAAACAGAGCATATAGTCATCTTAGCCGATCAAAAGTAAGAGAGAGTGAATGTTATTTTCTCGAAGTCATGCCGCGCGCGCACTGAAACGTGTGGCTATGCAATAAAATTGCCATATGGAATGTTTTTTTCGTGTTCTGCTAAAGTATTTGATTAAAAGTAGCCGTTAATTATATCTGTTTTTAATCAAATCGACATTCGCGACAGAATCATCACCTTTCGTACTGTAAATAGCAAATTTCTAAACAAAAAGCACAAGATCGAGTTGTTTTATTTCTTTTGTTCGATGTTATTTGTGATTTTGTTTTTCTTCTTTTCTTTTCTTTCCTTTGATGAAAATATCGTCATCCATTCACACTCATATCAATCGATCGAACAAACCCGATACATACTGAATGCGATTGGTATCTGAATTTCACTTGTAAATTGTCTTTTGAGTTAAAGAACGAAAAAGAACGTACTTTTTTTACCTTCATAATCAAATATCTATGCAATGTTTTCAAAGAAAAGATGGCACTATGTGACAGAATGCTAAACAAGGACAAATTGAACGTAGGAAGTCGATAGCAGTATTAACAATGAAACTCTTGACTAAGTAACGAAAGATAATGAAATGGAAAAACAAAGAAAGCTATGCCGAGAATTTGTGCTGGTTGTTTTTTGAAATGAATGTGATTAGCGGCGTGACTCTGGAAGAAGAATTTCGATTTGTTATAATTTTACAAAACAGAGTTGTTTTTTTTTTAATATCAAACAAAAGAGAAACTCAAATATGTTCGACAGTTCGAATATTTGGAATGATTCGCACACCAGAATAGTTCTTCGTATTGCTGCACAAATGTTAAAAATATGAAGAGAATATATTATCAAATCTGTCTGATAATATGTCGTAGGAGAAAGAGTGAATCTTATTTTCAAAGTGTAAAGGGAAGGAAATAGCTTATCATCAATTTGATATTGAATATGGTGTCGGAATAACAGTAGATTTATTGACATATACAAGAGACGCGTGTAAAATTGTTGGATATAATATTATACTGCTTGTGCGTATTTGACTGAATATTCACGGGCTTGATCTTCGAAAAGTTTTTTATCAGCTTGATATAAAGGAGCACGAGTTGGATCACATTGTTCGGAATCAATATCAGGAACAGCCAAACGTGCCCAAACATGTTCTAGAATAGCCTTTAGTGTCATAGATGGTAACCATTTTTCTTTCGTCAATAAGTTGGATATAAATTTCCCACATTCATCGACGTTTGGATGCATCATGGCTCGTTTGAATGTAACTGATTGTGGCGGAGCAAACTATATATAACATGGAATTAGAAGGTTTTAAAAAGTTATTGAACTTACCGGAAACTCTTCAGTTAGTTTAATATCAAGTAGAAATACTCCGCCCTGATACGGTGTTGAATTTGGACCTGAGATAGCAGCTTCGAGATGAAAATTGTTGTCATCGATTTGATCAACGAAAATAATGGGTGAATCATTTATACCATTGCGAAGTTCTTTAAGATCCAATTCAATACACTTTGCAGCGGTCGTCATATTCAAAGATACGAAAATGTTGTCTCAATTGGTATATACGCACCGGGTTGAATAAACACAAATGAGATGGTGACACTCACGAAACGTATATGCGTTTGTATTCAGGCTTTTTCCAACAAATCATTTTATCCCAATACTGACTGGATTTTTCCAGCCATTTATTTACATAGTTGTGAGAAGGGGACAATTATTATCAACATACGTCCATGTTTATATACTGGGAAAAAAGTTCATCGAAAAAAGTAACGAAAAACCAAGATAGTTTCCAAAGTAGAGAAATAGATCCCATTATAGCAATGTAAATTTGATACCGACGATAATCTGAGGACTAACTTCGTGATTACTCACCACCTGAATTTCTACTTGGTTTTATTGGTGCGTAATCAACCAATCCGATAGCAGAACCCGGTTCGATCCATCTAACATCAGTATTGTGCACTTGCGACTTTTCATAATAACAGCATTGCATGAGGTTTTAATATCACTAATTTTCTCATAAAAAATGAACTACTTCCTCCAGTGTCAAAAGTCTATCCTTCTACGAAGAGTTCAGAGAATACAGTCTATAAACCAGAACTATCAAATTCAGGCTTATGTCAGTATTTGAATTTAGTACAAAACAGCTATTTAAGATGAATTATGGTGGAGCTCTTAAATAAGTATTATACTTTATGGTTTGAGCTCTTTGTAAATTGATATTATAATAATACCTTTCGAGAACATGGCAAACAATATTCTGAGATCTTATTAACATAGCGCACTTCAAACATCCACACCTTCACAAGTTTTCTAAGAATATAAATTCATGAAACGAAACAGGGAGTATCCACACAAAAATTGTAATCTAGTTCTTTTAACATACATTAGTTTTGAACTTGTCAAAGATTTCACAGAAATGTGCCAGTGCGTGTTCGTGCGGCAAATGCTAATATAAGCTTTTGGTACCAAATGAACCATCAATCAGTAGACTTGAATAGAAGCATCTGCAAGAAATTCTTTTGCACGGTCGCATGTTCATCAGCTTTGAAAGAAGTTACATAAATCGTTTCCAAGCCATTACTCAGATTATATAGATAGAAAGGATGCAGAGTAGAAATGCGACATTTAAGAAAGGTTTCTTGAGAAAAACAGCATATATGTATGATTTGTATATCGAACGAAGTTACCCTGGATAACTTGTGCACGTTCATGAGATTTAATATTTAATTAGAGTTTCGAATGAGAAGGAAGGGATAAAATGATAAAGTCTCATATTTGCTCATCTCTGTTTACTGTTCTTGTGCGATTGACATCTTTTCCATAGGCGACGCACCTGATAGACGAAGGGAAGCAATTGCCTTTCGTAGGAAAATCTGGGAAGGAATTGAAAAGTTATTGTCTCTATTAATATTTTTAACTTTTAAAAGTTATTCTAAGAGTATTGCATCTCCCTTTCTCTCTTTCAAAAACTTTCTTATAGAAGTAAGAATGTCAAGAATTGAAAACTTTATCGGGATGTTTTTAAATAATAAATCTGAGAAACTAAAGACTTTTTTCAATGATTTCTCCGATTTCTTAAAATTATTTTTAGAAAATCTTCGTAGAGACTTCGAAAACATATTTTAAAAGTTTTCAAACCTTTCGCATGAATTTCCAGAAGCAAAAAGTGATTGAAAAACTAGTTTTCTCTCACGCTATAACAACGGCCGCTGCTATGGATTTGAAAATTTTATTACCTCGCCTTCAACGTGGAGTTTGCGTAGCGCATAATCTTTTCCTATGTAATAGCCTTTATTAAATTACTTCCGACTGTGTTGTCTACTAAACATTTAATATAGAATTTAAATATAGATAGAAATTTTTGTGACATAGTTGTTATTTCTTTTTCTCTCTTTTCACTTGGTCGTCTTTTGTTCGTCTATATGTGTTTCTACTGTCCAGGTCAAATGTTCCCAAGTGACATGAGACCCGGACATCTTTTTTTGTATATTCACAAGGAGAAGTTCCTTATGCCTTCTCCTTTGTTCTTGAGCCTTATTAAGGCTCGTTTTTTTTTCGAAATAAAGTGGTCATCGTCTCGTCGGCAAAGCAACTCGTCGCATTTTTCTTAACTATTTTGTGATACATTTTTTCACTCTTTTCTTAGATTATTCTTTGCTGATGACAAACACCACAGCATCAGCTGTTATTCTCAATACAGTCACTCTTATCAACACTTTTATTACTTCATTTATATGTCTAGTCATATTGATCACGCTTGTCTGTCGTGTTGCCCTTCGAAAGGATGTTCACCTTTTGCTATGTACGAATACGTATGTTGCTATTCTAGCTTACAGTTTAGCAAGTGGGTCGTTGTACATTGATGCACTTCGCGGTGATGTACAGATGTTTGCAGATGGCCTAAATGATTCTCTAATGTGTCAAATTCGCGGATCAGTTGTACTTGCATTACTCTCAGCGATTTTTGGTGCTTTTTGTTTACTCGCCTTTTTTCGTCTTTGTCGAATTGTCCATCGCCAAAAGCAATTTTTTCAACAATACCATATTCAATTCATTTTCGTTATTTTTAAATGGTTGCTTTCATTTACGTTCGTTTGGTTCGTCAAAATTGAATATTTGCCCAGTGAATACTATTGTAGTATACCATTTAATACCCTAAAGCCTGTTCTTCTCGCAAGTATTATTGCTTATGGGTTCCCATCTACTGTGATCGCTGTAATTTACATTCGAATTTCGTCCTATATTCATTATCATCGATTGATAATGGCAACTCAGCGTCGAACACGACGAGATTTTCTCACTATTCAACGAACCATGTTTATAGTCAGTATTCTCTGGCTTTTAGGTATTCCGTCAATGGTTTTACTCGTGTATGGTCAAGTTCACCGTGGGAGCATTCATCCGTTAACGTACCGAATCCAATGGATCACGCCATCCTTCGCCTTTTGTGTATTAAGTCTTGTTTTAATCAAATTTGACTCGCGTTTATCGAGTATTCTCGCACGAAGACAAGTAGTTCATATGAAATTGCGTGATATGAAAGTTTCTCAGCATAACCAGAATAGAAGATTACGAAATAAATCTTAATCTATTCACCATTGCATCTACTTTTATTAAGTCATACGGATAAAAACTAAAAGAATGACCAATCAAGTTAAATAATTCAATCAAATCATTTCGAAATTTTCAAAATAAATATTCACTCGATGGTACTATCAAATCATCATTTGAGGAGCTTCAATTCAGTTGGAATCACCGATGTTTCATTCTCATAGATGATCTCAACCATTGCAGATTGGTTATCTAAACTAATACGACCTGCTTCTAATATAGCTGTTTCTTGCAGTGTTGTGCCAATTGTTGGCAATTTTCTATCACATGTATCAATTTCAATTCTCTTGTCATTCAAATCAGCAACTGCGTCGATGAATGCTTCGAAGCTTCGATAACCATAGCCAAGTTGTCCAGAGAAGTAACCTGTATGTAGAAGAACTTAACAAACAAGCAAGAATTAGGTTTTTATTTACCATCAGTTGGAACCAATTTCATGTACAATGGGTTGATACTTAAATATCCATTTGTATCCGATGCGAGTGTATATCCTCGATGTGCTTGATCGATGTTGACTTCTCCATGATGACCAACGTAGAAGAACTTCTGTTGTGTATGTGTATCCGATTTCGCACTTATCCATGATGATGTATACACAGCTGTACCGATTGTTTTCGATGATAAATTTATCCATTGCACAGTCAGAGTGATGATGTCTTCTGTGTCGATGTTGTATTGCGATTTAGCCACGCCTGTTGAACCCATGGCGCTGATACGCACTGGACGCGCTCGACCATATAATGACCACATATGAAAATCGATATGATGGCTGTTGAGATAATAGGATATATCCGAAGATATTCCAGCCCCTGGAAGAAAAATTTATGGTCGCAGGATTAGATACAAGAAATACGAAGTGTACATGATCGAAATGTATCCAGTTGGAATTTGGGTTGAGACATAAATGAATAGAAATATGAAAAATCGCCAAGACTTTCACGGATGCGATCTCGAGCATCGGAATACATAGGATCGAAACGTTTATGGACTAAATAGTTCAAGTAAATACTAAATAAATGTCAAATGTTCATATATAAACCTTCGATTGTGACAAGAACATTCTTCTTTTTCGCCTCTTCATATAACTGCCGATGTTCAGCTAATGTTTTCACTGCTGGTTTTGTAATCATAACATGAATACCACGTCGAATAGCTTCTAAGGCCATATCAAAATGTGTATCATCAGGAGTGAAAATAACGCAAGCGTCACCCGGTTTAAACGCATCAAGAGCTTGAATATATGCTTTGCTATCAACTGTATCATCACCTGGCCTAGACATAGCAATAAATTTGTATCATCAAAATTCAATTGATAGTTCTTCTAGCGATAGATAGATACCTACCACCAGTCCATAGTCAAATCCATATCTTTATACGCTTCGCCAATTGCTTGCTGCATATATTTTCGTATTTCGGGGAATTTCTTGCCGTTCGTTCCACAAATACCCAAACGACCCGTTTTTTCTCGACGGCGAAGATCAATCAGTGTTAATGCCACAACTAAATACCTCTCGTATAAGTAAAAACAAGTCGTGTTCACTCATTATTTTTATGTCTACCTCCTTTGCTCTTATCCGATTTACTTGCTGCACCATGCACATAACCGGTGGTGTATTCACCGGAACCGATCATAAGCACATCGACGCGAGATTTTGATGTTGCGTTGGTCATGTTTCCAGGACTTGAGTTTGCGATCGGATGAGATAAACTTAACTCAAAGAAATTCGATCCCTTTTGCTTTCGCTTAGACTTATCAGTCCAGTCTTTATTAACTATCTTTTGACGAAAGGTAAAACATTCTGGTTTGTTAGTACACTATAATAACGATACGAGTATTTTCACACTCCATCTATCGTCTGGATTCCAAGACGAACTTCTATGATGTTACAAAGCTAGAACAAAATCAATGGAGCAACAGATGATCATTCCCATATCATAAAGTCATCTTACATCAATTTCATATTCAACTTCAAGTGATCATCACTGTCTTTTACTAAACACCAGAAATTTTACTTAGATTTCATCAGAGTATTCTTGATTACGAGTTAATATGACCATGTATAACACTATTACAAAATTTAATATATCCTAATTGATGGATTTGTCTAAACATCAACTTTAGAATTCGATATCAAAATCTATATTTACACAGAAGATATTCGTCAGTTGCTGTGAATATCGACAATGAGCGACATCTGTTGTTTGAAAAACTGTCAGGACTCGCAAATGTAACCAATGCAATAAGTTTATTTCGTATCCTTTCTTCCATATTTTTTACAAACGTATTATAGTTTTCTGTTGTTTTTCAGCAAACATTTTGACCGAAATTGAATTCATTATTCCCGAAAAAGCTTTGTAAACATCGTGAAACTCTTATTGATCTAATGTAATTAAAATAAGCATGCATAGATCTTCTACATCAAATTTCGTCTCTTTAGATTATTATTATTTTTTACTGAATGAGTGTCCAACCGAAATTTCTTACAGGTTATACCTATGATGACCTGATGCTTAAGCATGAGTGTCCATGGTCAAAAGAACATCATGAAAATCCTCGTCGTTTATCATCGATCCTTGATCGCTGTCGAGAATTGAATTTATTTGATCGTTGTCATTTTGTGAAGGTTTGCTTGACGATTTCTCAGTTATGTTCCTAAACACATCTACATCTCATTTAGTCAACAAAGGCGTCGGATGACGATATTCTACTATATCATAATAAAAATCTTTTGCAAAACATATCGAGTGCACCGGTTAAAAACATCGAACAATTGAAAGAATTCTGCCAATCATATGATGATGTGTACATGAACGAAGTAAGGACAAAATTTCCAATAGAGGATAACCAAACTGATTTCGTTTATCTTTAGTATTCATTTGAAGCTGCTAAATTAGCAATTGGTGGTTCACTCAACCTGTTAGATAGTATTATGACAGATCAGGTAAATTGATTCTTCGTTTTCGATCTAACTTTTGTTTTCGTGTTCGATTGACAGTGTCGTAATGGTTTTGCTATGGTTCGTCCGCCTGGTCATCATGCAATGGCAAATGAAATGAATGGTTTTTGTTTATTTAACAACGTTGTTATAACGGCGAAAACTGCTATCGAAAAATATAATTTACAAAGGTATAAACTTGATCGGTAGATGAATACGAATATCTGTTTCTTGTATTGATTAGAGTTTTAATTCTTGATTGGGATGTACATCATGGTCAAGGTACACAATATGCTTTTTATGACACGAATAAGTAAGAACAACAAGTGATGTGAGAGACAAGGGAAATATACATTTGATTATAGAGTGTTGTACATCTCGACACATCGATATGATTATGGTAAGTTTTGGCCACAATTGGCTGAATCAGATTTTGATCACATTGGTGACGGTGATGGACGAGGGTACAATGTGAATATACCATTGAATAAAGTAAGAGAAATGTATTTGTATCGAGTAGTAAACATTACAGAAGAGAATATTTAGACCGGATTGAAAAATGCCGATTATCTGTACATATTTTTTAATATTATTCTTCCAATTGCTTATGAAGTAAGAGCCAAACGATTGAAGTCATCGATGTGAATGAAATACATTTCTTTCTGTTAGTACGATCCTGATTTGGTGCTTGTTTCTGCTGGATATGATGTAGCATTAGGTTGTCCAGAAGTAAGATAATTCTTCTAGAATAATTGCTATTGTCTATATTCGTAAAAATCGTAGGGGGAAATGAATATTACACCTGAAGTATTCGCACATTTAACACATTATTTGAAAGGTTTAGCGGATGGAAAAGTAATGGTGCTTCTCGAGGTAAGCTACGTACAGAAAAACTTCAAAATGCTCATAATCTCATATTGGTAGGGTGGTTATTGCCTTGAAACCTTAGCTGAAAGTGCTGCATGGACACTGCGATCCTTGCTTGGTGACCCATGCCCTCCACTACAAGCGTGTACAAATCCTGATCTAATGTACGAGATTTGAACTGAAATCACTTGTGCTCTGTAAACTGAAACCTCATTTCATATAGAGTGAAAAAAACGGTCGCCTGTTGTAAAAATGTTTTGAAAGACTACTGGCAATCAATACGAATTGATTCAACGGAAGGAAGTGAAGTTTGGATTAAGGAAGCAAAGCAAAAACAGTCAGTACAAAGAATTCTTTGTTATGCTCGTTGATTGATTGATTGGTATGATGTGCTTTAGATCATTGAATCCTATGTTTGATAATCAAAATCGACCTACAAAATATGATTTAACTCCAACGCTCGTCCAACGAACAGACCAAGAAAAACAACGCGTCGCTGAGATGGTCAAACATGTGTTAGAAATGACACCGCATGTCAGACCATTGGAAAGAGGGTAAAACAGAGATATCACTCAATGAAATACCTATGCTTTCATATTTCTAGAGCAACACTTCTCGTTTATGATGAATTAATGAGAAAATTTTCTGTAAAGTAGGTTAAAAAGAACCTTTTTGAATGGAGAGAACCATGTGTGACTAATTCTATAGCAATCATTGCGAACGACCTGGCCGGATTGTAGCTATCTGGAAAGGCCTGAAAAGTCGTGGTCTCGATAAACGTTGTACCATGATTCCAAGTCGTATGGCAACAAAAGAAGAAATTTTACTTGTACATAATCGAGATTTCTATGATGATTTGGAAACGACCAAAACAGCAACCAGACGAGAATTGCAGACGCGTGAAGGAAAAGTTCGTTCCGTCGAATACACCAATGTAATTCACATCTATTCTTATCCTTACTGAAACACAATCTATTGCCATATCATTTAGGAACTATTCGATAATGCTCTTCTCGCCGCTGGTTCCTGTTTAAACATGGTTGATGCAATTATGAATAATCAAGTATAAAATAGTTCAAACTGTTATGATGTGTTTAGTGGTATATTTAGGGACGCAATGGTTTTGCTATTATTCGACCACCTGGTCATCATGCACACTCAGGTTTGGATTACGGATTTTGTTACTTTAATAACGTCGCAATTTGTGCAAGATATTTGCAAAAGAATTATAATCTACAACGGTATGTCGATTGAATATAAAATAGTTCTATGAAAAATTCAGTCTCGATCCTTTTTCTACAGAATTTTGATCGTTGATTTCGATTATCATATGGGTGATGGCGTAAAGGTAAACGACTTGTTGAATTTTCATGGGTAGGACTGTCTTTTTGTTTTAGGACGTTTTTTATGAAGATCCAGGGTAAGATCAACTTTCTCTCAAATGGAAATTGACCGCATGATGCCGTTTTAGAGTGTTGTATATTTCTTTACATTGTGCCGATGCTTTTCCACCTAACGAAGGTCATCCGAACGACAGCGGCAAAGACAAAGGACTTGGATTCAATATCAATCTTGGATGGTTAGATTTCGTAAGTTGAAATGATCTTACCAGAGGAAAGTTTTAACTGCAACATTCTTTTCTTCTGTTAGGATCCACCGGCAGTTGATGCGGATTATATCAATGCATTCCATCATGTTGTTTTACCAGTTGCTTATGAAGTGGGTCACGTTTGGAAATTAACAAAAGGAACTTTTGTTTGTCTTTTTTTTAAAGTATAATCCTGAATTTGTATTAGTTTGTGCTGGTTTTGATGCTGCTGAAGGTGATCGAATCGTAAGTTTCTAATTTCATTTTGAGCTTTGAACGAGTAAATGAAATATTTCAGGGCTGGGGAAAATTATCCGCATGTGCGTATTCTCATATGACGCATATGTTACTTTCATTAGCAAATGGTCGTGTTTTGGAAGTACTTGAAGTTCGTATTCAAATGCGATTGAACTGATCCGATCGAAACATTTTGCTTTATCTTAGGGTGGTTATTGTTTACGCCAACTGAATATTTGTGGTTCAGCTTGTGTAGCTGCACTTCTTGGCGATGTACCAGCTCGCTGTTCAGAAAAGTCTGCTAAATATCCTCAGGATGTTGTGTATGTAATCTTGTTATATAAACAAGTAGTTGAAAACGATTTCGTTCTTTTTTTAAGGTCTGTTCGCACTATTCAAATGATTAAAGACATCCATAAACCATTCTGGACATCGTTGTACACTGTTCCTAGTCCAGGTAAAACGTTTTCAAAAGAAAAACTATATAAATTACATGTAATTTGTTCTTTAGATGAAAATTCAATTGATGATTTGGCAAAAGATTTGGAAAAAACAGCAAAAATTCAAAATTAATTTTTGTTCTTTTTCAATATTTATATGTCCTGTAATTTTGAGAGTAGCAATTGCGATGATGAATAAATGAAATTCTTCCGTCACTGTCCTTTTTTTGTATAAATCATTAGTTTTCTTGTAGATAATGGGAGAAGGAATTCTACCTAAAATTCGCGAATGGTTCAAAATCACACGTCACTATGGCGGCCTTAAGAACACTTTTCTAGCCCTCTATCGGTAAGATTTTTCTTTTCGTTTCGTGTACTTCGTTTCTGAAGTATCGATGATTAGTTATGATGATTTGAAAACTGGGCAATTTATTGGTGCCGATAAATACGGAAACCGCTACTATCAAAATACACGCTATTTTGTTTGTAAGATCTTGAGCAAAGTTTCTTTTTGCTTTTATGCTAAAACATGATCATCTAGGTCGCAGTCGTTGGGTTGAATATGCTGATCGTGTTGGTCTTGATTACGACGCAAGTCAAGTTCCACCTGAATGGTAATGATTTCTCTGATCGAAATTCGTTTCACAGTTTCGTTATGTTTGCAGGCATCGTTGGTTACAGTACATCACCGATGAACCACCAACGATAAAACCACTGAGAAAACATTCATGGATGATCGATCATATAGAAAATCGAACTGGTACAAGTCAAATATATGTTCCCTATTCGACAGTTCCACCTAAAATACAGAGTTGGAAACCTTCTACAACTGCAACAGCAGCAGCACAAAATGTTGCGGCAAGCAAAACTCAACTTCAATGAATTCGTTTTAAAACTTTTCTCCTTGATCCTTTTCTTTTTGTAGAATTTAAATGATCTTTATCTGTCCCTCTCCTTTCATTTATAAGATAAGATAAAACAAAGATCATCCGATCAGTCGAAAAAAAAAAAGAAACGCATCTTGTTTTTCTCCTCACACTAGCCAAACAATCATGAATATATTCAGAAATTATACGCGTCGTACACGTGGCGATGCTTTGTTAGGAAATTTTCCTCTATTTCGATAAATTGAAAATATACATGAGTATTTCAGAAATACATCTAATGGATCGTAATAATCACTGATAAACTATATAGATAATCTTTTTTTCTCTCTTCTGTTGTCAAGCACGAAAAAAAAATGACAAGTTTTTCGTAACATTCTTCTCTCTCCAATCTAATAATCAACTTGCTTTTCTCTTCTTCACATTCTATACACGTGCTCTTGTCTTGATCAGTTAATGAGACAATATTCTGATTACTGACTGACTGACTGACTGCATGTGTGTCATTATTCATTAGTCATTTGTTCAGTGTTTGTCTTGTGTACGATCTCGTCTTCCAGTTGACTGTTGCTCATCGACATATTCTTCGAATTCTACAAAGCATCAACTGGTAAGTTTGTTTGGCGGGGATGATACAGACTGAGGAATGCGCCAATCAGTCAATATTTTCTCCTTGTGTGGCGCCGATCTCGTTGCAAAGCGATAAATAAACAACAACAAGACGAAAAGAAAACGAAAAAAATGAACTTTGAAAGCAAAACGTAGACCTTTTCGTTGCAGATTTTATCGAATCAATGATTGTGAATCAAACTGTCGTTGCCAGCCACCGACGAACGATAAGAACAACAGGCGACTCATCGATGAAAAAGTCAAATCGAAAGCAACAGCAACAACAAGACTTATCTCATCGACGAAAACTGCGTAGTTCGAATGTTGAATCAGCAGATAATCAATCACAGCAACAGCAAGCAACGTCAGTGAAAAAGGAACGAAAAAAGCGCATGAAGAAGATTGTCAATGAATTAGAACAGGACATTACAATCACTCCGAGTGTCGACGGAAGAAATCCGATCGGTAAATCCTCATTAAATACAACCATTTCTTTCACTGTTTTCCTCTCAGATGGACTCGACAACGTGCAAGTCAAAAATGAAGATGATCTCGTGAATAATTGCTCATTGATCGATGCATCTCATCCGATGTTCGATTCCATCATGGATCATAATCAATTCTGGCAACCAAATCAAATCATCACGCCAACCGGTTATTATTTACCAGTACACTCCTCACCATACGACCATCAATCAAATGCAAGTTATCATTTATCAACCAGTGATATCGAGATTTCCAATTCATCCATACAAGATCAAATGAGTAAATCAATCGATAATAATAACAATGGACACTCAAGAAAAGATAAGTCACTTGGTTTACTCTGTCAGAGGTAGGATTGAATAGCTACATTCAATATCAGAATGTTTTTTTGTCGTGTACATTTCGTCTAGATTTATTTCAATGTATCCACCAAACGTTCATCCTGTAAGTAGAATTTTCTTGTTTGCAAACATGTGTTCGATTAGTTTCTTATTGAAAACGTTCGTTTTCTCTTTTCCGAAATGAACTCCATAGGGCGAAATGATTGTTATCTGTTTGGATAAAATGGCTCGAGTGCTCGGTAAGAATTCGATGGAAAAGAATGTCAAGTTTTGCATAGAAAGATTTAGAAACAAAACGACGACGTATTTATGATATCGTTAACGTACTGGAATCCGTCGAAACCATGAGTCGAATAGCAAAAAATCAATATCAATGGCATGGACTCGGCAATCTTGGTCACACACTGTCAAAACTTAAGGTTAGATACATCTGAAATCATTCCGAGATGCGTAAGGTTTTCTTCGTGTTAGACATTGGCATATAAATCTGGTTTTGTTGAATTTGCTCGTTCGATTCGTGAACAAATCGATCAAATGGTTCTTTCTGGCCAACTGAATACAGGTCAAGGTACGCAAAATGAAGCCCTGAAATGTATTCAGATCGTTTCGACTGGCAAAAATGTTTCATCTTCGGAAAACGACGAAGGTAAGAACCTGTTCTCTTACTTCCAGAATTGATCTATCTTTCCTCTCTCATTAGTTGCTCGTGAAGAAAAAGCACTCGGAATAATGGCACAGAAATTTCTCATGCTTTTTCTTACCTCCGATGTAAGTCATTTGTATGAAAGTTCTTTGTGAAACATCATATTTTACCGTTATGTAAAAAGGATCGCATTGTGAATATCATCTTTGCGGCTAAAGTTTTGCTGGGTGACTCGAAAAACGAAATAACCGAATTCGGTCGCTACAAGAGTAATCATAGGACGAGCTCGATTTCATTTCTTTTTTTTTGCATATTTATCAGTTTATTCGAAATTCATTCTATTCAACTACTGAACTCTCATCTTTGATTGTTTTTCAGCAAAAGTTCGCCGTCTATATGATATTGCGAATGTTCTATCAACAATCAATTTGATAACTAAAGTAACAGATCCAAGTTATCGTGGGCCTCGACCTGCTTTTCAATACATCGGGCCTCGAACAGAGATTATTCACCATGCGGAAAGTAAGCATTTCGATTAGCATTTAAACGAGTGAATATTTCACCTTGACATTAAAGATGTAGTGGATTTTATCAATTCAGAAAATACCAAATCGAATTCGAAACATTCACTATTCGATCATTTCAAACGAAATCTTTTTCTCAACTGTACAATACCTAGATTCGATCCACGGAATGGTTTACTCGGCTTGAAAAGCGCATTAGACATGAACGGGCGTAGTAGTTCCGGTGTCACAGTCACAGGTGTGTATTCCAACACTGCTGGAGGAGGTTAGTCGTATAGTTACTTAACTGTTTCAAAATAAACTCCAATTCAGATGACGACATGCAACATCCGACCAGTAGTGAAAATTCATTGAATACTCAACATTCGCCATTCTATATGCCAGACACAAGTAACAGAAACATGACGCACAATGAATATAGGTATATTAAATTATTATTCTGTTATAGAAAAACGGAAATATTCAAAGCAGAATGACATTGACAATCAACATAAAAGTATTCTTGTTCCATCAATTGGATGTAAGTATATCCTGTTTTGTTGTCATTCATCATTGACTGTATTTGCTTTATTTGGACCATTTTGTTCTATTTAAGTTGGCAATACATCATCGATGAATTTTCTTCCACAAATAACTGACTCCGCCTATGTACAATTCGCAGCACATGACTCATCGTTTACATATGGTAATAATTAGCGGTAGTGAAGTCGATCGTTGTTGTTTTCTCTCGTATTCAGATTCTTCAAATCTTATTTCGTACAATTGTCCTCAAACATGGTCGTCGAATGATGATAATTCGAATGCATCATTGATAAATAGTAAAGCAACGCGTCGGCGAACTTCATCGGTCACTCCAAATGGACCAAAACGACCTGTCGGTCGGCCACCGAAGAAACTTCAACAAGCGAAAACGGATGAAATCATTGTTCAACAATCAGAATCGAATTCTCTAATCGAACCATCATCATTTGTAACTCCACAAACTTCTTTTTCTCTCTCGATATCCATTCAAAATTTTTCATCCTAGTCCGAACAATCATTAACTGTCAAAAGACATCCACAAGATTTACAGGACATCAACGTCGATATCTTAACTTATCAGATGCGAAGTGTCCTTCCATCAATCAGTAATTCGATAAATTTAACGAATTCATTATTCAAACAAGAAGATATAATCTCACCTCCGGCAACCAACGTTTTCCAATACGATGATGATCTAATCGAAACAAATACACTTCCGAGTATCAATTCGTTTATGAATAAAAAGTATCTTCTTTGAAAAACAAAGCAAAACTCCAGATATTCTTTCTTCTATTGACAGTCATTGAGTAATATGAGATGCTTCGTTTTTTTTTCCTTTCTATTGTAATGCCTTGCGGTTCTATATATATGTATATGTATTCATTGATTGTGCATCTGTGTTTCTTGTCACTCTGTCTTTCTGCTTACCATTTATCGCAGCCACAATAATTCTCTCGTTAGACATATATATCATCTTGTTGTTTTCTGTGGTTTTTCCTTTTATCGCCAACAACGCCGATATGAATATACGAAAAAGAATTTTTCTTTCCTCCTGTCCGCTGTTTTTATTTCTTTATTTTGCCTATCTAAGTTCTTTTTCTTTCTTTTCTTTATGCTATACCAATGATCACTGTACTCAAGCAGAAGAAAGATAATCATGGTAGCTACTAACACACGTCAGTAAATGCAACGATGATAACCAATAGACACCTCTCGTTTTCTCATTGCTGAAAACAACGGCAGAATCAAGAAACTATTTGTTCATATTTGGTGAATGCATGACTGACCTTTAGCCAAGCGTGCAAAGAACTTTTAGCACAATCGATTTGCATCTAGCTTCGAACACATTTATCAGTCGTCTTCATCACCACTTTGCCTTTTTTCGTTGCTGCTGCTGCTGCTGCTTTCTTGTCTTCTCTGTCGTGATATCAAAACATATGGTTGCCGACATTCTTCTGTATACACAAGGCAATCTTCGCAAACTCTTTCTTTAATAATTACGTTGGACAGTTGTCGAGACTTTCTCTTCATTCGTGTTTTAGATATAAATTTTCTTGTCTCTTTGTTTTTTCTCTTCGTTATTACATGAGCCGGTGACGTGTAAAATTATCAATTAAAATGAACAAAGACCTGTTTATCGATGTCGGCTCACAGTTAGCACATTTACGTATGTATCCCGTTTTCGATACATGCCATTATCTATTAACAGCATTACAAGTTCGTGATGACATTATACTACATCAATCGGGTACGTTGAAGAGCAAGTTGTTTGAATTTCCAAATGAACCGAAAGCAAGAAATGAAGATATTTCATTCCCTGTTTAGGTACACATAATTTTACACGTCGTCATCCGTTATCATGTTGGTTATCAACAATGTTACTATGTTTTTCTGGTTCAATTTTAGCAAATTTTCTCCTTGGTGAAAGTCCGATAAAAGATTTTGCTCATCATCAACATCTTTTACTCGCTACCGTTTGTTGGTATCTTGTTTTCTATTCACCATTGGATCTTGTCGCACGCTTATTACGATTTGTCCCCATACGAATACTTGTCGGCGTTGCAAAAGAAATTCAGCGAACAAAAAAAGTTTTCGATGGCGTTCATTCGACCTTAGCTATTTATCCAGATGGATATGTTGTTGTTGTTATGATAGCAGCTATTAAAGGTAGAAGAGCCTATCAATTAGAAATCGAGAGTTCTCTTCTTGATTGATTTAGGTTGTGGAGGATCATTAATGTCTTCAATCGATCGATTCTTTCGAGGAGTTTGGTTGCCTGGACAAACCGAATTTCTCTTTCCATCTTTGTAAGTATTCATGAGTGCTTAACGAAGTTAATTATGACATCACACATCACTAATTAAATAATAAATTTATCCAAGGTCCAGAAACAGAAAAGGTCAATATCGTTTTCCGTCTTGATCATTAGCAGAAGAGAACAGATAATTCGATGTATTATTAAACTGTTATATCATTCGACTATGCATATAAATAACCTCGGAAATTGCAAGTCAATGAAATATTTTTGTTTTAGTGCAACAAAAGCAAGTTTTATTTCTGCAATAATCTTCGTATTAGAACATGTTCAACTAATTCAATTCGAACGCGAATTAGTTTATCTATGCGTCGCGTCAATGTTTATATATGTACGCGTTATTACCATATTCTTCAAACAATACGATCCATTGATGCCCTTTGAAAATATTTCATCCGGTATTCTATTTAATAGTTGGTCGGAAACAGTGGTAAGTTAGAGCTGTTCGATAGTTTCATTCTCGCCCATGTTTTCGTCTAGTCTGAAGCGTATCGAAGGGCAACTGCAGCTTCGACGACATCAGGTACAAGCAATACTTCAACTCAGCAACAAGCAGCAGTGATTCCCGCTGCTTTGACCCCACTGACAGCAACCACAACGGTAATCAGTGGAAAGAAAGAAGCAAATAATACTGACGGACAAGGAAAAACGCTTGAAATCAAAAAACGTGATTGATACTATGAGCATATCATTCGTTTTATCTTCGATTTATTCTTTGTTCGACTTGGGCAATGCAATGGGAAAGAACAACATCAACACTACTGATCATTTCTCTTCTAGATTTAGTCATTCACCTTTTTATCATCTCTTTTGTTCTCATATACGCACATATCTTTTTCTCCGTATTTGTAATACGGTGCACTTCGACATCATTTATAATAAAACAGAACCAGAAGGACTGAGGATGCAGGCAGATTGAATAAATGATGTTTCTAAAATGCTTGGAGAGAAAGATCAGATCTTTATTTCTTGTTGAACTCGAGCAGAATGAAGTGGTTTTGAATACAAAGAACGGTAAATGTCTGTCGTATGTTTGTCGAAGTTAATGTAACATCTAATGTTTTTATCTTCTCTCACAGGATGCAATCCATGAATGAAATAAACAAACTGTAATAACACAAAACAGGAAAAACGCGAGAGGATAATCGTTTTGTTATTGGATGTTACCGAATACGATAAGTTATGAAAGTCTACCCTTTGTTGATGTCGTATATCACAGATATTAATAAGTTTATAAAATGTAGCAAATCTCTTTGACTCAGTTCAGTCCATAGATACCGACAACAGAAATACTCGTGAAATAAGAAACGTGAAAGTTGCTTATAATGCGTGTTATGCAACTCATCGACAGTACCGTTTTTTCTCATCATAGTTGTGAACTATCTCGTTACATGCACTGAAGGCAACAACACGGTCATGAGTAGAGATATATTGCTGCTTTCAGCCAGGAACTCCTTACCTTTGTTAATAGCATTAATTTTTCAAATTATTTCTGATTTTATTGCTATATGAGAACTCGATAGTATAATTAACTTGAAAATATTTCTTTCACCATTCAATTCATGATTCTATGCATTAGTATAATCGAATTAATGAAAAAATTAAAGTGATATTCTTATTGTTAAAGAAGAGTATTTTGGTTCGTATTATCCGGAGCACGTCATTTACTCGCATAATAACTCTAAGATTTGAATAGAAGACTAAACTCCTATTCAGAACACGCTAATTTTATCGAAGTGCATCACAAGACAAGTCTCTTTGATATATACAACATATAGGAGAAGACGAAGTCAGTTATGATAATTACTAATGCAGAGAGCTTCTTCCTTGAAAAGATGTCGAGTGGATGAAGTATTCAATGCTGTATGTCTGGTGGAAGATTAAAAAACACATCCGTTCCGATAATAGATAACGATTGTCTAAGATTTTTGCAGGAAATTCAAAAATATTGTACCTGAGTGGAGAGAGTGCGGAGCTGACGTCGCAGTATCATTTTAGTCTATCAACGAAGTTTTTGACGAGAGAAGAGATACAAAGTGAAATATGAGTCTAGAAAATATGCGAAGATGAGGAAGGAGTAATCAGTACTAATTTCTAACGCATTTCATTTACTGATCAAGGTATCCCCCGTAGATCTTTGAGTACTTGGGTAAGAATTAGTTTACGGAAGATCATGATTACTTATCGCTCATACTTTAGCATCTTTCCGCTTTTAAAGTTATAGAATTCTCCACCGATATTGACTTTTCATCGGAATTCTATCAGTAGGAAATACGTACTCATGAGAGACTTACAAAACGCTAATCAACATATGTTAACAGTACTGAGATTTATATGAGTGTTCCAGGTGGACGAAGCAACACATTGAACAGCACGAGTCAATCAGATTAGATATCGACAAATTCACGTAACGTGACAACTCAATGACCGGGAGTTTGAAATTTGGCGATTGTCATCGTATAGAGCATATTCGAAAGTGTATGAAATCGTATTTTGTTCAATGAACATAGGCGTTAGTAGAAGACAATGAAAATGCTTCTACTTTAAATCTTATTACAGCAATTCACTCGTGTATTCAAACAGTTTGATATATACAGGACTGATAAAGACTAATTAAGTGTATGATATTAGAAGTTACTTTTAGGAGAGGAGAGACTTTTCTATGTGCTGTATTTTTTGATAGCAAGTTTAATCAAAACTGCGAAATTTATAATGTCATCGTGTTCCATTTGATAAAACAGGTCTCTCACACAAACTACATGCGAATTCGAGTATTTTTTCTTTTCTTTGAATAATTCAAACTGTCGATTACCAAATATTTATAGGACATTTCTCTCAATAAATTATTCTTTGGTAGAAAATGAACAGTGGACAGGTCACCCTGGATTTCTGGTCCTAATTCCATCATCGCGTTTCGCGCAGTATCATTGCCATGGTTTCTGAGCAACGAAGCCAAATAAACTGAAGCTTTTGGTGATAATCAAAGGACACATAAATGTGTCGTTTGATGACAGAACTGAAACTCCCAAAAATTCCATTTTCTGAGAAATATCAAAAAGATTGAGGATAAAACGTAATCGCGTTACATTTGTAAAGGCCGATATATATATCAATCGTCTTATTACAGTGACTACTGACGATTAATAATTCTTTTCCTTTCAAAAACCTTGTACTTTTTCCACTTCATTTCACCTCCCATTTTCATCATACAACCAGTAGTTTCCTTTCCATAGCTTCCCATCACATGTTTTGACCTGAGTTCATCAGATTAAATGATTTGCAATTCTTATTTTGTCACAATCAACTAAATTTATGTGTTCGAAACATATATAAGCACTACTCGGAAGTAGATAGTGTGTCATATAGCAGCGCACTGTAACCTCTACCTTCTTTCTGATGAGCGCATTCGTACTTTGCGCATGAAAATATAATCAGCTAGTGCACGTGCGATGTCAACATAAGAAATTTTCAAGTGAACGGAACTCATTAGAATCGTCAGAATATCAGCTAAGAATATGACCTATTTCCTTGCAGATACCTGTCAACAAATCGGATACTTCCTCTGTCTCTTCTTTTGTCAAACCTTCATTTTGAAAAAACGCGGCGTGCTCTTGCATACTTTGAAAAGACGTCAGAGAAAATTAGTTGCCGGCATTGCTAAACACACATATATATTTCTCTTAAATATATAAAAAAGAATAGCTAAAACTGGTCATTGAACTCTGTTCCCAGTCAATAGTCCAAATTAACCTATTCTCACTCTCTAGTTTGATGTTTTCTTCCAGTGAAAGCTCTATTAAGCGAATGACGTACAACATTTTAGATCTTCTCTGTAGTTTTTCAAGTTAGTCTTTGTATCATATTTTAGTCAGTATAAAAGTGCTTAAATCATTCATTAGTGTTGCGAAATTTCTATAGAAAACACCAAACTAAGCAATTAGACTGATTAGGCGACATTAAAAGAAATATTTTTTCTCTCATAAATAGTACATACATTTCTTAATTGCTTAGTATCCTTTTATGTCAGTTTAAAATAATTCAGCTTGAAATTACAACCCGTTGAATGTTTTTTTCTACTTTAGAGCTGCATCTTCTACTGCACGTCACAAAGGTCTTAAATAAATAAATGATTTCTTAATGCACTGACGAAGATCGGTTCGCTTTCATTTCTCGGTTGTGAAAAACAGTAACAGCACACAAAAAAGTAAGTCTCTCGAAGAACTGTTTGTTGATCAATTGAGAAAAAAGAAATCTTCGGTCTTATCTGTCTAATGAAACTTGACAATTTCGACTGATATTCCGAGCATAACTATCAATAAGAACTCACTTTCATTAAAATTATGTTTTGAGTGTCTGTTCGTGTGTGGGAAGAGGAAAGTCTTCGAAAGCACATTCTATAAATGCTGACTTTGGGTATATTCCGTCATTCTGAGTGAATAATTCATTTATATCTGTGAGCATCTCGTTACTACTGGAGAAGAGAGAAGGTACTGTTTAAAAGTAAGTTGGTTAGATTAAGGCAATCGTATATTTAACTTTAAAATAGATTAATAGATAAGTTCTCGTCTCATGAAAAAATTGCACTTCTTGTTTGTTACGTCATATGATTCAAAAACCGAATAGAAGGTTTATTCATAATCAGTCATTAGTACTGTTTAATAGGTAGTTTGCACAATACAGTTTCTAGTATACTTAGCAAAGTCATTATTCGTCGTCTTTCACTATACAGGTTTGGAGCGCGATACTTCCAGAGCAAAACTTCCGTGAGTGTTTGTTTTTCACCTAATAGTCCTTTAAAGTTTAGTTTGAAGTTATATCAAAGTAATTTTTGGCTAAAGAATAAAGCACCTTGGTTATTAATGTTGCTGATTTAACAAGGAACTAGGTTTCAGGGAGGGATGAACGAAAGCGTAATGAAATACCACTTTTAATTATTATTTCTGAAGATATAGTTTTCTTCAATTTTACGTTTCGACAGTTTCAGTAAGGTGCCCTCGTCGATATTTGCCATTATATAAAAAGTAGATCTTCACAAGTACTTGTAATGACTCGCATAATATTATTTCCGCTTGCTTATATTATCGTGTTCTTCGATATACTCTTTATTTCTCGAGTTTTATATTGTGTAAGAGTTTTAGCACACCTCCACATATAGAAACAATTAGTTTTTGTTCAAAGCTTTTAGTATTTGCCAGAGGTTAAGCTTCAGGAAGATATTTTTATGCTAATATAGTTTTAAAAAGTTAACTTCTCGTGACTGTTTCTTTTCTCATCATATATTCTTGCAGTATAAAAAAATAAAATTTTCGTTTATTTTTGTTCTTCTAGAGTATACAACATCTATGGTTGGTAAGTTATCACTATTCGTATGTTGTAAAACCTCTTCGAAGTTGTACCATAGATTTGCATTATTCATGTGCAGAATGATTCAATTAGTTGAATAAACAGTCTCAAATCATGAGTAGAACTCGTTGCTAGACTACTCAAAATTTTTAGTCGTTTGTCACCGTGATTCATAATGGGAAAGTAATGATGTTGCTTCCAATGTGTATATCGACGCAGTAGAGTATAATTATTGATTGTATGATGATTATATTTGACACAGCGAATGTGTGTTTCCTTAGAAGACATATTTCTAGAGGAACTTTATTAATAATACAAAGTGCCTTTCTGACTCCAGGGCCAATACTAAAGATTCATTTTACAAATATATGTCTAGTTATTTTAAATTTCTTTTTCATGTCTGTAGTCGATACTGCCAGTTTAACATGGATATTAGTTGCCACAGCGATGATATGGATTATGCTTCCTGGCATTGGGTTATTCTATTCAGGCATGACAAAACGTAAAAGTGCGCTGTCACTTTTATGGTTAAGTTTTATGTCATTGTCTGTGACTTCATTTCAGGTTGGTTGATTTTTTATTAAATACAATGTTTACTAAATGTGAAATCTGTTTTCTAATACCTTTCAGTGGTTTCTATTTGGTTATTCACTAACCTTCAGCGTGTCAGGATCACGATTCGTTGGTAATTTTGCAAATGTTGCCATGATTAACGTTCTTGATGGACCAGCGCTTGGGTCGTTAGATGTACCAGACATCGTGTTCTGTGTATTTGAATTGATGTTTGCTGCAACAGCAACAACAAGTAATACAATTTTCGAATAGAAACATAACAAAACCTTCTTCTTCTTCTTTTATGCTAGTCGTTACAGGAGCTGTATGTGAGCGAGGTCGAATGTGGCCAACCATTGCCTTCGTCTTTGTTTGGTGTACATTGGTCTACAACATCGTAGCGTATTGGACTTGGGCACCGAATGGATGGGCATGTGTTCTTGGCGTATTAGATTTTGCTGGTGGTACTCCTGTTCATATTGCTGCTGGAACCTCGTCTCTTGTCTACAGTTTAGTCATTGGTAAACGTCAGCCCGTCACTGATGTTGAACAAAACCGACCACATAATATAAATAATATATTTCTTGGTACTACTCTATCGTGGTTTGGTTGGTTTGGCTTCAATGGTGGTAGCGGATTGAAAATTAGCAGTCGTGCTGTCTTAGCATGTGTTGTCACTAATCTAGCAGCTTGCGTTGGTGGATTTACTTGGTGTATGCTGGACTACCTACTATTGAAACCAAGATTTAAATTTACACTTTTTGGATTTTGCATGGGCTCGATGGCTGGTCTGGTATGCATCACACCTGCTTCTGGCTTTGTCGGTGCTCCGGCTTCGCTTGCCATTGGTTTTCTTGGCAGTGTTTGTGTATATTTCGGTCGTAAACTGAAAGTTCTTTTCAAAATTGACGACGCCTTCGATATCTTTGCGCAACATGGTATCGGAGGCTTTGTCGGATGTATACTAACTGGTATATTCGCTCAAAAATATATTCCTGCGCTTGATCAAATATCTATTGCCGGTGGATGGCTGGATGGCAATTGGATACAACTAGCCTATCAACTAGCAATTGCATGTAAATAAAACTTGTTCTTATTAGAACATATTGTTTTCCAAAATGCATCTATATTTATTTTAGCTGCCGGATTTGCTTGGAGTTTTGTTATAACCTTGATTTTGTTGTTAATTATGGATAGAATACCCGGTTTAAAGCTTCGTACAACTGAAGATGGAGAAATGCAAGGAATTGATTATGATCAGTTCAATGAGTATACGCATGATTATATCAACTTTCAACGAGAAATTTATCCAATTAAATCATCATCTGCGAGCAGTGTTATTACAATTCAAACAGTCAATAATCAAAATTCAGCGCAGAGAAGGAACAATGAAGTCAAACTCGTTACAATAGGTTCTACATCGCCTGTAGAAGATGTTTGGTAAGCAATTTACAAAACTGATCATTTCGTTACGAAAACTATCAAATAGACATCGTTCCAAACAAGTCACTATATATTTATAATATTAAATTACATTGAATGTTGTTTTGCTTGTTTGCACTATGTAAAATAACGACGCAACAGAAATAAATATTGTTCAGAACTATATGTGCAAAATTACTTGAGTCTTTGGGAAAGCTTCAGATAAAAACAAACATGTGGTTTGGTGCGTGGCATCGAAAGCATAAAGAACATCTGATAAAGCAAGTATAGTATTGCGATGTGATTAATTAGAGGAATGACGCTCGTAGGATAGCAATGTCACTTTTTGTCTGGTTTTTTTTACATTAATTAAATTATTTTTCGCTATATATTTAGTAGGTGGAAGTTGCTGACAAATATCTATAAAAAGTATACTGGATGTACTATTCACTTTGTGAGCGTTGGGAAAACATCTGAGCAACTAAATGTTTGCTCTCGAGAATTCCAATTTCCTATGACGTCAATAGGCGAGCACGTTTCGACATCTCCAAAGAGTGACCGGTTATATGTGACTTGGTCATGTTGTAATATCTAAGAAAATTAAAAAGAAAACTTTCAAAAGCTTTCTATTAAATATACATTTCACCGCGAAGATTACGCTGTCATATCATTGAGAAAAATCATGTGACTTTCCGTATGACAAATCACCCTTAAGTACAGCCGATGAGTGTTGACTTCATATGTACCTACAAAGAGTCATGCACGTCAGCAATTGATTGTTTACGATGAAAAATGGTTCGATTTAATTAGATAAATAAACGATTCAACAAACTACTCAACCAATAGGAAATACCGGTATGCAACACAAATAGAAATTAGCAGAGAATTCTTTATTTATGTTGCAATAATTTTGATTTCATGGATGATATTTCTTTTCATGCCATTTTCGCTACACAAAACGATGAGTGATCAATACATACCAGTAATTGATCAAAATATGACGCCTTGTTCTGAAAATCAGGGAATCAAAACAATACCTTTCACTTTTGAAAAACAGCGAGAATACTGAACTAAAGTATTTCTCAGTGAAATTCACTCATTCGTGTACTACGACAACTTTCTTGCTAAATATTTCAAGAAAACGAAAACGATTTACAAAAGCTCTTTGAGAAAATGTAATGAATCTTCTTGCTGACAAACAAATTCTGCATAATCGAAAGTCGATATGATTTCAATACTTGCACCACATGTGAGTAAAGAACTTCTTTTGATCAACCTTTTCCGTGTTTGATAACATTTTTCTTCGTTATAACTATTAGCGTCATCTTCTCAGTATTGTTCAATGGGTAGAACCTTCAACCTATTAACGCATACTCCCTTCTTTCTTTCTTTCTTTCTGCATTTACATCATAGGCTACAAACAACCAATACATTTGTTCTCTGTGTCTTCATCCTCATGCATGTTTTCAATTTTGTTTCTTTCGATAATGTGTGAAGCATGGAAAAACGAAAGAATGATGAGTGAATGTCTAAATATGTTTTTTTCGCTCATGGCATTTTCATAACCTTCAATTAAGGTTCTTTTTTTTCGTTGATTATAAAATATGGGAAAAACTCTTCCGTTTTTTAGGATTAATATTATTTAGATCCTCTATTCATAATGTCGGAATATTGCAATAATTGTTTTTGTTGTGGTTGTTATCTAGTACCACGATATAAGCGACTGGTTAACAATGTTTTTCCACAAAATCCACAAGTAAATAACGACAAATAACAAACGATAAAGAACGTTTCGTATTGTTTTTTTGTTTAGCATGGTCTCGATAAGAATAATCTTGAACGATTACGTTTCTATGCAGTTCTCAAGCCCGAAAAACTTGATAAATCGTTTCGTTACATGGCAGAAAAAGTCGCACGTTATTTACGACATCGAAATAAACCGTAAAAGATCAGTTTAACCTCTCCATAGACGAACTTCATTGTTTTTCTCATTTAGTTATGTCATTCTTGGGATAAAAGCAATGAATGACACAATGAAATCATGTTATCAGCAGTTAAATACGTTCGTTGATCATTATCTCGATGCATTACGTCTGGTGTTAGAAGAAAAAAATGACCTAGAATTAACTGAACATGCTGTTTCTTCGGTAAAGAGTTGTCTCAGAAAGATTACTAATTTCTGTCTTGCTTAGTTCGAATCGTTCTGCGAAATTCGCGAAGAAGCACCCAATTATCAACGAAATTATGAATTTTTCGTTGATCGCTTTACAGAACTTTGTCATAACAATAGTGATGTTAATCAAACAAAGTAAATTTGCCTTGTCAATTAATGAATTCAAGTCAATGAAGTGTTTTTTCGTAGATTTCGATGTCTCGGCCTTCGTGGTCATCATGCACTGATTCGAAAAACAGCCAATGATGACTTACAGACTGACGTCTGGAAACACATGGATAAAATCGTTCCATCGATCGTTTTCAATATGGAAGTCCGAGGATCGACTCGTCTTTCAACTCCGTATGATTGTTTGACCTAGTATTTCTCACATTTCACGTTGTCTTCGCCTGTTTTAAGTATGACACCGACATCATTTCCAGATTATGTTGGTGGTAGCACAACTTCTGAACAGATTGAATTGATTGAACGTGGAACAGCAATTGTTAATGACAATCCAGCTGTTCTAGCCGAGATTGTACTACGCGATTTGTTCTGTCGAGCCCATTTGAATAATATAACTGCGTGTGTCCAACCTATTCTAACGTACGATCAAAAAGCAACTAATTTCCTACTCTACACAAATCCTTGTCGTTATTTTAGACATTTAGATAATCATGCCAAATGGATTCCCGTTGATTTTCCAAAATATATCTTTTCCGGCATTATGAACTCTATTAAAGTAAATAAATGCTTTTCAATTCGAAATGTACACTGTTATTTGCCTTTTCTAGCATCATAATAGTTATTTGGTCATTGAATTACTTCTTGGTCATTTAGAAAAACATTTCGATCAAAACGATACAACGAATATAAAAACCTCGATCATGAATGTCATTCAAGATTGTATGGTATTTGCTGCGGCAAACACCGGAGCCGGTAAACACGATTATTTTCTTAGTCAGAATATATGTTTCGAGTTGATTGATGTTTTCTTAGGATCGACGATGTTTGCGGGCATATCGCGTTTGTTGAAATTTTTGAAGAAATCCTTCCAAAATCAGAGTTCGCTAAACACAAACTCATCCACAAATAATCAGGATGAACGTGAATTTCAAACAGCTGTTATCAACGGCATAGGAGATTTTGCTGAGAAACTACCCGATTTTCAGATGATGGAAATTATGCAATTTATTGTTACGTCCTTACCATCATTAAATCAAGGTTATGAAGGAACAACAAATGATTCCAAGTACGTTTTTGCTTTGTCATCAATGATAAAAATAATCGGTTGTCTTTCTAGAACGGCTAATTTGAAACTTCAATTGCTTTTACTCAAAACCGTTCAAAGGGTACGTTGATTGCGAATCGATTGAAATCATTTTTCTCTTCGTTTCAGTTAGCGTTAGATGATGGTGATGATGAATCGAAAAAGTTTGTTTTTAGCTCATCGCTCATAAAGATTTCTTAAGATAGTTGAGATTTCGCTCGTAGAGACGGATTCACAAGTGTGTAGTTAATGAATTTATTTTTAGGTCGCAGCAACATACCAGACTGTTCATCGTCGAGAGACGTCCACTCAAACAACGTTTCCTCATCAACTTTTCGATCCACTACTTAAAATGATGAGTGCGCCCGAGCCAGAAATTCGATTGATCGTTCTGGAAATTCTTCAATCACTAGTCGATCGAAGACAATATGGAGACAAATTGCGTAAGATCAAGTAGGTCAACGAACGACTTCCAAGTCAATAATAACAATCTAACCGTCTGACTTCCGCATAAATATTAGCTCATTCTATTCCTAGTCTTGATCAGCCATCTCCTCTAACATATCAAAAGAAGTTTGAATAGGAAAGCATAAACATCAAATGGTCACTATGTTATCTGTTGATGACCTTAAATGATTCGTCTATGTCATATCTATATGATCCGTTTTAGGTTACCAAAAAATATATCGCAAATTGATTTACCAATTGAAACGAAACCAACTCGTCTATTTGACATTGCATTTATGAAAAAAGTATGGAAAATATATTCTATAGAGATTCTGTTATGCATATTTCCCTTTTAGTTTGGTCGTCAATTTCTTTCCCAACTTTATCAATCTATCTTAATGGATAACAATACCAAAGATATTTTCCACGCGATTTATTGCTTGATGAACCTCGTTACACTCGAAGGTGGAGACAAAGATGTTCTCGTTGATGTCATTCATTTCTGTTTTGAAATTCAAGTATGAACAAACAAGAAAGCATTTCTTTTGCAAAAGAAATTTCTTTTCTCTTCAGTCGACTATCACAAAAATGTCTGATTCCAACGGGAATCTTAATCAAACTTCACACCGCAAACTCTCTCGTGCCAATCATTATAGTATTCACGCTTTAATTGCTGCTTATTTTAATTTAATGTCAAAATTAAACGATATCAGATCATTTTCTCATCATGTCGATGAAGTAAGTGAACATCGAATTTGAAAAGAAAATCCTAAAATAGAAAGTCTCTTTTGCCAGTCATTTCCGTAATAGATGCTTGATTAGTTCCTAACCTACGGGGAAAAAACATTATCCTATTTTCGAAGTTTAGATCAAATTTCCGGCATTTAGATGTATTTCCTCGATGTCTTTTTTGTTGATTTAATAATAACTATAGTTCGAGAAAAAAAAACAAATAAACAAGGAAAACATTCGCTTTTGTTTCTCTTCAGGTTGTTCGTCTTCGTGAAATCCGTGCTCCGTATCTGTTACCTGTAAATGCATTTGATCAAACATTCGATGATACAATATCAGATCACATTCCGAAAGAATGTCTCTTTTCTCAAGAATCCATTGTCAATGCGCTCGATGCATCAGGATATGACACATCAAGATTCGATCGCGAATTTCGTCCAGAACCATTAGGTAAGATTTGTATTATTATTGCTGGAATTGTTCACCGAGACTACGCGAGATTTCCGTCGGAGAAGATTGGGTAACATCCGAAAGGTTTCACATTTCAATATAGCCCAGACATGATGGCGATATTTCTCATTGGTTAGTATATAGCAGAGTGGTTTGAGAATATGACAAAGAAAGAAGAGATCACGCGTTTGAGATGACAGTTCATTCGTAGAAAATTCCGACAACCAATATGGTATGTGAACGATTAAATAGATAATTAATATCAAACATGTGGAACGAACAAGTGTATGACTATTTTCGATGATAGTCAAATAAGCTAAATAATCAATTGCCTGAGATGAACGACGAACTGGAGGAGTTGCATTGGGTGCAAGAGATTCATTCGTTATTGATATTGAATAGAACATTGAACGACGATAACTTGATTCAGTTGAATTCTAGAAAAAAACATACTTAATGTTTCATAAATCATTTCATTTCATTTCATTTTACTTGGTCATAGAGACTCGAATCATTTTTCGATGTTGTCATCGCCGCTTCAGTTAGAGTTTTCAGTGTGTTTTGACGATAGATTTGTATCGCGTGTCTTGTTTTGATAAGTAAAATAAAGTTCATAAATATAACAACATAGGTAATCAAACAACAAAAAGTATTGCAGTTCTTTTGAGTTGACACATTCATGAATATATAAGTTTGCTTACATGTCGGCGGACGATTTCTCTGCTCATATTCTTCCACATCGATGAACGTGAATGCAGTCATTAGACAGCTACCTAAAATGGGCACAACGCATAGAAATAAAATAATCCATAATTTCGTTGTCATCAAGCGTTTTTTCCAGAAGAAGATTAGCGTTGTTATAAGAAGTAAATTAATAATGATTAATTCGATAATCGTCGATAATTTTTCGAAGAATTTTAGAATAAAACAAAGAAATCCACCGGGTAAACCTTGAGCGAGATCAAGTAAACGTAGTGGTAATAAAAAGTTACATACAAAGATATCATTGATTAAGAATGCTAAGATAAATTTATCAAACATCGATACCGATGAACGCACGGAAGGTAACACAGGAGGTTGAAGATTGTGTCCGGTTAACGATGTTTGTGTACGTAGTAACGATTTCGTTGACACTGGTGCAGCTAATCGATTTGAATGCTGATGATGATAGATTTTTCGTTGGATTGCGAGAATGAGAAGCCAATTGAAGATAATTCCAATAAAACCGGTGACTGCTAAGAGATATAGTTGAAGGAGCGGCATTTTGACAAAAAATCTAATCCGTTAACATTTTTCTGGTGTAGTTGTCATATAAGCTTGATCATTACTGTTGTTTTGTACTTCTTCTCAGCAGAAGAACTGAGCTGAAACCAGAAAAATCCCGAGGAGATGAAGAAAAACACGACGAACAAGAAAAAGAAGAAGAAAAGTTTTTTTTTCTCTAATAGTATCACTGGAATTTAATCTTCTTCACACTATCGTAAGACTAAATAAAAGCAAAAATGTTAATGGAAGAAGTCGCGTTTCTTTTTTACTATACCGGCGAATAATTTTCTTGCTTTCCTTCTTTTCTTCTTTTGTCAAACAATTGTCAGAAATGAGAAAACAACAACATTTATCTATTCTCGCCGATAATCAAACTAAGAAATTAGGCGAGGGAATCATGAATCCATCTAATTATATTCTTTTCTTTCAGAAATCAACAATACTGCTGGTGAAATTAATGAAGATTCGGAAACTGATGGGTCAATCATCAGTGAAACAGATACTCGTGCAACATTTAGCGTATGAGAAAGAATACGACGAGTCAAAGATCTCTATAAACAAATGATTTGTTTGTTTAGAATGATAACTGTGTCGAAGATATATCATTTCAAACAATACGCGATGTGTTTAATGCAGCTGAGTCCACGCGCGATCGTCATGATGAAAAACGACGTTTGATCGAAGAATTCCGAACGAAACCATTCGAAGAATTAAAATCTCGTGTCAATGAGAAACAACGACAAGTCGATCAAAGAATCGGACAACTATTGAATGTTCTCTATTTATCCAAAGATAGTCTACCGACATCAGCAACATCAGTACCAACAAGTAACGGAACAACTCCAAAGAATCTAACACCAACTCCAAGCGAAAAGTCATCGAAATTACATACGAACAGTTTCAAATATCCGGAATTGTTTACTTATTGATCTAGGAATCTACAAACATATATAGAGATATACATATATTTTTATTGTCGTTGACTTCCGGTGTTTGTTTATTTATTTAATCTCTCCTCATTCAATTTTACTTTTGTTTTCTGTCCTAATGTTAAATGAATATATACCTATGTGTGTGTGTGTTAAGCATGTGTTATTTAGAAAATACTAACGTAACGATAGTTTTCATTAAGAGCAAAAATATCCAAGCTATGTGTAAGTAGTTAATGGAATGAAATCAATAAAGAAAAGAGGTCATTATCAAGATTGATCAAATCTAAGGAAGTCTATTGTGAAAGAAACGGATTTAGTCTAATGGGTCGTGATGTTGCCATGTAACCTTGATAATATTGAGATGATTGAATCAATATTGAAGGAAAAGCGATCATGTTAAGCAGTTTGTGCGAAGTATACTTTAGTCATATAAATGACTCTCAATCGACTCAATTGTGAAAGTAATTTCACTTAAGATAAGTAAAGAATGACTGAGTGATTCCTATAAATGACTTTAACAGAGAAGAACTGTTACAGATCGTGAACATATTTTTAATTTCAAACTATGATGCATCGTATTCGAATTACGTAATCCACAAGGTATTGAGATTATCCAACAAGAAATTAATCTCATTTCTTTCCTCTCCGATTCAATTATTCATTCTATCAAAATACGCCAATATTCCTTCGGATAAGTCGATGTCAATCAAAGTCTAACTAGATACTGATACAGTAGATATATATATATATAACTACTGCATTCTCCTTCATTTCATGCCTGACGGTACGATGATTTTTCAAGTCGATAAAGAATGCCAGTCATCTAATTGTTGGATGGAATCAGATTGACATTTGCCTATGTCTTTGCTTTCAAGGTCTAAAATATTGATAATCTTTTATTCAAAGTTCGTTTCATCATAGAATCAATGATTATTAATTGATGATCGTAAGAAAGGAGAAGAGTGAACGTCACTTCTTTTTCTCTCATGACATGTTCAATCATAAACTGTTGCACACAGAGAGAAACGATTAGATCTGTTCATGATCGTTCTCAATTTAGAAATCTCATCCGTTCATTTAATTTTGACAAGAAGAAACCATTTGTCTATTATTGATGTATGAATGTTCGATGTGAAATTGATTAAACTCTTATGCAAGATTTCCTTTCCTCGATCAGCGAATGCTCTTTCTCCTATTATTGCCGAAGTTCTTCTCTGCTATTCTGTTACGCTCGTCGATCATCTCGATGACTGTCGGAAGTCCAAAATTAGAAGAAAATAAAAGAGAGGAACAACTTGTTTCCGTTCCTTCATCAATCGATTGTTACTGAAGACATTCTATCCGTCGAGGTCATCCTCAATCATTTATTAAATGATGCCAGAGACGAGAAAGACTTAAGAAATCGTACTACACTTGACAATCATCACCATGTCATGAATGCATTTTCTGGATGATAGAACAATAGATACTTCTGAACGATTGAATGAGGAAGACCATGGCAAGGTCATTGCAAACTTTTCCCTCGTTATATACATGAGTGAAAAAAGGAGGGAAACGTTTGTTAGATCACTAATGGTAGTTCTATGATACAGAATGCGAGCGAGAGAAAGAATTAGCTTGTATTATATAATCGTTTACACCGTCACGAGAAGCAGAAGGAAAGAGAGAGAGAGAAGGAGAGATAGAAAAGATAGCAAGCGTAAAGTCAACAAGTTTTCTTCTTTTTTTATATTGAGAAATGATTTGATGGATAGCTAATGTATTTGTTGACTAGAAAAGAAAGAAAATGTAATAGGAGCTAATTGTGTCAATATGGGAAGACAATAAGTATCGAGCTGCAACTGAGAAAGTAGAGAGAGAAAACGATTAACCAAGGTAAGAATGTGTATAAATATTGAGAAACAGATATTCGATGTTACACTAACATATTATTTACTTGATATTCAAGAGAATAAGAAAGAGCATGATAATTCATTTGTTTTTTTCCAGTAGAATGTGATGTAATCCAATGTGCGTATACTCATTTCTCCCGCTAGAGTTTTTTCTGACGGACAAGTAAACAGACAGAGAAAGAGAAATACTGAAACTGTCCATCTGCAGTTCATACGAGATGGACTACTCTCGTCTATAGGCAAGGACATTTAATATGCATGTCGTTCTATTGTTTAACATAAAACATTTCTATTTTTCTCATTTTGTCTTCTGCTATCTATATTGTTTGGATTAATAGATAGTCAATAAGAATGTTGAATAGTCCCTATTAACATATTTCCATAGTCCGTCGATTCTTTATTAATTCCCAGCATAGAATGTTCATTTCCAGTTATCTCATAAAGCACATAACAACCATTAGAATTCGTAATTGTTGTACGTGTACGAATAACCATAGTTCATCGACACACGTTTAATAAACATTGATTTAGATTGGAATGAACTCTTTCTTTCTCACCAGTTGTTCGTTTTAGGTACACGAAACATAATGTTTTTCTGCTCTATTAGGTGGCTTTCCAGACAAATATTGCCATCGCATGTTGTCTAATCATATTTTATTATTTATTCTTATGGTTTATGTCGTTTCTGTCATCGTCGGACGTGGAGAGATTACGAATTGTGCACTGACTAAGTTCACTATTCTCACGAATTGTTCATTCAATTCGACTTCGACGAACATGACGATTGACAAACGAACATTAACCATGACAATACCATATTCATTGCATAAAAACAGTCAGAAAGCCTTTCCTGTTCAACTAATCACACGTCACCAATCGCAAAAGCCATTGATCCGTCTGGATCTAAATCTTATTCAATGTGCAAATCAAACATCATTGAACTGGACATCAGTCGAATCGTCATCAACTCTACGCGGTGAATTCGTTCGAACAGTATTAACCGAGAAAAACATTATGTATTTGTCATCAGGTGTGACTTATCTTAGAAATCTGACAAGTACAAATTGCTCGACAAAGACAGTTTATCGCACTGATAATAAAGAACTATTCCAAGTGAAATTCAAAATCGAATCCACATTAAACGACTACTGTTCGAAAGAGAATCTCTGTTATCCAATAGATATCTACCAATGTGATCATGAACAATATCGATGTGTATGTCGTTCACCACTGCAATCTTATTTAACTTCTGATCAACATTCAATATGTGTTCATGCCGTGAAAAATCTCAGTCAATGTACAATCAAACATGTTCGATGCTTAGAATGGTGTCATTTGAATAGTTCAGCAACAGTATGTACATGTCCGAAAGATTTAGCACAGAAGAAGTTTTCAAATGACAATCGAGGTGAGTCAATCCTGTGTACAAACTTCTTTCTTTTAATTAATAACTTTTACTTTGCTCGTATTTAGCTTACTGTGAAGGTCGAAGGAATGGAAAATGTGATTCTTTTATTCAATGTCCATTAGGAGATAGTTGTATACATGGTACTTGTCAAAATACAAATGGTAAATTACATCAACTTCTGTCGTTTGATATGATTACAATTTCAATAATTGTTTCATCTTTAATACTCTTTGTAATTATTCTTATTCTTGCTGGAAGTGTATATATGTTACGTCGGCGGCGATGGAAGAAGCATTACCATTCATCAATTGATCCTGTCTACAAACGACGGCAGCAAACCAATCTTCCGACATCGAGTGATTACGATAACATTATTTATGGTGTTTTTCGGAATAATGTTCAACTTTCATCGAGAATTTTATCATCTAATGATGATCAAGTCACTGATACATCGCCATTTACAACAACAGAATCACCATCCTATCACCCGAAAATCGTCTATCTTGGCGGCGAACAACAACTCACCGCGATTTATGCTTGAAATGTGTGCATGTGTATCTCGTCTCTTTCTTCTCTTTTTACAAATGACAATCATTATTGTAACAAAACAAAACTCCGAAAGCATTATTCATCAAACATGCATATAATGTTGTTTTTCGTTTTTTTCCAATAACAAAATCATAATCTTTGATTTATAGATTCGGCAAATTCTTTGTTGTTAATGACTACTTGTCAAGTGAAAGAGTAATTACAACCGCAATCGATTCATGTCTCGTCTCCGGAAGCAAAGTTGCTCAGTAAAGTCAAACCGTACCTTCTGTTCTTTTAGTACGATTTTCAAATCCTATGCAAATGGTAGAATAGCGTGCGGAATGTTTGATCATTTCTTGATGACTATTGACGAACTAAGGAAAAGTATATTCTTACGCCAGTTTCTCACATTGTTCTCAAATTAAATGTGCTATGAACGTCATATGAATTGGTTGAGAAAGCATTCATTTGCCAAATTGTTTGCTCTACTCTTTCTCCAGTAGTTACTCAGTTTAATGTCAATTCAGATAATTAAAAGATTGATTTGACGATTGACGAAGTCTTTTTCATCTCTTCACCTGCCGAACAATTAGTTTTTGGTTTCTACGAAGTTGATGGTCTTACAAATCAGATTTGATTCTTTACGAGAATGATTACACACGAAATCGTAGAAGAATATGCTGTTTGACATTCACTCTACAAATGATGACGAGCAAAGTCTCTCAGGAAACATTCCTCTTATCCAAAAGGCTGGAAATATAATATTAACAACTGGTGAGACGTTACAGAGAAGGCTCGACTTTCCTAGATTTTCTCTCAACTGTACTTGATATCTGCAGAAAGCCGATTGTTGTCTGAAAATACGACAGATTTACTTGACATAAGTTAGAGTGTTTTCCTGCATATGACAGACAGTTTGCTGAGCAGATAAGAAAACTATCAAATCGCTAATGAAACTTGGTGCAGATGTGCTTTGACGTTTTAAGCAAGAAAGTCTTCACCTTAGTTTAATTTGGCATGAAGAAAGATTTTCTTCTCTCTTTTGTTGATTGAGTTCTTTTGCGTTCCGTCGACTTGTTTTTCTTCTCTTTTTCTTCTCTGTTTCTGACAAAGTCTCTATAAATAGATAAACCATGTACTACTGATGTTGATGAAAAAAAAACGATGCAGCGATGTCATTCATGCAAGACTTACAAAGTTATTTCTAATGTTTACTTTTAATCGATTTTTTTAATACTACAATGACTTCAGTCAATCTCACCCTCAATTCCACGCATATCGCTGATGAATTTACGAATATACTTGGCATTATTCAAGGTGCAATCTATATTCCGATATTTTGTGCTGGACTGGCCAATAATTTACTCACAATTCTCATCATTTCGCTGAATCGAGACATGAAGACAGTAACTAATTGCTATCTACTCAACTTAGCAATTAGCGATACTTTACCGTTGATTGTCAGTTTACCATTTGAAATCGAAGTAAGCTGAGGTTTTTCTAGATTTAATCATCATTTCTATGAATGTATTCATTAGTTTCTGCGAATTAAAGCTCCTTGGGAACGTCTCGGATGTCAAATTCGTGCTCTTCTTGCTGAAACATCTACGAATGCATCGATATTAACCATCAGGTAATTTGCAAACCGAAACAAAGATTGTCGATAAATGTCTGATGTTATGTTTAACTTTAGTGCATTTACGATCGAACGTTATCTAGCTGTCTGTCATCCACTTCGTGATGCGTCAGTCTCGACATTCGGAAGTGCGATTAAAATTCAAATTATCATTTGGTTTTTTGCTATTCTTTCTTCAACGCCATACTTTTATCTAACGGAAATAGTCAACTCTGAATGTTTCTTAAATCCCAAATACGCTGCTCTTGTTGTGATCTGTTTTCATATTTCGACGATCGTTTTTTTCGTTCTACCAGCATTTATACTCTGTCTCTTGTATGCACTGATGGCACGTCGATTGTATAATATCGGATTATTGACTGATCCAGATTCGATGAAGGAAGACACGATTACCCTGGATACTGGCTTACATTCAGGTGGATCAATATCACAAAATCGAGTCGAGCGTCGCACATTACCTACAGATTCTGTTCCAACACGCCAATCATTGATTCGACACGAGAGAACTTCTTCTCGGCGGTTATCCTTACATATTCAATCAATGAAAAAGTCAGCCTTTAAAATGCTTTGTAAGTCAGATTAACCGCATGTTTCACATAAAAAAAAAATACGCCGAATGACAGCTGTCATGCTTGTCTCAATATTGAATGCAACACTTTCTCTGATCCTCGATGATCGATAGTTTGAACTCTTGTCATCGATTTAAATAGTATTGTTTTCCCTACTCAGAGAACTTTCTTAACATAGGTTTCTATCCAGCATGTTTTACTAATGCATAGCATGTACGCAATTTTTAAATTTAATGATTGTATATTGGGAATTAATGTTCATAAAAGATTATAGTAAGAAGCTTACTAACCTTTTTCAGATAATTAGATGAGCAGCAGAAGAGAAATTGTCGTCCAGGACATGTTCTGATTGAATAAACTTGTGATTATTAATGGAAGATCACGCGCGATGTTTTGTTGAATGTGAGAATATTTAGCAAACCTTATTAAAATTCCTAAAGATGCTAAAGCAATTATGTTAATTTTAAAAAAAATACTAGTGTACAATTATCATTAGTCTTCTGTCTTATTCGTTAACAAGAAATCGTTCTTGCGAGAGTTATTGTTCAAGGTAGACACGTCTTATGAGTACATGGGTTTGTTGATCCCTTCAAAATTTTTGTTAGATGAGATGATCAAACAGAAAGAACTCAGTTGGAGATAATACTTTACGTTCGTACTATAGAATTACAAGAATACCCTCAAGTGGGCTGTTCGGTGATTACAATTTTACGTTGGAGACGTGGAAAAAAACAGTCTAGATAGTTATTTACAGTTTTCAATGCCAACTTCTAGTAACCTCAGCGGTTAATTTGTGGCTTTATGTTCGTGAAAGCGGAGAGAACTCCGTCTATAGCCTCTAGGTGAACACGTATATATAGTTCAAAGAAATGTAGTCTGGCAGTCACGACATATTATTTGACAACGTAATCTGATGTGTTGCCGCGTCTTGCAGAACAGTAATATACTTAATATAACTAGTTAAAAAAATGAAATTGAATGTACTTATTGAGAACTTTCCCTGCGGTAAAGTGAGCTTGGAGCAGCAAAACATTCAACTCTATTTGAAAGACTCGCCGGAGGTGATTTCCCTCGAAATCAGGTATTTAAGCGGAACTTTAGTCGGGGCTAGAACCGGAAGTCATGCGACATGATTTCAAGTCTGCAGTCCCGTATTTTAAGCATAGAGTGAATGAATATCTTTAAATAGTACTACTCAAGAATATAATATTATATCGTTCCGTTAAATTATAAATGATATACATAGAATATTTATTTGTTTCCAGTCGCGGTAGTTATTGCATTTATTATCTGCTATGCTCCGTTTCATATGCAGCGTTTGATAACAAGTCGTCCGACTGCTCAATTATCTCAAACTCAGCAACGTGTGTATAGAATCTTCTACTTTATCAGCGGCATTTTATACTACATCGGTGCGACGGTGAATCCGATATTTTATCATTTATTTTCTCGTAAATATCGTTTGGCATGTATTCGAACAATGAAAAGAATTGTTCATTGCAAACGGCATTATCGCTATCCGATTATACAAAGAAAAAATAACTCATTACCGGTTCTGTACTATCCTCGACTCCATGGAATGCCATTGAAGCCAACGGAAAATATGTATCGAATCAAACAACGTCGGAAGACAAGTATTGATATAGGATTTAATAGGAGACATATCATACGATTATCAGTACCACCATTGACTCTGAAACAAATCCGATAGAGAACAATCGATCGAGTGTGAGTGTTCACAATGTATCTTTTTGATTTTAGCTGTAGACAAGTTTTGTTATCAATAAAGAAATAAATGTTTTCAAATCAGCAAAAGGACGTTTGAATTTTTGTTAATTTCCGTATGTACTGTTTATGGAAGCTGCATCGTCCAGATCGTCATCTCCAGTTGCTAATCGAGTGCGTCGATTTAGATTCGACGCCATTGTACTTCGACGATTAGGATCAAATGTTGAATTATTTCGTCCACTTAACGCTGACCGTGCAGGAATATCGTCATCATCGAAATCCGAGCCTCTCTGCGGGTATCGTCGATAGCCGGTACTTCTTGCTTCATACGACGAATCTCCTATATCATCATAATCATCCGAATCATACGGCGTAGAATCATCATCTTCGTATTCATCGTATTCGTCGTATTCATCGCCGTAGATGTAATGGCGATAAAAGTCTCCAATAGGTACAGGTCCATCCATTGTTACAACAGCTGCGTCCTCATGAATGATATTATAGCACTGTTTGGGAGGCCGATACCAATCGAAAGGCGCATGACGATATCGTGGATGATCACGTTCAACATGTCGAAATCGACCATACATTTGTGAATCGTATTCACTCATTAGAGTTGATGTTGAAATCATACTGAAGTTATTCGGTTGGCAGAACATCGGTGCAGCTGCCATCGGCATCATTGGCATCATTGGTTGTGGAAGACACATCGCTGGTGAACATCTCGGCATGCACAGCGGCCGAAAATTGCACATTGGTGACATTGGAAGCATTAATTTGTTTAGATAGTTGTTCAGGAGGTACAATGGTGAGTGAAGCGAGCGGAGTCAAACGAAAGCTAACTCATCCGTGACATTTTTTTTTCATCGTTTTCTTGCTTCATTTTATTTTAAAATCTTATGTAACCGTTATTTATCGACTCATGATATAAATCGAAAGATTTCATACTTTCTCTCCTTTTATCAGAATAAAATACACAATCAATGAAAAAACGTTCAAGAAATCTCCAACTAAAATAAAAGATTATCGATCAAAAACAAACGTTCGTTTTATGCTAGATTAAAAGATGAGATTTATCGATGAGATTAAGCCGGCTGATAATCTGAACAACAGCAAATTACAATGAATGCATGAATCACACCTGAAATGAAACTTGATTTCTAAGAATCTATCATTAGCAGCAGCTATTTACCAGGAATCCATCCAAGAAGCGTCAAGATAACATTGATACAAACCATACATGAGCAGATTTTGCCTCGAGCTAGGTACACGGCAACTGGAGGTAAGAGAATAGCCTGTTAATTCGATAAGAAATGAATAAATATCTTCTTCTCAACGAATCGAATACAAACCATAATGAAAAGTAAACATTTTCCGACCGGATCGACAGCCATGGTGAATTTGCCGAATAAAAGCAATCTAAACGAATGATTGTTTGGTTTGATCAAAGTGAGTAACTATAAATAAACAAAACACTTGTGTGTGAAATAGTGCACCATATAAAGATGATTTGGTATTGCAAGGACCTGTATTTTCATTGGATTTTGATAGAATTTTTCTATTGGCTTGATTCATTTTTGAAACAAACAAAATAACAGATGCTAATCATCGATAGAAAATATCAAAGCGTTCTCGTACACGTATTTTTAGGTCCAACAAGTCAATATTAGCAAAGAACAGAAATCTGTCAAAAACGCTAGTAGATATAGATAGATGAACTTTTTTACTGTTTGCGACGTCAAATCTTATCAAAATGAGTACAATACTATGTACTCGATAAATTCGTAATACTTCATGCAAATGCATATCATTTATTCTAGACAGGAAGACTTTTGTTGAATAAAATATTTGCAAAAATGAATTTCCAAATGTTTTGAGTGACTAGGGACTAAAATATAAATGAAACTTGACGAAAACTGAATCTGCCATCGTCATATCGGCTAAAAAATGGCAAATCTATCTTGAGAGTTCTTGCAACAAACGTTTAATGTTCCATGTCGTGAAAATGTCAGATTCTTATCCTATTACAACTTTTACCGGCAACATAAAGATGCTGCATAGATCGTTGGTGTCCTCTATAGGCTTAAAACACTGACATGGTGGTGGTCGAACTTATTATTTATTAGTATCGCTACTATCGATGTCAATGTCTCGACAGCATTATACCGACAGTGGTATTTTTGTTTATTTCGATATTATTTTATTCTAAACAGGTTTGCTACATCACCGAACATAGCATATCATTTTGAATTCTAATAGTTAAAATCCGACATTTCATCGTGATTACGTTTATTTTAGATCGAACATCGTTTCCTTTTACCGTTCGTTCATTTAACCTACAACAATGGCCAAACGAACCAAAAAAGTCGGCATTGTGGGTAAATACGGTACCCGGTAAGTTTCCGTGAAAGCTCGAGTTCGACTTTGCATTCCGAAAACTTCGTAGATATGGTGCATCATTACGTAAAATGGTTAAGAAAATGGAAATAACCCAACATTCAAAATACACATGCTCATTTTGTGGTAAAGACAACATGAAACGTTCATGTGTTGGTATTTGGAAATGCCGTTCATGTCAAAAAACAGTTGCCGGCGGTGCTTATGTTTATTCAACATCAACTGCTGCTGCTGTTCGCTCGGCTGTACGTCGTTTACGTGATATGCGCGAACAATAATCAATAAATTCGTTGTTTTCACTCTGTTTTGTTTATTATTTGTTCGTTGAAATCATTTGAAACATCAGAAAGAGAAAAAAAAAGATCATCTCGAGAAGAAGAAATAAAAGATCGAAAAAAATGCAAATCCATCTTCCTTTTCCAGATTTGTCTTTGTAAACAGAAGAAAAAGAAACCAATCATGTTAGATCGTTCTACAACAAAACTGAACTTATTTCTTTTCACGTTACTCTTTCTCGCTTATTTGTTCATTGGTGCCCAATTATTCTCATCTATCGAACGACCAGCTGAACAATTGATCATCAATGAAATGTACAAAACAAGACAAGACTTTCTCGAGAAATACCCATGTGTACAGGGTTTGAATACTTTCCAAATGAATTTATTAATAAATAAAATTTGTTTTCTCTAGAAAATGATTTCGAATCGTTTATTGTCGCTCTGTTAGATGCAAATAAGCATGGAGTCGATGCACGTACAAATTTTACTACGTGAGTATCTGAACGCTCAATTTCTCTCGCATCTTGACAGATCTCTCGATTAATTAACAGTGTGGATAATTGGTCATTTGCACAATCATTCTTCTTCGCCGTGACGGTGGTTACGACGATCGGGTATGAATAAGATTTCAGTTGTCTTTCTAATCATGTGTCTTGATTTAGATATGGACATGTCAGTCCTTTGTCAGGTGAGATATACCGAAAGATTTACGATTGAATTTTTTATTCTGTTTGATTTAGATACTGGCCGAATCATTTGTATTATTTATGCAATATTCGGTGTTCCAATGACATTATTGTTACTCTCGGTTATCGTCCGTAAACTTCTCATTCTTCTCAACAATACGTATTTATGGTTTCGTCGTAAACTCTCTTCCGATCGAAGATCTGAATCGAAAATTCGTTTTATTCATTTATCATTAATTTTATCGTTTTCATTAATCTTCTTATTTATTATACCATCAATTATCTTTACTTTTCTTGAAGACAACTGGTCATTCATCGACTCTTTCTATTTCTGTTTTATTTCACTGACAACAATCGGTCTTGGAGATCTCGTCGCCGGAGATTCACCTACTCAACGCAATCGACTTTTCTACAAAGTTTGTCTGACAAGTTAGAGACAAACATCGAACTTTTCAATCTACTAACCGCTTTTTCGTTGTAGTTTATCTTCTTGTGGGAGTAACAATCATGATGTTACTTGTAGCAATGGTTTCTCAAATGCCTGAACTTCATCTAATTCAGTATTTTCTCAGCGAAAAAGAAGTCGAACATGAAAATGAACGTATATCGGCTACGGAAACGTCTGGTCTATTATGGTTGTCACGTTCATCTTCATCTCATTCGTATGGTATTCATAATTCATCCTCGAATCATCCGTATCGTCGACAAACGAATGAAAAGCTCGAGCCAAGTAATTCTCCTGAACCTATCACGAATTAGACGAAGAGAATCACGATGAGATTAAGTAAATGAATTGCATAATGGTGCTAATATATTTTGTAATACATCTTGAATGACATATACAGAATTTTTGTACGATTAACTCGCCTCTTTCTTTCTTTCTTTTTTTTTTGTAATATTTCTTTTATTTTACTCGCTGCATGGTGCTTTGATAAACAGAATGACATTTTGGAATGGGACGGCAATGATTCTCGTAAACCCAGCTCAACTACTGTTTGTCTTTTCTCTTTTTTTTTCTTGATAATAATATATGGATCTAATTTCTGTGAGAAAGCAGATCTCCTGAATGAAAATGCAATCAACGCTCCTATTTTTATGCTTCTCGGTGAGTAGGATGCGCTATTTTTAGTAAAGTACATTAGCAACAATTAGCGCCGAAATAAAAAGAACATAGAAAATTAAATATTATCTGTACTGAATTTTTCCCAGCATTCCAGTGTGCTATAGTTCTCATGATTGATGTGATAGATTACAAAAATACTCTCCAGTCTCGCGTACTATGGTGTATCAGGACGAAAGACTTGTCGATCCTAACACTCATGTGCTAAACCAGATAATTGTTCAGCTTTTTGGTGTTGAGATCATTGAGGATGGTTCCAGTGAGATACAAATCAAGTTTTCATGTTTTATTTGATTTTTTAGATTTATCTCTGACAAAGTTCATTTTATGCCAAGGCTACCTTACCTTCTCTTCGGATATTTTCTGTTTTTACTATTTGGTGCTTTAATATTTTACGAATTGAATGCTGTCGAAGAGAGAAAACGACATATACGTGTTAGCAATCAAATTAAACAATTTATCAATCGCAATAGTAAATGTTTGAAAGGTATATAAGATATTTCAACGAAGAGTCACATTTGTTCGTGTATGGTTCATTTTAGAACATGATCTGTATTCGTATGTGGATTATTTCTTGGACAAATCTCATACGGGCTTATGGCGTTCATCTTCTTCAAAGACGAACGTGACGAAATGGACGTACGGACAAGGACTATTATTCGTTACATCATTAATAACAACTGTTGGTAAGAGAGATGTCTACGTATAAATTTTAAGGATTTATTTCAAATGAAAAACCGAACTGTTAAACATGGAGAATAAGTTGAATCTTTTAAGGGCGGATGGAGCCAAGGACTGGGCCTAATGAGCCAGCAAGACCACTTGTCCAGAAGACGAGAACTGATTGAAGGAGAGCTAAACCTTCGCTGATTTCATTTGTGATTTCTGCTGGAATGATTTCAGCCAATTGTTGAGCCAAAGCAGCAACAGTTGTTTTGATGACAGCAACGTTTTCCTTAACGAGTTCAGCGAATTTTTGTCGATCATTGAATGTGGCAATAACTTGTTTGGCGAATGTTTTGAATTGTTGGACGAGTGTTGAAACTGATTGGGCAATGAGTTCTTGAGCTTGTTGAATGTTAACGGATCGTTTACCAACGTTAGCGAATGGTTTGTTGAGAAGGTTGTTGAGTGAGTTTTGAAGATAGTTGGCAGTATTTGAAGCAAGACCACCGAATAAATCAGCAATGACATTATCATAGAGAAATTGGAAGATATTGACATCTAAAGCAGCACGTTTGCCCAAACCTAATGGGTTGGTTTGGATCAAATTGTTAAGAGCGTTGGCGGCAGTGCTGAATGTGTTTGTAACAATTCCGCTGAATAAATCTTGAAGAATGTTGTCATAGAGGAATGAAAGAATGTCAACACGAGCAGCCAAATCACCTTCAACATCGCGTTTGCCGATACCTAATGGGTTGGTTTGGATCAAGTTGTTGAGGGCATTGGTAGCAGTGGTGAATGTGTTTGTGACAATTCCGCTGAATAAATCTTGAAGAATGTTGTCATAGAGGAATGAAAGAATGTTAACACGAGCAGCCAAATCACCTTCAACATCGCGTTTGCCGATACCTAATGGGTTGGTTTGGATCAAGTTGTTGAGGGCATTGGTAGCAGTGCTGAATGTGTTTGTAACAATTCCGCTGAATAAATCTTGAAGAATGTTGTCATAAAGAAATGAAAGAATGTTAACACGGGCAGCAACATCATCTTGAACACTACGTTTGCCAACACCTAATGGGTTTTCGGCGATGAGTTGGTTAAGAAAGTTGGAGACGGTTCCGAATGTTGTTGAAACAAGGCCTGAGAAAAGACCAGACAAGAAATCATTGTAGATATCAATACGAGTATCTTGGACTTGTTGTTGAGCAACAGGAGCGCTTGAAGACAAAGCAACAAGAGCAAAGATTGCAACGGCAATGATCGACACGGATTTCATGTTTAAGGGATAAATAACAAGCTAAATAATAAGCATGTAGACTGATATGTAAACCCATGTTTTTATAGAATAAGTATGAGCGATCACGCCAGATATCAGATGGCTTAATTCTCACAAGTCTTCATCGTTCGATAATGAGAGGGCGGAAAATATAGATGGTACTTGAAGGAGCATTGTAAATCATTGTGAAAGTAATGTTGAGATTATTTTCAAATACTGATTTTCGGTTTTGAAAAAAAGTCACATAGAATCAGGAAACAGGTGTTTTTCTTCTTCTTCTGTATAATGATAGCGTACTTTTAATGTCTTTTATTTCTCAGGGTATGGTACTACTAACTTGGTGACGTCCTATGGGAAAACTCTCTGTATTCTCTATACTGCAATTGGTTTAATTTTCGCTTTGTTCTTTCAACAAATTTTACACTGTCGAGTCATTCCTATTCTTTACAAATTCGTTACTCGAATAGCGCTCAATCGTTATGTCACATATTATTCAACAAAGTCCCGTAGTTTTCTTGTTTCCATTCTGTTACTAACATCATTGATAATCATCTGTTTTATGATAATTCCAACATTAATTATACATAGTATCTATGTGCCCCAATGGTCTTTAGTTGAACTAACTTATTTCGCCATTACAACCAATCATTTGATTGGTCTAGGCGATCTTGTACCTTGTGTCGATCTCTACGGGCAAACTCGATCGACATGTGCTACGATCATAACAGGTAAATTTCGAATATCTATCCAACTATACGTTTGACTATTTCTTTGCAATTAGTATATGTGATTATTCAAGTAATTACGGCTAGTCTTCTCACAAACATGTGGTTTATGTTTCTGCAACAGAATCGTCAATTCTTATTACAACGACGGCATCATTCGGATCCACTAGCTTATACGAATGATAGTAAAAGGATTACAATTCCTGTCAATGATGAATACTATTCGAATGTCTTTGCCTAAATCGCTACAGTCATTAAGAATATAAATATAGATTTATTTTTGTTGTTGTTATTGTCAAATGTCTGTTACTCAATAATATACATTGTTTCGATATAGCGTCCGAGATCATGTCGATTGAGTTCATTGGATGTCACTAGTGAGTGTAAATCAGCAACCGTCGGTTGATTGGATTCACAATTACACCAAGAGGATATAACACGACCTGCCGGATACTGAAGATTTTGAGATAGCCAATGTTCAATTTCAGGCTCATCAATACCAACTAATCGTGCTAATTCAACCCATTCAGGGGATGATATTACTTTCATCTGTTGTTGGTGGTGATGACGAGGAGTAAAGCTATTGGAGTTGCTCAGACCACGAGTTGAACCTAAAATCAAAAGAAAACTCATTTAGTGACGATCGATGAACTCAATAGAAAAGCCTACTCATTCGTGAAAGTGGCCTTTCTGTATGGCCACTTTTACTAAGTTCTTTGATGATTAACATACGTAAGTTTGGATCCATCTTTTTCACTAAAACATCTTTTCCCGATGGAAGATGGAATTTCGACGGCAAGTGGTATTTCGATTGTGATTGGTGATGATGAAATGATGATGACGATGACGAATGATAGTCACTATCAATAAATCTTTCGTCGATCGGATACTGATGATGTGGTGCGACCACTGTCGACGAATTTACTGCTGAAGTTGGCACAAGATTTTCCTCGACGATTCGTTCATCCGATGTATTGATCGGTGGTAATTTAGTATGTGATTGAGCATCTGTTTGACTATCATCTTGTTGTAAAGTAAAATCATCAGCAAATGATACACTTCGTTTGATGCCTGATGCGGAATGATTTCGACGATCGTGTTGGCTCGATAACTGAGATCTAAATGTGGGATCATCTGACATGTCAGCATGTTGCATCTGATCCGGCAATGCATTTTGATCTTGAGAAGCACTTGACGGTTTTTTTGCACGAAGTTTCTGAGCATCATTAACTCAATTGAATAAAACAAAAGAGATCAGCTTCACATTGACAATATAAATACTTACTCGATAGAATACGAGGTAAAGAAAAGATGAAACAAATATCTTCCAGATTTAACCGTGAATTCTTGAGAATTTCTTCGGCTTGGGCACTGGGCTTTTTAAATGTTTCCATTTCGACTTGATCAACTGAAATAAACACGAAATCAATGATTAAATTTTATACGATTTCAGAATCTGGACAAATGTTTCTCATAATCATACCGATCGTTTTATACATTTCGTGTAATAAACCAGCATTTTCCTTCCAAACATCGCGTTCTCGCGCAACAAATGTTAACCGTTGATAGGCGGTCAATTGTTTCCGAAACAGATCGGGATCATCGATCGATAGTTGAGTGATTTTCTTCTGTACAGAAATCTTTTCATTATCATCCGCTTCCTGAAAAAGATTCAAAAACGCCACGCGATAATAACAGATTTGATCGATCATAGAATAAATGATGTCAATCGGAATATCCGATGGTTGTTGTTTATTTAAGTCGATATCGTTTTTATAATCATCCAGATTGACATTTTCCATGATTTTTGTGCAGACGAGATTCAATTTCGAGCGAATTTCTTCACGCTCGCGTACTAAACCATCGATTTGCTCCTGATGAGGGTCCGCAACACTGGGCTTCACAGCTTTATTTTTGCCTTTCTTCCCGCCAGCACTGTCCTTCTTTCCGCCCGCCTTTCCTGAAGTTGGTCTCGCCGGCATTGAGCAATGAAATCTATCTGAAAACAGAAAAACTTTCTCCCCGTCTTTGGACGCAGCTGCTCATTTAGCAAAAATAAAAGCGAAATCTTGCAAATATTTTTTTGTATTTCAAAATGCAGCAAGAGCGAGAGAAGAAAATGTCTTTGTCAAAACATGTTAATGTTTTCGTACACTTGAAATGAAAGTGAACGCGACAAAGAGAAAAGCTGAAGAAAGTAAACGAACGAAAACTGTAACAAATTTCATTCAACTAGCAACAACAATAAACATTTTCATTTCGAAAACGCCAGACTCTATTCTTCTTCAATTCAAACCAAGTATTCATTCTTGACAAGACTCGTTATCATAACGAGAGTGTATCAAATGATTTATATGTCGAACGGGAGCTTATTTGCATAAGAAATCAACTGCGTTTAGCAATAATCTTACTTTTTTTATGATGATTTCTTTGTTACTAAAGAAACACGTGTGATCTGAATGTTTGACATGCTCGCATGTAGAAGAAAAAGTGATCCATGACAACTATGGCGTACACGGAGTGAATATGATGTTGCTTAGAAAAGAAAGGAAATGCAATCGGAAATTTATCTTTGTTTTGTTCATTGAATACTGTCAATCGTTGTACTCAGTTTTATTCTCATAAGAAAAGCGTTTAGCAAACGGGAAAATTGAAGATTATTTCCATTACTACAGCAAATGCACTTATTAAGATAAATAAACAGAAGAAAAAAGTCAATATTTGATTCATATCTCATCTGTTCAAATGGTCTCATCTGAATTGTACTGATCGGTTTAACTCTAATAAGCTGCCCAATGTTTCAACAGAAATTCGTTTGAGTTAACGCACGTTGAAGATGAAGTTTTTCAATTGAAAAACTTTTACAGAATTGAACGCCATCTATGATCTCAATCACCATTTGCATATTTCTCGCCATATGTTTATTTAATCACCGTTGGTCGTTGTGGTTGCATGTGAGTAGCGGTCTGTCTACCAGCCTTCACTTCACTTCGATTGTGCAAGACGTGTCCGTTCAGATGAGTTCATTTCCAATCGCTGAACAAGAAGAAAGTTTATTTCTTCTTGACGAGCAACCGCCGCCAAATCTGCAACGGTCAGCTAGTTTTGATGATGATAATAAACCAACCAGTTTGAAATCTCTTCAGCGCATTCTCTCAGCGTCATCATCGTTAACAACATCAAATCCGTACCAACAACAACAACCACATCGATCTTTATCTGCGCAGAATTTAGCACCAGTGTTGGATTCAAATGATTACGGTTTACCTCCGATACAGCAATCACGACGCTCGACAATACGCAACAGTACCAATGAAATCGATTCATTCGTACGTCAATTTGAGACACGTTTGCGCGAACATCGTCTTCTTTGGCAAAAAGAATATGACACAACAGTGCAACGAATGAGTGAATCTAAACAGAGCGAATTAGATGCATTGAAAGTCCGTTATGAAACGAAACTAAAAGCATTAGAAGATGGAAATCGACAATTAGAAACAATTCTCGAACAAATAAACGAAGAAAATAAACGATTGAAATTCGAAATCGAACATCAAAAGCAACAGTTAAAAATCGAACAAGTAAACTAGTCAACCGACTGTCCTGATCTATTGCATAAGTTGATCATTTCTCTTAGATGACCATCCAGGAGCATTTAAAAGAGTTGCAAAACGAAATGGAACGGAAAATTTTTGAAGTAAAAAACTTTCACGAGAATGAAAAACAAGAAATTCGTCGTCAAAATGCTCGTGCGCATCAAGATCTGCTCGATGAGACCAACCAAGTATAGCTTTCCCTCCAAACTTGGTATCTCAATACACTTTTTCTCATTTCAGCGTTTGAAAAAAGTGGAAAGTGATTACAAATCTCAACAATCTACGCACGATGAAACCATCAACGAAATGGAAAAACGAATAGTTGACTTGCGCACGAACACCGATCGCTTACAGCAGGCGAAACAAAAACTTGAAGATGAAAATAGTTCATTAGTTAAAAACAACGATCAATTACAATTGCAGGTAAGATATTCATCGCATCTTCTTCAAAAATTCGTTACTTACTGATGTTCGAAAGAATGAAATTTGATCTTATCGACATCAGAATTCAGAATAGAACACTTTCTCTTGCATTGATATGATAACACAACTTTTGCTGTTATCGTCTTTCACAAGAGTAGTTGTATGTTATGTAATTCTCTGTAAATTTTAGCTTCAAGAGTTAGTGAATAAACTTCGTCATGCAGATCGTGACCATGCGGATCAAGTTCAACGTTATGAAAACGAATTGAAATCTCTTCGTTTGCGTTGTGAATCAGGCGTTGATTTATTACGTAAAGAAAATGATTTGACGAAAAGCAAAGCGAGCAAAACCATTGATGAGCTAGAAAAACAACTCTCAGCGATAACGGAGAAGTTTTATGATATGCAAAAGCTATTTGAACAGAAAACAACGGAACAACAAAAAACATATCAAGGCAATCTTCAACAATGTGAAAACGATTATGAAAAGAAATTACAATTAGCCAAACAAGAGCTCAAGCAGTTGAACGACAAATTTCAATCGACTATTCAACATAATGAACAATTACAAAATGAATTCAAACAGAAAACTTATGAAATCAAGCAATTCAATGAAACTTGTTCGCAACAGCGCGATTTAATCGAGAAAAGTGAAAGAGCTTTCGTGCAAATCAAGAGCGAACTAGAAAAGAAATTTCAAGAAAAAGTATGTTCTCATGTTTCACATGATCACATCGAGTTTGACAAGATCGGATGTTTCCAATAGGACAAAAGAGAATGACAATATATACTGTTTCAAAGGAATTTCTTCTAAAAACTAGCTTTTCATTTAGATTCAAGAAATGACCGAGAAAACACGTCAAAACGAGCAACAACTAATCGAAAACTTGAATCGTGATCATGCAAAAGTTTGTGACAAGCTGAAACTTGAATACGAACAAGCCAAAGAACAGTTTGTATCAATGGTTGACGATGCGTCTTCAGCGAGAGTGTGTTTGCTTTAGAAATGAAGAAAAACTGCGCGCACATTACCAAAAAGAGATCGATGAAATCAAACGTAAATATGAGCAAACACTTGAAAAACAAGGAGACAAACTGAAATTGGATCTTGATCAAATCGATAAACTAGCTGTCGAAAGAAAACTTGCACACGATAATGAAAAGCAAAAGGTTTGCCTGTTTACTGACGATTTGTGTTCGACATTGGACTTTTTGTTTTGAATAGTTGATCAATGAATACGAACAGTTCATTCGAAAGATCGAGAGACAATATACTCAGAAAGCGGAAGAATATGAAAAACGGATTGAAGTGCTGATTTCCAAAACTCATGAACAGTTGAAATCAATCGAAGGTTAGTTGATATAAACCAAAATTCATTTGTCATTACGACTGTCTTTTTAAAGATGAATTTGAAGAACGAAACACAAAACAACAATCGATCATCAACGATCAGCAAAGAATGATTCAAGTTTTGAAAGATGAACAAAACAAAGCCAAAGCGTTCTACGAAAAACAATCCAGTGTATTGAACGAGCAATGTCTTCGTGAAAAGAACGAAGTCAAAGGTGTACGTACAGGACAAAAAGGACAAACTCTACCATTGATTTGTTTTTCATTCTCCTTTCAGCAATTCGATACTTGTATGAAAAATCTTGAGAAAAATGTCAACACATTAACATTAAAGAAAGAACAATTAGAACGCAAACTAACTTATTTAAATGAACAGCATAAACATGAATTACTCGAATGTCGATTAACTTATGAGAATAATTTAAAAGGTCTGCTATCGAATGATGTTCGAGTTGATTTAGAAAATACCATTCATTCGTTAAAACAACAAGTTGTCTATTTACAACAACGCATTGCTTTTCTTCAACAAGAACTCGAACAGTACATACAAACATATGGTCATCGACCAGCTATTCAACCTTTAGTTAAAACATCAAATCAAGAATAGATCTGCATCAAAGATTTGTTTTTATAACTATTTAGTTGTTTCTTATCTCACTTGTTTTTATTTGTAAAATTCCACTTTGATATACTATTTGATAGGTATCATTAAACAAAAAATGAAGAAATGTCATATCGCCGTCCTTTATGTTGTTGATTTTTGACAATTTTTTTGTATGTGTGAATATTTCATGAGAACTCAATAAATTAGTAGTTACCAGTATATTTCTCGTTTTCTTCTCTCTCTCTCTGTCTTTCCAGTAAAGTAGTCAAGGTGAACTAGAAAGAAAAATGGTCTGAAATCAATACAGAATCTGTTGTTATGCATGCATCGATTTCATATTCTATGTATACGATTGACATATTGGTTAAAAGCATTCTCTCTTAGCCTTTTTTTTTCTTTCGTCCTCTACTAACGTCGGCAGACATGCGTGCGCACACGCCTTCGTCGCTCTTATATATACATAATTGTCCCGAACGACGATGCACGACATTACTCATTCTTTTTCACGAAGCAACTCAATACTAAGATGAATATATATATATGTTTGTCGAGAGTCATTCGTTTCACATGAATGAAATTTGAAATGAAGTATAAAGAGACCAATCTCCGAATACTTTCTCGCGGACGAAAGCTTATTTTTTGTCTGATCAGTCGATGATTTCCTTTCTTTAGATACATTTCTTCTTTCAATGTCATCCACTCCGACTTTATTTGATAATCAATTTTTACAAGAATATTTCAATCTAAGTCATCTACGCGTTATACCATGGATACGCGATCCCAATGGTCTACACCATCCATTCGTATTCGAATTCGAATTGAAATTCTTCGATAGAACCTATGCTCATAATATCTATGCATGGATGAATCAATGGTGGTGGTTAAGTATTGTTTATTCAATAATTTATGTTATATTAATTTATTATGGCCGTTCATTGATGGAATCTCGTGAACGTTTTCAACTTCGTCTACCATTGATCTTATGGAATTTAGGTTTAGCTATATTTAGTATATTTGGTATGGCTCGTTGTTTACCAGAGATGGTTTATAGTCTAAGTCGAGAAGGTTTACAATATACAATTTGTGACCGAAGCAATATTTACGGTATAACTGGCTACTGGTAAGTTTCTATCATGAACTTCAATTGATCAAAGGTTTGTCTCTAGGATAACAATCTTTTGCATATCGAAGGTTCCTGAATTGATCGATACATTATTCATTGTGTTAAGAAAACAAAAATTAATCTTCCTTCATTGGTTTCACCATGCTACCGTCTTAGTTTATGCATGGTATAGGTATGAAGAAGCCGTTGAAAGAATTGTTTTCAGAGATTAATATGTCCGTTTTCATTCTTGAAATAGTTATCATGATTGGACCGCTAGTGGACGTTGGTTTGTATTCATGAATTACACCGTTCATGGTAATTTGAAATGAAAATGTTTATTGTCATAGAATAATCTTGTCTTCGTTTAGCAATGATGTATTCCTATTATGCAGCTCGCGCTATGCAATACCGGATCCCAAAATGGGTTCAAATAACAGTAACTATTTTTCAATTATCACAAATGGTTGTTGGTTGTTTTGTTAATTATAAAGCATATATCTATAAAGAAGCTGGTGCAACATGTAAAGTCGCGTATTCGAATATATTTTGGTCATTTGTTATGTATGCTATTTATTTTCTTTTGTTTCTGCATTTCTTTTTCGTCAACTATTTATGGAAGAAATCAAACAGTGTTAAAACAGGTGCACAGAAAAAGGACGATTAAGGTCATCGATGATCAATTTCTCTTTCTTTTCGTATTTCTTATCATTTTATCACTTATTTAGGTCAATTCTTCTTTCTTTCTTTCTCATCCTTGTTGTTGTTACTGTCGTGTTGTTAACTATAAACACAAAAACAAAACTTTCTCTGTTCACAATCTCAGGATTGTTTGAGATAATAGTTATGCGATCGTCTCACTTGGTTACACACCTTTTCTCATGTGTTCGCGTTCTTTTTTCACTGATTTGTTTATCTTATCGTATAAAGCAAATGCTGAAGTTTATTTTCTTTTCCACCAGTCATTAAATGAATATTTTATACGGGCAATAGATATGAAAAACGTACTTAATGAGCATTTTCTCGTACTTCAACCTTGTTTTCAAGGAAAAGGAAGTTTGTTGAGTGTTTTTTTTTTCGAAAAAGTAATTTGGTCCCTATGAGGATCGAACTCATGACCTCCGCGTTATTAGCACGGCGCTCTAACCAGCTGAGCTAAGGGACCTGTAGCATTTTGTGTGAAATATCAATCGAGTATATTGATGATCTATTTGGCAAGTCAGCAAATGTCGTACTTTTTTTCAAATGACGGTGAAAATTATAATCAAACATACGGACGATAACCAAGGAGACATGAATCATTGTTCGAACTCCTTTCTTTTCCTTTTAGTCGAACACTGCGAGAAATTTAATCCTACTAAATAAAAGAACGTATACGCCTTTTGCTATTTGTCAACTTGTGAATAGAGATGAAAAAAAGAAGGTTTTTTTCCCGATCGACATTTAAAAGAATAAATTATATGGAGAAAAGAACTATACTTTAGAATTCAATTCTGCAAATGGGAAAAGATAAAATCAAGAACAAAGAACCGGTCATGAATATGTTTGAAAAGCAAAAGAACGCACAATGTGAGGCGAATCAAACGATTATCATATATCCGAAAGATGCAAAACAATGAATAAGAAATCTATCGATAAGAAAATAAAGAGGGAAGAAAATACCATCGATGACAAGTACAGGATGTACTGATCAATTGCTTTCTATTCGTTTTGATTGTGGTGAGGATGTCATAAACATTCTCAAACTATTTAAAACAAATTTTTTAATTCCATTTGCTGAGGTGGATGATGATGAGTATTTCTCTTCTTCGTTGTCTTTTGAAACAGTAGAAAATGAATGGAATGGTTCGGATGACGTTCCATTATTCATTTTCGTGTAGCCCGGCAATGACTGAGTCTTCTGTTCGTAATGTTTTATAAATCCTCGTTTGGAATTGGTTTCTATCTGACCATTGGAATCATCATGATGACTTTGTGTTCGTCGTGTAAACTTTTTATAGTTTATTCGCTGAAACCGATGTATACTAGGAGATGAAGCTGTGGTTGATATGGAGTGTTGATTATTACTGATCAGAATAGTCGATGCTGATTTTGGTCGGCTATCATTACTGAGTAACTTCTGACCATGAGAAGTCGCTAATGATGGTTGCTTGTTTGTGGTTGGAGTCATATACAAACATTCAATCGATTTCCTGATTGGCGAAGTGGATTTACTTGGCAGAGACTGATGAACAACCGAAGAAGTTTTTGTAGTTGGCGTTACTTGGATGCATAAAGTAGTTGAATTCAATGGAGAAGAGGAGGAAGGAGAATTCGAGCAATCTTGAGCTAATTGTGAAAGAAATCGATCTATTTCGAAGATGTAGATATCAATAGTTTTATCTTGTCTAAAGTTTCGTCAAGGAAGGATGAGGAATGAAGATAAATATGAAAATAAACATACACTCCTTGACTTGTCAATAGTCGGGTGATTCTTTCGAAAATGTCTCGACGGATTTCTTTGATCATTGAATTGCATATTCGGAGTAGTTCATTTTGGATTTGTTTTTTTAACTGGACCTCGAGATTGTCCATAGATTGAGCCGTAATAACTTCGAAAAAGAATACAAAAATATTCATTACTCGACTTTCTAGATGAAACAGTTATTTTGAAAAGCGATTACAAATACCTCGTTGATGAAAATCAAAAAGCATCTTGCAGGTCAGCCGTAACAGAGCGATCATTTCGGGTGTGAAAAGTTCTAAAATTTATATGTAAATCGTTATGAGCAATCATCAATATTTTACACTCGACTAGTATGTACAGAGCAGCAGCATCATTCATAGCGAAGAATTTTTCTCTCTACCTTTCTCTCGGTTGAATAAACGGTAAGGTTCGTTTTGGTTTTGGGATATTACCTTGAAAACGTTCGGTATTCGGTGCTGAATGATCAGCTCTTCTTTCTATCTTAGGTAGATCCATCTAGAAATCGATAGAAGAGGATAGTAAACAAAAAGAGACGATGGATTTCTTTTACTGGAGCAAATTCTGGTACACTAGTTGGTCGTGGTATTATTCGGCCTTGATTTTTTAAACGTTCTTGATGAAGTTCACGTTTTACTTCATCTATTGATTCAATATGCTGTTTAATCATATCGGCGATTTTCTTTTGCAATGAAGATATCGTTTGTTGATATTCAAATTCTTGTTTAGTATGTAATGTTCGTTCTTGATTCAATCTATTCACAAAAGAAAAAGGCAGATTTGGATCAGTATGCTTTCTCAAACATACGCCTCATTGGATTGCTCGAGAAGTTTAACAAGATTGTCTAGACGAGTGTGTAAACTACTATTACTACGTTCCAGACCGGATTGTTCTCTTAATTTTGGCATACTGTCGTAACGATGTGTTTTTAATAGACTTAAATTCGATTTCAATTGCTCGATTGTGCGTTGTGCTTCGGCCAATTGTCGTTTCAATTGATCGTATCGTGTTTGCAGACGTGTTTGTTCTTGTTGAAATTCATTGATGACATTGTTATAACCATCGTCTAGTTCTTTTTTCATGATTTGCATTTGCTTTTGATGAGTTTCGATCAATTTCGATTGATGTTGACTTAGCTCAATATTCTCACCTAGAAAGAATCGTGTTTCATCGATGATCATCGACTTTGCTGACTCTTACGGTATAACCGTTCGTTTTCCGCTCGATACATTCTTTTGATTTCTTCAATATCTTGGGAGGTTGTTTTCGTTGATGTGACTGGAACAGTAGAAACACGTTGTTTATCGATATCACTTGTAAATTCTTGTCGCAATCGTTGAAGTTCATGTTGATGTTGTTTTTGGTCAAGTTCATAACGACGATTGTAGTCTTCTTCCAAACTGTTTTTGATTTTCTCGATTTCTTGTTGTAAATGAGAATCCGCAAGATCTAGTGCACGATTCGATTCGTATAGACGTTCTTCCAATTGACGTTTTTCGTTTTCAAGATAAAAGAGCTTATCACGGTATTCATGTTCAGTACCCTGAAAATTCCTATTGGAAGTTTTTTTTGTTCGGAGAAGAAAACTACTTTACCTGGACGATTGACGACCGTTTCTGATTGGTTTCTTGTTTGTGTAAAGGATACTGTTTTATTTGTGCTTGTAAATCTTGGATAGGGACCTGATCTTTCCAAATTTGTTCTTGGCTATTGTGCAAATGTTTCTCACATTCATCTAACTGGGCTTTTAAGTGATTAAATTCTTCTTCTTTGGTGGTCAACAATTCTTTCGTTAATTTCAAATCGGTTTTGTAGGCATCACGTTGTTGTGATAGTTTTTCAAGATTATTTTGTACTTGCACTCGGTATCCTTCGTATTTAGTGATTTCGTTTTCGTATTCCTCCATTCGTGTTAGGAGTTGTTTGATGTCTTCGTTGTAAACATGTTTGGATTTATCTTGTTGTATTTCTTTGACAATTTTCTCCTTTTCCTGATCGAATGTCCGTCTCAATTGGTCGTTTTCTTCTCTGAGTCGAACGACTAATTTGTATTGACCTTCGAGTTCGTTTTCAAGACTTGAACAAGTTGCCGAAAGTTCGTTCTGTTTGATATTCAAGTTATGATAATCTTGCTTTAGTTGTTCCACTGTCTGTCTCAATTGATCATTTTCTTCTCTGAGTTGACCGACCAGTTTCTGTTGACTCTCAGTTTCGTTTTCAAGACTTGTGCAAGTCTCTAAAAGTTCCTTCTGTTTGATGTTCAGATTATAATAATCTTGTTTTAATTGTTCGAATTCTTTCTCTGTGTACGACAACCGATTTGATGCGTCTTCTGAAAAAAAAAACGAATCTCAGAGTAATTCATCAAATTTCGCTCGGTTTACCGTAAGTCTTCAGTCGATCAAGTTCATTGTTCAAATCGCTGATTTGTTTTTCATGATTGATTTTCATTCGTCCGATCTCTTCCATTAATTCTCTTAATCGCCCTTGTGCATCTCGATTGTAATTATTGGGATCAGCTTTAAACGCTGCTAATTTGTCTTCGTATTCGTTGTTGAGCACCTGACAGATGTCGTCCAATTTACTTTTCAATTCGAATTCGAATTGTGTTCGTAAAGTTTCTTCCAATGCATCTTTCTCTTTGCAAACATCTAAACAACAAGTCCAAGATGTGAAATGCAAACGAAAGAGAGAATGTAGACCAAACCGGTATAGAGTTCTTTCGTTGTATCTAGTTCAATAACATCTTCACGCAATTGCTCGATCATTGCTTGTAATTCGCGTTTTTCATAATCGTATTTTTCTTCTAAATCAGCATATTCTCTTTTCAAAGTTTCGATTTGACTTGTTAAATTTCGAGGTGGTTCCGTCTGACCACCACCTTTTCTTATCACCGTTTCATTCGAACTTGTACTACTTTCGCTGTCACTCCGACGATGTTTCAATTCTTCTTCATACTGGGAAACCTTTCGTTGAAGTTCTTCATTCAATGCAACGAATTGTTGTTCGTTTAAAGCAAATTCATCGATACGTTCTCTCAAATGAATATTTTCTTGAATAATTGTTTGAGCTAATAAGTTACTCGTTTCATTCGTATCCAGATTTTTGATTGGAATCGAGCGAATCGCGAAAATTTCATCGTCAATCGTTGGCTCAGTGTCTTTAAAATGTTCGCGTAATGTTCGAATTTCAGACTAAGTACAAAAGAAAATCAATTGGAAAATAAAGCAAAAACAGGCACAGAATCATATTGTACTACCTACCCATGTGATGACTACCATGGTTGAGTCCTATTCTTCTTGTGGTAATCTTTTTTTTTCTCTTTCTGTTATCATAGCATTTTTATCTTACACTTATAGTGAAACATGGATGTTTGAAAGAGCGACACAACGTTTATGACAAACAAACACTATCGAAATGAAATATGTCGAACTTTTACCGAGGAAAGTCGTGAAAAGGTCAATGAACTATAAAGATATCCCTGTGTACTAACAAACTTCAAAGAGGATTAGATGTGTTGACGAGATATTCTAATTAGCGAAAATGTTACGATGAAGCTTCGAAACGTTGAGATATACCTGCAATTCTTGACATTTTAGTTCTAACTTTTCTTTTTCTTCTGTCACACGGGTCAATTGTCGTTTGGATTCGGTATGGCTGAATGATTCGAGAGAGTTTTTAGTTAAAAGTTCAGTGTATTGACGTTGACTGTCATGCAATTGTTCGGTTAAATGAGTGATGGTTTCCATTTGCTCGAAAACGGTCTAGAAGTTGACGAGAAGAAATAGATTTTATCATGAACTTTGTGTTTACTCTTTCGTTTGTTTTATATGAAAGTTCTAGTTGAGCACGAAGTTCGTCGTTTTCAACAGCCTACAGCAACAAATCGAACTTTTGTGTGTTACGATTCAGTGTTAATCGAACCTTTTCTTGGAGATTCATATGAATGTCTTGTAGTTTTTCATTGAGTGATAACACCCCTTTCTCGTGTTCCTCCTGCAATCTCGATAACCTCCGTTCGGACTCTTGGTTTGAAGATACATGTCGTGATTCATTCACCTGTCGACGTAATGTTTCCACCAACGATTCCGAATTTGAAAGTTTTTGTTCTAACTACTCAATGTGGAAATGAACTGAATAAATTCACCGCTAATATGGAAAACTCTACCTGTGTTTTGTTGATTTCAGTTTGTTGAATTTTGTTCAGTAATTGTTCACAATCGTGTCTTAATTCTATGATGTAAATCGAACGTTATGTTCTACTTCAAAGCAACTTCAATCTTACGTTGAGTTAGTTCTAATTGATACTTAAGTGTTCGTGCTTCATCCTCATATTTCTTTCGATATTCGTCGCAAAGAATTTGAAGTTGATGCACTTTTTGATCTTTTACAGTGCATAATAAACGAAACTTATTCGATTGATTCTCTGTTTCATTCCAGACTTTAGACGGTGATGCATGATAAATATACTGAACTTGAACTTGCTCCTCAAGTGGAATATACTGTATAGGCGATGTCGTGATTGAATTGTTTTCTGATGTTTTGTCATGGGATGACTCGATTCGATGTGATTGATCGTTATCATCGATTGCGAACTGATCGAGTTAAGATATATCAGAGAATATGTTGTATATTAATTAAACCTACATTATGTGGATGCAGTGATGGTTTAGTAGAGACTACGATCTGTTCGCGAGGGTGCTTTTGAAGATGTGATCTTAAATGCAAATATTGAAAGTATTACTCTGTTATTATCTTTGAGAAAATGTTGTATATATTGGCAAATAATTCTAATTTCTTGATAAATATTTGCAATCTCTCGGGTTTCATCTCTGATCGTCTCTTGCAACAATTCTATCGTTCAGAACAGACTATTTTCGTGAAAAAAAAAGTCCGAATAGTCCCTCTTTTTATAGAACAATACATGTCAACTGCACATAGTAAGTATTCATTCAATCGATTGAATAAACATCAAGTAATCTAAATTTTTTTTCATAAAACAACATACGCAAACTTTAAAATAATCCACTTAGACAATACTTCTTTACTAAATCCATCTTATTTTTGCTTCTCTCTCAAATCCATCTGAAAATACTCTTACTCAGTCTGCTGATGAACTTGTTGTTCATTAAAACTATGATAGCTTGATTCCGAGGTATTCAACGATGTATCATCATCATCGTCATCATCATCGTCGTCTGTCGGTTCTTCATGTCCTTCAAAAGCAGCCATAATCAATTCAATAATCTAATACATACATATGTAAGCAAAAGAAGCACGTGAAAGTCTAATGAGATCGTTTACTTCATTTTGTTTTGTTTGTTCGTGAACAATATCTTCAGTATCGAAATCGTTCTCGATAAGATTGATCGAATCAGGAAGAAGCATACTAACACTCGAATCGTATTCCATGTTGAGACTCTGCCGGACAGATTTCGAATCCTCGCGATCGATCAACATCAAATGAAAAATAAAACCTCAAAAAACAAATGTTCTTTTTTCCTTTTCGTTTGTCTCGAGAGAACACGAAACATTACAAATTGTTCTGTTAATCGCTTTTCTTTTCAGCCTCGATTACCTCCACTTTTACCATTGAACTTTCTTCTCTGACTTTGTCACTATAGAGACGACGACACGAGCGACCTCTGGATTACTCACCTGCACTGTAACCATGTCAGTTTTTCTGATCGTCAACATCGTCGAAGTTACTAATCATGACATCGAATAAAAGAGATAAATCTGCTTCGAGACAATATCAAGAAATCAGTGGAAATGAAAATGAGAGTGATCAAACACGACCGACAACTGCTGCTGCGTAAAAGATTTTGAATAATTAAAGTTCGAATTGCCATTTGATTATCTTTAGAAATGATGCGAAGAGTAAATGGTTGGCAGCACATAATGATTTTGTCGCCGGAATAAATACAGTTGGGACATGTATGGAGCTTGTGGATCTGTTTGCAGAGGGTTCAGTGAATTTAGTCGTTGCGGATTTTGGAAATATTTTATTAATGCCAAAACTACAAGCGAAACTGAAAGTTTTCAAAAGTACGTCTCCGATTTTATCGATCGCTGTTTGTTCTTAGTTGATCACTTAGGTTTTTCGCTGTTGAAAGAAAATAATCTCTCAGATTTACCATGTGCACTGGTGGCTTGCTATACGGACAACCTTCAACCAAGAATTCCAGGTAAGAAATTTTTCTCGTCTTTTTGTTCTTTTTCAAAGTTCTTTATGTTTAGCATTGGCAGTAGCTTCGGGTTCTGCAGTATTTCTTTTCAAATCATTACGTCCCTATTACAAATTTGTCTTACCTCAAATTGAAATCGCTCAAGTAGAAAAAGATGTTTGGCATAAAGCTCGTGAGGTTTGTTGACCGACAGAAGAAGATTCTTCGAAACTGACTGGACTGTTCTTAGGGTAATGTCGATATTCGAGCCATGCATGACGTTCTCAATGAACTACATCGTGCTGGTACTGTTCCATTGACACCTCGTTCACTAACGTAAGGAATTTCTCCATATCTTTATTTGAAATTGTTCTTGTTTAGATTCCTGCAAATGTCGAAAAGCAATGAAGCATACCAATTCGTCGAACATTATAAGAACGTTGAATTAAAACGACAAGTAAATGCAAAAATATTCTTCGAATAAGATCTATCTATTTCGTCTGTACACGTAGAGCTGTGTAACATGTATGAAAAAACTTAATAAAAATTCCGCTGACGAAGATGGATTGAATTGTCTTGTGATTGGCACTGAAGATCAACATATTTATATCGTTGAAGCAGAAGCATTTACAATTTTAGCAACGGTAAGTCGATTTACAAATTTCAAATACAATCATCGTTGGAAGATGATTTTAGATGACGTGCCCTGCGACACCGTCATTTCTGGAAGTGTCCGGTGTTTATGATGTCGAATTTCGAATCCTAGCTGCTTGTCGGAATGGTTATATCTATCTGTTTCGAAGGTAAATCAAACTAGTTTTTATGACATTGCTTCGAATTAGGAAATAATAGAGGAAATCAAACTCCACGAAATGCAATTTACCTAAATTCTATTGCGGTTGGTCTTGAACGTTTTGGGAAAAACATCATTGTCGGATGCATGGATTCATCATTGCATTGCTACACAACAAAGGTATGTTTTATCGAGCAAAACAAACACAATTTGATGTTTTGTTTTTCCAAAGGGTAAACGATATTGGAAACATATCTTACCAGCACCTATAACTGCCATGTGCCAAATTGATTATCGTCCAAAAGGTTTTCAAGCTGTGGCTGTAGCATTAGCAAATAATGAAATACATTTATACAAGGACAAGTTTCTTGTTGATGTCATTCAAGTCGAAGAAAACATTTATGCAATGAAATTTGGAAAATTAGGACGAGAAGATGCAACGTTAATTATGATTACTAAAAGTAAAGCGATCTGTAGGTAAATCTTCTATTGAATATTGGTGTGTTTTTGTCATGTAGATGGTGGACTGGTCATAAAAATTCTTAAGCGAACGGCAACATTCGAAGAGAATGATACTCTTCATGGACCTCCGAAGGAACAACAGGTGAAAATTGATGTTCCAAAACGAACAAAACTCTATGTTGATCAAACATTGCGCGAAAAGGAACAAGCTGAAAGTAAATTACAAAGAGTTTTCGAACACAAAACATTTTGTTTGTCGTTATTTTAAGCGATGTATCGAATATTTCAACAAGATCTCATCCGTTTGAAATTATTAACTGGAAAAGAATTTCTTAAATCAGTTCAAGCCGGTTTAAATCCTGTGGCGAAGACGAAAACCGAAGCAATACGTATCAATGCTGAAGTTCATGGACTCGGTCCCCGGTTCAAATTAACCGTTAAACTTCAAAATACATCGTCAGTATCGTTAACACCAATCATCGATCTATTCCTGTCATTTACATATGACGAGAATATCTACAATCTTAATCCTAACTATATCGAGGTTTGATTGTCTTCTGAAGAACTCTTGAATAGATAAATCGGAAAATGATGTTTGTTTTTTTTTCTTCTTCTTTCGTCGTCTTAGATTCCAATTCTCATCAATGGAATTGAATACGGGTTCTGTACATTTGTTACCTGCATTACGGACAAAGTCATATCGGATGTCATTAAGGTAATGAGCCATTTCCGAGTATAGTTTGACTTGAAGAGTTCTTTTAGGTATTCGTTTGTCGACGTGATACAACAGCACCATTAATCTCGGCTGTGATTAACATGCCTGTCGCTGAACCGAATCTAGCTTTATAGATTGATTCTTTTCGTTGTTGTGTTTCTATTTCAGTGAATAAAATTTGTAATGATGACCTTGTAATTGAATCGGCGGAAATTGTTTTTGCGCACAAATCACAATTGCATTTTCTGTTAGGTCATCAACATTCTTCTTTTCTTCTTTTTTTCCTGTAATGTGTGTTCATGCGCTAACACCATCGTCGATGTTCAGATAATAATGAACATAACACAATAGAGAACATCCTTGCATCTTTCTATCCGTTTCTTGACGAGGATCAACGGCAAGAAAAAAAAAAGAAGAACTAATAGACGTGCTTTTTTTCGAAAAAGACATCGACGCATCCCTATGCACGGAATGTTTTTCTTGTAGATCAGAATACAAGCAACAAGCAAAACTCGTTTTGTTACCAAAATGTGTCTGTGTCTAATTCTCGAGCTTGCAGACACCGAAACAAACACACAAGATATAAATAATCAATACGAGAGTATCGTTTACAGATGACAAAGAGTAGCGATAGCCCGTGGAGTGTCTTAGTGGACAAAAATTCTTTTGATTTCAGACATTCTCATCTGTTAATCAATACCTGATGAACAAAGAAGAAGAAGAAGAAGAAGGAAATAATTGTAAATAACTCGAGATTAAACATTTTTCTTTTCTCTTTATTCTTTTGTTTCTCTCTTGAACATCACTTGGGTCTTTTGTTATGAAGAGGAGGGAGAGCGAGCGAGAGAGAAAAAAGAAAAAGAGAGCGTGAACGAAGGAAAAATGAAGAAGAGAGCATATTCATTGTGTCGTCGAAATGATCGAGAATCAACAGTGAGATATTTAATCAAGATCTTTCAAAACGTTTTTTCTTTCGACTAAAATGACTGAAGTTATACATCGTTTAACTGAACTAAAACATTTGCGTATCTCGTTCTTCGGTTGTCCTGATGATGACGCTTGCAATCGTCTCAATCATCGACATACCGTTTTCATGTTGCTCATCTTTTCTGCTGTTCTTACATCTCGTATATTCATATCTGATTTAATTATATGTTGGACACCAGGTGAATTCACAGGTAAGAATGAAGATTGTTTATTCAGAATTTAATTAAACAAAAACACTTATGCAATCAAATCAATTCTCCTATTGTATTCTTTGTCAGATTTACAAATAATAGACAATCAGACATAAAAAATTCATAAATCTTGTTCTCATTCAACAAACTAGATTAAACCAACATGTTGTCTTACTCGTTTTCTTCCTAGGTAACTTTGTTTCATACACACGGCACTATTGTTATGTAACCAATACTTATTACATATCAATGAATGAGACAATTCCAACGTTAGCCGATGCGCACATACGCCGTCGACGCTCGATATACTACTATCAATGGTTACCGATTGTCCTCGCTCTTCAATCTCTTTTGTTTCTCATTCCACGTTTGATATGGAGTGGTTTCAGTCCTCGCTGTGGAATTAATCTTCAACATTGTTTATCTCCGAAATTCGATTATCGTACAAGTCGATACAAAGTTCAACACATAACAACAATGTTGAATCTTTTAGCACGTTCGCAACAACATGATTTTAATCGAATGACAACTAATGAACCAAGTGGAGCATTGACTGCAACTAATTTAGCCGCACATAATTCATCCGTATTAAAATTCTTCCATATATTTTGCATGCCATTTATCTTCGCGACTGGCAACACAGCTCATGGATATTATTTAGCTAATCTATTCGTTCTTGTGAAAATTCTTTTTCTTATTAATTCATCATTACAATTGTTCTTCTTGAATACATTATTGACGAAGAATTCCGTCTTATATGGATTAGAAGTTATTGATAATATCCGTCGCGGAGAGTATGTGATTGGCACGCGAGTATTTCCATTGAGTGTTTATTGTGATTTCAACATCGTTAAAATCGGACAACCCACACTTTATACGGTAAACTATTCCACTTGGTCTTATTCGAAAGAGAAATTTGGTTTTCATAGGTTCAATGTCTGTTACCAATGAATGTGTTCAATGAAAAGATTTTTACGATGATTTGGTTTTGGTTAGTTTTCCTGACGATAATCAATTTCAATAGTCTTCTGTTAACGATCATTCGCAGTAGTTTCAGTCAATTTAATTATGCTTACGTTGCGAATTATTTGAATTTATACTCGAAAACAGAACGATTCAAACGACAGATGCTTGTTAAACGTTTTATTTTTAATTACTTGTCAGCCGACGGAGTTCTTGTTTTACGATTAATCTCCGAAAATATCAGCGATCTACTCACAAGCGAGGTCGTTAACGAACTCTGGAATGAATACAAGAAACTCTCAGGTCTGTCTACGAAAAATCGTGAAAAATATCTGGCAAATCAACGACTGAAGACTGTTCAATTCGCAGCAGCAGTCCAATCGGCGCAAGGAGAAGGAGCAGCAGCACCAACGCGAGATATCTATAATCGCTATGTATCAAAATAATGTAAATCTGAACATGGAATCAGTCAAATAGTTGTCAAAAGAAAGACAATAGAAACAATGATGATAATTGAAGATGATGGAAGGAAGGATTACTGATGCGTGCCTCAATCAACACGATGCTTAGCTCACAAGAGACACTCTGCTGTGTTCATAATTATCTTTTAGACAATGAAGATAGACAACGACTAAGTAACAAACCATTAACAATGAAGAAAAACTAGCAAGGAAGAAGAAGAAGAAGAAGACGACATTACATATAGATTAATGTTGTGCTTTTTTGACAAAAGAGTTTGAGTGCTTGATTCGCCGGAAGGATGTTTTATTTTAATAGATTAGAACAAATTTTGTTGATCATGATTTTGACATATCGATTATTCTTTCGTTTTTTTATTGCACTCTGGGAAAGAGAGAGAGAAGGCAGAAGATTTGATCGATAATCTCCTCTTTTGATTAGCTCCAAGATGAAACGGGTACATTCATCTTCCCTGACACATATTCATCTGTTCAATTCACGAAGAAAACTTGCTTTTTTCAATCTTCGCGCTATTCAATCATCTATTATTGGTTTTTAGCTTATTCTCTCTTAAATATCTCGCTAAATTCAAATCACATGAAAATGACTACTGCTGTTTTTCTTTTGACATTATCATTTGCTTATATTCTCCTTGGTACTTGTGCACAATTTACAATCGCAATCTTAACATCAAATTCACTATTCAATTTGCACTGGCAACATCTCCCGTTCTTGATTGTTTTTCAAGCGATCTTCATTTGTCTTTTCTTTGTCAGGTATAGGAGAAGCCATTTGTAATCAAAAGATCATTTCTTCTTGAAAATCATCTAGTGGCTTTCGACGAGATTCGTTTGTCTTTCTCTATCCATTTTTATTGACATTATTTCTACATTTATGCTCGAATTTATGGTATATTTTGAGTCTCATTCATCTTCGCACGTATCAATCGACTGAAATTCAACAGTTTTTCTATTATTGTTCACGAGATATTCTAAATATGAATTTCGAGACGAAACAATGTACGTGTTTACATGAAAATGTCAATGATCAATATCATGTGAACATGTCATGTGTAAAAGTGAAGCTATTCATTGAATTGATTCAATTAATCCCTTTCATTAGGTAAAAAGTCGTTTCATCTAAACAAAAATCAAACAAGAAGCTCTGTTGTTTTTAGTACTTTACTCGTTTTGGCTGATTTTTATACATTGACACTTGTGGTATTTGTTTATATTTATCAAAAACGATCATTGATAGACTATTTACCAACACTCGATGAATACGATTTAGCATAGATAAAAGCGATGAAAAAAAAAGAGATTATGATTTCTGATTTAGATGAGCTTTGATTAAAGAAAAAAGACGGAGAAGTAGTAATGATTTTTTTTTCATCGCCTACGAAATGAGCTTATGAATAACAATAATCTCGAGAAATCCGTAGAGATCGCCAGTATTTTCTCATCAGTTCTATTTGATCATCAGACATGTTGATCTTACACTGTCTTTTTATCTTAACCATTATTCCATCTGTTACTCTCTTTGGTCAGCCGTTATTCACTAATCAAATTATTGATACATTAACACGAGCTTTGCAGTTCTTCTCTTCACATGTTCATGAAGTCAATCTTGATGCAGGTATCGGTACACGTATGGCTGCCGATCAATTACGATCTTATACAATGTGTCGACATTGTCAATCTGTTAAAGATCTTGTTGATTTAAGTGAGTATGTCACGTGGAAAATCGATCAGTCGGTCCGTCAACGTCAACCGGAGTACTATGCGAAAGTATCATTTCTGATAAAGCCTGGCATGTATTCAAATCTTGTACCGTTCAAATACCGTCAAAATAAAAACAAGATTTCGATTGAAGAGACATGTTCATCATCGCCGTTCATTGAAAAATATTCCGATGAATGTCTTCATTCGTTGATGATTGGAAAATGTAATCATACGGGCTCGTGTACACGATTAATGAGTGATCCGTATGCATGTCGATACTCACTTACACATCAAATATTTTACTCGATAATTGTCAAGAAATCGGCATGTTTTGAGCATCGGTTATCAGCACGTCAAGATCATCGATTAATTTCGAAAATGTTATTAGAAAATCATCAGATCGCTGCTGGACATTTTCAAGAGACTGACCGCGACTTATTTATGGAACAAATTGCCTTTGGTGGTTTAGTTGGATGGAAGGAATTCTTTGAGAGTGAAAGTTTCTTTCAGACAATCATCGATTGGCAACATCCAACTGAAGGTTGTTATGGAAATGATACAAATCCTTTGATGATTAATAAGCGTGAGGAAATGCAAATGGCTCAACATTGTCTTAGTCATCGAACAAGTGTGGCAATAGCTGCACTGTCGCAAATGCTTCGATATCTGTTGTCTAGAGACATCTAACATTGCATGCAATGAATAAAGAAAAAGAATCGATGTACGATGTTGCTTAGAAACGTTGTTCTGTCGCTCATTGTCAATGATGAGAAATAAAAGCGAGTTTTAAAAGCTTATATCGAAGAACAAAGTAGTGTAAAGATGATCAAGTCGGATTCGGTATGTAAGAAGATGAAGACAAGGACAAAGAAGGATGTATATGTGTTTTGTTTTGTCTAGCATGATAGTACAGCCGAGTATCATAGTTACAGTGAACAGTTAATCAAAGATGAAACTTTATCACGAGCACGACGTGCTCGACGTCAAAATCGAACTAATTCAGGAACAACAAGTGGTGATGAAACAAGACGAGAAGGTGATTTGTCAAACGAGTCGATTGTAAATTGTCTGATTCGAAGCCTTTTTTTTAGTTCCGGAAGGTCATCTACGACCACCATCAGCTCGTCGTCAGCCAAAAACGTCACCGAAACGTTCAGATTTACCTCCATTAGATAATTCAACGAGTATTATCGTAGAAAACGAAACAAAACCTAAACGAAGGACTAAAGCAGCAAAAGCACGTGAAAACGAAGAAATCGAAATGACACCAAGAGAGTCACCTGGGGATCGTCGACAACGACGACGTCCAAAAAGTGCAAAATCCAAAGATGCACATTCTGAAGCAGAACCAACGAATGATTCCGAACGAGATAAAATCTTAGGCATTGTTGTTCATCGAACAGATCGTTTACGAACAGATTTACGACTTCGACATCCATTCGTACGTGTTCATATAGTTGATCTGAGCACACGATCTTATGTCCGGAAAACTGATCCGTATGTCGAGTTGTCTCAAAATATTTACTACGGACAAAATCTCTTTCTTTTCGTCTAGAAATCGTTTAGTTCTTCGGTATCATCTTCAAAATGAACAATCAGTCGATCACATTCCAGCCATTTCTACACATCCCTACGATTTCAACGCCAATCGGTAAGTTCATTTCTTGAAGCGATTTAGAAGTTACCGAACTGTTTTAGTTCAACTATTCCGTCCTGGGAGCAAATGTTGATTATTAACGAAGAATACCCACATTTTACTAGCGTACAACAACAGAATATCTTTATTTTCTTTGAAGTATATTCCAGTTGTGAATCAAGAAAAATAAGCAATCGTTGTATATTTATAGATTTTGGAATTTGTTACTAATCAACAGAATATTAATGATCTATCCAACACATTTCCCATCGCTTGGGCGTTTTTAAAAGTAAAATTCTATGCACGAACTATTTTCTTTAGTAAACTAAACATCTAAACTAGGTCATGGGTTCACGGAATGTATTAAACACCGAACGAATGATTCGGCTGCAACTTTGGCAACCTATTGAGCATATCCGTGGTTCTGCACTGACACCCGATGTAAGCAGATCATCAAAAGATAATCAATTTGAAAGTTTTCTATTGTTTATATTCCAGGTTGTTATGTGGTACAATCATGTATCTCGCACAAAATATCCTTCCACACTCTATGTAACGGTTAAACCATTAAACATTCCCAATCATTTTCATCCAGGTCTTCGATCGGCATTGGATGGTGGCATCGAGCAAATGCGAAGTGAATACCGACAAATCAAACGTGAACTTGAAGAGTAATGAAGACACTATCTCAGCACAAAGATCCTACGTTTCGTTTCTTTCAGGCACATTCCAGGTGGTTCGAGCGATCATCTAACCGAAACACAACAGATGGATCTTAATAATGAAACCATGGGTCCATTACAACGTGTAGCACAACTACCTCCACGTTGGCAAAAGTTACCGAATTCCAAATGTAAAATCCCTACTGAATCCTTACTTTCCTTGAATACGAGCGAACGTGGCTGCTCGGCGATACGTTTTTCACACAATGGATACTTTTTGGCTTGTGCAGAAGTGAATAAACTTCAAGAAAATAATTTAATATCAGTTTTTGAAGTAAACGCATATTTGATTTTCATTATCTGTCGTTTGATGAAAATCTCTCCTTTAGATTCCACGAGGACAACGTGTCGCCGTGTTTTCCGGACATTTACAGATGATCTATGATTTAGATTGGACTCGATCCGATCGTTATTTAGCATCCGGATCAGCAGATTCATCTGTCAAGTTAGTTTTCGTTTGTGTCAACAAGACTTTTTACTCTCTTCGGCTTGTTGTAGAATCTGGAATTTTGCACAAACGGAACGCAAGCCATGGCGTACACTAGCTCATCCAAGTTATGTCTATTGTGTTCGATTTCATCCATTCGTTGAAAACATTCTCGTCACTGCTGGCTACGATAAAATGATTCGTATATGGAACATCGATAAGAAACATGGACAAGTAATTGAATTCAAATGTTGTTTATTTCGAACTGAACGTTTCTTTTTCAGGTGATTCGAACGATGTCAGATCATTTAGGATACATTAGTAGTCTATCGTTCAATCCAGATGGCACACGTCTAGCATCAGTTGATAGTATCGGGTCTATCAAAGTCTGGCAAGGCTTACCGAACGAAACAAGTACATCTCAAAGTATGACTTTTGAATTGAACATTGTGAAAAAGAATGAAATCTGAGTTTTGTCTAGTATTTGCTGATAGTTGGACATTGGGTTCAAGTTTAGACTTTGGTGAATTACAAGTAAGATTACAAAGTTCCTTCTATGGAGAAATATCGCGTTTTTATTTCGGATAGAATATTCCATTGAATAGTATCACTTATTCACCAGGCGATAATTATCTATTAGTCTCTGCTCGAGACAATTTAATTGTGTTAATTGATGTTCGAACGTAAGAAGTAGAATCGAAAGATGTTAACATTTGCCGTTCTGCTTTCATTTCTAGAAAATCAATATCGCGTCGATATGTCGGAGCATTTAATTTACAAGATCGAATCCGTTCGACATTTTCATCATGTGGCTCTCTCATTTTTGCTGGTAGCGAAGATGGTCAAGTACATTGTTGGCATACTTACAATGGAAATCTACTCTATTCATACAAATACATAAATTATACACAACCAGTTATTGATATTCAGTTTCATCCATTTGATAATTTGGTAGCAATGTGCGCGATCGGACCATTGCATCAAGTTTATGTATTTCAACACACATTTGATGATGCTGATATCGAAGCTAAACCTTATCAACAGCCAAGTCCAGTTAAGACTGTAATTGTACCATCGGGAACGCTAGGAACGTCGATAATAGCATCAGACACGGATAGAAGTATGACCAAAGGAAGATTTGAAAGTAGTGGTGATGAATTACCAAGAACAGTAGTTTCGAAAAATGAATCGAAAAATCGACGATTGGCTGTTGTCAATAAAATTCTCGATGAGATGGACGATGTTATCGTAAGTAGCATCATCGTCATCAACATATTTTGAAACTGTTTCCTTTTCTACAGAATCCCAAATCTAGTACCAGTCGCCATCGAGACTCAGTTACAGGCTATGGCGGCGGTCACATGATGTCACGCACAACTGAACGTGATATGTCACCTTATCAAGGTCATCGAAATCTTCCATCATCAGGATACAATTCCGATTCTGGACGACCTCCACTCGTTAGTCCTTTACGCAACTTAACATCACCCGATCTATTCGTACCAGTTTCCAATCGCACCAATGATGACGATGATGATTATGCCTACCAAAGAACACCATCATCATCAACTCAGATCATGTATGCAACAACAAATTATACTGCCGCACGTCCCCAAGAATTATCATTTTCTAAAAATGACAAGATTAAAATCTTAAACAAAGAATCTCATTTACTCTGGTACGCGGAACATGTTCCAACAGGTGCACGTGGTTATGTCTCACCAAATCGCGTACATATCAGTGCAAGAGACGCTTATTCCCCATCACCAAAAGCAACAGTATCAAATACAGATAGACGTTTCATTAGTGAAGTACCACGTTTGGATAATAGTAGCCGACGTGTTCAACAAAAAAGTGTGAAGTTCGACGATTCTGACTAGACCATAAAATGTTTGCGAATCAACAGGCCTTAGATATGATGTGTAGTTTTTCTTTATATTGCACATGTTGATGCAATATGCAAGTTCAATTCTCGTTCTTTGTTTTTCTACCTTGTCTTGATTTCATTAATGATAGATGTTTCTAATCTAGATGGAATAAACGCTATTTTATATTGTATGCTTTGATTGTTTTTTCTATTGAAGATTATTTGTTGTACAGGAATGTTTGGTCAAGGTAATCGGTTTTACAATCCAAAAGATGGAACCTATGCAAATGTGCCTTTCGTGCCAGTACATGTGGAGAAATTTCAAGGCAAACGGCGATATGGAACAGACGTTCTGATCGCGAATTGGTTTGAAGATCGATCGAAAGTAAGTACTAAATTATAGGTCAGTTTTTTCGTTCCTGCTTTTTCCTTAGAGGACTGAAGTGAAATTAATAGTTTCTTTTCGTCAGGCACACACAGCAGAAAAGACGTCATTGATAATTTGAAGAGATTAGCGTGTTTTTCAATTTAGAATATCAATTCTGATTTGTATGAGATCAGTTTAAGCATAGGTAAACACTATTCACTGTGGATCCACAATCTGAAACACTTCTTACTCAAACCAAATCATCAGAAAAGGACATTTTTAAATTATGCATGCATATTACATCAGATGAATCAGTATGCGTCATAGTCACGTTAGTTTTGCAATGATGTTTACACATTCCAAACTGAGAGTCATTTTTACGTCGACAAACTTCGTCATAAATCAATTGTGTTTATTTATCATTTAGTCACATGATTCCAATTATCTGCATGATACGACTTATCGTATTGAATATCCTGCATACGAAGGCTGTTTACCTGATACATCACTAAGACGTAAACTACTTTTATCCCAAGAAGAACGATCTGGACGTATGATTTACGGTCATCATAATATCGATGATCGCAAGCAGCTTATCACCAGGTAAAGGAAAAACTTAGATGACATTGAACTTCATTCGTTTGTCTTCAAGTTACGATGAACACTACAACAGGCGAGGACCTTACGGACACGAAAGAGTAATACCAAATTTTCTCTCTTGATCACTCAGTTGTTTGGTTTCTCAGTTTCCAGACGAACGAAAATGGGCATTACAAAATGATTGTTGGTTACCTGAACACAGTGATCACCCACTCCAAGGTGAACCTACGCGTTTGGGTCCAATAGCCAAACAACAAAATGCCGAAAGACATCCCATCCATATCAATCGCACAGAAAATCATCCGTTTCATCGTTCGAAAACGTTACCCGATATCAGGTACTCTTTCGAAAGCCTTGCCCTGCTCGATCTAGCGTGATCTCTGTCTTCTAGTGAATATACTGATCGATATATTCCTCATGAACGTCGTTTATATGCGGAATCTAAACGTGTTGGTCTCGAACGTATCTATTCAACTGCACTCGATCAAACCAATGCTACTAATAAAGATATTAACTACCGTTCGATAACAAACAGTAGTAAACGACAGCCTACGACGCGTGATGCGAAAGAAATTGATTATCTTCGTGCGTACCAACGTGATAAGAGCATTCCTCGAACATACTATTACCTCGGTAAAGTTCCAGATGCAGTTACTGATAAAATGCGTGAAAACTATCCATTTTTACCTTCGCCATTAAACTCTATCGAACAAATTAAATCTTCCACTATTGAACAATTACCAAATCAACAAGAACAAACTGTTTATTCTTAATTTTCGAGAAAAAAAAGAACTCTTTCTTCAAGTTAATAACAAACAATCATTTATTTTTCTTTGAAAAAAAATCTTTTTTTATCAATTTATAATCCTTTAAGATAAGCAACAATACCAACATAAGTTTCATAACCTTAACAAATGAAATTTACTATACACATATCTATTTGAAAGCGTTCTAACGTACCAGTTTTCTTGATTTCACTTGCAGCAACAATGAATCCATTGCCACCGGTGGGTGGTAATTCAATACAATAGGAATATAAGACTTGGAGATCACCGCGTGTCCAATCTTCGCTACCGCCACTGGCTACATCTATAAAGATAGATAATGAGAGAATTCATTTCGATGGTTCATCGTTTAAAACGAACAGAGAAGTTGAGCAGATGAGCCAATGGTATATGAACGTCCGTTCACACTCTTGATAGCATCAGCACCGATCTTGGCTTTAGCTTTCTGTAAAGATAGAAATGAGATATGGAAATGATTCGAATCAGTTCTCACCAAAAGAGCAAAATTAGGTGGATCATTTTTTGTATAACCCCTAAAACAATCGATCACTTAACCGTTCATCTTACTTTGTTACTTACCAATTCTTAAAAAGAAAAAGAAAATACAAAAATAGATTTATCTTTTTAAACAAAAAGTGATTCGTTGATAACTTACGGTAAACCACCATCTACAAAAGAAAACCAAGCTAATGTAGAGAAATCTGAGTGATGAGAAACTTTTACTTACTGTCCATAAGAATGGAAAGTCAAATAAGTATTCCATTGTTTACCGGTCATATAGTTTTGAAGGGCTTTAGCTTCGTTTTCAGACATAGCTGAGCCCCCATGGAATGTATCAGAGCATGCGCTGCTTGAACTACCTCCGGTATTAAATTGGTAGCCAAAATTACGGTTAAGATCAACACCATAGCAGCCAGAACCAGCAGGTTTGCGATTTTTACGCCACATACGATCCTGAAAGAACGATTGCAAGTATTTTCTCAAATGTATTTTCAATTCCTGTACAAACATTTGAATGTGAATAGGCATAACCATCAGGATTGAGAATAGGAACGAAATGTAATTCCCACGAATCTAAGATTTCTTTTGCAGTGCCACCTGATGCATAAGTTGTCAAAAACTATTCAAACAAATGTATAAATGAGCGAATCAATGTCAGATTAGTCAATATACTTCGTTGATCATATAAGCACCTGTGGCTGGTGAGATCCATTCACGAGCATGAATACCGAAATCTAAAAAGGCTTTCTTCTTGTTAGAGCCTGATGTACCAGTGATCTGAAGGAGAAGAAAACGCTCTCTCACAAAATCTCTTCCATGTGTCGATGAAATGTTACTTTAAGTAACCAGATATCACGATTTTCGTATGTTTTGCCAATTGATTGAAGTGTGGCAAGTGTGGAATATGTGCTTGCCATTTGTTTTAACCAAGTGGTAAGCTAATTTTCAAGAGAGAATTCGTATTTCATTTTGTTTTCTTTCGCACAGAGAAAAATATTACTTGATCGTAAGTATGGAAAGTGTCTTGGATTCCACGTGGTACGCCTGATCGTGCTTGCACTTGAATCATACTTTCTTCGGCATCAAGTAATCTAATATAGACAAAAAGAAAAGGAATTTGTTTATTTGCCTGTTAGTATCTACTGTTGAACGTCGTTTTGCAAGATTTTGGGTTTCATATTTAATTTTTCGAAAAGTGGCATCATCCATCCAGTTTTCGTGTGATTGAACATTAATTGAGTAGAGCGATTACGACCCATTTCATTCCAGATATCAATCTATGAATCCAATCGAATTAAAACGAATACTATCATGACAGACTTTACTTCATTTTGATCTTCAAAATTCATTAAAATTTTGAAATGTTCTTCTTCATATGGAGTTACAGATACGAGAACATTTCTAAGAAGTAATCAATGAACGATTTGCTGTTTGAGAACAAAAGAAGACAACTTACCCATCATAACGTCGTTTTCCTGCACTAACAATGACTGCAGCAAGAAACAGCAACAAATAGCGAAGAGACATACCGAATCTTTAGTTTCTTTTGTTATTAACGTATACCGATCAGCTCGGTAGTCTTATTTATAGGTTCGGATTGATGTTTTCTCTTCTTTTGCTATTCTGCATTGTCACTAATCCTTCAATCAAGGAGACGATTAATATGTCAAGAATACTGTAATAATATCTGTGTCATTCGATCTGATTTTTGAAAACAAAGCTTTTCGAAGATTGTCCTTTTCCACATTCGAAATAAAGAAAGCCTTGAGTTCGATCAAATACATTAGAGATCAAGTGCAAAATATGATTGTAAGAGCAAAGAAGGATTGCAAATAAAACAATTAATCGTTATTTATTTGATGTTCTTTTTCGGATATTTTCACATTGAAGAAAAAGAATTTAAAAAACTTGTTTTTACTATTCATGCACCAAATGAAAAACATATATAAAAAAAAACAATTAATCAATCACTTAAATTATCACAAAAAAAATAAATCTCTTCTTTTGTGGACAATCAAATACAAAAGACATTCTCTTTCAAAAACCTTTTATCGTACATGGAAAACGATCTTTGATACTGCCACGACGGAAACGTAATGGAATGGGTTCCTGAACATGAATACGTCGTGAACAATCATCAAGTCTTAAAGCAATCTTTAAAATTTCCTTCAATGGTAACCCATCATCATTCACAGGTTTACCTAGATGATCTGATTCGTTGAAAAAAACAAAGTTTCACACCTAATGAAAAGAACTTACCGAAGGAAATTTCCATTTGAATGAGAAATATCGCAAAGAGAACGTAGAAAATGACTTTGCTCGAATTCATTTTTGTAAATTTATGACATATAATTGTCGACGATAATGACCAAGTTGTTTGTGCTAGAAAAAGAAGAAAAGTCTTGAATTTCTATGATTGTGAATGATCCATAGGTTACCAGACTTGACATATTTATATCAAAATTAGAGATAGAATAGAAGAAAGAATGTTTTCGTGTTATTCTCTTCATGAGTTATCATGTGTATGTGAAGATATGTCGAATATCAGCATAATATTCTCTGTCATAACTAATATCAAAACAGAAGATAATTACTTTATTAAAATTTGCAAGTTGAAATGATTGTTTGGAATTGATGCACCGTTGTCGTTTGTCTGTTGACATTGAATCTCCTGGCTGGATGTGAAAAGTGTGTGTCCCTGTTGTAGGTTTAAAAGACACGAGACAGAGCGACAAAACCAAAAGAAAGCTAGAAGACATGCGACGCTCAATTATATGCGGTCACCGACGTATTTTGCGACGCAATTTAGTTATGATTTGGTCATGGGACACCGAAGGAAAGGAGGCCGATAAGATGTTGAGGACAAGAATAGAATGAAAAAGGGGAGATTTTGTACTACGCAATAGTACTCAGGTAAGATAAGCAGGCTGGTGGTTTATTAAACGTCAAGGTCTTCATAACAGCACGTGGTTGCATTGCATGTTATTCAAGAGTTTCGTCGTTGTCTCTTTTCGAGAAAAAAAGAATTTGTATTTACTTTATTCTGACGTAATGAAGTAATGTTGTGAGTCTCAATCGTCGGTGCAAGTATTTCAAATATAAACAACATTGTAAGAATAGAACAGTGAGAAGGAGGAGACGATAATATACCATGTATTGAAGAATGTTCTCTTCGAAAAAGAGTAAAGTTCTTCTATTTGTGATCATCTATTGCCGATATCCGAAATGGAAGATTATGAAATCGATTTTCTCATGCTTATTTTCAATAAAAAAAAACAGAAGAACACAAAACAATGACATGTAGAATAGAATATAGTAAAGCAATAGAACACAAAGTGAAATGTTATATATGCATGGGTTTCTCTAGCAAAAAATGAACACGAACAGGATAAATAGTACAAGAGAGTATTTATCTGAGTGGAATGTTCATAGGACGAGAAAGACCTTGCCAAAAAGATATGGAAATATCTGACGTTGATGTTTACATTTGATCCTAAGATATAAAGCAATGACGTTTGTTTTGTTCTAAAAGATTTTTCTTGAAGAAAACCTTACTTCTAATAAGTTCGGGTGCTGGTGATCGATATGGTTGAGGAAATGTTGATGGTTATTGTTTGTTTGGTAGTTACATTTTGAACATTGATAGAGAATTGATCGAGTTTTCTCATGAACTAAAAAGAAAAAGATTAGTTTCGAACTTGATCGAAAATTCGACCTTACCAGTAGTGAATTGTTTTACCAAGGGATTGTTTTCCAGCCATTCCATCTCTAGAAATTCAATATAGAAGCATTTCTTCGAGAAGATTGGACTTGACATACCATAATCAAAGATTTGTTCTGATTGATTGTTGTCGTCATTTTCAATGTCGCTATTATATTTTTTATCGGTGTCGACGTGCGTCTTGGCCAACGCATGATTTTTTCGATGAGAAAGTAGATCACAGAGATCGTTAGCTTCGTAGTCACATTGTCGACAACGTAGATGATTGTTTTGCGAACGACTGTTGATCTTTTGTTTTTCATTCGCTTCTTCCTGTTGATTTTCATCCACAATTATTTCATCTTCTTCTTCATCATCCAACGATTTTTGTTCGAACACTTTTTCCGATGAATTCGCTCCATTGCTATCGATTACCAAACCAAGACTCTACAAAACCAGCGTTTTATTTTCGAAGCTAAAGTCAGTTGAATCACATACCTCCATGACTTTGGCCATTGCTTTACGTCCGACCAGCACTGGACCGTGATGATTGCAAATCTTCATATGTTTCTTCACATCGCATTTCCATTTTGATTTGTAGTTACAATTGAAACAATGATATGGACTTTCAGCAGAATGAACAATCAAATGACGACGTAATTCAGCCATAGAGTTCGCAGCAAATGGACATTGTTGACAAGATAATGTTCGGTCACGTGTATATTTTATTGAAGAAAGCTTTTCTTGTACATCAGCACCGAAATGTGTGTAATCCTCTTCGGTTAATGGCGTTGGTGCTAAACTACGATCGTCTGTTCCTTCGTATTTCGCTTTCAAAGTTGTTTGAAAGAGATATTTATCAGGCAATTCGACAATCTTTGCAGCATCATGAGCATGTTGCTTTTTCACGTGTTTCTAAACATGAAAAATAAGATATTTACTCTGAGAAAACAAAGTCGAAAGAAATCTCTAATTTCATGAGGGAGATCAACTGTACTTTATTCTGACAAAAAGATGATACCGTACCTGAACATCCCATTTCCAACTGGAAGCATATGGACATGCTGAACAATGGTATGGTTTGTCTTTAGCATGGTGACATCGCATGTGTTGGATCAGTTCACTTCTCCACCTTCCACGATAGTCACACCAGCGACATTGAAAATTTCTGTCTTCTTTTTCAACTCGGCGTTGGTGTTGTTGTTGGCGAAGAAGATGAGAACTAGTATTACTATTTGTACTACCGCCTGCAGCTACCATTGCAGCAACAGCGTTCATGCGTTGTTGTTGTTGCCGCTGCTGGTGCTGCTGAGAAGGTGAGGGTGGATGTGGCGATGAAGATGATGAAGATCGTGATGAGTGTGGCGATGATGATTGTTGCATAAAGGCAGATGCTTGTTTCAGTAAATCCAAGTTTGGATTCATTGATAGAGCAGGCATTCGTGCTGAATAGTTAAATTTGGGTTGAAGTAATAACGAAGGATTAATGAACGATGAAAACATTGGATGGTGCGGGAAGAATGCAGATGGGAAATACATTGATGGCGGTATTGAAGAAGGCATCGATGGTACAGGTGGTGGTGGTGGAAGGAATAACCGTTTGTCATCGTTCTGTTTAAGTCTTTTAACATGATTTTGTTCATCTTCATTGTCGGAAAGTATAGAATTTTGACTTTGTTCATCGTCCGAATGCTGATCGAAATTCAATTTCATTACGTTCTCATTTGATGTCGATGAACTAATTGAATGACGATCGAGATTTGTTGATACTTTTGCTGATAAATTCGCCGGTATGTCCATCATGGATCTTGCTTGGTCACGATCACGTTTTTTATATGGATTGATTAACGTTGTACCTTTGACTCCACTGGCATGCGCACGATCCCAATGTTTAGCTAAGTCCCATCGCCATTTATAAGTCAGCGAACAAACGAGACATTTGAATGGTCTAGATGTTGAATGTGATGCTGCATGTTTTTGAAGTTCAGTTGGCCATCGGCCAACAAAATCACATTGAATACATTTTAATGGATTGACAGGATCACTCAAATTCCATTCTTCATTTTGCTGTGCCACATTTGTATTTCTCGGTGGCGATTTACCAGCTATTTCATTTTCTAATTCATGAAGGTGATTTTGTGCAAAATGTTCATTCACTAATTCAATCGATAGGAAACGTTGGTCGCATATCGAACAAATGAAGATCTTCTGTCCATAGGAATTTTGTGGACTAGATGATGATGCATCGTCTGAACTTTCTTTTCCGTCGTCTTCTTCACTTTCGGGATGTTCTGTCGCTTTAATTCGAAGGTCCAATGGTGACTGATCAGTGGGTAAGTTTGTTGATATATTTGTTGCTAGTTTGAACCAAGCGTAAGGACTGAAAGGAAAAGCAGGATGTTGTTGAGATGAATTGGGATCTAATGATGTAGGTAACATGTCTGATGTGACTGAAGTCAACGTTTTTGAATGAGATAATTTCGAAGGACGGATTGTCACAGGTGCGTCGAGTGGTGGTGCTTCTTCGTCGTTATGTTTTTCTTTCCAATGTTTATTTAAACTCTTTCTCCATTTATAGAGATTACCACATAGTGAACAGGCGAATTTTACTGTGAAAGAAGAGAAGCAATTCAATGAATGCGAATAACATCAAGTGGAGCATACCTGAATTGGCATCATCAGGATCAGGCACACGGCGGTATCGTGCAGGATCAACTGAAACGTTGTAGGGACGCTTACGATCAGATCCAAAGGACGATGCTTGTTGTTGTGATGGTGTTGTACGTGAGTGAGATGAAGTAACGGATAGATTAAGTTTCTTATTCAAACCAGTAGAAGGATTCTATAAAAAGAGAGAGAAAAAGAGAAATGAGTAACGATTGGTGGAAAAAGCAAAAGAGTAATGCCATCAAGAGAGGAATTCTTTCTTTCTTTTTCTTCCTCCCTCTCTCTCTCTCTCATATTTTATGAGCATCCAATAACAATAACTACGACTGAGTATCTGATCTTTAAGGCAAGTGTCAATGATATACATAGAAGAAGAAAACTACTAGAATAATTTCTCCGTTATACAAAAAGAAGGCTAACGGAAAATGTCTGATTGTTCTAACCGGCGAGAAATGAGCTCTAATTCGTCATACGAAAACACATACATCATGATACCTAACACTTGTGAATCGAAAATAGAATCCTATGCGTAAGCGCTACGTCTCATATTGCATCTCTTACAGGAGAAGAGACATTTCGAAAATGTTTGTTTTAATCGAAATGTTTGGCTTTATTATCATCAACATCATCATCACTCACTGACTTTTTAATCGAAAAAGAAACATATACGCCCGTTTCTACATCTACATTCGAACAAGACAAATGATAAGACTGATTTGTTCTTCTCATTTTTATTATCCGATGAAAGTTTCACACATCATTAATGACTTTTTCTCTCGTGCGAAAAATTGTATATTCACTCCGTAGATTAGTCAAATGTAATTGTTGTTCTGACGTTGGCACGATTCTCAATCATAAATATGATCCGTTTTTATGGTCAAGAAAGAAAAAGGGCACACTATACAGGTCAATCGCATGTAATTAATAATACTACTGCTGCCACCGCATACATGTCGAAAACGAAACTTTTAATCCGCAGATGCAAATTTTCCTCGTCGACTTCGTTCGTACACAGTGTCTGTCTAGAATCGCCAATTTGAATATTCCGTTCATCTCATTAGTTATATCATAAAATTGAGACCGAAGAGAAAATAAGGAAGATCAAAGGATCAGCTTTCAAGTGGCATTATGGTAAAACAAAATGTCAACTTCAATCATAAGATGAAGTTAAGAAGAGAAATTTAATATCCGATTTTTGTAACAGAAGTTAAAAGACAAATGAGAGTGAAGTTGTCTTCCGAACAGACAATCAAAACGAATATGAATGTCTTCTGTCTGATTCGAAACTACTGAATATACCTATAGCAGACGTTGAAAGTGGAATTGTTGAAAAGAGATCATTATTTGTTTTTTAGTACGAGGTCAACGTTTGAAAGATAAGCTAATGATTATGAACGATCGTTGGAAAGATCATTACAGGACAGAGAGAAAGATTAACAACTACTTTGAGAACGTGCGACCTCTTTCGACGGAATGAAAAGTTCGATTTGGGCTACTTGAAGATTAAATTCTTACTTGTTCATCTTCCGAGCTTTGTTCATCGTGCTCAAATATTGTTGTATTTTGTTCTTTAGAGTCATCGATGTTTAATCGATGTTCATCATCGTCATCGACTTCCATATTGTCGTCGAGTACAGAACTGACAGGTTGTTCTAATGAGAGATTCGATTTTGGAGGTGAGGGAGGTTGATGAAGATTTCTACGAAATGAATATAGATTCGCAAAATTTAAAAACGAAATTTCAATTTTACTTTTGTGATGAGTCATGATGATGCGAATCTAAATGTAATTGAAAATCGTGTGACGACGGCGAATAATAGCGACACGTTTCGCATAGAAATATATCTTCATGACCGTGTTCGAATTTCATATGGTTTCGAAACTCATTCATAACTGTGGTCGAGAAATCACATAGATCACACTGACGAGCAAGTCGTGAACGAGGTGCCAATTGTTTTCGTCTAAAAATATTTATAAACATAGTATAAATACAATCTTCTTCCGCTGATGATCATCCTCACCTGCTACTACGTCCAGTATTTTGTACAGTTTTAGAAATGAGATTTATGGCATTATTAGTCGAGATTGTTTTGTCCGATTTGGCTCCATAATCACTGGAATCGATAGAAAAACATAACCTCTTATTTATTGTTGATATCATATCTTATATTGTTAATCATCAAACTGAAGAAAAAGGTGTAGTTGAGAGACATCTTATACTTGAACATCAAAGATCACAACGCTCATTCTTTCATGCTTCAATCTATCACAGAATAGGTTTAAATTTTCGTATACAAAAGAGAAGATGTTTATCTTCATTAACAACGGCATAGATCGATAGACTAGACACATTTATATATTGAAATGATCGATTGAATTAAATGATAATTCACCGAGTTAGATATCAACCAGGCATGACATTAGACCATACTGTCCTTTTCTCTCCTCACTCTGTTATATCGTTCGATCTCATCTTCTTTTTCTTCTCCATCGACGTCGTCGTCATCGTCTTCTTCTTCTCTTCGTCTGTATTCATTTTTTCAGCATGTATATATGTGCGCACATGCGATTTGAAAAGGGGCGTCATCAACGACAGGTAAAGAAAAGAGACATGATGGTTCATTGATTGAAGATGGTTGAAAGAGAAAGAGAGACATTCTTTATCTAGTACCAATATCAACTAAAATGCCCCCGAAAGGTATTTTCATCGGATATACACAGTTGGACACGCATCGGTAGTTTAACAGAGAGAAACGAAAGAAAGCGAGAAAAAAAAACCGAAAATGCATTTTCTATTAGTCTTCTAGCTACATACGATTAATTACTTTGTGTTAGTTTAATTTCAAAACGCGACACCAGATCTTTCTTCTGTATACATAGACTGAAATAGGATGGATTAGCGCCTCGGTCTGGTACTACTACTGATGATGAACAACGATGCCGAGACTTGTGTATACATAGAATGGAACTAATCCCTTTCGACAGGACATGTAAATAACATTGAATACGAATAAAAGCTGCGCATTGAAATTTCGTGTTTTCTCTTACCTGACATCATCAGAATTGATGAAAAAATAATCCATCGATTTGCTGTTAATATCGTCAAAATGATGATGTTTATATTGTTGTCTAGAAAAAAAAAGATGAAGTAGAACAAAATAATGCTCAATGTAATATTTGACTGAAGGTTAAACGAAAAAAAAGAAAAGATCACGCACACACGAAAAATTTGTGTACACAAAGTAGAATAGACGAAGAGAGAAAAAGAACTTTCGCCCGGAAATCAAGTATGATGATTTCAAGCACGTTCAAATGTGGGTGGAACCAAAACGATGAATGTATGTCTCAGTTTTTCCTCTACGATATTAACCAATGAAAAATAGAAAGCGAAGCAATGCCATTAGTATAGCGTATATAAATAATCATATGTACGCATAGATATATTTTTGCTACAGATTAAACCAATCGATTATGAGACGGCGCAGAGAGAAAAAACAGAGTGAAAGAAAAAGGCAGTAGTTGTATTTACGATTGACGACAATCCAACTCTTTCTCTACGCTGGTCCGATATGGATCATTGAGTTTGATTTTTGCCTATTCTGGCTTCTGCTGGCGGCAGGTGACGTTTAATTACTCTCTTTCTTTCGTTATCTGTTTATTGTTCTCTTCTCGTATAATAAATATCTAAATGGTGAAGGAAAAAAAATATATTCCTTGAGATAATTATCCTTCCGAAATCGTTTTCTCGTTCTCAAACAAAAGGTTTAAAAAAGTAGTTTCTAACGACGTTTTACCTTACCTGTCAAACGAAGAAGAAATGACAACTACCGAAACATCATCAGTAGGTAGCATTATCGTTTTCGTGCTATCTTATGAATAAGAAGAATGGTAAACAATATATGACAGCCGAAAAAGAGAAAGCATCAAGCTCTATCTTTCTTTCTCGTCGTCACTATCTTCCTTGCAACCTATCGAATACAAAATCAGAAGAACGACGAAAAAAATCCATTTTGATGAGAAAGAGAAATCTGCACTGCTGTTCTACATATATGTGTGTTCACCGAGAGATAATTATGAGAATAAGAAGCAAATGGGTGATGTAGTGGACATTCATTTCGTTTGTTCGTTCTGTCACTCTCCCTCCATTTTCTATGATTGTATTGTAATATCTCATATTTTTCTCTTCGTCTTCTTATTTCGATGTACTCAGACGACAAACAGACACCAGCAAGGGTAATATCGAAAGAATAGAAGGTACTAAGACAAAGTTCTACCAATCGCTATCATATTCAACCGTCATGGATGAACGCGTTCTTCTCAACTGCCAGTAACATTATAGCACGCTTATGTTGTTGGCTCTCTCTTCGTCTTCTCCTCGTCATGTGTCTCTCTGTCTGTATCTCTCTCTCTCTCTTTCGTGCTCACCCACCTGTTTGACTGCAAAAACATCGCGCGCATCAATCGATTCGTCGTAAATCGCGATGACACCTATCCATTATTCTTCTTTGCCGTTTTTCTTCCTTGTCTATTCTTGCATAGCGGCAATGCGATGATGCTTCAGGCTGATCGGCGGTAATAGAGGTAGAGAAGGGGAAAGCGCACAGGAAAAAAAAGATAAATATGCGTATGTATATACATATGCAGTAGGATTGGTGCGTGTGGAATTGAAATAAGCACCTTCAATTTTCTCCAATCATATATGTGTGTATGTGCATGTATGAGAAAAAACAGATAGGTGCGATGACAACTATGAATATATCCTACGGTTAAATATAGATAGAATGAATAATCATTCATTTTCAAGAGAAAGATATTCGCCACACATCATAAATACATCTACGGGTACACTTTGATTCTTTACGATTAGAATGATGAAAGGCAAAGACAGAAAGCGACAGAAAAAAAGAACGAAATCCCTGACGTAAACTTTTTTTATTGTAAGAAACATTGTTGCACATTCAGAGGATTTACGATGAGATGCTGTAGTTAAAGGAGGAGGTTGATATAACACAGTAGGAGGAAGCAAATCTTATGTTCAGAGTCGATGTATGTGTGTGTGTGCGTACGTTTCTTTCTGACTCGGAATTTTGTCGTTGTATTATGTCAACAATTAGGCGACGGAAAAAAAAGAGAAAGAACGATGTACAATGAACAGAAGAAGACGAAAAAGAAGAAGAAGAATCGTCAGATGATCAGTATCTGCATTGTCGACGATACAGTATGCGATTGTCTTCTAAAGCTTGACATTTCGCCTAGCAGACACGTTCTTGGGAAGTGCGGACGAATAAAATAAAGAAAAAGAAAGGAAGATGACACACAAAAAGCGGGAACGAATAGGAAGAAAGGACTGTGAAAAAAGGTCAGAGATTACGGAAGAAGCCTCCTGTTGTAGAAAGAGAGGGAGTATGTATGAGCAAGAGAAAATGATGAAAGGGATTATTCCTTCTTTAACGTGAATATCATGTATGCTGAAGAAGAAAGACACGAATTTCAGAAAAACAATATTCCGCATGTTTACTTTCAGATTTAATCCGCGAATAAAAATGTTCGAAATAGATGAATGAAAGAAGAAGATTATCATTAGCGAATTTAACAAACTAAAAATGTATTCCAATGAAACTTGTTCGTTGTTGATTCAAGAATGTAGTTAGTAGTGATAGACTGATAACTAGTCTTGTCTTATCTGTTTGGCTGGCTGGTGAAAAGAGCAGCACCATAATATCTCACACATACTTGATTCGAAAAGAACGTGGGGAAAACAATGACGAAAAAAGATGTTCGTATAACGAAGGCAAAAAACTAATGAAATTCGAACATAAGAAAAGAATTTATCAAATACAACATACTTGACAATAATGATAAATGGAAAGGAAAAAAATAATATGGCGACACAGTTTCGATTTCGTTTCGTTCGTTATGTTGTGTAAGAATCTAGATGATGTTATATGATAGAATGGACTGTGACTACTGCTGTTCTGTGTTCTCTCTGCCACGACATTCTCTCTCACGTGGAGGTCGTTTTTGGAAGAGCAACTGCCATTTTACTACAACTAGCGGCAGAAGAAGACGAAGAAGAAGAATAGGCGAAAAGAGAAACGAAAAATTAAACTACAGAAAGGGAGAAGAGCAAAGGCGAAGATGAATAGTGCCATAATATATCATTAACGTCATATCGTGTTTCGCTTCATTGCATTCGATGACAAATGAATTTTTTTGAAATTAGATTGATGTAGTCTTTCCTTCCAATGCATTTATCAAAATAAAGTAAAAGTTATTTTCTAATCAAATGTCGGAATTTCCTCCCCTCTACGTTTTTCTACAAAAACAAACCGAAATTAGTCGGATAACCATCGTTTTTTTTTATCAATCAATATTCATTCTGCACCACCTCCTATTGCTTACATTCAATTCATTTAAAAATGATGCACCGCTGATAATCATCATTTGATCTAATGACGGAAGAATGTCTTCTCTTTTAAATAATATCAGAGGAATTTGCCTGACATGAAAAGAATTGGTGAACAACCTCGTATTTCACTGATTCATTTTTTCTTTATTTCGTTTTTGGAAAAGTTTACTTAAACTTTACAAACGGAATTCTTATGAATGTTAATCAATGGATGGATTTGAAACGAACCACCTGAAACACATTGAAGTCCTTTTTCACATGGACAGCTAAATGTGGATTTGGTTTCACCACTGTGGAAAAGTGAACATGTTTGACCGCCTTTTTTCAACGGTGAACAGTAGCTTGACATGTGAAGATTAACTAGACAACCACAGAAGAATCATAATTTTTTTTGGAATCGGTGAGATCTACTTACGTCCATCAGTAAAACCACGTTTGCCATGAACAGTTGGTTGAAGACAACAGGCATCTGGTCCACAATCAAAGTGTGAATTGCAATGAGAATCAAGAGCATTCCAAATGTGATTCAAACCACCTAAAATGATAATCTGTTTAGAAGTCAGCATGATTGCAGTGAAACGTCTCGACCTGGTTGATTGAATTTATCAATGAACGAAGCCATATCTTCCGATGACATATTACCCCATTGTGATGTTACAGAACTGAGGAGATTGTTAAAGAGTGCTGATGCGATACCACCAACATCAATATCTTGTCCTTTAACGTGAACGGCAGCAACAGAGAGTAAGCAAATAGCAATAAGAAATCGCATGGTGATACGATGGAAGAGGATTCAAGAAAATATGTGAATCGATAAAGATGAATGTATTTTAATCTGCATTCGAGATTTTACTGAGAACAGAAAACAGATGGTTTTTGATTCACAATGCAGATTAGTTTGTGTAGGTGTTTTGAAAGTAAAACTTAAGAGACAGTTTTTTCAAAGATTAACGTCAAAATATCATCACAATCTGAAATCGTGTCATTGCACAATAGTATATATTCGAGTAACAGACTGAAAATCGCATGAATCGATGCAAAAGTATAACTACATTAGTACAACGTCATTTCTTTAGCAGATACTCCTGATAAACGCGTGTCCATTGATTCACACACCCTTTTACATTGCAGTAATCAGTCAGTGCGGCTCATAGTTAAGTTCGCTCCCATGTTGCATCGATTACTCGTCTTTGTACAGTTCCGAGAATATTCGTGGGATTAATTTGACGCTCAGGCCTGAATATTCTTTGTACTTGTGAAGTGATAAGTCCTAATGCGACTGATTCTACGACAAGTCCGGTTGTTAGACTTAATGCTTGAATATGATAAGCTAGCTCTGTCAGTTGACCTGTAATCATATAGATTATCAACAGAAATGCTGTCGGAATTCCGATACCCATCCCAATCAATACCACCAGTATAATCCGCTTCACAACCAACAGATCTCGCTTGTTCGCCGTTTGTCTGATTTCTTGATTGTGACTTGAATGGCGAATGTACCGAATAATCAGAGCATAGATCAGACCCATGATAATCAGAGGACTTCCATACACAAACGCCATGGCAATCGATAGTGCACGAATGTTCTTGAACGACAGCCAACAACTAGAAATATCAGGATGATATTCAAAGTCATGATTGAGAAGATAAGCGAGAATGTAGAAGATCGGAATGAGCCACTGAATGATTAAGGCTAGGACGATTGTGCGTCGAGACTGGAGAAGTCGGATCTTGGGAAAGACCACGCGAAAGAATCGAAAGAGAGCTTGTAATGCACACGAATAGTAGAATCCACAGATAAAGACGTAATTGACATAGGATCGAAGTTCACATGCATAGTCGTTGAAGGAGAGGGACGGAATGAGTTGACCGATGACAGAATAGATGGTGATGAGCAGCGTCATGAAAGTAGAACCGACGAGAGTGATATAGGTGTTGCAAGTGAGAAGTAAGGAGATATCGGAAATGAGTGGACGAACTCGAATAAGAATGAAGAGAAGGGTGATGAATGAAATGAGAAGACTGGACCCACAGAAAAGAAGAATGAAAGCTTCAAATACTCGCTTGACGATCATAATAGCAGACAGCATTGTATTATGGAATATCTAAAAACAGTAGGATACATAGTATAAGAATGAGATATGCGTCTGGTTTTGTTAGATTTTAGATTTATAATCTTATGAATTTTCATGGGACACTACGACAATACTTTCTGAGATAAGTTAATAGTTGCTAATTGTTCAGGGCAAAATCAAGGACATCATCTTCTAATGAACGGCCAAAGTCGATATTATTTTATTACTTTCCCGTAGAAATTCTGAGGTTGAGCATTACATAAGTTAATCACAACGAGTTTTATACCTGATTGCATGGAATAGTTATTTATAGTCACTTTCATCATCGAAGGGGAAACGCAAGCATGCATGACTCTTGTGTAAGTTTTCTGAAATAGGAATAGGGTACCAGTTTTCGACTGAATGACCAGGATTTGTTTGATTACTTAATTGCTTCGGCGGTAGGAGCTTCGAAGTAGAAAATAAGATCATGGAAAGTCCATAGTTGGCAATCATAAAGTACTATGGTCTTTGAGGTTTTATCGACGCAGACTATCGTGCGCCAATGACATATAAAACAGTAAGGCTGTCACTTCGGCTAAATCTATCGTCTGGATCGACATAACGACAGTTCGAACATAATTCTATCTGTAACAGAAATAGACCGATTTGTGTAAAGCTCGTAGGAGTAAAACGCAATGCAAGGCGAAGGACTTAGATGCATTGAAAATATGTTGGTTTGAAAACGTAGCAAGAATCTTCAGTTTTGAAAAGAAATGAATGGTTTTCTGTTATATGCCAAGGCACATTTTACTTACGCTTTTGAAGTTTTCATTGAATAAAACTGATACTTTTTGCAAAAATTATAGTTTATGCATCAATCCACGCATCGTTTTGCACCTTCAAACGTGTGCAAATCTTCGACCCACGGTTTCCAGGGCATCTTCGTGTCAATATTATCTCCACCAGGGTGCATTTTAGATTGTTGGTGTTTTTTTAAGAGGGTCGATAGAATGCACTAGAATAGTTATATTAGGAAAACTGTTCTTGGATATTTCAAGAGCTGCAGGAGTGAATTATGAAGAAAAAGTTCAAAGCTATGCATCACCGCGCTTTCTCGTTCGTGTAAATCATTATAAACGGACGTGAGAACTTCGAGATATTTTAATTAAAGATAATAATTCACACAAAAATTTGACTATTTCTCAAAGAAATCCTTTCGGAAAAGCATTGAGCTGAACTCTCCGACAAACTTTAGTTAATATTCTCCAGGAAAAAAACATTCTTTAGGGTACAGAGAAAATGGCAAAAAATTACATAAAATCTGCTCAACATAGATTTTTACCATTCGCTCATGTTGATAAACATGAGTAGCGTCCACAAGTATTTTCGCTGCTAAAGAACTGCGATATTTCTTCTAAAAGCGCTCAGTTCTGAATAGATTCTCGAAAAATGATGACAGGCGTGGCTTGTTGCGTTCGATGAAATTAGTCAATGCAAAAACATTTCCATTTCTTTCTCAAGCAAACTACTCTGATCGTGATTTCCTCCCATATAGGTTCAAAGAAAGAACATAATCTTGAAGAAAAATGTTTCTATCTCGATATGAGGACATCTAAAGTTTCAATGGTACATAGTCGTGAACATTAATCGGTTGTACTTTTGGAAAGATCACTCAAAACTCAGTACATTTAGGAGAAATGTTTTATCTTTGTTTCAGAAAGAGTATTTCTAGACATCCTTCTCATTTTTTAGCAGGAAAGATCAAGAAAAAGTTATTTCGGGAAAGTTCCAGGTACATCTCCGACGCTTTCTCAGTGTATAATGATCTATTCTCGTTGTTCCGAAAACATCGACCGGAAGTTCTTATATTTCTCACTCAGTATGACAAATGGAAATCAATGCTCAGCTGAACGCTTGCCCACAAAATAATACTGGAACAAAAAATACAAATGTATTTAACGATAAGTAATTACAAAAACAATTTCAAAGTGTTTTTCCCCTAGCATCACAATACCATTGGGAACTCGACTATTTACTCTCCAATGCACCAGGGAGAAACGTTTACTGACTCTCTACCAAGCACAAGGTCCAACATATCAATTACCTACAACAGGGCCTCTGGGTGCGGGCGTTCGATGAAATACAGCACCATCAACAGGATTGACTCGATGTCTCCGTAGCTTGAAAATGTTTCGTACTTGTGGAGTGATAAGTCCTAATGCGACTGATTCTACGACGAGTCCGGTTGTTAGACTTAACGCTTGAATATGATAAACCAGTTCTGTCAGTTGTTGACCTGTAATCATATAGATTATCAACAGAAGTGCTGTCGGAATTCCGATGCCCATCCCAATCAATACCACCAGTATAATCCGCTTCACAACCAACAGATCTCGCTTGTTCGCCGTTTGTCTGATTTCTTGATTGTGACTTGAATGGCGAATGTACCGAATAATCAGAGCATAGATCAGACCCATGATAATCAGAGGACTTCCATACACAAACGCCATGGCAATCGATAGTGCACGAATGTTCTTGAACGACAGCCAACAACTAGAAATATCAGGATGATATTCAAAGTCATGATTGAGAAGATAAGCGAGAATGTAGAAGATCGGAATGAGCCACTGAATGATTAAGGCTAGGACGATTGTGCGTCGAGACTGGAGAAGTCGGATCTTGGGAAAGACCACGCGAAAGAATCGAAAGAGAGCTTGTAATGCACACGAATAGTAGAATCCACAGATAAAGACGTAATTGACATAGGATCGAAGTTCACATGCATAGTCGTTGAAGGAGAGGGACGGAATGAGTTGACCGATGACAGAATAGATGGTGATGAGCAGCGTCATGAAAGTAGAACCGACGAGAGTGATATAGGTGTTGCAAGTGAGAAGTAAGGAGATATCGGAAATGAGTGGACGAACTCGAATGAGAATGAAGAGAAGAGTGATGAATGAAATGAGAAGACTGGATCCACAGAAAAGAAGAATGAAAGCTTCCAGTATGCGCTTTGTAAGCATCTTTACGGCGAACTGATGTTGATTTCAATCTGAATTTTAATGGAACATTTTTTTTTCAACAACAAAGTATAGTTTGCTCATAAACCAGTAAGCTTTAATTACAGTTGAAAGATAAATTTTCTCATTTTTTAATGAATTACTCGTTTTGTAATGAACGTCACATTCATTTAGTGATATCAATTCTTATCCATAAAAATGTCAGTTAATACCGTCTTTTATGATGTTATCAAAAACAAGATGATTGTGAAAACTAAACTATGCATCTGAATAATTCTAATTCTACTAATACTGACGTTCTTAGTCGGATTCTATCGCACTAGGATTTCCGTCTCTATGCGCGTAGTTTTTTGTTAGAATTTTGAGCGTAACGATTATCAACCAAGAAAAAAACCGGTTTACAGTTAGCTGAATGTTGGCGTAAATAATTAAATACACGAGAATTTTTACGTTTCTTATCGGAATAAAACAATCATTTCGTCTCGATGGAGACCGGTGAATAGCATAAAATGTTAGGAGATGTGCTGTCGAAGGACAAAGAAACGTTATTGACATGTATGTCACATCAATATAATAACGGGTTTTGAAAACTCGATCGTCAATGAAAAAGTCTATGATAGAAACAAAATAATTGTCAATGAAACGAATCGTAATTAGAAAACCAGCAGTCCCTATCGACCTACATGATATCGTATGATATGTAGTTCAGTAAATAACACGAATGTGTCTGTCATTCGATTGCGTACAATTTCGTTTTTAGTTTGAACAACAACAATCTAAAAATATCTGACATACTCAAAGTTTCCTTTGAACAAGTAGCAAGTGCTTAACCTGAAGGGCACCAAATGAAGCTAGACTAATACTTATTTTAATTAAATAGATAGATAAATTACCTTGCGGCAATCTTGGTTAGCATACAGAGAGCCAAAACTAAACAAGAATAAGTATTTGTATCATTTGTCTGTCTCTTTCAAATCTATTTTCATCGTGTAACTGAAAATAAAACACGTAAATCTTAACACTTGCTAATACTAATTAATTCCGTTTCTATTGAATAGAATTCAAAACAATACACTACAGATATATCCTCATTTGATTTCCTCATCACAATGCAACCTTTCATACTTCAATGTGTATTTATTGAGAATCTGATTATTTCACATAAAACATCTGTATACGAAAACCAGCTCTTCAAGTTATATCGTTACAAACAAACAGAAAGAAGTACTTGTCACGATTTTGAATAACTGACACTGAAATCGAATAGTGACTTTGTGTTACTTAGAAAAACATAATAAAGCTCGATTTGGATGTTATGACGTCAACGCGCCACGTTTTTGTAGTAAACTAGACTGTTAATAAGCTTCGTTACTCCTTGAAACAAGTCACGAGCTTTAGAACAATCAATTGAAGAGTGATATCAAAAGCTCTTTGGAATGCGGCATCCGTGATGCTTCAGATAGTTTAATTTCGTCTCTCATCACAGAGTTGTAACTTATATTTAGTTTTCAAACAACTGTATTCTCTTGTTATTTCCGTATTCACATAAGAACTAATGTGTACATTACAATCAAGGTATGATGAAAGTATTCGGAACAGATTCAAGTGCATTACTTTGTTAGTTACAGATTTAAAATAAGCAAAATACTGAAGGTGGAACAGAACGGATGTACGTATCATGATAAAGGCTGTGAATTACTCTACGATATTCTACAGATTCGCCTGATCAGACAATTTCCACCTGCGAATGTGTACTGTTAATTATCTGATGACACAACATTACACTGAACCTTCACCGTAACTTTTATTAGGGTCACAAAGTTCAACTGATGCAATTGAGTATCGCGACATGTTCGAATTGTTGAATGATTTTAACTTTTAAAAATGAGAACGATAACGTGTGTATTGTCATCGAAAGACAATGACACTTGTGTCAAATAGAAAGGCAGGAGATAAGCATCCTTTTCTACTCACTCAAGATCTCTCCATTTCAAGCAGCCAAAAAGAACTGAATAGCAAACGTTTCTCATACGTGCAACAGCGAAGCATTCTTGTTGAAAGGTTATGAAGATCGAGCTATTTACTTCACACGAATTAGCAGATCTCCCGTGAAGAATGATACTGTATATGTAGAACTCAACATATCGAAATTTCATCATTCGACTGATGTGAAGTACTCCGATAAAGCATTCAACGATCTGTAAATGAGTAGATCTTTTATTCCAACGAAGTGATATATCATTCAGAACAAATCTTCTATGAAGGTTTGATTTTCACGCTCAACATATCAAAGGTAAAACTGATCGCTGAAATCAGAGATCATTCAGTCTGTGCTTTAGTGTAAATCTGATGATTTCCATACGCTTTTCTCTGATTTTCGAGCACCCTTGTTCAATGACAAGGTACTCAACTAACATTTCAAAAAGAATTGTAGAGCATAGTAAAAGCAAATCAGCGATTTCATTATTGTTTCTATCTTTCATGTCAGTGCCTGTAGCAATGGCTTCTGAGAGCTTCACTCTTGTAATTGGACTTTTTCTTCTATATGCCACTCCATCTGAAGGAAATACGACTCATCATCGATCCCTTTTCATGGAATACAAGATCTTAAAAAGACTGACGAAGATATATCAAAGGACATCATACTCAAGTCCAATCTAGTCAAAAGTAAAGGAAATTATTTATTAATGACTCAGGAAAATGTTGTCAACAGTCTAATTCATCTTTTTTGAAAAACTAATCTGTCGAGCAAATATAAGCGTTCCTTGACATATTGTCAAAATGAAAGTATATTTACCCCACTCTTTTCACTACTTCTTATTAGCCTTATGGACATATATATATATATTCAAATTTATTGAAATTATTAAGAAAAGAAAAAGGTCTTGTAATAGAACATTATATTAGCCTTATTCATAAATCGATGAATTCTGCTTAGCTGCTTTGCCGGTATCTCGTGATAAGGGCAGACTTTGTAAACATATCTATTATGAGCGTAGACGTGTCTCTTGCCGCGATTGGCATATTTCTTTATTCGATTACATTTGTACTTTGTGCAACGATGATAATCTTAATTTTACTCCGTGTTAATCACTTAAAATCGAAAGTTTCAATCCTTTTGACTTGTAATACTTATTTAAATTCCCTATTCGTAAGCTCAATCATGCTGCTGATGTATTCGTACAATTTACAAGGCAATCTCAATCCGTCCATATCGTTCGGTGGTCGTTGGTGCCAAATACGCACTTATCTTGCTCATGTCTGTTTTTGTGCTTTGTATTATTCCTTCGTTTTGCAAGCAATGTTTCGGTTATTTAGAATAGTATTTTATAGACATAAAGTTTTTCAATCATTTGGTGTCTTTTGTATCGCTGTGTTTCTACAATGGGTGATCTCGTTTCTATGGATTCTTCCAAATCTTTTACTAGGTGATTTTCAGTATCTTCAGATGGAATACAATTGTTGGATCAGTTTTGAAAATCTTCGTGGACTCATCATGGTTACTGTGACTATTTTCAACAATCCTCTCTCGATTATCTTTACTATCTACACACAAATCATTCGATATACTCGTCGCTCGAGCGAAATGCAACAACAACGACGGCAACATTCGAATAAAAGAGACTTGCTCATTCTAAAACGTATCGTAATTCTCATATTCATTATTGTTGGAATAGGTTTACCCACAGTTATCATTGTGATAATATACATCTGCACGAAATATGTTGTTGCATTTGCTTATCACATTCAAGGATTAAGCATATCATTGGGCGTATTCATTGCATCGATATCGTTGATATTTATTACACCACAAATACAAGAAGTTTTCCAGAGTCAAGCCAGAGTTCATCCTCATGAAACTCGAATGATGACACTAGCTCAGCAGAACGTACATCCTCTCGGTTACTAAAATATTTGCTTGATTAATATTCGCATCATGAGCATCTGAGAGATTACAGGCGAAAAAATCTTACGTATACTTTCAACTCGTGGATTATTCTGCGTAGGAGTGACAGACATTCTTTACGCGTGTATTGTGAATAAATAGATGTTTTTGTTAACTGTCGTTCAGAGCATCTATACAGAAATGAAGTAGCGATCTGTGAACTTTTTCACCTTGTTTTTACGTCCTTTTGAGTGACAAGATTATTTATTAAAGTATACGCTGATGTGTTTGATTTGCTCTGAATATGTTCATTGTCTGTATGTTAACATAGTTCGACAAAAGATGGAATATTTAACGTGAACAGCAAGCCGTTCTTTGCTCATTCTGGCCTGTTTGCTTCTATTTAGTGCGTTTGCAAGAGTGTTATCAATCATCATTGAATCAAGATCGTCTTTGTATGTTCTGTTATTCTTATCTACTCGATCAAAACGTAAGCAAAATTCAGCGGATCTCGATGCATTTTTTTTTTGGATGATGATGATTAGGAAAAGAAATATTTCTTATTCATACAATCAGAATAAATTTCTAGGCTAATGAATAGTGAAAGACGATTATTGATAGATAATTATAAATTATTCCAAAGGATTGTAGAGAAACAATGATCAGAGTGCGACATTATAATAATACGTCCTTTCCAATGATAAAATCGACTGTATGCATGAACTTGTACGAGAAATTGCATGTATTTCTTAATTGAATTGCGCTGTAAACGTGATTGTTGTTCTTTTACAGATTTTTTTCTCTCTTTTCTTATTCCGATGGTGAACATTCCGGTCATTCTTGGTTGTCTGGGTTTAAGTTTCTATTCATTGACTTTTCTCACTAGCTTAATAATGCTCATTCTGATTTTTATTCATATTCGTCCGTTGAAATCCAATCTTTTCACGCTCTTAATCTATAATACATACGTTACGTTACTTACGTTTTCAATCATGATGCTTATTATGTACGCATACAATTTGCAAGGCAATCTCGATCCATCCATATCGTTTGGTGGTCGCTGGTGCCAAATACGTACTTATCTTGCTCATGTGTGCCTTTGTGCACTGTATTATTCCTTCGTCTTACAAGCAATCTTTCGATTATTTAGAATTAAGTTCTATCGATATAGAGTTTTGCAATCATTCGGTGTGTTTTGCATAGCTGTGTTCCTGCAGTGGATGATCTCGTTTCTTTGGATTCTTCCAAATCTTTTACTAGGTGATTTTCAGTATCTTTCAATGGAATACAATTGTTGGATCAGTTTTGAGGATGTTCGCGGACTTTTGATTCTAATTGCCATCATCTACGGTGTTTCAACATCAACGATTTCGTCAATATACATGTATATTATCCGATATGTTCACCGTACGAGTAACGTGCAACAGCACCAAAGACGGCAGAGTTCAGATAAACGTGATTTACTGATTTTGAAACGGTTGGTTATTCTCGTTACTGTTGTTGTCACACTTGGTTTCCCGACTGTTTTGGTTATTTTTATATATGTTTTTACTGGTTACGTCCTGCCATTAGCTTATCATATTCAAGGCGTGAGTTTATCCGCTGGTGCCTTTGTTACATCGATTTCTTTGATATTCATTACGCCACAATTGCTGGAAATCTTCCAGCAGAAATCACGACAGATTCAATCAACGATGACAATGGCGATCATTGTCAATCGACCATGTACAATTCAACCTATGTAACCTTTTTTCATGTTGTCAAAAAAGAATACAATGTATAAGAAGTCATCATTTTGACAAGTGCATTGTTATATAAACGAATATATCTTCAATATATCAAATAATATTTTGAAGATTTTGCTTAATCGAAATATACCTCGCGTACAATAGACGGTTTTCCACGTGAGAAGATTCATACATATAAATGAAGGTTTCTATAAATTCTATTAATGCGCTAATAGTTTGCTGTAAATATTACGCTAGACAGAAACACCGAGAAACGATTTGAAGTTTTTTTCATTTTCATCCATTATCGAACAATTGCTACACTACTTATCGTCTTCTGTGAGAAGACAATCATTGATCTATTGCGAATGAAGCTGTGTTTAAGTATGATGATGAAGAAGTCCTAAAAGGTTTTCTCTTCATTTTTTTTTGGCTGTTGATGAAACGAACAGTAATTCATGTATAAGTAGAATGGAAGATCATTGTCTCTTCCTCCTCTCGCTCCTTTCTTTTGTCTCCGAACAAAATGCATAGATTATTTGATATATATATTAATAAAAGCGAACAAGAACAGAGATCTCAAATTCTGTCAAGCAAATAACTGTGCACATCATAGCAGAAGAAGAATGATGGGGAGATCTGTGATCTTTTTCTTTCAAAGATTTTGCTTGTTGTTGTTGTTATTGTTGTTTTTGATGAATATCATTGTTTTTTTCTATGTTACTCTATACTTTCACATTGTCTTTTTGCAGCCTGACAAGCAAAATCGTTGGACAAGTAATGGATGAGAAGAGAGGGGGCGATGATAGTGACGAATTGCATCCAGATATAGAAGCGGCTAACAAAAGAAAGACAATAAGAGAAAGAGAAAGAGAAAGAGAAAGGAAGAGAGAGAGAGAGGGAGAGATAAGAAAAGAGCAGAGAGACAGAGAGAAAAAAGTAACAACAGCAAGGAAAACTGAAAATTACATTCTTTTTTTCTCCTTTTATGTAATAGGATAGGATAGGATAGGATAGACGATCAAAATTATAACAAATGAACATCTGTCAGTAGATGTTTGAAAAAACAATGGCTACATTAGACAATTCGAGTTTAAACAATTCAACAAAATCAGAACCATCTCCAGGATTGCCTTTACCAGTACAAGTAAGTCCAAAGATCTTGCACAAATGTTTTCATCCTTCTATATGAAACAATGCTTAATTTGAATACGAGGTATTCTTCAACAAACACAGACTAATATTTGATCAGCTATTGCTTTTCTAGAAAAAAATCGGAATTGTTTGTTTTTCATCCCAAAGTTTTGCCGATTTCAACGGAAAATCGAGTCGGTTGAGTTTGTTCGTCCTGACAGAAAAGTACTTTCCCGAATACGAGAATCCATTGAAATACATCCATCTGAAAAAGAAATGCAACTGATAATGATCGCTAATGAATTTATTTTATCGAAGAAATCTCTGTTTTTCAGTTCATCTATCTCTTTCTATTTGGCCTCGTCGTACTCTTGGCTGTTTGTGGTAATAGCATTGTTATTTGGATTGTTCTCGCTCATCGCCGTATGAGAACACCGACAAATTATTTTCTTGTTAATCTTGCATATGCCGACGTCCTCAATGCCATATTCAATATTTCATTTAATGGCTATTACATGGTCGCACAAGTGCCATGGCCGTTCGGAAATCTTATGTGTAAGTTAGTACAGGCTGTTTCTCATGTCTCCATTGCGGCTAATGTCTTGACATATGTTGCGATCAGTCTAGATCGGTGAGTAGCGAGGAAGGCATTTTGGTCGGATTGATGTATTTGTTTTTTGAAAAGATACTTTGCGATAATTCATCCGTTGCGTACGAAATTAACGCATAAACAAACGATTATGATTCTGTGTGGAATTTGGATTTTGTCGCTGCTGGTATCATCACCAGCCATTCGTTCGTTTAGTTATGTTAAACATGCTTGTAAAATCGATGATATCAAAAGTCATGACAAGTAAATCCAAAGGAAGATATGTTTGTTTGTTTTTTTTTCAAAAAATGCTATTAGATTTGAATGGATCTTCTTTTCGGTGACGTATATTGGCCCGATTGTTATACTAACTATCACATATACAAGGATAGCGATTGAACTATGGGGACAAACAGGTTTGTTTCTGATTTCTTCACAATTAAATCTGAAAGAATTTCTTCTCTGATTGCAGCTATCGGAGAAGTTACTAAACGACAACGTGATTCCATTCAATCGAAACGGAAAGTTGTCAAAATGCTAATCGCTGTTGTTTTAATATTCGGCATTTGCTGGCAAGAATATTCCTACCATCTTGCTTTTCCATACAAAATCTCGGAATATTTTTAGGTTTCCTCAACAACTATATTTCGTACTTGTTTCTGTCTACAAATCCATTCCAGATTGGTCTGGTACTCCTTACGTCTACTTAACTTCTTACTTCTTTGCCATGAGTAATTCAATGTACAATCCATTTCTCTATTGCTGTATGAACAACAGGTTAGTTTCACTTCTCTCCTTCTCGAATGACATGAGCTCGGTTTAATTTAGATTTCGTAACGGCTTTCGTAGTGTATTTCGATTCTGTCCATGTGTTTCATGGTCGCCTGAATTCTCTTCCCAAACCCATGCTTCTTGTCGTAGTTTCTCGGATCCAACCGCACTTAATGTCGTCTACTCGTCTCAACGTAAACGACGAACAACTAGTTCGACAAATACACCTCAAACCACCATGTCCGAATTGTCGATGAATTTCGCAAGACATCATCGACAAAATTTATAGAAACAACAAATGATTTTCTTTTTCATCTTTTCCGTTTTTTTCCATTGATGAATATCTTTTTTTCTTCAAATTCTATTCCGATAAAGCGAGAGAGAGAGAGAGAGAGAGAAATAAATAAAGTTCAAGTTCACGATGTTTTATAAAAATAGAATGGAAAAGAGAAAGAAGAACTTTTCTCGACGGAATACTGATGATCATGACTAGATCAGTGATGTTTGACATTAGTTAATATATTCATTAAATTATATTCTCATTTATATTTCAAAGACATTTTTTTGCTTTCTGCATTTCCTTTATTGTAACCAATTACCATTAAGTCGAGCGAGAAGACGAAGCCAATGGCTATCTGTATTGGGAACTGCACTTATTTCATCAAGTTGATCTTCAGATAATGGTTGACGATATTCTTGGGAAATTGATGAACGTTTGGTTGATTCGAGCATGACTTGTTGACCAGCATTTTTCAAACTTTGACGTTTTTCCTACGAAAAAGCAAACAATCATTTAATTATCCGAAAGATATGACTCTGCTAGACGATTGTATAATGACAATCGTAACTTCTTGGCAGTCAGCTTTATTTAATCAGAAATCTCTTTCCAATCGTCAATAACATGAACATATCACGAGACTATGCCGTATTTGAAAAGCGCGTAGGGATCAGTAGTACGAGTAGCAGTGAAAATTTTCGAAGGGACTTGTACTATGGGCGAAGCATCTGTTTTGTAGAACATGGAATTAGAAGGTATTTGTTTTTCTTCCGACATGCACCTCATTAGATATTACGTAGGAGAAACTTATGTAAACGAAAGAACTTTGACATTTCTCATCTCCGATGAGAATCTGTCATTGACTGGATTATCAAACGACAAATCCAATTTCCTGTGTCTATCAGTCGTTTTTCTATAACTTACACTTCGTTCATTTTGAACAGTATTGTAGTTTTCATCGTAGACTCGTGGTCCTGCTTTCATGTGATGTGGTGCTTCGGCTGTACCGTGTAAGACTAAACGGAAATCTTCGAGTGAACCATGATTGTTCATGTTGCCAGTCTAGAAGAAAAAAGAACAACAAAATAGAAACAAACGCAAATCAGTGATTGGAAATTTTTACTGTATCCATGATTTTGATTGTCCATAAACCTTTTGGATCTTCACCCCAGTTATGTACGCTCATGAATGACCAGTTCTTGAATCCATCAGTTGATGAATCTTGTTCACGTTCAGATAATAATGTCGTTTGTGTGCCTAGAAATGACCTATGAATTAATTCCAGATAGATATTCGGTGTTTACCATGTGGACTGGTGATGTTTATTTTGAGTGCACCACGTCGGGTATAACGAATTGTAACATAGAGTTGTACGTGTTCGAGAAAACGAACGACGTTGTTTTCACCTTCACAACCTTTGACTTCAAAATCAATTTCTAACGGACGAGAAGCGCTAATTTTTCTACAAAATACAAAGTTATATCAAACAGTTTTGCACGCAAAGAAGGCGTACTGAGGTTGGAATTTGACTGGTTCAATTTCGCAGATGCTTTGTTTTGGTACAGTGACCCAATTTTTTGCTGCTTCAGTTAAAGCTGCAGCGTTAAGAAGACCGAAACCAAATCGACTATTTACCTAAACGACAGACGCACAACATTCATCTATCAATTAAAGTTATGAGTCTTTTAAATAAATATACTTCTCATTACACATACTGCTGACTTTGAAAAAGTAATTTATTTTTCATAAGTCATTATCGACAACTATTAGAAATGACTTTCCCTACGCTTGGAATAAGTGAAATAATTTGTCTTACTTTGAAACCTGCACCATTTATTGCCCAGCCGTGATTATCAGCTAATGGTGCATATTCTGATGTCCAGGCAACTAAATGTTGCATGTCACGCCATGAGAGTTCCGGACTAGAGAAAGAAATTAAAGACCAACGTGATGAATGTTCGGTATCTAAGTAACACTTTACTTTGCTTCTAAGACAAGGGCAAAAATACCGGCAGCCAACGGTGCTGAAGCTAGAAACGGAAATGAAATTTGTGGTGAAGTAAGCCTTGTTAATTGGAAAAGAAAACACAAGCAAACCTGACGTTCCCGTATGATCATCAGTACACGAATCATGAAGATCAGTTGTTGTCTAAATAGAGAGTACGGAAAAAATAGAGTATTGTGTTACACCTTAGAGGACCTGTCAACATACCACTTTTTGATCTTGATAAGCGCCCGAGGAATAAGTTGTGGCCATTGTACTTGGGCAACGTTCAGCATACCATGGTGATTGTTGATGTTCGGATGCTGACGAAATTGAAATTGTATAGATTGAACCGGTATAACCATCACAACTATGTTGTCAACGATGGAATTAAACTGTAAAAGCGGAAATCTTTTCGACACTTACTTGCAATTATCTTGTCGTCGTCCACCATTACCCGATGCCCAAACGTAGATAACACCTTTTCCGTTACGACCTTCCGTGATACCTTTGATGAAAGCAGCTGAAGCGAGTGTACCTGGACCTTCGACCTAAACCCAAACATTTAGCCCACCTCTAATATAACATTTCATCTTACTGTTCGGCCATCATCATTTGGTCCCCAAGACGCTGAATAGATATCGATGTATTTATGATTGAAAGCGATAGCTTCGGCTTCGACGCGATCAGTAACATGACCATCTAACATACGGATACCACCAATTTTTGAATTGTATCTATTCGGGAAAGAATTCTCATCATACGGCAAAGTCTCTTCGGAAATGTTCTTACGCGATACCAACACCACAGATGGAATTATTGGCAACCATCGCAACTTCACCTGCACATCGTGTTCCATGTCTAAATGAAAAAAATAGAAAGTCCATCGACTCCGACCAGTCAATATTTCCTACTTGTTTTCATTTGTTGGATCGTATCTTGGACTTGGATCGTCATCATTATCGTTTAAATCGTAGCTTGCTTTTGGATCGTAATTTGCCATAATATCCGAGTTGTTCCATTCAAGACCATCATCAAGAATTGTCACTTTGATACCTTTTCCGGTATAACCAGCTGCCCATGCTGGTAAAACATGGAGATCGAGTTTTGGTAATTGACTTGAACTTTTTGGTCTGGTATCTTTCTACAAAATACATTGACGTGTTATAGAAATACCAGTAAGCAAAGTTCGAACAGAGGGGCACTTACCAAGTACCATTCCTTCGACCATTTCGGGTCAGAGAATGCTACGGAACGGTAGACACGATCCTCTTGAGCGCGTTTGTCGATGTAATCTCGTTTAACACGGTTTCGTGTTTGTTGCTGTTCAGCCCAATTAACTTTTTCATGTTTATTGAGTAGATCGGTAAAATCATTGGTCGCACGTTTTGATCGTCGTGGAACGTATGGATTAATAAATAAATAATAATTATCAAAGACCTAGGAAGAGAAAAACAACACTGATGTCTATGTCTCCAAAGACTTGACGTACATTTCGTTTATTTTGTAAGCCAAGTTCACTTGCAACAAGATCAGCGACGTCATCACCTATTTATAAATAATGAGCAATTTACTTATTCATGTAGAAAACTGTTGCTACCTTCGTCAATTCTTACAACCCATTCGTTGGAATGTTCCGGCACGAATTCGATTTCATTCGAATTTTCAACATAATCGACAGCTGCGTTGGTCAGGCAGAAGAAGAAAATAAATACAGGGATTCGGGACAGTAATTGATGCATTGTCTCGAAGTATAGGGGATCTAAAATAGTTAAGAAAATGGTCGTCGTTGTTGTCTTTCAGTTCTACGTCATCAGGCATTTTTCCCTTTTTTTCTCACTCCTCCAGCAATTGCAACCCCTACGCATTCACTCAACAAAATATTTTTTCTTCGACTCCGATAGACAAGAAAACCAAAGTATCTTTGCTCGCTAACATTCCACTGGCACCGAGAAAAGCTCTTTTCTCTTCTCGTTCTTCCCGTTTTTCCTCTCTCTCCCTCTCTCTTAGAAATGTTGTTTTTCCCTGTTCATGCTATAGTCCTTTTTTCTCTTCTTCTCGGCTTTTCTATTATTGTGACATGGTCGTTCTGATGATTAGAGAAGAGGCGAATTGTGCGGGGAGGGATGAAGAAGAAAAAAAGGAGGAAAAAAAGACCCTTAATGGCGCGGACAAGTTTTTATCGTGTGACTTTTCCGACTGTAGAAAGTTATATACTCAAGCATATGATCATAATGGGTTTACATGCGCTGTAAAACAAAGAAGAAGAGAGATAGAAAAATATGTGTTTTGAGAATCAAAATAATGATGAGAAAGACTTTGTTCTTAATAAAACAAAACAGATGTTCTTTCGTCAAAATTTATTCTCATCAAAGAAATGTTATTCAGTTCAACTTGACAGATAAGATCCGCATCAATTTCGTATTCTGATGAATCCAGTCTTTCGATGCTCTCATTAGAGAGATGCGAATAAGTTTCATCGCAGTAACACTCTTCTAACAAATCATGCTGTTTTCTGCGAATAGATTGCCTGAAGAAAATTAATTTCCAGTCTTTTGTGATGATTCATGCATTCGTGACTACATAAGATCGTAATCTGAGAACGATGACTCGCTCAGATTTCATTGGGGGTATTTCTCTCAATACAATGAAATAAGAGAAAAAAATTGCGAATATTTTTCAAGAGATATTTGATCAGTTTGACTTAAAACCAGATGTATTTCCATGTGAATAACATGAAAACATTCTTTGAAATTCAACCGTAGTCATTCATTATTAAACATGACATTCATGACTTAAAGCAAGGAAGTTGTTTCGCTTATTTGTAATTAAATCTTCGTCGTAGGATTTACTTCATACAACTTCAATGAAGTTATTCGTTTGAAAAAGAAGGAAAGGAAATGAACAACCTGTTTTTCAAGATTTGTAACAGTGTTATTATGGAATGAACGACATTTGGTCTAGAAATCGTGCTTGCCTTGTTTAAACTATTGTTATTTGTCTATTCACTAAACAAAAACCGCCCTTGATAGTTACAAGCATTTGTAGATGACAATAGGATCTACTCGAAACGACAATAATATCCGTCTTTCAATTGGCTATTGATTCGAGAATTCATTTTCATTAGTATTCCTTCGATAAACGAAGGTTTCTTTTTTATTTCTAAATTTAAATGTGACGAAATAAAAATGGTTGAGAAGGTGAGTAGAAATCCGATTAAATCAGTTCGTCTTGGGAAAACGTCAAACTACATGAAATAATAAAGCCTGGTTATGTAAGACTACTCTAAACGGATGCTGTTTCGTATTCTTTTAATGCTTTGATCGATTCGGTTAATTTGCAGATAACTGTACACATCGCAGTGATGCGATTGGGACTTTGAGATTTTGCTAACTGAAAATAAAAAGAAAATAATTGAAGAAGAATTTTTCATTTGCGCTCATACTTCATCAACGGCCCATTTGAGTTTGTTTTCCAGTTGAGCTGAATAGCTTGCACTTTCAGTGGGGGCGACTTCACCGTCGAATGTCGATGATGTTTTCTTACTACGTTTTTTCGTGCGTTTTACACGTTCTTTCTTCTTAGTGTTGGACTCAGCTGAAGTTTCACGCGCATCTTTTTCTACTATTCAATCAATCCAGATTAGTCATTGTCAACCACCTTTCTCATTTTACCTGTCGCTGGTTCTTTCTCGGCTTTGTCTAAAGAAGAAAAAAAATAATACAGCGTTTTTAGGAGCTTGTGCATTTAAATTTCATTCACTGACTATTGTCAACATCAACTTCAGCACAACCAACACAAAGTAATTCACGTTCCGGTGTTCGAAGAAGAATACACTAGAAGAAGATAAATACAACGAATTGACGACTTTTTCCACAGGCAATTTTCTATCCTACATCACACTCTGGACAAGCATCGCTTAGCATACAATAACCTTTGAGTAGATAGGCTCCCAATTTTTTAGTTATTTCGTTGTTACGTGAACGACGACGCTAGAATTGCATCATACAAATAATTCGGTTTTCAGTTTTCAGATCTTTACTTCAAGAACAACTGGATCTTCTCGAGGCATGTCCCCCATCAATTCGAACTCTTCATCACTTCCATTTTGTAGTAAAGAATGTCCATTTGTTTGCGGTTTGTCCATAGCTAACGATCTTTTTTTTGCGTGTTCAAATGTAAATTCGACCTTAAATTGCAAATAAGCAAGTCAGTCACCCGCTTCCAACTTTTACCAAATCCATTATTTTTCAACTAATGGACACAACCCGATCTGAGAGATGTCGTTGTTCACGACTGTACTCCAGCCCATAAACCAGACAAAAGTTAAAAGTACATTCTCAATGTGTTCAATTATGCACAAAGACTTCATATATGTTACGATCGTTTTCTGCATTTGAATACCATCTTGCTTCAAGTTTGCGAGAAGGTGTTCGTAGTGATGTTAACAGTTAATTGTAGGAAAAGAATCATAGGTACAGGATTTACACAATGTTCTCATATTAATATTTATAAAAGTGGTGATTATTTTTAGAGACAAAAGATAAGAAAGGAATGATAAACGATGTTATCGAAGAATATTGCTTGAGTATACGAAAAAAAAAGGCGGAGTATAATTCTGTTAGTTATGACAACGGAGATGCTCTTCGTATTACAAAGTTGGGGGATCGGTAGGACGACAAAGCATCATGATTGATAGCGTATCTGACTGGTCCACAGACAAATATAAAGAATAGTCGTCGGAGTCTTGTTTTTTAGAGTGAGTACCTATCGAACAGAAGACACATGGTAATATAATGAAATAGATATGAATCGAGCGCAGGACCCGTTGGTACAGCTACGGCCGCTACTGCTAATCACCGTGTGCTTAGCTATGCAAGCTTGTCGTGCACACTAATACCTGTTTCGCGTACTTGAGGATTTTTTTTTGTTAATAGGCACGTAATTTTGATGACATTTTTCAGTTCTTCGTATTTTGTTATCTCTAACCTCTACAAAAAAGTATTTCTTTTCATTCTTATTGTGATAAACGCGTAAAGTTTTTCGAATGGTTCTTATATGAGTGACAAGATTACTCACTCAAAATAACAAACAGCAACGCATCAACAGTTATTTACATTGTCTCTTAACTTTTTGCTTTAAGAAAATTAATCATGAACGGCACAGAAAAAACCAAACGGCGACGAATAATGATCATCAGTGGTGACGAAAGTATCATTGACGAGATCAAAAATAGCAAAAATGCTTTGTTGTGCAAATCATTGATCCTGGAAGCTGAAGATGAGAGTATGGATCTCACGTCTCTTGAGGTGATTAAACAAATTGAAATGATCAATTTCATCTAGTAGTTGCTTTTACTTTTAGGACAACAGTTCACCTGCGCGAGTGAAGAAAAACAAGAATGTTTCGTTGGTTTGTGTAATATGTGGAGCGCCAGCTCTTGGATACAATTTCGATGCCATATCGTGTGAAAGTTGTAAATCATTTTTCCGTCGAAATGCTCTGAGAGATCCAGTAAGTTTTATTCGAACAAAAAACCGATTTGCTCAACTATGAAGCATTTTCTCTCAAGCCACTTGAATGTCCGCGCGATGCTTCATGTAAAATTACATTCGAATCCCGTCGTCAATGTTCAGCATGTCGTCTCGTTAAATGTCTTCAGAACGGTATGAGACGTGACAGACTTTTAGTGGTAATAGAATTCGATAAATACTGCAATAGATTAGAAGGAAACTTGCTATTCTAGGCCGAACAAAAAGCTGTCAAACGCCGAAGACGAGATGATGATTCAAGTCTAAATTTGGACACATCTTTGCTCTATCCTACCGAAGTAATTAGGATTGCAATTTGATAATGTTTTCTTTTTCAAATGTAACTCGTTTAGTTCATGCCACCTTCAGATGCAAATATAGTATTTCTAAACTACCGTCAACCCTCGCCGCCACAAACTAGAAGCGGATTGCTCACTTCTGAAGATTTACAACGTATTGAATCTATTCAGCTTCTCTATCAGAATCGAATTGAACTCGGTAAGGAAAAGCAGCGGAGGAATCTGTTCGAGCTGTTCGATTCATTTTTCTAGCTCGTGATGGTCTTCCGTGGAATCCTTCCGAGTATTCACTCACTTTCTTACAAAAACTCAACAGCCATTCGGTTCCATTAATAAGATTATTGACATTTTTCAAGCAAATACCTGAATTCAGTGAGTTAAACGTCGACGACAAAGTTACATTGATTAAATTCAATCTTTTGCCACTACTATGCATCAATTGCACACTTTCATATAAAATCGAAACTGACCAAATTGTTGAAACTGATTCCGATGTACCTTGGGATCCATCCGTCATCCAAGAAGTCTATGGTTACGAAGGTTATCTACAAATGAGAAAAGTCTTCGAATCGTTTGTACACATCGCCCAATATGATCACCGAATAATCCAACTAGCCTTGATCACATTAATCTTAACCAAAGGTTTTTCTGCTGGCGAAGGAGAGCTCGAGCCAATCTTGAATGATGGCATGGCAGTTTATCGTGCGCAAAATTACTACGCCGAATTATTATGGAAATACATCGAAACTATGCATGGACGACATCGAGCGATCAGTATCTGGAGTAAAATTGTAACACATTTCATAACATGGCAAACCTTGCATAAAAGACTTCGAGATAATGTACAACGAAATCTATCCACGACGGACATGAGTGAATTGTTACCACTGATGAAGACCTTATTTCACATTTGAGATCAGACGTTTTTTGTTCTTTCTATAAACTTGTAATCAAATCATTGATAAATTTCGACAATTGAATGTTTTTTTTTAAATATAGACCAACTTCTTTCATTGAGGTATGTTTGATTCGTAGTGTCGGTGAAGGATATCTTTTAAACTTTATTGTAGTTTTCGTCGCTGTTCTCTTGTCCGTTGTTGACCGAGCAAAAGTTGAACTTGTAGATAAAATGATGCTTATTCTTTCTCTTTATTCCTACTGGATTAAAATCAATGTTAGTATGACTATTTCGACTCGTCGTCGACAAATTCTTCATTCAAGACGAGTAAACAGCTAATGAGCTGATCTCGACACTGCTTAGTTGATGGTGTCGACGAGTAATTATTCATCTAGGTCCGATTAATCGATTCTGCGATGCATAATTTTGATATATACCTCGAGATATCGTGTCCAGTCGTTATCAGTTCTTTGTTTTTCTTTTCGGAGTAAATAAACCGAAATAGATTTTGTTTCTTATGTAAAACGAAACATCAGCGAATGGGTATTTCTCTACAGCGTAGTATTTTTACTTTGCTTTGCTCTCTTTAAACGTCATACACGCACGCACACACACGTTGTACCCGTGAAAAAGAACAACATAGTATCAAAGGAGAAAAACAATTCTTTTGCTTTCATAACATTTTTTGCGTTGTAAAACCTGACAGAGCAATGAAAAAAAACTTTCTTTTCTGATTCTGTCAACTAGCCTCCGCTCCTTCAGCTTCTGTTTTTGCTTTTACTGACGTCTCGTAGACCAATTGAAAGCGTCCTTATATTTTGCGTTTCCCTTGCCAGTAGAAGACATGATCATTGTTTTTCTTCAAAACAGTACCTTCCCAACCCGTAAAATGTGTTTGAGACGTTAAATTACACGAGGTTATGATGCACGACGGATGATGCAGGCTTTCTATACACAACAACAAGTTGTTTTTCTCGGCTTCAATGTCACTTCGCACGTGTATTCTTTTATATTGTTACCTTCTTGACTGCGTGGACATCAAACGGTTCTCCTTTTCAATCTTAATTGTCATAAATTCATGTTTTTCTTTCTCGAAGGACACGCTATTTCTTATGTCATAGATATTTTTATACACACGCAAGTCTCGAGTTCACTACCTACGTCTACAAAGTACATATCAAAAGAACGTATGAGTAACGATGATTCATTTCGCCTTCTTTGCTCGGCAATGTAACCATAGTTTAGATTATATTTACCATATAGGTAGCAATTGTTCTTCTACACGTTCGTATAAAAACTTACACCTACGATCGAGTAAGACAAACTTTTATTTCTACTATATTAGCCAGCAATCGATGTTGTCATTTGAGAAACAATCTTGATCGTTTTTACCTGGTCAAGTGTAAGTAAATGAGCGCCTCATATAGTGACATAACACTGCACGAATGAAAAAAAAGAATGTAAGCGATTCGTCAGTACGAACATACATGAATAAACAAACGAATGTCTTATCTGCATCATGAATATTATCGTTAACCAGTTAGTAAATTTACATGAATTTAAGTTTTCCCTCACCTTCGACAATTCAATAATATTTTTAGTTTTCCATTCATTGTCAAGTTTATAGGAGCACATTTCATTTCCATACAGATGAGCAGTTTACTTCGATTGCATTGTAAGTAAACAAATCTTGTCGTTCGTATGTTTTTAGATAACCATTCGTTCAAAATGTCGGCAGAAATCTTACCGTCGGATAACTCTTCTAAGAAGCGTCGAATCATGATCATTACTGGTGATGAAAGTATTATTGAACAAATCCAAAACAGTAATAATCCAGCATTAATCCAATCGATCATCATTGAATCCAAGGACCTTTTCAGCGAAGACGCAGAATCTTCTTATTCAGTGGTATGAAAAAAGATAGCTTTTCTCATTTATATCGAATTCGAGCGACTTTGATATGTACAGGTTAGGACTGAGGCACAACCATCGACGCAGAAGAAGACAAAACAAGGCACATTGACTTGCGTTGTCTGTGGTGCTTCAGCGCTCGGATACAATTTTGATGCAATTACATGTGAAAGTTGCAAAGCATTTTTTCGCCGTAATGCACTGAAAAGTCTCGTAAGTCTTTCTGATTTATCTGATATATAATTTAGTATTTTTTCATAGAAAACATTTCACTGTCGTCGTCAAGGTGGATGTGAAATTACACTGGAAACACGACGACGTTGTTCAGCATGTCGTTTAGCAAAGTGTCTCAGCAATGGCATGAAACGCGATCGTTTATTAATGGTAATAATGACACGGGCATTGAATGTGACGCTTACTTGTTTGTTTAGGCAGAGGAAAAAGTTGTGAAGCGTCGTAAAATGGAAGAAAAGCGTTCATCGCCAGAACAGAGTCCTCTCATTATTGAGGACAAATCTCCCTCGATATTATCGATTCATTCTGATCTTGAGTTACCTACATTAGAGAATATAAATCTCAATCGTCTCACTGATTTCAGCGATCTGTTACCACAAACGCCAAACATGTTGATGACTATAGAAGATTTACAACGCGTCGAAACCATACAAAATTCGTACGAGAAGCGCATCGAACTTGGTAAATACGTAGCTTTTATGTTGGACAAAAATAGAACGATACTTTCTCTGTTTTCTCTTAAATTTAGCTGCTCGCGACGGTCTGCCATGGAATCCGTCCGAACATGCGACGACATTTTTACAACAGTTAAACTCTCGTTCAGTACCAGCAATGCGTCTTTTAACATTCTTTCGACAAATACCGGAGTTTAATGAACTGAATGTCGATGATAAAGTGACTTTGATCAAATACAATCTCATGCCATTAATTCTACTCAACAGTTCGTTGTCGTTCAATGTAGAAACACGTCAAATCCTCGAAGCAGATTCCGATGTACCTCTAGACCCAAAAGCTTTTCACAGGATGCACGGTACGGAAGTCTTTCTTCAAGTCAAGAAGATCTTCACTACATTTTTACAAATTGCACAATGCGACCAACGTATAATTCAACTAACACTGATTGTTTTGCTGTTAACGAAAGGTTTCTGTATGTATACTGGCACTGATGAACCCGTTCTCAACGATGGCATGGCTGTTTTTCGTGCCCAGAACTACTACACAGAACTACTATGGAAATATATGGAGACAACTCATGGCACCGAAAAGTCTATTCGAATGTTCAATGATTTAATCGTTCATTTTCAAGTTTGGCAAAGAGTCGAAGGGCAAATTCGAAATAACGCACGGAAATTATTAGGACCAAATGAGACAAATGAAATTCTACCTATCATGAAATCCTTATTGCACATACCCTAGCTAGAAAGATCTAGTGGTGTTCTTTGTTTGTTTGTAATTATTATTATTATTATATCTGTAGTATTATATAATCATTCAGTAAATGCTTTTTTCGTCTGCCAACAGCTTTGATCTGCTAAGAATTTGATCTATCTGACTACTAATGCCATATTATACAATTTAAATATAGGAATGCAAAACGGGTAACTAAGAAATCATGTTTTGTTTTTCAAAAAATCCAAGCCCATTATATATTCAATCTATAGACCGAAACAAACAACTTTATAAGAAAAAAAAAGAGAAATGAAGATCACATGTCATATGTATGTATGTTCATTGTTTTCTTTTTCTCGTTTTCGTGGCTTTTTTTACAATCAATAGAACACACATACGGATAATAATAAATAGAAACAAGACACACATGCGAACAAACAGAAAATACTGTCAATCAGGTTGTTGCATTCATACAAAACCGAACATTTTGGTTTTGATCGCATATTGAAGTTTTAATTTTAAGATATTTTTTGATGAATATAATGGAACATATAGACGACTGATACATGTATTTGCCGTTGGTAAATGTTGATCATCAGCAGGACGTATGGTGACTGAAGGTTGAGGTTGAAAGCCAGCTTCCGACGCGGGTAAAGCTGGACTACCTGTCCAAAAATAAACCTGAAAAAGAAAACAAGCATTTCGAGCAAACATCACTTGTCATTCTTACTAGATCTTGTCTTTCGACAGCATTGAACTTTTCCAACACTGACCAAAACCATTTCTTGAATTGATTAATACGATCACTAGTCTCGCCTAAATGATAGAAAAACGCAGTAGAAATCAACGATTCGGTGAGCATCCTCTCTGTACTTACCACTTTCATCATTGAATGTTGTGTATGTCATGAGTGTTGTTACATTTATATTTCCAGTACCATTTAATAGTAATCGGAAATCTTCTGGAGTTAGATATTCAAGAGATGCCGATGGTAACACATCAAAAACACCCAGACGTAAATGCTAGAATTGATTGTAGGAGAGAAAAGTTTTTTAAAAAATGTTAGCTGATGATTAGTTACCTGAAGCGATTGTTCTACAAGACTGATCATTCGAAATTCAGCGTAGCGTTTAATGAATTCATAAAGATTCGAATATGTCACATCTTTTGATGAACCGTCAGAAACAAGGTCATATGTTTCGCCTCCCTAAACACCAAAAGAATAGCTTCATATATCATGTATGATTTCTAGACAACAAACCTCTTTCTCGGTCACAGTCATTGAAAATGTCAGATGAAGATCATTAACATATTGTGCACCGTTCTTCTCTGCATCAAATGCAGTTCGACGAAGATTTTCATACATAGTGGAATCGAAAAATGCCAGATCATGCCAACGTATAGGACGATTCAAAATATATTTAATAACATGGCGACATAATGGTAGTGGAAAGAGTTCATTTTGTAACAAACATAGGCCAATCAATCGACCGACATTTCGATAAGCTGTTAAACGTTCGGGCGTGTATTTTCCTGGTCGCGGTGCATAAACACCTTTTTTATCTGGTTGCCAGAAAAGTGGTGTAAACTCATTGGGTTGCTTTTCGAAAAGAGCATTCTTATTTGCTAACAATCGTTCATTGATTGCTATTGTTGTTGCAAGTGAATCATTTTGTTGGGTATCACGTGTGCTATGTGATGTTAAAATATTCATTGCTTCTTCAACTTTGACTCGAAGATCTTCTTCAATGTTAATAATACGTTGCAATTGTGGTGTAGGTAAACCTTCTAATAGCATGCCGGTGATTTTTTCCGCGTGAAATGGTTGAATTGCGGCCACTTTTGGATAGATGCTGACGCCAAGTTTGAATTTACTTGGTGCCCAATGTTCATTAATATTTGAATCCGAAGTATTGCTTGCTGTTGAGGAATCATTCGACGATAAGGAAAATTTAAATGGACGAGCTTCGGATGATAGAAGTACGGACGAAGATCGGCGATCACTACGGAGATAGGTTGCTAACGTTGTACGACGTTCGCGCGATGGTCGTTGCTGCCGTTGAGCGTGTGATGATGATAATGAGCTTGAAGTTGGCTGAGCAGCTGATGTAACACCATGATTACTCAATTCTAACACTGGTAACTTCTCTTCAGATAAAATGGCCTAGGGGATAAAACGGTAATTTTCAATCATGAGTTCACACGTTTCGACTTACTTCAACAATTGAAGAATAGAAACTTCGTGCCACTCCACTTCCTTCGCCTGGCTCATCTTTGAATGTAACTTTGACTCGTTGAACAGCTAGTGGTGGTACAGATGATGAGGAACTCATACTTTGATTTCGATTGTAACATGAATTCAATGTACGAAATGTCTTTTGAATTAATAATATCCGATCACGTTCCATCTAAAGAGAATGATTCAAATAAGAACCGATGAGATCGGTGGAAGTAGTAAAAATCTTACCGCTTCAAACCGAATATCTTTTTGATGAGCGTTCTTCAATCGCTCCATATCATGACGAAAACGTTGTTCTCGAGCGGAGAATCCACTTGATTCATTAATAATCGATCCTGGCTCACTTCCAACATCGTCCAAGAATAGTTTCACGAACAATTCGATTGAGAATCTCCATCGTGCTAATAAATATTCATATGAACCATTCAGAAGCATCGAATGCGATGTTTGTTGCCTAGAATATACTCAAATGATAAATGAAATCCTTATGCCAACAAGCCTACTTTTTGCGAACCGATGATGTCTTATCGGATGAAATCAATCCCGCGCTCAAATCAAGTAACACGTCGACTGCCATACCTTGAAACAGAACAACACATGAATACTTCTCATGATCATACTTTGTTCACTTACGATCATCATCTCTTGTTTTCGTTTGATTCTTTTCTTCGTTGTTATGAAACAAATTCAAATAATTCGGCTGGAGAAAATCCGGGATTGAACTTTCACGATGAGATAGACCGAGTTGAGATGATACGTGGGAAAGTCTTGCTGCTGTCTGATCATACAAAAATCGACCGAAGAGATCTTCTTTTCGGCAAATTGGCTGCAGCAATTGTGGACGACATGCCAATGGTAAAGAATCATCGATGGTAATTTGAAAAGGGTCGGGTCCTAATGAACTCAGACATAAGGTCGATGGTGAACGTTGAAAAAATGTATTTGCTGATGTGACTGTTTCTTCATTAGTTGTATTCTCATTCATCGAAGTATTTGTTGCTTCATCGGTCACTTCTCTCCAATTAGTTCTAACCGGTGGACTCGATTCAGTAACACCGCTTTCGCGAAAATAATATATAAATGAATCGAGTATGTATGCTAAGTGTTTATACGAGAGAACATCCAATGTCGGCTCTTGATCGCCATGTTCATGAATCGAACGCATCAAAGATAATGAATAGTTCAGAAATTCTAGACGATTGTTCACGGGTTTTTCTAAATAAAGGCGAAGTTTTAAGAAAATCCTATGGCAAACGGTGAGCTTACCATTGACAGGAATATTATTTGTTCGATTTGTTGCTGCTGTCGACTTTTTCTTTATTTCAATCTGCGCACGATCGATTAGATTTTTAAGGAAACGATTTCCGTGGTAAGTTGTATCGTTTTCATTGTGAGTTAAATTGCTCAATGTCATACCGAAACGTAATTGAGATTCAAAGGAATCCATAACTGTTGCAAACCATTGCCAGGTTGGATATAGACATTGTTCAATTTCGTTCTATTCGATTGAAAAACGAAGACAATCAAATGAAACTTCTGAGAAAATCTCAAACTTACTTGAATACTTTCGAGAGCGTTTTGTTCTTCGACAGTTGCCGATGTTATTAATATGTCATGATAGAGAGATGAAGCTGAGAGTACAGATGGCCATCTGATTAATAGATCAGTAATTTGTCGAATAATAATTCCGAACGCTCGTGCCAACAACGAATTCGTGGTGTTAACCGATATCAGATTTGTCGTTTGTGTTTGTTGTGGTTGCTGTTGCACATGAGTTTGTTGTTGTTGCTGCTGCTGTTGTTGTTGTTGTTGAACTGATGTCGAATGGCTTAGACTTGGCGATGTTGTCGCAACAGGTGCAAGTTGTCGTCGGGAGTGACTGTCACCAAATAACGAACCTAAATAGACACGAAAGTTTCATAACAGGCATTCTATTCAACATTGAACTACGTACTGGCCATAGTTGTTCGAGCGTTTAATCTTGGTACATTGAGATGACTAGTAGCGGTCGCATTTGTCGGCTGTGTATTCGAACTAGCTGTTGTGTTACCTGCTGGTAGAAGTACGAGGCGATCATTTGTAACAGCACTTGGCGTTACTGTTGTTGTTGAAGATGCGGCAGCAGCAGCTAGAGCATCTCGTGCATCGTCGAAAATCATTGGCTCGGGTTGACTCGTTTCATCACCTTCGCCGAGAACACTGTCACTTCGTACACTATCAGCATCGTCCGATTCGGAATTTTCATCATCGGAAAATAAGGCCATGTTTTCACTGCCAGCTGTTGCTGATGTTCGATGTGTGTTTGTGTTCGGTGCGCTACGATTACTTTCATTGTCCGTGTCTGATTCAGCAAGTAATTCTAATTCCATTTCACTTTCATTATCGCTCAAACCACCAGCGTTTTCGCGTATTGTTGGTTGTTCATTCATATTCGAATTACTTATGGGATTAGTTGTTTCATGTTGAGATTGAGTGTCCGAATTATTGTCATCATCTTCATTCAATTCGATTGTTGTTTGATTCATATTGTTCGGATTGATCGAATTTTGATTGTCATCAATATCGGTTTCATTCAGTTCATTGATCGGTTGAGACAGTGAATCGGTTGTACGTTGAAAGTTATTACTTTTACTTTCTTGATAAGAACGATACGATTCGGAATCAATATTGAATACTTCTTCGAGACCTTGTAAAATATCCGTATGAGAGGATAACAGATTGAACATGGCCGTTGGTTTCGCTATGCCATGACGAACAGGTGCAAGTAACAAATCAGCTGTATGAACGAGTGCATTGATCGATATGAGAGTTAGCATTTGAAATATTCGTTTGCATTGATATAGAATAGCTTGTGGACCATTGATTGTTGATGATGACGACGACGACGACGACGAGAGATTTGAACTTGTGGTAATCGTGGCACCGGTTACTGTTGTCGCAGATATACGTTTGATTGTCGTGCCTGATGATAGTTGTTGATTGGACAACGATGATGATTTATCAGGGACAGATTCTAGACTTAAAATGATAAATAAACGTATGACACTGCGAACAAATCGTGCAGTCACGAAACGAGCCATATCGCGATGTGTTGGATTCGACATTTCACGTATCAAAGTATTTAATAGGATATCGAGAAGTTCATTGGATGTGGATGAAGCATTTTTTGTTGTTGCACCCATGGTTGAGCCCGTCTGTTTGATTGTATTACACTTAGCGAGAAGAAAATATGTGAAACGATCGAGTTGACTTGTTTGTTGTTGTTGTTCTAACGAAAATAGATGTTCATTGTCATACGTTGATAAAACCGGTGGACAGGCCGAAAGAATTGAAGTGACTTCTTTCGGATTGATATTAGTCGGATCAATGTCATCAGGACAACCGCATAAAAGCATTGATTTAACACCAGACCAATCTGCTAAAATGAGTTCGAGTGCTCGACGACCTACAAACAAATGAATTGATAAAGAAGAACGAAAAAAAAGATCCACTGAATAACTTACAGAATTGTGGCGGTTCTAAATGATGATCTGGAATATTACTGTTCGAATCCAAATCCATTTGATTTGTTGAATTATTGTTATTAGTTGAGCCTGATGACGAATTTTGATGTTGCAATTTCTTTGCCCCACTTGTCGCTGACGAATTCGTCAACTGTTCACGAGACTTTCTCGCTTGTTGTTGTAAAATTGCAGCTGTGGACGTTCGAGGAAATTGTTGTTGTTCAATTATTTGTCTTCCAACTGTTTGCACCAGATACAGAAGAATATTTTCATATCGAGAGTTTTGTATTTGCACCAAATTCGTTTGATTTAACAGAAGTTTAAATAACTCCAAACGCTTTTGTTGATCACCAGCTATTAACGATTTACATTTGCACACTTCCCAACAATCACAGTATGCTGTTGGTGATGTACGTTTCAGTCGACAATCATGACCCTTGTGACACGTTTGAGCACATTCACTGCAACAACATAATGTACCTGATAGACCACATGTTTTACATTCGAAGATAGCTTGACTAATGTGCTCTTCACCGGTCCATGTAAATGAACATGTATCGTTAGTACATATGGTATATAATGGTGAATAATCGGAACAAGTGGATGTTAATGGATAGATCATTCGTAGAAGAAGATTATCGAGCTGTTGTTTCGGATCACTGACGGTGCTGGGCGATAGTAATGAAGTGTCAAGAAAAAATTGAACAGAGGCCGAGGTGGATTCGACTTGAGATTCCCGTTTGGATACTTTCAAGGCGTATTCGAAGAGAATCAAGGCACATTGGTATGCACGTGAATTAACAGCTGACATAAAGGGTGTTTGACCTTCTAAATTGCGAAAACTAAGTAAGGACAGGAGATATTCTTGAAAGAGTGGATAATCGAGTAATAGACGAAGAATTTTTATCGAACGAATACGCTTTTCACGTTCGTCATATTTGCATGATGACCAAACGGAGAAATCATTGGAATTCGAACGTGACGAACGTGTTGGTTGTGAATACAATTGATTTTGAAGATATTGAATTTGTTGTATCTTTGATGATAGACTCGTAGGATTGTACGATGGAGACAATGAGCCCGGATTTATCGAAGATGTACCTGTTGATAAGCTCTACAAAACGAAACAAAGTAGAGTCGAATAGGTCAAGACAAGATTCTTACTCGATAGAGATTTGATGAAGTTCCCGACGGCATCGTTGGCGATGAAGGTGGTTGAGCATCGGTCGGTGTTGGTTCATTTGTCCATACATTATTTGTTGCTGACGACGAAATTGTTGTCGGTGCTGAAGCCGTACTGCGTTCACCATAATTGTGATCAGAATTGCCTTGTGCGTGCAGAAGATCAATTGCAAATGATATTCGTTTTAAGTTTGTATTGCTTTCATTTTGAACTTGTTCATCATTTATTGAATATTCTTTGTTATTCATTGGCGTTGCGATATGAACACAAGCATGAAACAGATTTCGACAGCCGTCTAATCGTTCTTCTAGGATTAATTTCAATAAATCGCGATTTTTCGTTAATTCAATCTCATTTAAAATCGAACGAATTCTCTCCACATCATAACGAAGGATATGCGGAATTAGAATACCTTTTTGAATCTGCATGATATTTAAAATGATATGATTTTTGTTCAGATGATCAGCATTCTTCAACGGAACGATTCCTTGAGAAAAATAGTTGATTCCCAATAAGTTCTTCCATTGTGGTTCTTTTAAATTTGTACCATCCTGATTGTAGATAAATGGGTAAAGTAATCGATTGCCATCGATTAATAACCGAGGAATATCCGTAGAATTCAATGTTGCTAGGCACACCGAATTGAGATTTGCTCCAAGGAAAGATAATAATGACTGACGATTGTTAATCAATGGTAAAAGATTCTGACGGATGGAACGACATAAACCATTGTTACTACCGACTTCATACATAATGTAATGAATAGTTGAATCGCGAATTTGTAATGTATGAAGATCTAAAAAAGATAGTTGCAACTTTAAATGACTACAAAAGTATGACTGAACGTACAATCTTTATCGATTGAGTAAATTAAAAGTTTGCCGTGTTCTAATGCAATACGTTTAGCATTCGTGATCGATAATGTACAATCAGGCGTTTTCGGAATCGTATTTCCTTTGACGACCTAAATTAAAGATTATTGTACAGAAATATTGAAGAAGATGAACGTACTTGTAAATCATCTTTTCGAAGTATTCGGCAATTTTCCAGATTAGTTGCATCCAAATTCACGTCATTGATTTCGTTATTATTGTTCTTCGAAGGAAATCTGACTAAGACGAGCGATCCATCGATTTTAACAACTTTGCCAATGGGCGCTACTTTGCAATCTTCAATAAAGATCACCTCATCCAACGGCCAGTACTCTTCATCTTTAATTTTGCTGTGCTGCTGCTGTTGTTCATTAGAATCACTATCGTTAATTGTCATTAGAAAAGGATTCGAACCATTACCACCAGCACCACTCGGAGTAGCTACTGCTGCTGCTGCTGCTGCCGTTGTCGTAGTACTTGTACTCGTATGTTTTTTACGTTTTAATGACGAGGCGAAACTTGTATTCGAATCTACGCTGCATGTTGACGAAGCTGGTGAAGGTGGAGGCGGCATTTCTAATGAACTCTTATCATCTTCTTTATTCTTATTGGTAATCAATTCCGGAATTTTAATGCGAAATCGTGCGGTGTTCGATAGCATCCATGCTTGCTCCATTAATTGACCTAATTTCGGTTGCCCATCACGAATACAGAATGCTAATGCACCTTGATTGTAATACGGATTCGATATTAAACAAACCGATGATCCAATCGTGATAATCTGCTGCTGTTGCTGTTGTTGAGTCGAGTTGTTCGTACGATTTTTTCGTGTTTTTTCTTTTAAACGTTCCAGTAATTTTTTTCGTGGTTTATTTGGCAACAAACCATACCAATAGAGATCATTGGTATCAGTACGAACAACCGTGAACAATGGTGATGTTTGAATATCAACAATATGCAGAGGAATGGTTGGTGAAAGTTCCTGCAGCGAATGTTGAAATTTGAAATTGACTTGTGAGCCCAAGGATTCATCAATCCACGTCGCTAAACGGTTAGTTTCAGTAACAACAGATGCACGAATAATATTGGCAGAAAGATGAAGAATTTTTTCGTTTAATAATTGTAAAACCATTGTTTTAGGATGTTTTATTTGAGAATTGTCCGCATCTTGATATGGATATTCATCTTGCCAATTCCACTGGCACAATTGCCCGTTTGTATTGATAGCAATTAGTTCCGAATAAAGGCAAGCCATGTGTGTAAAACGTGGATAAGTATTTTCCGAATTGTTATCAGTCCAGAATTGTAGCTGATCGCCGAAGACAACAGGATTTTGAACTGGAGTTGTCGATATGGCAGCCGGTGCAGATACTTGTTGCTGATAAGCCGGTGGGTTTGTTTGCGATAATGGATTCGAAGAGGAGTTCTGATCTTTACGAATCGATGAAGTTTTTGTTGAGTTATTGTCTTTCACAATCGATAAATCATCTGGTTTCAATTCTCGATCGATCCGACCGAAGAGTTCTTCACGCAAAGAACCATCTAACCAACGGGGATCATAACGATTTCGTTTTCGATCGCGTTCCGATGAACTGCTTGTTGTTGACGATGGATTTGTCGATGATGTGACAACAGTTGAAGAATTCGTTGTCGAAGGAGGATTTGCTGAAGATGGATTGTTAACATTCGACAGATCACCTAAACTAGAATTGATCGCAGCGGAAGCTGCTGATGCTACTGTTGGTGTTGACGGATTATTTGCTGAAAGAAAAGAACGTATTTTCTCAAGTTCCAACACGACTTTTCAATGTTGTAAATACATACCAACATTTCCGATTCGTGCAGAAACAACTCGACGTTGTATATTGCTGTATCGCAAGGCGAAATCTGCTTCGTCGAAAAATTCCGATTCAAGAATAATACCTGGATGTTCATTGTGTGGATTCACGTCCAGCAATGAAATCAGATCAGCTAAACAACGAGTATTGTCTATTAAAAAATACTGTCAAACTTGTTCTTACCTCCGACATAATCATCATCAAGATCTTCATCGCCTTCATCATCGCGTGCAAGTAAATTATTCACAGCCATATTTACATCTAAATTCTGTAATTAGAAAATGATTAGGTATTTTACAATATTAAAATTTTCGAAGTTCATTTACCGTTCTTTGTAATTCTCGTAGGATAACATTTCTTGATTTTCCTTGAAGAACTACTTGAACCTAAGATGAAATAATTTAGAAGAGAAACTTCATCGAATTCAACATACTTGTTCAATTAATTCTTCGGGCACACTTGACGCCGGTATTAGAGGTCGTGAACCAAAGATAATTCCTGTACGTCCGCGTGCCGTTCGAATTAGATGATGTCGCTGTCGACTTAGTGGATAACCAGCTTGCAGTTGTGGCAGTAGATCCACTTGTCCACTTGGATTAGTATTAGTTGTGTTTGCGACCGCTGCAGCAGCATTGTGTGCAGCTATAGAAGGGTTGGGCGATGATAAAACAAGATTTTCGAAACTGGGACGATCGAAATTGTTTAAACGATGAATAGGTTGACGGGTCTGAGGACGTGTTGTTTGTGGTGTTAAATGTTTTGGTTTACTCTTTGCTGTTTCTGTAGGAATCGGTTCAATTTTATCAGCTTGAACTCGAAATGACACTCGACATATTCGTCCGTCCTGAAAGGCAAAACATTCGATCATTTCATCCTTGTTTTTGCGCTTTAGATAGATTTTACTTGAAGAAGAAAGGCAATATGTCGCGATGAAACTACTGCTTGTTGAACAACAAGATTTGTAAATGGCGCAAAGACACTCGGACATGCACAACCATTTGTTGTGATTTGATCCGATATATCTTGAAGTCTAGAAAACGAATAGATCAACAAATCCAATCATGAAAGCCTTTTCTCTTACTTTAATTCAAAATTCTGTTCTGTAATCGGTGTTTGTTGGATAAATACATGCGTGGAATATTCCATTAAATAATCTGAAAAACGAAAATACATGAAAATTTTTGTTTGTCGTTTTGGTTTTTCTTTGAGGATATCTATATGTATATAAAGTTCTATCTTTTCCTTTCTTTACATGTACAGGCACAAACAAACAAACAAACAAACAAAAAAAATATAGGTAGTGAGATGAAAAATGTGGTATACAACATTAAACAAAAGATTGAGTGAATATAGATTGACTATTCAGGAAACAGCTTGATATTCAAGTCAAGCTCAAAATCGTGGGATGTGAACATTTCATCATTGTGCTCGGAGAACGATGTAAATGATCCACGTTCGGTTGTTGTCATTGACGAATAACTTCTTTCCGAATGCTAAAAAAAGTCAAAAACACATGATTCCGTTTCGCAAGAAAAATTGCGAATCAATTTCGTCTATACGAGTAATTACATTGTTCTCGCATGACTCATATGCAATGAAACCTTATCGGGAGAAAGCCTACCATTTTATCGGTTGGTTCTTGTTTAGTTATTGTTGTAGTAGTTGTAAATTTGTTTGTGTTAGACTAGAAACCATCGAATAGATGCCGTGATTTCGTGTGTAGAAAGAAACCTTACCAGCAAACGTTGTTGTTCATCGAGTTTTTTCTTCGCTGCTGCTACTGCTGCTGCTTCAGCCGCTTTTCGTTCTTGATGTAATCCACGTATCAATTCTTCTTTATTACTCAATTGCGGAGTCTTAAAGAACCGTTTCAGCATGCGTTTCATTTGATAAATCAAGTTCATACTTTGGTGACAAGTGTGGGTGCACAACGACGTCGTGTAAATGGATCAGCTGCTGCATTTTGTTCTTCTTGTGCTTTACGCTATGAGAGAGAAAGAAAATGCACCCTGAATTCGATTGCAAACATCACGCTTAACTTACAGCTAAGACCATTTCAATATTTTTCTGTGTACTCTCTCGGTTTCTTCGATTTATCTCACTGAAACAAAGAATAAGAATGAATACAGTAAGAAAATTTTATACAAAACAAATATTTCTATACAAGTTTATTTCGAAAGATTCTCTCGCGCAATGGCCTTCAATTTCTCTTTTCCAACAGCATGATAAATCATTCGCACGAACGTCGTCATTTTCTCAGGTTGTAAAATGGAATTCGTCGTCAAATTATGCAAGAATAGATTCCCGACATATGAATTCCATAGATGGCACGCATAATTCTCTCGAAAATCGTATTGATTGTAAACGTATAATTCCTCGATATGTGACCAAGATGGTGTAAAGAACGCTTTGGAAGGTAAAACGTGAACTTCATTCGGATAGATCGTGACTAGTTGACCAGTTAATATTACGGAATGACAAGCCCAACATGAGGAATTGAAACTTTGGTATGAATGATAGAGACGTCGAAGAAATTTCGATGTTTTCGGCGCTAGAATAACAGCATTGCATACAGCTTGAAAATCTTTATCTTCCCAAGCAAAAATAGCTTCGACTTGTTGTGAATTCGCAATTAGTTGTCGAAACGAACTGAGAACGAGAACATCAAGATCCAAATATATTCCGCCATATTTATCGAGCACTTCCAATCGTCGAATATCACTCCGATGCGCATGATGATACAATGGATGATTATAAATCGATGTGATTGGTGGGATTTTGTTCATAGTGATGTTTAATTGTCGATCTTGCATTGCTTTCATCCACCAATAACCGGTTGGTTCATAAGTATAGTGAACATAAATTTGGTCAGGGTTAATATGTTGACGAGCAGAAAGGAGTACGAGATAATTGATTAGATGAAATTCAGATGAAGCTCGTTCTAATCGACGGTGAGCAAGACGTGGACCAAATTGATCAAGTATCGTCTCACTCGCATCACCTTGCCCAGTGATGAAATGCACTATGTTTGGTATGTCATATGTCCCATATGATTCATCCTTTGATACAATTCGTCGATCGTTGTCGCAATTATCTTTCGGGTAAAAAATAATCCACAAAGAGAAAAACCCGATAACGAATAACCATATATAACGTGAAATGTATCGACGACGCATATATTTATTGAATATTGATGTCCGAATATACTGTATCTGTCGACCTTTTCATACCTTACTGCTCTCTCTCCCTCTTTCTTTTTGACCTCTTTTTTTCACTTTTTCTATTCTGTTTCTTTCTCTCTTTCTTTCTTCCTTTCTTTCTCTTACACGCTTGTGCTACTTACGCCATGACTGAAATATTTTCTGATCTTTTACGATCGAGTTCAGACGCTTTTTCTTCCATTTCTATTAATTGTTTTCTTAATTCATTTTCTCGTTCTACATCGTTATCATCTTTGGCTATTTCCTACAAAACAATCAATGAGTAAAAGTGCAAATTTCTCTCGTTGAACAGGTTATATCAAAACATACGATTTCTTTCATGAGTTCATTTTTTGTTACTGCATAATTGATTGGTGCTTTCCGAAAGCGTTTCTTTTCTTCGACCATCTTCGTTATATCATTGTTGTTATAAACATAATGTTTGAATTTATCAATTTGTTTCGTCTTCTTTTCCAAATCATCGAGCGTTGGCAATGCGATTCCCTAAAAAAGAAAAAAGTGAAAATCGATTTCTTCTATGTATATTTTCCCACTTGTCGAATCATTGCTTCTCTCCATCGTTGAAATTCATTATCGGAGATTTCATTATTTGACACATATTCAAGTCGAAAAATACGCTCGTTATTGCCATGTCTATCCGAACGACGAGAAAAACAAATCATTTCCAAAGATGTACAATTTGCATATTTGTTACTTTAAACGAAGTCCTTTGTTCGTCCGCGTTACTCCAAGATTGTAAATTTTCCCAGTCTCTACTACATCATTGATTTCACAGACCTAAACAAATGATTAGCTCGGTCAAATTCGATTTCTGAGCAAAAAAAAAGAGCTCACTCGATAAACAGGTTCACCATTGCTTTGACCGATATTGATGCGAACAAAAGCCCCTTTGGCAACATCGGCAAAGAAAGGTGCATGGCACCATCTATTGAAGAAAGTCGATAAGCAAGCAAAGAAAGCTTGGGTTTTTACTTTTCCATACGAAAACGTGATAAGATCATTGATTTCAGCTGATCTTTAGTAGTAATCGGTGTGCATCTTTTTCGTTTCGTGTCGTGCTCACGTGAATCAAGCATTCGATCATCGGGTGAACTGAACAGAAGAAAAAGTTTGGCAAAACTTCAGTTTAACCATCGAATAGTTGGAAATTACCGTGAACGAAGACGACGATTACGCGCATTTCCTAAACTATCCTCATCGTCTTCATCTTCGTCATCATCATCGCTGGACGTTTGATAGACATCGGTAACTTTCCATTTAACATCGTTGTCATTTGATTTCGAAGGTTTTTCAGACGCATCATCATCACTTGACGAACCTTCGTCGGTTTTGAGTAAACTTTTCTTTAGTTTTTCATCTACGAAAATCCAACATGCCAATGTTGAAATCAATTGAAATTCTGTCTTACCTTGCTTTTTCTTTCGTCCTTCGACTAGCAGTTGCAGGGATTTACTATGTTCAGTTTCTTTTTGTTTCGATGCATTGATCTGTTTCCGGCGATTGGCCGATGATGCATAATCATCATCGTCGTCTTCGGCGTAAATGTTATCATCGTACAATGTGGATTTTCGCGTAGAAGTTTTGTTCGCTTTTTCATTATCACTGTCATCGTCATGATCATCAATTTCACCTTCTTCTTCACTCTTTATTCCCGATTCTTCAGCTTTTGATTTCAACCGCTTGTTAATTTCCTCACTGAATGGAAAAACGAGTTCAGCTGCATTTATTAGTGACATCGATTGAAGACAATACGTACCGACGTTTGATTATTTCTCGTTGTTCATGTCTTTTTAATAATTCGGCTTCACGCTCACGTTCGGATAAAGTCTTTAGCCAAGCTCGATCATTTGCATCGCCACGATAGTTTTCATCATAACCATCAGCAAAAATGTCTTCACAAAGATGAAATTAATCACAACGTAATTTGGAAAGAAAATGTCGTTTTATTTACGTTTTGGACGTGAAGGGTCGGAATCGGAGTCGGAATCACTGTTTCCACTTGTTGTTCGCTGTCGTTTACGTGTATCGGATTTGCTCATTGTCTACAATTAGAATATCAGCATGAGAAAACACCAAACAATCGATCTACCCTTCTGCCCCCTTGTTATTCTTTCTCAACTTTTCTATTCAACTTAACTGTATCAAAATCCGCCAATCAGATTATTCGTGATAGATGACGCTATGCACACATCGCTCTCTAAAAACATTGAACATGATGATTATGATTGTCATATCTATTCAAATCAAAAATATCTCCTCTAGATCAGATAATCTATTAATAGCATATAATTACATGTGAAATACTCTTGTATATTTAGTTAAATAAACCTGATCAAGTAGATCATTGTTATGGTGAAAGGTTACAATAGATAATGACATGACATATTCTCATTTCAGAAACATTATACCATTGACCTCGACCATCTTTGTCACGTTCTTGTCACCTTGGCCGTTGCATAGTCGAACGTTACAGAAAAGAGAACAATACATCATTGTTCTATCATTAAATAGATGGGTACGTTAACTGTCCTCTTTTTCTTTTCTTGAAGAGAGAATTGATGTAAAAGTTATTGTAAGCGAACCAACTGCCCAAAATTAAAGATGGACTGAAAAAAAACAGTTCTTTTTTTCTAATGATTTTGCATTACGTGGTGCCACTCTTTCAATTAATTGATTTTGTTTTCGTAATCAAGATGAAAAAGTGCAATAAGATTACTGATTGATCGCAACGTTTACTATATATTCATTGAACGAACATAATCAATCAAGCAAATCTTTTAGAATAAAACCTGCAATTTCCATCGGATATGATCATTTCTTTTTGGGTTCAGTTTATTGATTTCGATTGAATATCTTTAGTAGAGACACACACACACACAACATAGAGTATGTTTTTCATCCTCCAACATCAATAATTGAGCAACGGAAAAGGAAAAAAAAGACGAAAATCCACACTTAACATTTCTATGCTAACAAAAACGAAAGAAAAAGAAAAAGAAAACAAATCATCGCGACTAATCTATATACACACACACACACACACACACACGAACAAATGATGAAATAGAAAATATTTATGAGAAAATAAGCCAAATGAATAATAAACACATCAAAGCAGTATACACATCAAATTTCGCTTAATTAATATTCACAACACAAATACAAGAAAACCATATGAATGTGTATATTCGAAATCATTTTTAATGTTTGACAACTGCATTTGTACGTTTAACAAACATACGACGATCATGATGGGCCCAGACCGTTCTATTCACGAAAACAAAAGAATCGTAAATTTTCGAATATATCTCAATTAGTTCTTACCGATAGAGAAGAGCAGCAACGACGGCTCCAGCAAGAGGACCAATCCAATAAACATAATGTTCATTCCATACGTTGGCAAAGATAGCTGGACCAAGTGAGCGAGCCGGATTGAGTGAACCACCGGTGTAAGCTCCACTGAAAATAGTCCGAATGTGCATTTCTCTCATTTACAGCACGTCACTTCAACTTACACAGCGAGAATGTTAACACCTAAAGTGAATCCGATGAGAACAGGTGCTAAACCAGTTTTTGATTTCGAATCAAGAGCGACCATAATAATGACTGTGACAAGTACAAATGTAACAATAGCTTCAATTAAAATTCCCTTCAAACCAATGAAATCAATCAATGTCAAGTTTTTTTTTTATTATCGTTCACTTACTTGCCACCAGGTGACTTGATCGGCCATATAATAGACAACGCGATTGTCAACTGTGCGGTTCACTGCAGCATATGTTGTTAGAACTGTTGCACCACCTTTGCATCCAACATAAGGATGACTTGCAAGTAATAAACGTAAGAGACCACCAGCAGCAATGCCTAATGAAGTCATTTGTATTTTTTTTTTGTGAAAATCAAATTTCTTTTGAAAGAAAAACGAGTAATGCCTACCTCCTAAAAGTTGCATGACAACATAAAGTATCGCCATAACAGGTTGGATTTCTCCGGCAATTAAAAGTCCGATTGTAACAGATGGATTGAAATGAACACCTGATATATGACCAAAACTACCGGATAGGACCATCAAAGCAAGACCAAACGATAATGCAGCTGCGATAACACCACCATTTGAACAAGCGCCCCATAAGCCAATAAGAACAAATAAAGCAGTACCAATCTATCAGTGATCGTAATAAAAAAAAGGAAAATGATTTGCAACGGTTCTGTTTGTTTTTGGCTCAAAGTATTTTCTACATACGAGTTCAATCAGTAATGGCCGAATAACTTGAATAAACTTATTATTGTCTTCCACAGGAATATTAGGATCGGCAATTCTAAACGAAAAGTTGTTATTTTCTCTGCTCGTATTTTTTATTCGAATGGACAAAAAAGAGTAGAAGGTATTTTTCTGGAGGATACTTACTTTTTAACTACGGTGATAGTCGTACTTTCAGTAACTACCGGCGTTGGCGCGACCGGATTTGAGTGAATGACCTCGTCGGTCGAAGTTAGCATTGGAAGGCGTTCACTTTGTTGAACTTCGGCGCTCGACATGTTATTATTATTTTTTCAGATAGGAGGAAACGGAGTGAGTATGTATGTATGTGTCTGTGTGTGTGTGTGCGTGTGTCCGCTTTGCGGTCGATACTGAACTAGTAAAGAGAAAGAAGGGAAAAAAATCGACGAACGACTGGAGATATTTTTGGAAAAGAGAGAGAAGAGAAAGAGACAGAGAGAGAAAGAGGAAAAAACTGAACCAGACAGAGAGAATAATTAAGAAACATGTAAAAAAAGGCGAAAAGGAGAGAAATGAGAAACAGTAGAGGTGAACGCGGTTAGGACGACACTCCAATCAGGAATTAGTGCGGTGAGACTCATTTCAACAGGTTTTCTTTTCTCTTTCTTTTTTTTTCCACAAGTAAGAACTTCCGCCTCAATTCTCTCGTTTATTCATACGTCGGTCAAGATGATGACGATGAAAAAAAAAAGTTTAATATGTTGAATATAAGCTGCAAAAAAAACGCGAAGAAGAGAAAGAAAAGGGGAAAAGACAAAAAAGTAACTATGACAATTGGTTAGAAGAAGTATTCGACTTCCTGTTAAAAATTCGCATGATGAACTATGATTATTGTCAAAAAAAAAGAAGAAGAAGAAGAATATGTTTGGCGTTAAGCCAACACGGCAAACAATATGTAAATGAAGCGAGAATTTAGCATAAATGAAACATCTGCGATGTAATTATCATTGAAATCTCAATGAAATGAATAAACATTTAGGCACAGCATCAATCGATCGTCTAACTGAGCTGAATAATCATCGATCTCATTTTGTCTTCAAAGTGTTTCTTCTTCTTTTGAACACATCAAGAGATACATTATTCTTTTCTTAGACAAACGGAGGTCATCACATGCAGACAAATATTGACATGGGATGTGTGTTATTGTTGCCGATCGACTACTATCATGAATTGAACATGACCGATGGCATTATCTGTTTTAATTGGCAAAAGAGCAGAAGAAAACAAAATTGATTTGTTTTCTCGTTCGTTGTGGCTTTTTGTTCTTATGTTCAACTCGATCAAAACCTACTCGATGATCGATGAGATGAATAAGTAATTACTCTTCTTGTTACATTGATCGTAAGTCTAATGATCATGTCTCGATTAATTTATCTTTTATTGAAAAATTTAGTCACGTCAAATAGGCTTACTTGATAATATTTGTTTTTTTAATAAATGCGATTTCATCAGGCGATCTGAGAAATATTTCCGTTTGTTCGCTTGTTTGGGATGCCATGGGCCGATTAATATCAATTAGAGTCTTAATGATCTAGAAAGGAGAAATCGTTCATGAAAGATATCTCATCGATCAGAAGGAAGAAAACAGTTCGACTTTTCGTTTCGTTAGCACATCAGAGAGACGCTAACGTTCGACTCGATCGAGGAAATGATTTGATGTGAAAAGAAAACAGATGGAGTAAAGATAAGGATGAGTGGAAACAATTGTTTTCTTTCTTTTCAGTAAGAAAACAAAATCATCGAAATGTATCGAAATTATCATCATCTGTATCGTTGTCAGGAAGTTCAAACTGACACTTGTCATTTGTTCAATGGCTGCTGATGGAACAATTTGATTGAAATCATGTCTGAACGTTCTTTTAGATAAGCTCTAGGGCGAAATTAAGCACGGAGAAAAGGCAATACTCACAATGAGATGGTGAAATGGCTGCTACTTGTATCTGTTGAGAGGTTAAAGAGAAAAAGACGAACAGATGGCTTTGATGAAAGACAAACGAATGTATGAATGAACGATTCAGTAGTGATGATTAAGGAGAATGATAGGAGAAATCAGATCCATCTATCTGATTTTATTCAACACTGCATAAAACAGACTATCATCACCAGCGTCGTCCAACACGCTCGATCGAGGTATCCGTCCACATGTCTATATTTGTTAGTCAAGATTCGAGCAGACGTGTTTTTCTTTTTTTCTTCGATCCAGATACAAATGAACACTATCCTGTTAAACATGAAAAGCTGTAGATGTACATCGAAAGATGATCGTTAAATAAATACATTTATATTTGAAAAAGTTAGCCTTGTTGACCTTCCGTTCGGGTTCGAAGTTTAGATAAAAGACAAATAATAGACATGAACGATGTGTACACATTGTCGACGAAGATTAATGCAATGAATACCTAGATACTGATTTCCATTCGGTTAGTAATTATTTATTTATTGCCGAAGTCTATTTCTTGCATGGTTATCAATAATTAAACAAAAATAAGTGAAATAAATAATTTATAAATGAAAGTAAAGGTAAGTTACACTTGATAGAACATGTACAAAGAGAAAAGGAGTGAATATTTCTCTTCCTGTCGCTTCATCTTGACGGACATCTATTTGACATCAGCATGCTTATGATTGGAGTGTTTTTTGCTAAGATTATCCCTCTTGTGCCATTTGTTTGATATGATTACCGGCATTGGAGAAAGAAGAAGAAGTTCAATACTATTCAATTGAAATATGATCAAATCGGGTTAAATTTCAGAATGATATGAAAGACTACTTTTTTCTGATCTGAGAAAACAATGAATCGTGTTCATCAGCTAGATGAAACAAAGTTAATCAGAAAGCCTTATCTGATACAAATCGACTGATCAATACAACAACAAAAAAAGTCGTTTAAGGAACGGAAATGAGGGATTAGAATCGGAGGTAAGAACAACGACGTTCTTTGAACATTAATGATATCCGACAATAAATAGCAATATGCATTCGCTTTGGAAAGTTTTTTAATAATTTTTACTTCAAAAAAGATTTATTCTGTGAAGCAAAACAGGAACTACTTATGAGGTACACTGACTGATTTCAGGTTGATAACTAAAAACTTCGTTATTGTCATAGTCAGCAACAGAGAAAAAAAACTGGTCACCGAAGACGATTCCATTTAAGCCGATACTAAGGGACCAATTATACAAGCATTTTGTTCCAAATCTATCAAAGATTCGAATTCCAAAGTTTTCAACTGAAGTCCATAATCGACCACATGCATCCATTATTACTTGGAAATTACCCTCTCCTATATCACTAGTCGTCGCTGGTAAACTTCCCCATGTCCAGTTATTGTCTGTGCTATCGTAGGTCAATGTGTAAATCGGTCGATTAGTAGTAAGAGTTGTTATATACAGCAAGGAATCATTCACTCGATAGATCTTATTGGGTGCTTCCGGTGCTGACAATGAAAATGCCAACGTATATGATGTTGGAGAAATGACGTTGTAGAAGGAAATGAGTTGCAATGTTTGAATGCTGACGACCATGATAGAACCATTGCGAATGAAAACATAATCTCGCGGATCTCTGGCAATGCCAACAGTCGCCGTGTTTGCAAGTGTATCCATCGAGTAAATCGCGAGGTCTGACGTATGACTTATACCTTTAGCTAGAATAGACAATATCATGAATTTGTTGGGCGTAGATCATAAAGATTTACTTAAAAAATATTGTCTATTGTAGTAACTTAATGCCTCCGTAAAAACACCGACTGATATCGTCGAGTTTAATAACATGGTCGATCGACTGTATCGATTTACTGTATAAGAATTATAGAGAACTACTAAATAATTAAAATCATCAATAATTAAGTGAGAAGGATGCTTTAACGTCAGCGTTGTTGTTGATGAATTGACTATACGACTCATAAGCCACGGGAGATTTGAACAACACGGTGCTTGGTCTCTCGGCGGCAATGGCGAAAGGAGAATAATCGTCGAATCATTTCGATATTCCATTGTATATGTGTAAGGTAATGCAAAAAATAATTGACATGAACCATTTGAATAACTGTTGAACAGAAGAACATTAGTGTATTGCAGTAGAGCTGTGCATAAGCACTGTTCCACTGTAAGTTGATTAGAAATCCATGTTGTTCCAGTATTTAATTGATCGATGCTGGTAAATCGAGCTGTACTAACCTTGCCAATCGTAGGATCACTGTGCACGGTAAATAAAAACGAATGGACGATGAAATAAACGAAAGTACTTGATGATTGCAAGCCTCGAAATAGATCCACCATATTGTGATTACTTCTAGCTATGAGAGAATGTTTTTTGAAAAGAAATTGTGAAGAATTAAATAGAGCTATATATCTGTGAGTGTGCTGTGCGACTAATATTAGCCAATTTAAAAAAAGCACAAAACACTCTTCATTTATTGTCAGAAACTTACTCGGTACTAGAAAGGAAAATTTCAACATCTCGTTTTTATACATGTCTCACCGTTGAAAGTTGAAGACTTTCGAAGAAATTCATAGTGCCTGAAGAACTTCAAAATTTACTTTTTGCTCAAACTCTTGTCTAAAGTAGTCAGGTGAGCAATCGAGTATAAGTGAAACATATGACTATCTCACCAGGTACACACTTACTTCTATTTATTATCTCTTAAATTTGATTGTTTATAATGAACATAATACTCTTTATTGAATAAATAAATACTTTCAAATGAAGAAGAGTCTGACCAAAACATCTTAAGTCTTATATAGAAAATTCTCGAATTGAAAGATGCCATTGTGTAGCTTTGTCGCAGGATGTGCTCTGATTTCACTTACAAAGTGATTATTGGTTGAGATATGTTGTTGGAGAAAATGTAGTCAAAACTTTCGCTCCTTCTTTATCTTTAGATTGAAATTCGAAGAAGAAGCTGTCTTTTGAAGTTGTCAAAAAAGATCCTAGAGAGTTTTTGTATTTTCTACAAAATTCAAAGATCCAGGAAACCTGACAAAACCTGTAGAATTTTCTTCGCATTTTCATGATGTACCTCGATGGTAGATGAACTTACCTCTCAATAGCTATTCTAGAGTTAGTGCATAGTTCAAGAGTCTTATCATTGCTGTTGAATCCTTTGTAAAGCTTCAGAGCTGAATAAAACTGATTCCGTTAAAAGTGTCTTTTTCTATAATTTTGATCTATCACTGTACAACAAGCAAAGAAATCAGTTGCAATCTGTTTTGTTAGTCATAACGGACATGTAGTACGACGAATATATAGAATATTAGCTCAAAATAATTAGAATGATAACTTCAAGATTCTCTCTTGTCAGTTCAGATTGTACTCTATTATCTTTGAGAAGAATAATCTTTGTCCGAGTATGACTGAAATATGGAAGAGGTATAAAGTACTTTGCAGAGGGTCATTGTTGTCACGTAAAATCGAATGAAACACTATCCAATACATAGGTTTTTCTCACTGAGCGTCTAAAAATAGTCTAAAGTTTACTTGCTAAAACACGAGTAAACTATTACAATTGCTTTCGACATCGTACTTTAAATGATAATGATTTTAAACAATGACAATAATACTCCACTTCAACATCCATCGTTGAAAACTGATATACGGATGAATATTTCTACTATACACTGAAAATCTTATTAATATTTGAAAGTTATCTTGAGCGACATCTAATTTTAAAAACCTCTCTATTGGATACTAAAATCAACTGGTGCAGAAAAATGAACATAATCATTATTCTCTTTATTATTCTTCTTTTAAGTACATGGCAACTGCAAGAGATACAATGACTACCGATGATACAGCTGCTGGCACTAATAATAACAACAACAATAATTATTCGGCTAGTAGTAAGTTGTTTGATATCGAATGACAAGATTTGAAAGCAGAATTTTCCTTTGTTTAGATCTAGATATTGACCAGCAAACACAACAGCAACAAGTTGATATAGAAAAAGAAGTAAAGTATCATTTGAAAAATTTTGGTTCACTTCGATTGAGTTGTCTATAAGATTGCTGAACATCAACCGTTAATCGGTGAAAAGATTGAAACAAGCGAATTGAAAAAGGAATATCTCTCCGAAGATAAGATTTATCAAGATAAAATCTCGGTATGTTAAAACACATATAAAGTTGGTTTTAATCGTCTTCTTCAAGGAATTAATTAAAAGATATAAATACATTCGTCGTACACGTGGTGATGGAAACTGTTTCTATCGTGCATTTGGCTTTGGTTATCTCGAAGAGAATCTCAATAAATGCAAAGAACTGGACAAATTCCGTCAATTGACCTATGATTTAAAAGATAAGCTTGTTCAATTAGGTTATCTAGATTTCACGGTTGAAGATGTCAGGGATGTCGTAAGTTTTGTTATCAGTTAATTCGAAACAGAAGGAAGTCATTGATCGTGCTAGGTTCTTGAAATAATCGATGGTGCACGAAAAGATGGAAATGAAATCGGTTTGATGGAAAGTTTCTGTTCATCATCCCGTTCCGATTATTTTGTTGCATATTTACGGTAAGCAAGTCAGACAAATTTGTATGAGAAAGACTGTTTTTTTCTTCCCGTAGTTTATTTACATCGGCTTATTTACAAATGAATTCGGATTTTTTCGAAAATTTCATCGAAGATGGAAAAACTGTGAAACAATTCTGCAGCACTGTATGCCTACTTTTCCATAAACTTCATTGAATTGACTGACTTTTTCGCTGAAGGAAGTCGAGCCTATGGGCCGTGAGTCCGATAACATTCATATCACTGCTTTAGCTAAAGCAGCAGCGGTTCCGTTACGTGTGATCTATATGGATCGAAGTGAACAATCTTCATTAACAACCCATGATTTTGCCGCCAATGATGATGAGAATCCACATACGTTCAAACCGATGATTACAATGCTTTATCGACCTGGTCATTATGATTTACTCTATGAACATTGATTGAACTAGAGAGATGATTTGTTCTTTTTTATGCAAATTTTAGCCGTCATAAGTTCCGAAAAAAAGAAAAATATTTCGAAAAGAAACTTCAAATTTCAACCTTCATACATGCGACGAATTTCGCTAATTGTATCTAGTACATGTCAGGTATTCGTATGCGCAGAAACGGCAGAAAAAGAAATGTAACGTTGTAGAGATGTACAAAGAAATGCAGTGATGCATGACGATGAGTTTGGTGGAGTAAGAAAGAAAGAGCATTGCACTTTTTTTGCGCCTCGTTTTTATACGTTCGAGAGAGAAAAATAAACTTGATACAAGTCACAGTCGTCCATACAGACCTGCCGAATAAATGATCAGAATGAAGAGAGAGAAAAAAAAAATCTTTGTTTTGATTTTTCGATGAAAAGCAATGGCGAAGTGAAAAAAACCTTAATGAAGGACACGCTCGTTGATATCAATTCAATTGAAAAGAAGAGTGACGCTTTAGTTTCATTTCTTGCAGGTAGACTCGTTTCATTACATCGTATTCATATCAATAATTTATATTCATTGGCTTATTGTACAAAAAATCATGACTGAATTACGTGCAGCGATAATCATAGCGCTGATCACAGCACTAATAATCAGTGTTGGCGGTGAACAAGACCATCGCGTACATGCTCGACATGCTCATGGTGGCCATCATCGTGATCCTGATCATCCAAGACCATGTACAAACGATCCAACGAACACTTTCCTTCCTCTTTGTCAAACTTCTACAACTCAAACTAGCACTGAAACTGAGACTCCCGACAGCTCAGAAGAAATAGTTGCATCAACAAGTACTGATACAAGTGATACAACGACAACATCAGACCCAACACCACTTGAACATGCTCACTGGTGTCGTCTTAGCAATGGTACCTATCTTCCATACGGCTACACATTCATGAATAGTATTTGCACCATGTGCAAATGTCTGTCATCACGTGCAGTCCGTTGTGAACCACTTCAATGTCTACCAACATATTGCGTTGACAACACGATGCCGTATCGCAAAGATGGTCAATGCTGTGCTCAATGCAGCTATGAAGTTGCACGAAATTCATGTCTTTACGATGGTTTTACTTACCCGCATGGTTAGTTTGAGTCGATAAAGTTTTCAAGTGATTTTCGCTTTTATTTCGTAGGCGTCGTAATCAAAAGCGTTGAGAGAAAAATGCAATGCTGGTGTCAATTAGGCAACATCGAGTGTCGTACTTTCATTGGTTCACTTAGCGACAGCTTGGATTTGTTAAGCGATGAACGAGTTATCTATATCATTGTCATGGTTTTAGCCATTGTCTTAATTTTCGGCCTTTTGGTTTGTATCAGTTGCACAGCTTTCATCTATTATTACTACCAACGTTATCAACATACGTTTCAAGAAGCATACAATCAGTATATGAATTCAGCTGGCTGGCAACCAATGAACGAAGAGGAACCAACCGAAGGTGAAGTCATTGATGACGAGAAAAAGTTCGAAGCTGAACAAGGATACTTTACACCGACCTTTGGTCAAGATATGGTCCCACCACCATATGCTGCTCACAGTGATTCACCTGTTTATAAAGAAAAAACACAAGAAATGTAATAATCATTAAGCAAAACTACAAAAACGTTACGAAACTTTGAAAACAAGACTATCAAAATATGAGAAACTATTTTTCTGCGTTGTTTCTTTTTTCTTCTTTTCTTCTTTCAATTACTCAACCAAGCATTCAACACGCTGTGATAATGTACTTAGTTAGCGATCTCTCTTCTCTCCATTCCCACATATCCTTAACTTAAGTGAACAAAGTATAAGAAACTTATTTCTCCCAATCTATATTTTCATACTCACGTCTATTCCGGAATAAAAACTTCAAGAGCTTCATAGTTACTTATTTCAAATTGAAGCAAAAAATCGGAATGAGTAAATAAAGTTAATTTACTTTTGCAGACGCGGCATCTGTTGTCATTTCAAATTTAGGTTTGTCAAAGAGGTAGCTGCAAAACATCAACATGCATCGATGGTGATGTTAAATCTTCATTAGACTATGTCACGTTTACGCAATACATCTCGTTTGTCAACACAAACATCAACAACAATCAATTTAACTTCTCAGTAAAACTCGAATGCTTTTTCTCTTCTGTCAAAAACTTACTTTCTCTCACGTCTTTCTGATTTATTCAGCACATTAACTAACGAATTGCATGAAAGAAAAACAAAGGCACTTGAAGGTGGTTTAAATAAGTTAAAAGTGACAGTACTTTGTGATCAAGCAAAAGCGCTGTATGTTTAATACTTTCAACTTATTATATACCTCCTGTTCATGTTTGTTAAAAGTTCTGAAACGAGTCGAACTCATTTTAATAAAGGATCCGCACAATATTCGACCGATGAATCCCATGATAAACCTTCAGGTACACTTTAAACGAACGAACAACTTTTTGGATGAAATTCTCGTCTGTTTCAGGACGTTCTGTTGAAACGAAAGTATTCACAATTCATACGAGCAGTAATTGTGGTCAATGCGAGAAAGAGAAAGCATCAGTGGTAAAGCCAGGGAAACTCAGTCAAGCAACTGGTTTGTTTTCTTTTTCAGAAATGCCTTGAATGCGGTGAGCATTACTGTACTCCATGTTTCGAGCAATTTCATACTCGAGGTGCTTTACAACGTCATCATTATGTTTCACTAACTGAAGAGCCAACATCGCCAAGGAAAACACAATCGCGCCATAATGATGCTAGTCCTCCATTATCATCTTACCGACAGGAAAACAACGATACAGAAAGACGATATGTCATAACAGTCAATAAAAACACTCCTTCGTCATCTCGGCAAGCGTTTACAACTAGTAACAATCCTAATAGAGCACGAAGAACGTCGTCTAAACAGGAAGTTATTACTTCGATTCATGCTCCGAGTGTAGATCAAGAGAAACCGTCCTCGAGATTACCGACAATCGATATGAATACAATAAAAACGACTTCGAATGAAAAATCTTTTACGAAAACATTTCGTTTAGTCGATCAAAATACTCAAGCAGTTTACGTTGACCGACCGAAAAGATCCAATGTCATCCAACAGCAGCAGCAGCAACAGCCAGTAAAAATCCCTACGAAATCTCATTCAAGAACTTCGATACCTGGTCGATCTAATAGTGAAGTAAGTAATGCTGTTGTTTTGATCGATGATCTATTCGTGTATTTATAGCATTTGAATAGACATACTACGGAAGTACGAACTGCTCAAAGGTAATACTCAATAAATGATGAGCAGAGCAGAAATTGTCAATTATATAAATTCTCTTGCGTTTTCAGAACATACGGTACAATGAATGGAAAGCCTCGAAACAATTCGAAGAGCACGCAATCTCAATCAAGTGGAATTAATCAACGATTAACAAAATCTTGTTCTCGTTCGCCTAGTTTATTACTAAAACAAGATTCAACTTCTTCACAACTGAATTTGAAACATTCTCTTTCACCCAGAAAATCTGATGATAAACAACAATTACCAAACAACTCTCCACCACTGCTTCGTCATCAACGTACGTATATTCAAGATATTCTCTGAGTGATATAATTAATCATTCGTTTTTGCTTCGTTTCAGCGATGTCGACTGTCTCTGATTCAGTGCGAACGCCAGATATTCAATCGAATGTCATCGATGAATATTCCATCGCTCGATTCAATTCAGTTCTTGATGATATTGTTGATAAAACCAAATTAGAATTAGCAAATCGAATGAATCGCCTATCGGAATCAGTTCTTTCTGTGAAATCAGACAAAGAACACTCTTTCACACGTCTCATTCCGATGGACCCGATAGTAAAACCAACGAAGCGCGATTCTCCGTTTAGTTTTTCAAACTCCTTAAAAAATACCAATCGAATTCATTCGGCATCTTCGAGAAATGCTGGCGATGATGCATTTTTCACTGATGTTCTACCTCAACAAGTGATTCCATCACCAAGCCATCCACCATTGATTCTCGAATGTTCGTCATCAAACAAATGGCATGAGGAAGAAACAAGGATTTTATCAGCCAGCAGTTCAAACCATTCGATTCTTCTCGATGAAACACCTCAACAGTCAACCTCTCAGCTGGATAATCAAGGGCAACAAAACTCATCCGCATTATCCACTTCACTTCATATTGCATTAGCATCATTGGAAACTGATCTGCTCAATCCAAATATGGAACCATTGGCAACATCGTCAAGAATAAACTCTTCCGTATCACATAAATCTCCTCCACTAGCAGCGCCAACAAGAAAGTCTTCCATATCAGCTTTAAGAGACCCTTCGCCTCTACCAGTCGCTCGAAATTCTTCCTCTTCGAAATCCACTTCGAAAAGTTCATCTCCGTCACCATCAACACCAAAATCAAATAGATCTGTATCATCGAAAAGCCTTCCATCTTCTGAACCAGTTATCGAGCGATTTCCTTCATCAACAACGATTTCTGCGAACGAGCAAAGAACGCTATCATCTAATAAAATCCATGAAAACGCCTCGAAACCAACGAATTCTTCCAATGTACCGATCTCTTCAACCGTAGTTCGAAATGAAAAACACGTTGTACAGAATTTACCGCCGAAGAAAACTCTTCCGCACCCTCCTCGACAGATCACCGCCAGTGACGATTCATCAAAATACCGAAAACTCGAATTTTCTCTACACACAGGTGTAAAGTGGGAAGAAGCATCCATCGAGTGAGTGTACAGTACAATTGCGCTCAAATCCAATTTCTATTGCACATGCATCCGCACAAGAAACATTTCTGTTTACTTTCGTTAACAAGAAGAGTATGCAAATGAGTTGCCTCTATTGTTAAATCTGCATAATGTAGTCTGTGATAGAAACGTCGTCTCTGTTGAGAATGTCTCAGTCTATAAATAGAAATCGACTTTGCCATCTATTTCTCATTTAGATCAATGTCTTCCACAAGAACAGTGTCTTCGTTTCAATCTTCACTGATTCCTATCCCACATACGCGTAATTTACTCGAATGAATTCAGTGTAGTGGACCGATCGTTTTTCTGTTCTTTAGAATTTGCAGAAGATACGAGTATTTCTGAAAATGAAGAATATTCTAGTCCATTTCCATCAAATATAAAAGTAAACATGCAGAATTCGGATCGTCAAACAATTCTCAATGAGAAAAATACGAACGTTCGTGGGAATACTCAACTAATATCGAACAAAAATGATCTAAATGCCTTTCAAACTCAGTTACCGTAAGAATATTTTTCGAATGCAAAATATGGACTGTATTTATTCATTCATTCATTCCAGAGAGAGTGAAAATCTTGATCCGGTGAATGGCAGTGATAATGAATCATCCATTTATGAATGAAATGGAATATATATTATAAATTCTCTTCCTTTGTGCTTTTATTTTTTATTTTTTAATAAATAAATCGAACTGTTCTCTTCTGACATGCAAGTGCTTATTCTTTCACTTTCAATTGTCTATCTACAAGCAATTTCGATGACGGAGAAAGGAAACCATTTAAATGATATTTTATTAATTTTCTTTTTCTTCATCCTTTCAAAACTAATTATATAAAACTATTCCATATTATTTATTTTTTGTTACTTCTATCAATGTCTTCGCGTGGTGCAACACCCGGTTCGTTTCATCGAACTGGAACACAAAACTCTATCCAGCATCAACATTTAACGCTGTCACTGCGAACGAAACGACGTCCGTCAGTTCACCACGAATACGTAAGATCGATTTTTATCGAACAGATGTTCAACGTTTCGCTCAATGGTTGTTTTAGTATCATAAAAGATTGTGGAAATTTCTTCGACTCGTTCGTTATGCAATTCGTGTCTGTTTAATCATTCGAAAATATGCCATTGATTCCTTACGTGAACAGAAAGAAGAGTTGTGTGATAATACGGAGATACTTTTCGATTTAAGTAAATTTCGGCGACCGGTTGAAGTAAGAGAGTTGAAAGCGATGTGAAATTGAAGTCGATGAAGTGTTTAGGAAACAATTGGAAGAAATATTCGAAAGATTCTAAAATCCGATCCAGCAACAAGAACGGAAGAAGATATTCGTTTGGCTGTCGTCGGTCTCGGACAAACGATTTCGTCGTTTACAGGTTTATCTCTCATCTTTAGGGAAAAAAAAAGTAACAAGTTTATCTTTTGTAGAATTCCCACTGCAACGTCAATATGCATTAGCACGTATTGGTGTTTTAGAAGAATTTGAAAGAGGTCGTGTTATTCTCCGGGAAGGACATCGTGCTAAAAATTTCTACCTGATTGTCGATGGTGTCAGTACGTTGAATGTGTTGAAAAAAGAAGATTTCATTCGATTGTGAGTTTTTATCCTAGCCGATGTTTATAAATTACGAGAAAATCCATTGACTCATACGGTCAGTTCAAGACTTGTTGCTGCACTTAAAAAAGGCAGTTCGTTCGGTGTAAGATCCACTTGAATCATCAAACTATCAGTAATTCGTTTGCTTATCATACAGGAAGTCGCACTTATCAATGATCAACGACGAACAGCTACAGTCAGTTGTCATACAGATGTGACAATGCTAGCCATTGAACAAGAAGATTTCATAAAAATATTCATGGCACATGATACAGAGACAGAACCTGATTTTATCACATTTCTAAGGCAAATTCCTCAGGTACGATATTGATCTGTACTTCTATGTTAAGACGTTTCATATTTCGTAGTTTCGTGGATTTCCTATAGACAAAATTCCTCACAATAATCCTAACATCTGTCAAGTTGTCTACTATCGGTAAATACATTCTCAAAAGTTCATTCAAAATTCGGCATGTCTTTTCAGAGCCGGAACATTAATGTGCAAAGATTCGAACGAAGACGAATGGATTTATATTGTTCGCACGGGCTCCTGTCGAGTCATCAAAGCGCTGACACAAGTGACACCAAAATTGAAAACTTTGAAAAAGCCACGTATAATTTATGACAACTTCGGCTCACAACGTGTTTCAGAATACAGTATGAAAGCATTGGGCGCATTTAACAAAGTAATTTGTACGGAACATATCAACAGAATTTCGATCAGTCAATTTTTAGCCTAAAACACCTGTTGCGACAGCCAGATGTTATACAGAAATTGAACAAATTCGCGAAAAGAGTGTATTTGTAAGTAAATTTATGATCTACATTTTCTCTTGATTCGTTTGACTTCGAAGGGTTTGGTCAGTGTTGTTTTCGGTCAACTCAAAAACGCGCTCAGTGTTACATTAGTCTCCGATGGAGCCGAATGTATTCGCATACTTAAAAGTTTCTTTATTAAAATGACGCCGGAAAGTTTATTTGACCGATTGCGACGAGAAGTAAAAATCCATCCCTCTACTTTCTTCTCTAAACGACGCTTTTCCATAGGTTCGACCCTATGTCACTGACGAAGAATTACAAAAAAAATTACAACGTGAGGTCGACTGGACGGCATACAAGAACTTATTAGTAAAAAAAAATCTACAATCGAAATGCAAAGAATAATCAGGCCACTGTACTCAATTATTGATTTAAGATTTTTATTTGACTGTCTGACTGGAATATAAACACAGAAGAGAACTAAAATATGAATTTTATAGAAATCACGCAAAACTAATTGAGTTAATCTCGATCATTTAGCAGCACTTCAAGTTCATACAGTACACCCTTCGGGATTCAATTCAAATTTGTTATAGTCCGATGCATAAAATAACAAGCTATGTTATGCAACTTCTACGTGCAACTGTACGTAACCACACTGTTGTATAGTGTCATCTGTCGGAGAAACAGATACTATGTTCTTGTTGATTAAAATGAAAACCTAAAGAAATTATTTCGAGAAGAATTGTAATTGAAAATCGAAAATTCGTATTAGTGATTAGTTATTGAACAATACATGGACTTATGTTCTTAAGACTTAACTATGCAACTTCTTTCTCTCTTTCTTCTGTACGCTTTTTTTCTTTCTTTGCTCTTTTTCTCTCATATAACTTTCCGTTGTTCTCCATCGTCTATCTTGTTTGCTTTGACCGAATAAGAAAGCAGAGCAAGTCTCTTTATTTTCTTCATGTGACAAACTGTTTTTCACTCTTTCAATTCTGACAACTATTTCTCTGCTAAACATTTTCTAGTGCAAATAACAAAATAATATTTTTCCCACTTCAATATGTAAGTCTATCTGATTTTCATGTTTATTTAATTAACTGACAAAGAAAAACGAAGAGAATTCTGTATCATGATTCGATTTGATCAGCAACTCAATAACGGATACATATTTCTCTCCTTTTTCTCTTTCTCCCTCCCTTCTCGTACTCTCGATTAGGATAAAAGACGAACAGAGATTGTCTCTATACACACAAAAAAAGAAACATCAATAACAACAGTATTGATTCTTTTTTTGTGTATGTGTTATTTATTCTAACAAACGCCAATAGCAGCTCGCTGTTTTTCACCGCTAATTGAATTTTCTGTTTTGTTTTGTTAACATTCAGACACAGAAATCCTTTCTCTCTCGCGTTTTTTTTCGGACTACGTGCATAAGCACGTATGTTTATGCATATTTTTTCTCTTCACATTAAGTGAGAGAAGAGAGACTACCAACGTTTGCGTGCACTCACACTTGCTCCATCAGTTCAAGTATCAGTCCGGTAAGTTGAACCCTTACTGCGGTTAGCTTTTTCTTTCTTCGCTCGCTCGCCCATTCATTTGATAGACGAGTAAAATGAACGATATGTATTCAGAGAACGGAGAACAAATTTTTTCTCTCATACGATTTGCTTTTCATTACTAGATCATTGTGACATTTATTCCTCACGTTTATCAGGAAAATTCGATTGAATTAAAGCAATGATGATGACTATGGATCAATCGTCTGGTATGTTCAACGAAGTAGAACTCTTGATGAGTACATCGAAGAAATATTTCTAGGCTTTGGTAATGCATTGATTTATCCTGATATTGACTGGAGTGTATTCGAAAACGCTGGTAAGACGGACGGATGATTATCGAGAGAAATTCTTCGAGTTTTGTTTGATTTTTAGATCGATATTTACTACGCGATGATAGTGCTTGGATAACACGTTTGAGCCAAGATTTCTGGTGGAATCTTGAACGTATTTCCGAATTATCGAACAAGCCACTCCATCTAGTCGAGCAGCTCAATTCAATGAAAATATCTTCTCAACAACAACAACAGCAACAACAAATTCCTTCGTCATCATCAATGCAATCGAATGGTAACCCAACACGGAAAATAGTCGGCCAACGTTCGCCAATCACTCGACCAAATCCGAATAACATTCCAGACAAAGCGCATTTCTCATCAATCTACGATCAAGATATCGAATATAATCCATTTCAATCGAAGATCACGTTTGATAATAATATCTGGACAAATTATTCTCAACAAGCAATCCCATGGCAATAAAAGAAATCAAGTCAGTCAATCATATCCCATCCTGTCTTTTTCTCTTTTCGTTTCCTTAAACAAAACAAAGATTACATCCTGTTTTCACTCTTCTGTGATTGATTCTTCGCTCTAATAGTAGTTAGCCATGAATGTTTGCAATAACAACTTTTCTTCCGTTCGAAACGCTCGTCTCCGTCCTCTACAAACTCTCTTCTCGACTGCTTCTTCCATCCAACATTAAAATTGTGCATACACGTCGGATGACCCACTTTTCGTTCCCCAAGCAATAATTCAACAGTGAAGATTCTATGGTTACAAATGAATGGATCTCATTACCAAATTCTCTTTAGTGATTCGATGAACAAAGAAACTCTATGAAGTATTCTATCCTTGTGCACTAGTCCTTTGCTTTTTATTGACCATCTCCGGTGGTGTTTGCGTGGAAATCTTTTGATCATCACCGATTGCCGAAAACCTTTCTCTTCGCCTCCTCTCAAGTCAAAACAGTGAATAGATAACAAAGACAAACTAATGCAAACATTTCATATTTCTTCTCGCTTGGTTTTGAATGCTCATTCTTCTTTTCGGTTGTTTGAAATTACAACTCAGATATTTCTTTCTTTCTGTTTCTCTCTCTCTTCTGTTCCGGTGTGTGCTTGTCCTGTCGTTTCTTTTTCTGTATATTGGGTGCTTTGTTTAAACGAGATATCGAGTTTGACGCATTAATCATCTTCTTCTCTTTTCTCTCTCTCTCTCTCTCTCTTGTTTTATTTCTTAGTCATCTCTCACTACAGTTATGTGAAACTATTGATGCGTGTTCATGTAGATATTCTGTTTCTTGTGGCTCATTTTTCATCGCCTTATTTAAAATAATCCTTCCAAAATTCAATGCATTTTGTGCTGCTATTTGTCACTGTACTTGATTATGTTTGTCTTTCCAACCTTGAAATGATCAAAATTCAACTAGATGTATCTATTTCTCATCTGTATGTGATTACGTTTGTTTTGGTTTCTCTACTGTTTGTTGTTTTAATAAAAATAAACTTAATTACGTAGTAGGAATTCGAAAACCATTTTCTCATTTCTACAGAAGTAGATTTGCTTATATTATGGATGATATAAATTGAACACTTCAATCGTAATAGTTTTCAATATACAATCACTTCAGAATAAATGTACTCGGATGAATTAAATCGAGAATATAAGCAAAGCAAACAAGTTCAACACAGAGTGGTTAATTGTGATAGAATTGATAAAAAAACATTGCATGGTGACATTTTTTCCCGACTTTCATCATCTGTGATCGATAAGTTTTTTGTATATAGCAATGGCAGGAGAGAGGGTGTGGGGAAAGAGATGGAACTAGACCGTGATTTGAACTAAATTATCTTGCGTGGTAGTTTCATTCATAAAAATTGAATAGTTTCGTGCATTTCCTTGTTGGTGACGGCGCGTTTTGAACTTGTATTGCGGTTTCGATGGCATACTATTGGGATTTAACTGATCAAAGCCCAGATCGAATGTTGGCGTCTCTGACAATGGTAGCGAACGAATACTAAGCAATTGTTCATGAAGACCCCAATGGAGAAGAAGAAAACGAATCAAAGCAATACGAAGAAATGAGTGGATCATCCACGTTAGGCAGAAACACATGGTAAAACTTGCTAGGATTATCCCAACAATAGCACTTGTTAGGAATCGAACTGGTTGTTGAATGGTCTTGAGTGGAGTGGTTACTGATTCGGTCGTGGTGAGTGTGGTTGTAGTAGAAGTAGTAGCTGAGGTTGTTGTAGTCGTTGGTGCAAGTGTGCGTTGTGTGGGAACCTTTCAAATGATAGATATGCAATGAAACACCCTCAATGTTTAATTACCGTTCGAGTAGTGGTGGTCGACGTGGCCGATGTTGTTGACGTTGAAGCTAAGAAAAAGTTATTCGGTATTTCTATGAGAATAATTGGATCTGGTTACTTGTGGTTGTGGATGTTGCTTCGTATGGAATTTGAAATGGCCAAAAGTTTGGATCATTGATAGGCATAGATTCTTTTAAACAAGTGCTCGCTTCTACAAATACGCCTGGATCGAAATAAATATAAAACCGTTCACCTGGCGTCCATACAACCGTAGAATTAATCACCAGACGACTAGGTAGATAAAAAACATTGTCAGTCGCTGTAACAACGTTTAACACATAAAAATCAGTGTTATCCGATGCACGTTTAAATCGAATGTAACTTTCCGTTGTTGGCCGTTCATAACTGTGTCCATCGGTAAGAAGCGTCCAAACAGATGTCGTTTTCGGCACGGTTCCCATAGGATATCGAGTAGCGTTCTGCTTGTACATCGATTGAAGACTCGATGTTGCTGATAAAACAGTAAAACGTAAACAAGTAGAAGCACCTTGGTTACCAATTGAATCGATAGCACCGAAGCAGAAAAGATTTTGACCTATTTGATCAGCACTAGATGTGAAATTAGCCAAGAATGCAAATATTGTCGGATCGAATGGATCTTGCTGGATGGGCGTCGTTAATAAGCCAGTTGGATTCACACTGATATAGCTGGCTACTGTGGCATTTGCACATTGAACTTTAAAACGCACTCGTGTCATTTGAGTAACTCCTATCGATATGTAAATGCACATGTCTGGCACGAGATCGCCGATATAGATAGGCCCAGTGACACACGGCTGTGATGAATCATAAACATGGAAGACGAATTGAATGGGTACTTGAGAAAGATACGCAGTGGAAGAGATGTTCACTGGTGTCACAATAAAATCTTCAACTGTCACAGCCGCTGCATAGAAACCTGCTATTTGTGGTGTAAAATTTAAATAGCATGCATAATTATCAATCACTCCATTTGGAACACTGTTGTTAAGATCGCCACATTGATTATAGCCTTGTGACCATAGGCATATGTATGGATCGAAATCGTTGTCAGCTACATTGATTTTGATGGAATAACTGATGTGATTTCTTAATCGATAGATCGGTAACATGGTAATCACGGGTGCATTATTGTAATAGCCAGTATCAAGACGCTTAAAAGTTTGAACTCGGACGGCAACACTCCATGCTAGACTATTTCCCGTTACAAGATTAAACCAGTTTGTGTTAGTAAATGATGCGACAAAACTCGCATTCTTTGGAACGGATTTTTTAAAGCGACCTTCACCCATTGCATACTGTTCAGCAATATTATAACCTGTACAAGGAACGTTTACACTTCCCAGCGTTGTCAAACCAGTTGGACAAGTACTAATGCAATTGATGCTGTAAGCTGAAGTTCCTAAAATCGGTTGTCCGTTTGGAATCGTTGCACTCGTGCAAAGTGGACTGTAATAGTCATATCGCCAAGCATGACGTTGAAGAATTTCTAGAGTAACAGATGCTGCTGATTCGTTCAATACCCGCCAAGAGAGCATCGAACCACGAAAATGCGTGCCATGAACAATATCGCAAGCATAAAGAATAGTCGTGAGGATTAGAGTTGAAATGCACGTTTCGTGCATATTATGTTCTTGTTAGAAATGAATGATATATAGATCAAACACTGCTACTAATTCAAATTGAATTCGATAGGCGTGGTTTTGATTATTTAGAAAGGATATGCTTTTTTGCATTGATTACCGACAGAAAAACAGAACTATTCTACGAAAGGACTTCGATTTAATTACATCCAAACAAATGATTCTCGAATTTGTTTATTGCCTTACAAACATATTGATTTTGGAATCCTAAGAAATGCTTCGAATTGTCTACTGCATCCCGCTATGTGCTTGCAGTAAAACTACGGGATAACCGAGAATGTGTGTTGTACAATGCAACAGATGTTCAGCACAAATAGGAAAATGATTGAGCATGTAATACATTTCTTGAGACGACTTGCTCAAGTATATCGAAGAATTTGTCATATCCTCTTATTAATTACCGTCAAAATTAATTGAATTTGTTTGTTCTGTCGTAGAAGATTAATGATATCGACGGCAGTATTCTATCATCGTCTAATAAAACTTATGTCTAATCGTATTTTTTACGAAGGAAGACAGTTGACTGAGAGTAGTCGAATGATTTGCATATAATCATGTCTGAGCAAGGTTTCTGTTGTATAATAGAATTCGTACTGCCCATTTGTCTCTTATTGAGTGTAGTTAAATATCGACTGACATCGATTTTGTCATAATCTCACATTGAAAAAGAGTCTTCGATTTCAACTTAGAAAAGATAACAAAGGCTAACCTTCCTGATATGAAAATATGTCATATAGTCGCTGGCATTCACTCGTATCAAATAACCTATGTCGAAAGTAAGAGAGGAAGTACTTAAAGGAACCGCATCGTTATTCATATGATCTCATCATAGGTAGGAAATCATCTGTTTGTAGTACGTCAAAACCTAATTTTTTGTTATTCTCATCATGTAAGATTATGTTTAATTCGATTCATGTGTCGAGAGCTGATGAAGGGCAACTGTGCGTCAAGTTTTATCTGTAGCAAGACAATTGTCGTTATCAATAAGTCAATACTACGACAGGAAGGGGAAGATTGTGTGTGTATGCATATAATCATAAACGTTATTTCTTTTAACCAGAGAATCGCCTTATACACATATACGTATATGTGGCAATAGATAGATAATAGATCGGTACCATCATTGACGTCAAAAATCAAAGTACGAAGAGAGAAAGCAGCAGAAAGAAACCCGAACAAAATATCTCCTCTCGTCTTGTTCGTACTACTCTTTCCATTCGAAGGTGATAGAAACACAACGTGGAGAATCGAGGAACACCACTACTACGTACTAACAACCTAAATGTTGTCTTCTCATCAATCTAAGCAAGTTTACCATGATAGTACGTCTCGCAATAACAATAGAATAACAAACAAGAACTAATACAAGCAGCGATATTTCTACTTGATTTAGTAGTGCATCTACAATTAGAAAATGGCTAGTAATCGTAATATCCCGATCGACGTTGTCTTAGCTCGTATTGCCCATTATCTTCGAACACATAACTATGATGACTGCGCAGTTTATATCAATCGTCTAAATGCGAATACATTCCGTAAGATTGTCACCACAGATTTATCATTCGACACCTTATTTGCTCAATTACCATTTTCAATCGAAATCTTTGAAGTAATCTATTCGAAAATGTTTGTCATCGATCCGGATACATTTCCTCTTCGAATATTTAAACCTGAACAATTATTATCGAAAATGATTAGTATCTTTGCAGCAACATCTCCTTCCGCATCATCAATTCAAGCCAAATTCAAAGAATGCTCCATCGAAAACGAACGCTTGTCGAGCAATCTCGGCAGCATCCTTCGGATTCTCTCTTATGTTCAACCGATCTTATTCAAACGTCTTCTTCGTCAGAAACAAACACTTGATGAATGTATATCGTATTTCGAACAACGTCATTCCACAGCCACTAGTACCTCGACGCTATCACGATCCGTATCACTTACACATTTAAATCTCGAAGATACTCTTCGGCACGAATTAGAAACAACAATTACTTGTTGTCAACAGGCATTGCATAAACTCGGAACAAAGAGTATCTCGATCACAATGCCATCACCTTCATTATCGGTTCATTCAACACCAGTTACATCAAGAAAACAACTTTCACTTTACTCATCGACATCGGCAATTTCCTCAGGAGTACCATTGCCGCCAGCAATCAATTCGTTAGATGATATTCAAGCTCGTCTCTATCAACATAAATCTATTTTGAATCAAATTGAACCATATTTATCACGCACAAAACTCTATTCAGTTATCAATAATCTCAATCAGAAAGTATACATAGATAAACAAATTCTGTTGGCATATTCAAATATCAAAATACACGAAAAGCAAATGCCTCTGAATGAACCATTGCTACCCTTATTTAAACGTTTCGCCTTCGCCTATGAACGTAAGAACATTTCACGGACAGACTTCATTTGAAATTCATTTTTCGCTAGGCATTATTCAATTATGGAGACGAGTAACTGACAGTACGTTAATTGATGACTGTACTGATGATATTGTGATTGATGATACAACTGTTCGAGGTGTCAGTAGTACGGGTGGAATTTGTTTCAAACGATCGCGATCTCGTAAGTTGATTTCAGCCAGATCAATCTGTTAGGATTATTCATTAGGGAAATGATTTTTCATTATGATAAAAGCAAATATTGTACTAATTAATGTCTTCTAATCGATATGGGATGTTGATAGTGCATATGAGAAAGGAAAACAAAACACAGAAGAAGAGAATATGTATCGAGGTTTCTCTGCCTTCTTCTGTTCTTCTGCTGCGGCTTGTGTAAGGCTGGAGTACAATCACGATTAGTCCTTTCATTCATTGGTATGTAACATGTTTATCATTCAACAGTAGTCTATGAAGTAACCAAACGATTTTCATCCTTGCCATGCCTTGTCAATCATCAGTTACTACGACTAGTAAGTTGAAAAGTATGTGTGTCTTCACTAGTAGAGAAATGTCGAAAAAAAAAGTCAATGTATATATAAACAGTTTGATGCAAAAAAAGCAGAGCCTAAAATTTGATGATGTCTCTCGTTGTTCTACTCTTCTGGATATAAAACTTTATGTTTTATCGTTTTTATGAGTGAAATGGCAAGATGAAAATGGTTTAATTTGCATATTGCTTTGATTTTCAATCTCATTGCTATCGAATTATTAACCAAGATCCACGGAAACGTTTAATTAATAGGATAAAGTAATAAGCAGTATATAATAGAACATGATCATTCGAATGCGTCAATGTAATCACTGTAAGAAGAGAGAGAAAGTAGCTTGTTGTATGCACCTTTTGTATATAGACATTTGCCTTCTTCCTTTTTCTCGTTCTTCTACATCTCACTCATGATCATTCTCCTTCTTCTGCACATATACCATATGCCACATCAGCGTCACAACTTTGAGGCAAAACGATATTATTGTTGATTTCTCATCATTTCTTTCGTGTATAAGTATATACATATATGTATTCTCAAAATGACGACAATCATGCTTAGACAGAAAAAGACAACTATGCACGACAATGCCAATTATAATAACAACAACAATAATAATAGCAATCGGTATGCTCGTTATTCGTTTTTAGAAGAATTTCGACCATACCATCAACGATATCGTAAGTAGAAGTCACATACCAATCGGTTCGTTAACTGCTCGTCTCGTTCTTCTCATGCTCTGTTCGACACTGCACAATATTTTCTAATAAATCCAGTAGTTGATTGAATTCATCCGTGAATAAGTCCAAAATCGTACATAACAAAAATTAGATAGAAGCAGTTTTCCTCACGGCGTGTTGACACGCATGCCCATTCCTTCGAGGTTATTAATAACATCGCATTATCTCTCCTTATGCGACATAGACATCATATTTTTTATATGGAACCATTTGTGTCGCCGGTTCGTTCATATTGAGTTGGTTATCATTGAAGGCGAGTAGGAGGAAAACTACTTCCGACAACATAATCGATACATGATGATGATGACGATGATATATCTCATCATCAACCTTCTATTTGTCTTTCTTACGATCGACGATCAAATTTCGTCAAATAGAAATCTTCTAGCTACTACTCCAACGATGTCTATGCTCGATGGTACCATGCTTAATATCCTTAATCGCAAATTCAATATTCTCATCGATTAACACAGAGGATTATTTAACCTACATTGCTAGAGTTTCTTCTTCATCCTTTTTTCGTTGAAAATGAATCACAGAACGAACGAAGATCGATTGACATTATATTTTACTTCGTTCTCTTCGTCTCCTCAATTTCCTTCCCCATCGTCTCATACTATGTCGAATAGATCATTCAGATTACCAAGTCAGCGTCTCTCATACATTGGTAAGTCCCCTCGTCGATAGACAAACAGACAGTCATCAATTCGAAAACTTCGTTCTCATCATATTAACTGCTCTTTCGTTTTTAGAAAATGAACTTTCGCCCTACAAAGACGATATGGCAGTACGAAATGGACATTCAAGTAAGTTCTCGATTAATTGTATTTGAAATTACTAACTCAAACAAACAGTACGCATCGATATTGTCCTTTACTTCGTTAAATATTACAATGACGTAATTCGAAACGTTCCTTTCGCTGCGCAAATGAAAATGGAGTTGTGTATATCAAGAGTTAACATTTGCCAAAGAGAAATGTTCTATTTTTCTGGATACAACAAATGTTATTCTACACATTGATAAATCTGTTCAGAAAAGATGTGTCTATTTTGTTTGCCTTTCTAACAAAAGAATAATAATCCGATGGTCATTTTCTATAGAGTTTTCTTTTTTCAGCAAATGTAAAGATAGCCTTGAAAGATAAGACCATTTATCTCCGAACTAACAGAAGTTTGACTATTTCTCTCTGTCAGATGTGCGAAAATTCCTGTCGAATTAATAATTATGCTCTAATTTTCAACACATTCAGCGCATAGTTTGAATACAGTTATTTGTCAGTGGTGCCAAAGATCGGATAAGAATTAAGGAACAGCTAGTAGCAGAAAGTATGCGAAAGATCTGATTTGACATTGACATGTAGGCGCTAGCATTGACGAAGATATATATGTATATATGTGTTTGTCTCCTTGATACGAAGCAAAGGTTGTAATTTATTAAAGTATTTTATTTGCATCGATGTCTACAAATTGAAATATTGAAATAATGTCTTCGAATACCTTGAATTAGCTCTACAACAACTGTTTGCTTGTTGCTCTTGCAAGAGAAAAACTATAATTATGTTCATATTGACGAAAGATAAAAGAGTCGTTAGGTTCGTTCCCTCTCTCTCTCTCTCTCTCTCTATCTGATTACATACATAATAGCGAGTAACAGCAGGATATCATCGGTTGATTGGATTCACAGTTATTCTTATGCTCAGTCGGAGATGTTTACCTCAACATATTGTACATAATAACAATAGAAAATTACAAAGAACGATTGAAGCATAAAATAATGATGATGTATACGTTCGTCTTTTCTCCTTCCAACTCTTTTCGTGTAAACAATTATGTTTGTGAACAGAAAATCATTTTGATACATTCCTAATCAAAACTCAATGATCTATGACAGTTTTTCCGCGAACACCATTGTTCTATCATCATGATGAGGAGAAGAACAAACAACATCGTTGTTATTTGCATTAAGTAATCACTCGATGTGAGTGCATCTGTTAGCGTTAGAAAAGCTCTACATAGTACCAAGCGCGCTTGATTATAGTTATCACTCATCCATTAATATAATATCACGCTTGTATGTTTTGTAAGAGAAAAGAAAGAGAAGTAGTTCCGACGCCTTATAGGGAAAAAAAAGAAGAAAGCGATGGCTTCTCTTCATGTATATATATATATACACGAAGAGACGTACGTTTTTTTTCCTCTACACTCCACAATGTAATACATCTATCGAACTTGATTATCCGATCACATTTATACACTTTCTTTTGAACACTCATTACTACATACATGCGCATGTGCTGATCTCTTACGATATTTGGCACCGATTTCATCTCGCATTCGTTGTCGTACAAATAATAACCAAATTTCATTAACACGATGTCAGATGCCATTAATTTTCATTTCGTTTATCCGCAAACACCTTCACATCCGAGCACGAACCATATACGAAAACAACAATCAACTAGTAAACTTATTAACACATATCTGTCAACAGCTGCACAGTATCTCAATCGTACGAAAAGCTTTCATATCTCGACCAATGCTACGCTTAGGCCGAAGAAAAGCATCTGCATACAAGTTGATAACAATTCTCCGGAGAAACGATCATCTCTCTGTAATAATCCCAACCTAGCACGATCCGTTCCATCCAATATCAACAATTTGAATCTCTCATTAGTGTCGACAAATACTCATATGATTTATCACGAACAACAGTTTCAATCAATTGGTATGTCAGAAGTGAATACAAATAAAGAAAGTAAATCGCCTGGGTTTGTCAATACTATACGTCGATCTTTACGAAAGAATAAAGAGAGATTCTACAATAAACGATCGGTAACCATGAAGTCTTGCCATTCGTTAAGTCAGTATGAAGAAACACCAGTTATTCTCCCTCAAACATCAATGACTCCAACATTACTTTGTCGACGTCAATACTCTGATAAGACTCACGAAGCCTTCACAACAACACCGACGGGTGAAACTTCCACAAACTTCACTTCTCTTGACGATGATAACGAAGATGAATCGGAAAGAAATGATCAAATGCGTAAGAGATTATTATTGCACGTTGAAAAGAAAAACAATGTTTCACTGTCTAAATTATGAGACAGAACAGCTGATATTATTCAACAAATCAATCGAAAAGTCAGTCTGTTTTGTCTGCCTAGTTATCGTTTGCGTAAACTTCAACAAATCTCTCACTTGATACATTCTAAACAAATGTTGTCCTTTTCTCGAATAACTTCCCGAAAAGGTCGACAATTAGAGACAAATGTCCATGCCATTCTATCTCTTTCCCGATGTTAATGACCTCATCGATAACCGAAATATATCTCGTATTAAGGAACCACAAAAGAAAAGCAGAATAGCCAGATTCTCATAGTAAATGACTCTTTGATTGACAATAGACACATATTCTCATAATACAACCGATCTCTGCATGAGCATTAATGCTAACACAGCTCGACTATTCCCATTGTTTCCTATCAGTAGTAACACATTAAAAAGAAGCGATGTCCGTCTATTTGCTTTTTACATCTTGTGAACTAAGAAAAAGCGCAACAACTGTCATGTCGACAGCGTTATCATGCATGTATTTCGATAAATCGAAATGTATGTAAACACTTCCGATTCCTATAATGAACTTTTCTCTATTTTTCTTTTCAGCTCCACTGCAATCATTAGGTCAAAATGGAAACTCTCGACTACTATCGTACAGTCCCATAACTCCTTCATCTTCATTTATACAACAAACAACAGTATTACCGAAAGCACCTTCAGTTCAATCGCTGGCAGTACCAACATCCGAATCTCTCACTGCTGATCATTTAGAAAAAGAGCGATTGAAAAATGATTTACTTCAATTGAAAAATGAATTACAAAAGTCGAAAGAAACCATCGCTCGTTTACAAAAAAGTGAAGAACAAATGCGTGAAAGGTACAGTCAATGAATTAAAGTTGCATGTGAATATAAACCTTGCTTTTCTCTCACATCAGAATAACAAAACCAGAGAGCGTACATGATCAACATAAAGAATATCAGATAATTTCCAATAATAGTTAACATTAGAAAGTAAGAAACAACTAGTTGACATTGACGCAAGTGAAAATCATCCACGAAACGACGAGATTCAATTGTTAAACTAATCAGCCAATATATTATAATACACATCATACTTACAAAATAGATATTTGATAAGATTAAATAGATGTTCACATAAGTTTTCTTCAGTTCTTTTAAGATAAAGTAGAACAATGTACTGAGAAAACCAATGAAGCCTGAAGATTCGATAAAGTATAAAGCATGGAGATGAGATTCACAGGAATAATAAACATGGAGAAATAAACATGTGATTAATTCGATTATTGAAAATATACATATAATCAAAACAATCGTTTTCTCAGGATAAGTCGACATCTAGAATATCTAAGACAGAAAACAAGACTTCTTCCCTTCTATGTTGACCTTTTAGTTTTGTATATATGTAATAAAAGCAGAATTAAGTATTCCGATGAGCATATAACTGATTAGGACAAGGCTAAAACAATCATTATGACACGTAGCCGAAGATAATAGATGATAGAGATGATCTTTAACCAAGTAGTGCTGTGTTTTCTTGGGTTTGATTTAGATTAGCTGAACAAGCACAACGGCAATTAGAGAAAGGTGGCAAATTTGAAGATCTTAATCAAATTTCTCGCCCAACAGAACTAATTCGATCGTTCAATACTCTATATTCCCAATTACGAATCGATGCACTCGATGCTTTGGATAGTATTCGTGAATTGTCCAGTGCTGACGATCTCAAATCGAAATTATTATTTTCTGTTGTTGTCGTACGTGAAGCTGAGCTATTGGAATACTCATTAGTTATTTATTCTCTTTCCAGCTTGCTTTTCGTCATGCACAAAATCACGCGAAAGATGTCCGAAACAAAATCAAACAACTTCTTCAACTATCCAATGATAAAGGTTCGATTGTCCTGGAAGAAACAATTGAAAAATATCTAAGAACAACTATTCAAAAATATGATGTCGGAAAGATTATCTCAGTAAGCGAAAGCTTTTTCTCTGCTACACGAAAAAACTTCGTATTTTCGCTTTAGGAAGTCGAAAATCAACTGTGGAATACACTGTACGATTACCCGCGTTTGAAAACCTGTCATGAATTGCTGAAATACATTCATGCGGCTTGTCGAACAGCGTATGTATTGAACTAAACTTAATTCTCGTCAGAACTGTCTTTCTGTTGCTTACAGATGGGGTTTAGTTAACCAAACGCCTCCATATTCTATCGAATTTCAAACAACTAAATATGATAAATCACTACACGAACGTTTTCACACATCGGATAAAGAAAGCGAAACTATTATCGAATATATCTGGCCTTGTTTAATCGATGGACGCGATCGAACATGCGTAGCTAAAGGTGTTGTTCTAACTGAAGATCGTTTATCGTCTCTATCAAAGAATCTCTCCTGTTAGTTTTTGAACAGCGCCTACACTTGCTGGCATTACTCTCTAGTCAGTCAGTCGGTTCTATGGTCGAATTAAACGACATTCCAAACCAACAGACGGACTTCTTTGTATACTCTATAGACATCTTGTCCTTTCTTCTGTGTTTTTATTCTTTCAACTGAAATATTTGTGTGAGAGTTACAAAGAGAAATGATTCTAGTTGTTTACTTTAACTGTTCAAGAGAAACAAATAAATAAATTAATAGCCATTAAGCAAATCGATTCGTTAGATATTGTCATACTTTTTATCGAATAGTGCATTAACTGGTTCAAAGGGGGAGTATTTTATATGTCACTTTCGTTTGCCGATAGATGCCTCTGATTGCAATTGATATATCTTCAAAGATGAAAAGCAATGTTACATCAATATTTGATTTGTATAGCATTTCATCGACATTTTTAACAAGTGAATAGGCAAGAAGAGCGGTTTAAAGTCCGTATGAAAATGATTCATTTTTCACTGCTGGAACACTTGACGAGAAAGGAAGTACGAAGCAGGGCTGTCGTCCAAAGCATTTTTATATATGGAATTTGTTGCATGCTGTTCTGTTTCTCCTGTGAACAACGAAATACGTATGAGTCAATCGTAGGCGAATCTGTCCCTAAGTCTCTTTTCTCCTTATAAATGTACACGACGCGACGGTTACATGATTTCATAGCAGCAAATAAGTAACGTCACATACGAAGAAAATAAAGTAAAGAAAAACAAAATTTCTTCGATTTTTGTGAATTGAAAAAGACAAAATCACTTCATTGAATTCACGATGGGTAACTGCCAAGAAAAATTTACATTATTTTGGTTAGACGAGCATGTACATTCATCTGGACACAATCGAAAAATAAACAATCAGCTTTGTAAGATAAAACCCAATTTTGAAGCATTCGACGATCTTCTTCTATGCAAAAAAGCAATTCAAGCCTTTCCCACAGATCAGCGATTGATTTTAGTCGTCAGCGGGAGATTCGGTTCAGTAATGGTTCCTCAAATTTATAATGTCGAACATCTTTCGGCTATTTATGTTTATTGTATGGATAAAGAAGGCAATAGACAATGGGCGGATCAGTATACCAAAGTATAAACGGATAGATTTCGATAATTTCAAAGCGGAAAGATTATGATTGTTTGCCATTTCAGATAAAAGATGTTATCAATAAAGAAGATGAACTTCTCGATCGAATCGAATCGGACACGATAAGTCGCGTAAAGGATTTCAAAAACGTATCTTTTAATATATATGGTCGTCCAGTAGACCCCAAACGCTCAGCAACAGTTGAACTTCAAGAATATTTCATTCAGACACTTGCTCTAATTGACATTCTTCTTCGACTAGATGTTTCCTCGAAGTACGATACAGAATTCCGATCTCAATGCACAAGAGAATTTAAAAAGTTTAAAACTCAATCGCGAATGATGACTAATTTTGATGCTTATATGGAGAAAAAAGCTTTATGGTGTTACCTGCATCATACAACCTTGCGGAAATTCATTCACAATGCTTTATCCACCCAAGACATACAGCAGATGCTTTCCTGCCATTCGATTATTCAAAGTATTAATGAACAACTAAAACAGAGTCGCCATAGAACATTCAATAGAGTTTATTTCGGTCAAATAATGACGTCTTATGAGATTGGATATCTTCAGAAATCTGTCAATGGATTATTTTCAACAACAACATTTCTTCTAACAGATGAAAATGAAGATAGAGCAAGACAAAAACTTCAAGAATCTCTCTCCCATCCTCGTTCGGATACAGAACGATATTATAACGTGTTCTTCATCGTCAATATCGATGAGAATGCGAGAGTCTCGAAACCATTCGGTGCAATCGATAAAATCGCTGGTTTCATTCCTGAAGGAGAAGTCTTGTTTATGATCGGTTCTATCTTTCGATTGACTGAAGTGCAAGACACAGAAACTGAAGTACTTGTCAAGCTGGACCTGTGTTCTGAGGATGAACCGCATATTCAACAGATCTTCGAAGAAATGAGACGCCATATTGGTGCTTCGAGCGAAGTCGGTAAGATCGATCTCCAAGCATTTGCAGATATTATCCGTAGATGGGGCAAACTTGACAGTGCCGAAAGTATCTATGTTAAACTAATCGGTGATTTACAAGGGTTACCATTGAAGGAACTATACAAAACATTGGCAACAATAAGCAAGGACAAAAATGAACACGTAGAAAGTGTGCAACGGTTTGAGAAAGCGTTAGAAACTCAAAAAAAAACTGAGCCACACAACTGGATGGAAATTGCCAGTCTTAACGATTGGCTTGGCAATGCACACTTTCGTAACAAAAGTTTCAGTCAAGCATTGAAATATCACAAAGAAGCCCGAAATTATTTTCGTCAAGAAAGATCCGAAAATCATCCACGCATGGCAAATATCAATAGCAATATTGGCTCTGATTATAAAGAAAAAAGTGATTATACCGATGCGTTAAAATACTTCCTTAGAGCGTTAGAGATATATGCAAGGAATCCGTCGAATAATCCAACGAATGTAGCGAAAACTCATAATGAGATTGCCATTGTTTATTCTCGTCTAAACAGATATGATGATGCATTGGAGCATTTCAAACGATCGATTGACATCCGGAGACAAGGCAACCCGCGTGACGATGATACAGCGCTGGCCAGTATTTATCGAAATATGGGCGAGCTCTATGAAAGAATGAATGATCTGCCACAGGCGCTATTGCATTACAAAGATGCCTATGATATTTATCTCCGTTCAATAATACCCAATCAAGCTATTTTACATGAACTTCATCGAAAAATGTATGCGATCACACCGAGACTATAAATTGAATTCATGCTCACGTCGGTTTCTAAAGCATTACACGATAATCAAGTCAAATATCTGTTAAAAATCGAAAAAACTATAATCCTTTCGTCAAATATGACTATTTTTATTTCTATTTAACGATGAATACTACACTTTATATATACTTCTCACATGCATTAGGAAAACGCGTTTCGTATACATTTGTTTCTCAGAGGGAATGGTTGCCTGCTCATATTGTACGATATTAATAAAAAAAAAGCTAATTTCATGTTTAATAGAGTAAGTACAGTATATCGATATGATCTACGATCATCAGAAAATTCGTTGTGAACGATCACAGATATTTTCTCATCTCACAACACATTCCGTCTCTTTCTTATGTTTTTAATTGGCACGAAAATTGGAAAGACTTGCACAAACACAATTCAAACGCAGATACATCTAACACGACAGAAATCAAACGAGATATGCTATGTTGATCATCATTCGATTGATGCATGTCTGTTTCACTCGACTCTGACAAGCATATAAACTGTCCAATTGATATCAAACACGTAAAAAAGAAGCCTTTCGTTCGTTAAGTCATGATTTTCTTAAGATCATCAGTCAGGTGTGATAACTACGTCATCAACGTATGAGCGTATTCGTTTCTTGTCCTTCGACTCCCCTCGAGTAGACGTACGAAGTAAGTAAACAAATATATTCGAAGTTATCAATCTACAAAGACAATCATACGACTAATAATATGACAAAAATGTTTCTTCTGTCTTTTTTTTTTCTTTATATCCTAATCGAAACGAGTGATAAATGCGAAAATATATAAATGATAAGTAGTGAAAGTCAGGGAGCATTTGCATTCTTTGTCACGGTGTGTTACCTTCTTCCTTTTTCTATTCTCTCGCAAAATAAAATAGCACACACATGACATGTCTATTCTTTCTCACATTTTCTCGCTCTTTTCCGTTCTTTCGCTTTGATAGACAAAATAATCCTTGAACATGGAAGGTTGCTTAGTGTATTGGAATTAATTAGTATATTTACGCGTTTCAATCATGTCCTTTGACTGGTCATCTGAGCCATTAACAATTCAATCGATAGTGAAGAAATTCACTTTACCGGTGGTAATTCGATCTGCACCTGGCTTTCGTGGTTCAAGTCGCCCAGTGATCTTACATTCGATTTTGCATAGTACGTTCGGCTATGGTCGAGCGTTGAAAGTTAGTCAATCAAGTTCAAGCCAGCACCCATCCTATCGACCGATTGACTCCGAAATAGTAGCTGTACCTGCGAAATATCCTGGTAAGAGGGTGATTTCTGATCGATTCTGTACTATTCTTTCGAAGATGTTTAGGGTACTTTGAATGTTTACCATCATCTGATAGTCGTAAGATAAACTTATGAGTATAAACATATGATCAGTGATGTTTTTCAGAGAAACAAGTAGGTGTTGTGCCTGAAACAAGTATTCATCCCATTGTCGAACGAATGCAAGCTAGCCATCGATCAGAAGCGTTCTATGTCGCATCCCCTATACGTGTGTATACTGTTGAAACAAATGAGGAAGGAGTTACTTGTCGTGTATGGCATCAGATTGAAGCGCATCAGATCATTCTCTTTGATCAACTGGTTGATGTCGAGTATACTCCGACGATGGATGATGAATTAACCGATGAAGATTATGCATTTTCCTGGTGGTTTTGTTTTGGTAAACAAGTGTTAAATCGAAATGAATCTGCTTTAAAATGTATCTCAACGCAACATCAAGTATGTTATGTTCCATGCTCGTCGACAGATGAGCTCAATTTAATACCTGTCGGACAGCGGGGTTCGAGTAATGTAAATAAATTACAAAGCATTCATAATCTGATTGAACAGTTCCCTTTGCCGATTAATATCAAACTAGCAAATTTACCCAGTGAGTTTTCTTTTCTGAAGGGACGAATTGTTATGTATTCTTCCATTTAGATTCATATGTGTATACAGATTTCGTTGGCAGTTTACAATTGCGTGGTACACGTTCAGAAGAATTTGCTGTGTGCGCTTCATTATCATCTTCGAATATCTTTGCAATTTCGACAAGTACTCCATTGAAATTCGTTGTTGCATCATTGCCACCACGACCAACGTCACAAATTCGAGATATTCTTGCTAGTTGTCAAATATTTGTCAATTCATTTGATATGCAAATTCGTCGCATTATCATGAAATCTCATCCTGACAATTCAGCACATCGCAGTCGAACACGTTATCCGAAAAATGTCACAACAAATGACGATCGAGCAAAACGGAGTAAGCGATCAAACAGTGTCGATCAACAGGCAATGACGAAAGATGATCAAAACGTGACTACAACTACAGCGGACGAAGGTTATCGATCCAGTTCATCCGCCGCAAGAAGGCGACACAATTACAGACAACAACGTGCTATTAGTGCTGTTTGTATTCTTTTCATTGGATCTGAGTATATAAAATCTCATCTTTGATGCTTGTATTTTAGGATCCAACGAACAACAATGCGGAACAATCTCCACGTAAACAAACGTTATCTACAGATGATGATTCAACTTACAATTCGCTCGTTCATCTTGTTCGAGCGAAAAAAGAAACATCGCCTACATCATCATCATCTCCACCTGCTCTACCAAAAAAACCACCGAACTTTCCCTATCCACAAGCACCTATATCTCACGAACGAGGACAAAATCCAATAGGCGAAATCGATTCACCTAATGCCAACGGTGCTATTCTAATGGATGCTACTAATGAACTATTTTTAGCTTTACCTTCGGATACTCGATTTACATAAATTTAGAATAAACAAAACAGTCTAGCTAAAAAACAGGGCAGAACATTAACATTTCGATGTAAATATATAAAGGGTTCACTTGATCAGTCTGTACCTATTTTCATATGTATTCATCTGTATCGACACTTGATCGAGATGTTGCGCGAGCATTTCTACATGCTCCATCGAATTCGATTTCCCATGCGCCGATGTTGATGCAAAAGAAATCGAACCGAAACACACCACAATCACCTTCATTTGTCTATACAAATGAGCGTTTCTCTGAGAATTTCTTACCATCGCCACATTCGAATGCGCAGCTTGGTTATCCAACGAATCAAAATCTCGTTCCCATGTATTACGATGTAATCATTGATACTGTAACTGATTATGATAGTAAGTCTATGCTTCAAATTCGAAAATTATCATACTTCGCTTTTAGTTTTCTATCCCATTGCAAAGCAAACAGAAAAACATTATTATGATTCGAAAAATGAACAACAAACAATCACCAATGAAGTATACAATCATCCGAACCATCGTGTTCAAAGACTCGACGAGCTTGCCGTTTCAATCGATTTACCGCATGATTACACTTCAACGTCACAATGGCCGAATCATTCCATGCAAAATCATGAATATCGACATACAATCCAACCTGAGAGTCCAAGACAGCCTCTTACTCCTTCAGATCAATATTATTTCTATTCAGATAATGACCAATCACCTGTGCGTTATTTAACTACGCCCTTCTTTTGGTTTCGTCCGGTCGTTGATCAGAACTATGCGATTTGTATTCCGACAAATCAGCCGAGCCTACATGCTTATGTTACACCTTTATTTCAACTTTCTTCCAGCACCGAAACAGTTCGACTTTAATACCTCTAGTCTCTTTTCTTTCGTTTTCTTCATCTATTCTTTATACGAAACCAAAATACATAGCAAATTTTAATTGCAGTAACAAAAAAATCCATTGTCGGTAGATCAACACGAACCAATTCCGATATCTCGGCGCATTTTCACCATCAAACTTATACCATAGATCTTTCTCCCAACTATCAGCAAACCATCGTAATGCATGACTGTTCGCAGTTAATCGATCAATTCGATTACGTCCAAAATATTCTTCCAAAGCATGAGTTCGAGTAACAGTTACATGAGAACAACAAGATGGTACAACATAACGGCTGATATTCCGTGTCGATGCTTGACCATTTATCCAAATATCATCTACGCGTCGAATGTCATTCGAGACCTTGTTGAAGTCATCATAAATGTGTTCATCGAAGAAAGACGGACGAATTAAATAAGCATGATTGGCAGTGATGACACCAACACGATATATTTGTGAAATATAGAATGATTCTATAATATGATAGGCGATTTCGTAAGGACCGCCGACACCCCAGACCAGGTCTTGACGCACTAAATGAACGAATATTCAGGTTTATTTTAATGATCGATTGAATGTATTTTACCTCGCCATCCACGAAAACCGAGAATACTCTTTGGATATCGAGCTGAATAGCGATACAATGTTGCTACAGTATACGGGTGATAGTATTGATCATCATCACAAATCAGAATTGGTTGAGATCTTCCTTTGAATTCTTTGAGTATCGGTAGAAATTTTGTCGCTGGACCGAAATCTTCCTCTTCTAGCCAAATATCAACCAAATCATTGAATAATTTCATCATCGTTTCTGACGAATCCAAATTTTGTACATAACCCCTCAATTGCGCTAACGTCATGTTCGCTTGTTGTTTTATGAGAGAAGTGGGCGACAGATAGACTCGAATTTGCTTTGGTAATTCTGTTTGACATAACAATGAATGTATTGCCAAAGGAAGTTCATAGTGAAATCGTTCAGGAGTTGTTGTCAATGAGATAATTACATCGACGATATGAGAATCGAAAAAGTTCGGTTGAAGCAAAAACATTGAGTAGAATATTGAAACCAGGAAAGGCATGAGAGTCAATAAGAAAATAAGAAAAATGCATAGTTGGTATAGAGAACGCCAACGAGATCGTTTCAATGGCGAACGTCGATTGAGCGATTGAATGACAAGTCGAAGCATTGTCAGTTACATTTTGTTTCCTCTCCTAACGTAAGTTATCGTAAGTGAAGTTTAACATTAGGACGAGAGACGTACAATCATTACACTAACTGTGATGTGCACATGTTGAAAAAAAAGAACGAAGGTGAACAGAACGATGAAAAAATTCGATGCTTTACTGCACCCGGTTAATGTGATGTGGGGCAAATATCAATATATTTTCATGTTCTGTCAAAGGTCAGCTGTCTTAATCTGATTGGAGTTTGTATGTAGAAAAATCATTCTTAGAACGAAGAAATCAAAGTGAACAAACAATTCGTCGAAGAATAATCATTCTGGAAGTATGGATATTTTATTGTATTGATAAGATTGACAATTATTGACTTGTCAATAATGAAACAACAACTTAATATATTTCACTAATCGCGGACGTTTCACTTAATCTGAATGTTATTTCTTCTTTTCTTTTACTTCTTAATCCATATATATATTTTCTACTCTTGAGATTTATTTGCACACATCCTAGATTTGACAAACACGAAATGCTATATTGATATTTTGGTTTTTGAATCAGATTTTCGCTAAGAGCGAAACGAAGGTGGTGACATTCGTACCATTTGCATACGACTTCGAATAACTATGCGCAATGTACTCGCGATTTGTTTCTTACTTTTTATTGTTGCCCATGGTCAATCACCATGCGACCAGGTCCCATTTGTCAGCCGAGATGGATGGGGTGCGCGTCCTCCAACATCAATAACTAATCTGACAAGCAAACCGTTTTCTTTCTATGTTATTCATCATACGTATCAGCCACCTAAGTTAGTTTTCCTTCGAATTGAATTGCTTAGTCAGTTAGATTACTTTCAGTTGTTATGATGATGTATCATGCATTGAGCGAGTCAAATGGATTCAAGATTTTCATCAAAAGGATCGAGGATGGGTGGACATTGGATACCATTTTCTTGTTGGGGAAAACGGTAAAGTCTACGAAGGACGAGGATGGAATCGACAAGGTGCTCATGCGCCAGGTTGGAATAACGATGCATTCGGTAACAATATAAACTATATCCATATGAAGCCATTGCCTTGTCGTTTTTCTCTAAGGAATCTGTATCATCGGTGATTTTAGCACGGCAGCACCGAATCAAGCGGCATTGAGTGCAGTGAAACTCTGGATAGATTGTGGTATTGAACTAGGACACGTAAAAAAAGAGCATTTCATCATCACACATCGGCAATCCCAGAGACCTGGTTATACAGAATGGTAGTTGATTTGTTTGACTACATATATCATGTTTTATGTGATGTTTCATTCAGCCCAGGTAATGGTACGATCGATGCTATCAAACCGTGGCCGCGATACTGTTCGTATCAAAATTCCGGTGCGAACTTAACTCAAAATCAAACACAAGCATCTCTCGGCCGTCAATTCTGCCTGAATGAATTAGGCTCATCAGCTGCTTCATCTTTTTCATCGATTTCTATCCATTCGGTTCTCGCCATTTTCCTTTTCGTTCATTATTTTATTGAATAAACATAATATCAACTACAATAACAACAAGAAAACCATCTTTCACACATCTTTTCTTCAATTATAGCCAAATATGAATCGAATTCGTATACGTGTCGATCGATAATTTCAATTCTTGTACAATATTATGTCGTTGAAACCAATGATACATATCTTGCGTCGTGAAATTCTTCTTATCATTATCACCTTCTAAGCCAATCCGAAGATACTGAAGAGATTTCATATGATATATAAAAGCTGGAATAGCATCTCGAAAATCTTCGAAATGTGGTAAACAAGCTGAAAATGATTGCAATTTCGGAAAATAGAAACGTATATGTTGAACTGTTTCATAGTTGATCACACCGTCGTATAATAAGTTCAAGTACAAAAGACGATCACCCAATAATGTCCGCAAACCTTCATTTCGTTTTTGGAAGATCTGTTTGATTAAGATTCGTTGATTACTAGTAATGGTAAGTTTCGTCATATTTGGCAGGCCTGAAAAATAGACCTTCAAATCTAATGAAAACCTGTTTTCGAACTTACGTCGAACAAGTTCAGAGAAAGTTGCAACTGTATGACATCTATCGTTGAGAATTAGATGTTTAATAGAATTGAGATTCATTATCTTAGTTGCGAAATGTCCAAATAGAACACTCGAAACACTGTGTTCGAATTGTAGTGTTAATGTTTCTAATGTTAAGAAAACATGCGGAGAATTGCTAAGTTCATTCTTCATATGTTTGTTATTGTAAACAGTTAAAACTAAATGATTCACATTTCGATAGATATTTGCAATTGGTAATGAATCGTTTGTATTAGACGAAGAAAAAACAGTTTCAATCGGATAACCCCATCTTGAAAAACAAACACGCTAAAGATTGAAAGATAAAAACCTTCATGTGGCTTACTGATTCGAGAATTTCTCGTCCTGATATGGACTGGAATAAAAAATCAGATTAAAATCACTCTTGTCTTGATAAAAATCAACAATAAACTGCATTTGTCGCTCGACCCAAAATGAGTGATTTCGAAATGCCCATAACTGTGGATAAAGTTCATCGATATCAAACGGTGTTAAATGCCACAATTCACTATAGATCTCAAATTTTTCTAACAATGGCCAATAATTACCAATAATCATTTGCCATTTATCACTATTAACATAATCAAAACCTAGGAAGAAGCAAATAGGATGAGCAATATGACATAAATCATCAGACGAACCTTCGTTGCACAGAATAGCAAATGAAAATTTTCGTAAGTTTTCCAAATAAGGAAATACGATTTGAAGATAATCGAAAGGAATACTAATCGCTCGTAATTTCAAATGTTTAACCAATACCGGATGATTCATCAGATGAATTGATGTGAGCTGAACATGTCGTGAGATCGAGAGCGAACGAATTGATAAAGAATTCAATAAAGAAAACTGATCGAGTATTGTGATAAAAGATAAATAATCACAGGAGTGAATCACTAAGTTTCGAATGCAAGAATAAGAAGATGGACAAATAAAATCTTGTCGAAATTGACTTAAATGACAATCGGTAATCGAAAATTTCGAATAAAGAAGTTTGTGCATTGTATTCGAATTGAATAAATGCATTTCTTTGGATTGAAAAACCACCTTGCGTACAGTGGAAAGATCATTGACGATTAAATCGAATTCATTCGCTGTTGGTTCAATAAGATGCAAACATTTCAAATACGGAAAATCGTATTTAAAAGAATATTTGTCGAGAAAACTCGCAATCTGACCAGGCGTTCGATCATTTGATAAAGTCAACGAATGAATAACATTCGAATAAAACGAAAGGAGATTCGATACAGCAAAGTTATAAATAAATAATGGCACCTGAGCGAGAGATATTCGTAATGCAGAGGAATAATCATCATCATCGCGTCGAATCACGTACATATCAGTGAGGATCGCTTGAATACGAGAATTATTTATATTATTAAATGTATAGAAAGCTTCCAAAGGTGATAAATACGAAAGAATAAGAAACCATAGTTCACTCGGTAAATCTTCGAAGTTCATTTTCTACAAAAAAGACACCATCGACCATGTCTATTTGTTGTCTGTTCTGAATTGCATTCAATTGTGCTTGCTTCATGCATTGACATGTGATTAAAGAAAGAAAGAGAAACAAAAAATATATATTTATTTATTTCGCTTTTATATATAGATATATTAAACACTGAAGAAAGAAAAATATATAAAAAAAGAAAGGAAAATGAATTATTAGACAAGTTCGAAATCATCATCCGAATCGAAAGTTAGCACTAGAAGAAAACGGAAAATTGAAGATGAATTCAGAGAAATCAGGAGTTGTTACCCTCGTGTTCATCGGTTTGCTCTGCTAGTGCATCAAATGGATTCGATTCACATATTTCAAACATTGGTCGTGAAGGAAGATTCTGGACAGTCAAAAGATTTCTTTAGTTTTTAGAGGAAAAAAGTCTGCCGATGCTTACTTGACGTAATTTAGCAATCAAATCAACAAATTCACTTTCGGTTTTGCATGCAAATGCCTAACAAATAACATCAGATGAAGCACTTTCTTTTACCAATCAATTGAAATGCTTTACTTACTAAAGCAAGAGATGGATCGAGTCCAGCGAATTTCATTCGATTGAGTTTATCGCAATGGTATGATGAATCATTTGACATCGCGTTAGTATCTACATGAGCTTGGGTGACATGTGGATCAAGATACAGAAGGTCATCAGTTTCAACATAGCCAATGAAGTAGTGGGCATGATTCGGTTTTCCACCAATGAATCCCAATGTTTGAGGTAAACGAAAACAGAACTAGAGAAATAGGTGATGAGTGGATTTTTCGATCTTCAAAGAAAGAATTTTACTTTTAATTGTTCGATATACTCTGTGTTGACGTCATTTAGACCTAATCTCAGAGGTATGATGATCACTAATGGTTTCCAAGTTGTTTGTGAATCATTGGATTTCTTGATTAAATTTGGTATTTGAGTGTTTATTTGACACAATTTACCTAAGAATATTTCGTAATTGCTTGTTGATGTTGAAATTGATCAGAATAACTCACGTATTTCATCAAGAATCAACGTATTGTCCATGGCAACATGAACATATACTTGTTTATCAAATTCATTTGAAGCGATTCGTCTATAAACAAAGACAAGTTGTTTCCTTCCTAAAAATCCACATGATCCCACCGTAGAACTTGTGCAATTGTGTTTGGACCGAACCATTGACCAATACTCTTTCCTTCGGAATTTCCCATTAGAACTAAAATGAATAAATAACACAAAAACAATAATTTCCGATGAATGTATTCACTAACATTACAAACCGATTTGATGAATTGAATATGTGGAATGACGTCGATCGGTGAACATGTTCAGTATCTCCGAATATGTTGAATCAGTTAAGTTCTGTCGCCATCGAAAATCTATTGAAGAAACGAAATCTTGTTGTAGTTAGACATCGTTTTTTTCCTTACGTACATCGACCAGCTGGTATAAAGAAGCGAAGATAAGCTTCGGCCAACATCATTTGACCACAACGCATCATACAGCCCCAACCTGTATCTTTCGTTGGACCTGATGGTCCTCCTAAATAATTTTCGAACAGATATTACTCAATCCGGTTTTTGGAAATCTTCTTTACCAATCGGAGCAAATCCACTTCGATATGTAAACCAAAATCTACTGATAACATCATCATTAATAGCACACAAATCTAAGAAGTGCATGTTTTAGATGCAATCGTTTATCTAACATTAATCGTGCATACCGTTTGACGTTCGATATTTGATGCCGAGAATGTACAAATCAGTGTCGGTGGCTGCCAAACTGTTACCATCAACAGCCGAACTTTCAAACATCGAAGCGGCCAAATTGAATGCTGAAACAACGAAACATGATTTCATGAAATTGATTGTTGAGTTGTCTTTCTCACCCGCACTATTCATTGTTCGCAACAGTTTATCACGATGAACATGAAATCTAATATAAAAATAACACTCTCGTATGAGAGTTAAAAACCAGTTAAAAAGTCGAAGTTTATAACAGATAACAATGAATATTAACAATAGAACAAAGACCAAGAACATGTCAATATTACTGTTAGTCAGTCAGTCAGAATAGCAAACACCATCCAGATTGGTATGATTTATTAATCAATTGAATGAATATCTATCTAACATACGAAAAAGAAGAGTAGAATCGATGTTTTTCCGTACAACATGGTGAAATATGATGCCATAAAAAAAACAGAATCGAAACGACATAAATAGATAAAGAATACACTAAAAAGCTTTCTAGTGATAAAAATAGAGGACGCTACTTATCATAGTTCTATGCAGGAGGTATTAAAAAAATTGCTTGCGTGATATTTTGTCATCTACAACATCGTATACGTGTAACAGTACATTCGAAATGTAATCTATTCGTTTGCAAAACTTATGCTTCTTTATTAAAACGGTAGAAGCTATTGTTTAGAACAACTATCTCCATGACAGTTCTTCGGAGTCGATGGTGGAACATCCATAGCTGCACTACCTGCAAAAAATCCTACCGGTTGTAAACGGAAGCCAACCGTTTCAACCGGCATCACAGGCCAATCTTCTGATCGAACAACATGGTTAACACCGAATGTGTACCAAGTAACAAGATCACTATCAACTAATGATTCATCTTTATGTTGTTCACTATAAACAGTGATACCATCGTCACCTTTTGATTGATTAGAAAAGAAACCAGCGACATAAAGTTCATCGGGACGATAACGTGTTCCCCACATATGGTTACGCGCAAATGCACCTCGCCGACCTTGTGGTGAATCGATGTCACATAATGGAAAGCATGCTGGACCAGATGGAACTAACTTGTAAGCAACTGGTTGACCAACATGATTGGTAACTTGGGAATTAATAACTTTCCAATAGCGACCTTTTCTTTCATCGTGACATCGTCGTGCTTCACCAACTGTTTTCAGAATTGTTTCTTTCGCCATCCAAGCATTTCCAGCTGGATTCTTCTCTCCTTTTTCTATCGGTTCACAATTGATTTCCACGAGAGAATTGGCGACACCGTCCAACATCCAATGAATACGCATATTAAAAAAATGTTGATGATGTGGACCATACACACCCTCAGCTACCATTCCACCGGATACGGGTGGTTTACCGATTTCATAAGCACCTGAAATCAATATTCATCTAGGTTTTATCATCGATTTTTCTTTTTTTTTCTCACCTGGAGCAATGATTCCGGTGAGTTTGCCTTCGAATTGAATGGTACCATCTTGAAAAAAGTACCAGAAGAGACCATATTCATAATTACCAACGGTAATAACTGACGAAACGACAAGACGTCTGGAACGACGGCATTGAGTACGTTGATCAACAAATCTAATCAATAAAGGATATATTTAGCATCTTATCGAAAGAAATGAAGAATTTCTAATACTCAGTGTGTTTCCAAAGTAATCCAATATCCTCCTCATGAATACAAATTGCGTTTTTCAATAGCAAAGCTTGCCCTTGATTGTTATTGACGACGACATCCATATAGCGGATTTCACCAAGGCAGTCACAACCGAGTACTAAACTGTTTGCTAGTAAACCAAGACCAGCTTCACCAACATCGAATGCGTTCTTATAACTATGCGATGGACTTGCATCAGCATACGGCACCCACATTTCATCAATGGCAGCTCGATGAAAAATCGGTCGCCAACGATTTTGATCGTAATATTCCACCATATTCATTGTTAAACCTAATAAAGAACGATTCAAATGAGTTGAATAAATGTATTTTCATCTGTTTCACCTTCTCGAACTGTATAGCCAGGTCGAAGGCGCCATTTTTGCCATGTAATCTGATAGCCGTCGATCTGAAATGAAGGACCTTCGGGTTGGGTAACGACAAAAGGTCTCAAATCTTTTCGGACACCATCCGGAAAATATGGTACATTGTTTGGTGATTTGANCAATTGATTGGCAATTTAGTGGATCAATCTTCGAAAACAGGAGTAAGACGAGTAAATCTTTTCCAGAGGAATTCTCGAGCACACTACTGGCAAAGAATTTCGATGAATGAAGTCATTTTCTTTTGCATTTTCTTACTAAAGATAACTAATCGATGTTCACTTGGGCATCAGCTTGAACAATAATCGTTTCACTATTTGTATTGTACTCGATGTCTATATCTTATGGATGACAAACTAATGCTGCACAGCTTGCATACATTAAAAAAATCAAATCAATGTTCAATTTCATTTTCTTGTCGAGATGAGCTCGATGTATCCATATGGCACCGAGAATATAAAAAGAACACGAAGCAATTCGATTAGATTTCTTTCTTTTCTTTCTTCTTCTCTCAAGATGTGTTCATTAAACAAATGAGCTACTTTGCACGTAGATGAGATACGCATTCGAGTTCCAAGGAGAACAAAGAATCACTCTGCTTAATGAAAAGCAAAACGTTTAAATGGGATTGAATATCTTGAGGAAAATGCAGGAATCGTTGTATATCTGCAATTGTTTACGAGAGATACGAAATTAAATAGCTCATGGCTATGTTTTGTTCATTAATTGATCAATTGGTGTCTAATTGCCGGGAGCATTTTGTCAAAATAGAACAAGTTTAATATATTCGAATCAATGGCTAGGATAGGAACTGCTAGGAGAAGAACGATTGGCTTGCGAACTTACTTGATCATTGAAGACAATTGGTGAATGAATGAGTTTCTCGGAAAGTTCGAAGTAATCGAGAGAGATTAAACTGTTCAGAACGAGAGAAAGAGAGAAAATAGACCTGTCCGAAATGATTTGTCGGTCATTCATCTTACTCTTTCTTTGACTTCTATAGAATAGAACATTGATTGTCAAGAAGATTTATAAATCCTTTACTTCAAGGTTGATACTTTTAATAGAAATAAGAACAAATTTCACTATGAGAGTTAACTAAGATCGTTTAGACATATTTATGTTCAGATGAATTTATTTCTCACGAAAGTTCTTCGTAATCATGTTAGATAAGCTCTCGTGCAACTAAATTCGATTATCTTGTTTTGTAAAGTATGTTTCCATCCACAGATCAGAACTTCCAGTTCCAACAAATATCATTAGTTTTTTCACGAACAGGGAATTTTCGTTGTTACAACTGATGAAATGAATTTAAAAACATTTTCGAACACAACGTTCTTCTCCCATGATTGCCCATCGACGACATATACAACGACCAGAACAACATTGTTCATCATGCGAGCAAATTGTTGCTGATAAACGACAGGATTCACCTAAATTATTTCATCATTTCCTTTTGTAACATACTGAGTAACTGTTGATTTTTACCTGCAAACAATCCTCCGACTCCTCGTTGAGATAATTGAGTATAACGAAATACATCTGAGTCATACGACGTTTGTCGAGAAACGAATCGACTGAAACTCTGTCGAAATGCTGTTCGCACAAGATCAGCTATTCCGGTGCCTGAAATCAAATGTGAGATTAAATTATCATTCTTTGTGAAGGTCTTACTATACGCTCGTTTTTTTGCAGCATCAACGGATAAGAATAAAATCAAGTAGAACGTTGTATAGATAATTAACCATCGAAACATCTTGTCGTAAATGAAAAGATGAGGAAAAAGTAAAGTATACGAGTTTTACGACAGTTTAATATAACTAAGTTGTCGATAACAGCATGCCGATATTCTTGTTATTTAATGTACAGATCTAAAGGTAAATAAGTCATGTCAATTCAACTACTGGTCAGATACAATATGAACTTTTCGTTGTGCTGAAAAGAGAACCAACGAAAATAGAAGAATAGTACAATTGGCATTGTAACAAACGGCAGCGGTCGTGCCCTCATATGTCGTGAACAATAGCGTGACACCTTCTTAATTCGTATAAATGCTGATAAAGAAAAAGAACAGAGCTGAACCGAGTAGAGCGGTACGAAAAAACAAAATGTCAAATTGTTACATTTCGTTTTCTCTTCCAGTCAGGCTAATCAGTTGACATTTCGATACGAATCTGTTTGAATAAGGTCAAACATTAGATCTCTTGGCGCTTTCTCATGCGTATCAATGGCGAATTTGATTTTTTTCATTCTATAATTGGAACAAAAGGAAATGACATTATGGACGAGTGGTGCTTTTCAACGAATTTCCGTTGCACTAAAATCGATGTATCAGGTCGCATGACATTTTGTCAGATTGTTCAACAGAAATAAGCTGCTGATAATAGGAGCAAGCTCATGTACGCATTCTTCATTGGTGAAGGAAGATCATTAGTGTGATTAATGAGCTCAAAATTTGATAAACCCAAGCGAAGAAGAAAACATTCGCAATTGGTAGTCAAAACAGTGACGTTCAGCAACCATCTTGACAGTTTTGTCACGAAATGAAGAAAAAAAAGAGTTTAACTTATCTAGGGAAATCTTAGCGAATCCATTTTGAATCATTGATGAGTAGCAGACTTTGAAAATGTCGTCTCATCCGGCATAAACGTAGACCATTCCTGTCATACATCACTTCTCGAAAAGATCTATTTATATATTTTACTTGTCATATTACATATAATTATATTAACTGAATGAGAAGAGGAACTACCTCAAGATGTTGTTTTTTCCTCGGCAATTACATCTCTTCTGGTTTTTTTTGACATGTGGATGTATTTGATGATAAAGAAAAACGATTATATTGGAACACTTTCATACTGTGTTGATCCTTTTGACGAGAAAAAGCAAGTTTGGATTTCTTTCTGAGCCTAATGAGTAGAATAAGATTGAAGATTGATCTGATGCTTAGCTGGAATTGAGAAAAGACGAGAAGAAAAACATCGTAACTTCGTCGTCGAAGGTTCAATTCATCTGAGAAAATAGTTCATGTTTAATTAAATCGATATTTTTCTTGTCAGAGGTCTGATATTTAAAAAACAATTCTGTGTCATACACGATCACGCACTCTTTTTCCCTCCGCATACGCGTTCTCGTCCCAAAATCGTCGTTTTGTGTTGCCAGATACGTTCATGCTTTTCGTTGAGGATAATCAGTGTTTACTTCCGTTTCGCTCTGCTTTTTATTGCTCTTCAGAATGAGACTCGTTGGAGATTTTCGCTGAATTCCGAGTTCCGCAATAATCACATAGTGAAGAGATCATATTTTGTAACCTTTTGCAAACTATCGTTAAAAATACTTAGTAATAACAGATGATACAAGAAGAAAGGTTAAACATAGAGAGAAAACTGCAGTATTCTTTCTTTTTCGCCGAAGGATAAATGACAACAGTTTTCCACATTAGAAAAAAAAGAGAAAGAAAACTTTTCCGAATAAGATCTGTAAAACAGCAATTAGATTTAGTTGCACTTGTTTGTTCCATTCGAGCTGAGTAAGGAGGAAAAAACGAGAAACTTGTAAATAACAATTCCACACGTCTATACATATCTGCGAATATAAATTCCATTAGAACAATCCATTTAAATAAGGTCAAATTGCTCTAACAAAGTTAGATGCGAATGATATTTTAATCAACCGATATCTGTTTGATCTGGATTGTAAATCCAATTTCCAGGTTCTTATTTCCAAAGAAATGAGATGATGAAGGTAAGAAAGTGGAGAATGAATTCATTAGTACGGAAAGTAGATTCCACTTATAGGTTTTGTTCATGTCTTAAATATAAGTTTGCTATCTGTTATTTGTCGTCATTAGCATGGCTGTTGCTGCTGCTGCTAACAATTTTTCTCCTTCGTGTTGATTTAGCTCTTGTCGTTCATTTTCTAGTGATGATAAAACAAACATTGTCCGAGAGAAGCAATCAGATCTTGATCACACTCGGCCACTTACACAAACAATGCTCGAGAGTTCAATTTAGACTAAGTATGTTCAATGAAAACTAGACAGCTTTTCACATAACGGTAGAATTCTCTCTTTTCGGCTTCCTGTTTTTTGTCGTCATGCACGTTTTGTAATAAAACACAAGCGATAAATTTGATGTATGTTCACCCTGCTAGCTAACTGTTAAGCAAAGAAAAAAGAAGATCGGCATGTATGTGTGCTTGGTGTTTTCTCATCGAGAGCTGTGGAACGAAAGAATGCGTGTGTTGGGTACGGCATAGAAATATATCGGATGACAATAGAAGGAGGAGAGTCGAGCTCTATCCGATGCGTGTTCTATGCTCAAAGTGAAAGACGACTAAATGACGGAGTAGTCTAAGAAAGGAATGAAAAAATCCCAGACGAACAACGGCTGGAACAAACGTTTGGAAAATTGATTTTTTTTCATAAATAATTGACCAAGAAAGGAAGTGTGAGGAAGACGACAGAGACAGAGAAGAAACAGAAGAGTGACGCGTTTTTCATGGTGAATGACTTTTCGAGATCAGTGCTCAATTGTAAATCATTCTGTCTGTTGGGTTAATCATTTTACAATAGACTTCTTCAGCCATATTAGTGTTAAACGAACATGAAGAACGATATTCATTCATCTGCTTAATTGATTTTATTCATGTGACACTTATCGCCATTTTCGTTGAAGGGGGGAGAGAGAGAGAGAGAGAGAGAGTAAAACCGTACTATAACTGTTGATGTTTTATTACGAGGGTTCGAATCTCTTGAGAGAAAGACAGACAGCAGAAAATATGACACGCGAGATGCGCGAATAAATATGCCTCTAGTGTTTAGACTACGATACATTGATTAGATAAAAAAAATTGTTAAATGCAAAAGCGAACAAACGACTATGATCCATCATTGGCCTATATTTACCCATGTTGCCTAAATTTCTCCTGGAAAAAATCTGTTCGAGCATGAAAATGCATTAATGTTCATTTTTATTATCTTATTATTTCACATACACACACCCGCGTACATGTATATACATAGCCATGGAGTTCGAATAAACTAATCTGATCGATATCAGCTAATGTTTGATATCCTACACATGTGCACATTGTAACCAATAGGAGTCAAACCTGGCTTCGAGAAATCCTCTCTTGATGAAAAGTTTTTTCAACCATAGCTGTTCTCTACTTCTCCTTCTTCTGCTCTCTCGTTTGGCTTCTCCTATTTCGATCATCGTTATATGGCTGATAAGGGAAGAGATGCGACATGACAATATAATATTCTCTCTTGTTGCTATTTGATTAAAGCTCTTTCGCGTTCCATTTCTTGCTGCTCTTCTTCGTCGTCTCGTATTTTCTTGTTTTCTCTCTCAGTTTGATCAGCGATTTTAGAATAAACACTACCGTACTGACGCGCGTCGTCATCTTCAGCATTGCTACAACGACTCTTACTAGAAATGAAGACGTTTATTCAATCAGCCTTTTGATCATCATTACCATTTTGTTTACAACTTGTCGTCATTCCACAACTGACTGTTCGTACGCATCTAAAATCAAACTAAAAGTCATGGGTCAACGTATGACGCGTCGTCAAGTTGCTGAAGGCTTAGAATTATATGCCGAGAAGAACTACGATGCAGCAATCAAAAAATGGACAACAGCATTGCCGAAAATGAAAGACAGTCGTTTACGATTTTCCACGCTGGGATATTTAGCCTTAGCATCACGTGATCGCGGACGAAATAAAGATTATCTCGTTCATGCCGTTCAACAAATCGACATTGCACATGAACTGGACGATAATACCCTGCGAGCACAAGCGTACTTGAATCTCTCGCGCGCAAACGAAATGCTTGCAGACTATTTCAAAGCTGTTAGTTATTCACGTTCAGCAATACAATATTCTTCAACAGGAGATCTGATCCAAGGTTATGCATTTTTGGTAATGGCTGATTCTTATATTGGTCTATGTAATTTTCCCAAGGTACTCGAATGTCTTGATAAAGCTTTGAGTGTGTCACATGAAGCTGAAGATCATCTAATGGAAGTTCAAGTATTAAGCACTACTGCGAAGGTTTTTCTTGCATTAAAAGATTTTCCCAAAGCGTTAGCATTTCAACGTCGTGCACATGAACTTGCTGTGTCAACAGCTGCATACGCCGGTGAACAAAATACTGATAATTGTACGAAATTTATACGCTTGACTAAACTAAAATTAGCCACACCATTAAGACTAATGGGCGATTTCGAAGGTGCATCAAAATGCGTCGAAGTAAAGACATGACATATTTGACTTATTAGTCTCAACTAACGAGGATTGGGCTATTTTTCTTCTTAGGAGGCCATGCGTGCTGCTTCTAGTATTGGTGACAGACCCGTGCAAGCAAAATGTCTTGTCTGTGTTGGAGATATTCAACGTTCACAAAAAAATTACGAAGTAATTTTCAGTTTTTCATTCGACAAATTCTCCTCTAACTTTTTCTCTACAACAGATTGCTTGTAAAAAATACGAAGCTGCTATTCAGATGTTGCAAGACATGAATGACAGATACAGTTCCACATTAGCCATGCTTGGTCTAGTCAAGACATTATTAGCACTCGGCACACACACTCAAGTGGTAAGCGAATATTTTTGCCCGAATTCGAGTTAATTATTTCTTGTTAGCTTTCTTATGCTATCGATATTTGAATAACAAAGAAATAGTCTTGAGACATGTGAAATATGAGACGAATGTTTCTCAAATTAACATCTTTACAAGATGTTTACAGTTAATAACTAAATCATGTTGTTATTCTTTACACTATCGTAATGAGAATATCGGGTACATTCGTTCGATTATTATTTATTTTATCTGTTCTAATCGACAAGTAAATGAGCAAAACATGCATAAGACAATGCTAGTTAGGGCAAACACTCCTCTTAATCCATAAGCACGTAAATCTGTTTGCATAAATATAGAAAAGAAAAAGAACTAATTATGGATTCGTATCTCCTCCCCCTCGCTTCTACTAGGCATCTGAAATTCTTGCGACTGCTTTATCAACTGCAACATCAATGGGCAATAAATTAATGCAAGCAAGATGTCATTTGTTAAATGAGCGTATACTCGCTTCCGAGAATCAATTAGATGATGCACGACAAGCATTTGACGCAGCCCTACGTCTTTATCAAGACGCTGATCTTTTATGCAAAATTTGTGAAAAACCAATGGGAATGCAGCCAGATCACATTCAAGCTCTGACATGTGCACACATTTTTCATGAAGGGTAAACAAGATGATCGATACACAAATCTTTCCTTAGTTTCATTTGATTGTTTTAGATGTGTTACAGATATATTGGAAAAATGGATGTATAAAGCACAGTATTGCCCAAAATGTAACAAAAGTGTATTGTATAGTGCAAGTTATATTGCATTATGTTGTTCCTGATAAAACGAAAAATTTTCGTGTTCTCTTATTGCAATGTGTCTTCTCGGTGAAATTTCTGTAAAATGCTAATTACATGATACAATAAAAATATATACACTGGAGCGTTTGCAATGTTTATCTCAGATTTACCTGTAGAATGTCAACGTGGATTTTCTATCAGTACCAGAGATGAGAGGGTATCAGGAAAACCTTCGATGATACCGACGGCTGAAGATTAGTATGAGCAGAGTCAAAGACTAAGAGACTGCAGATAGACCTTTGATTTTAGACAACACTACTGTGTTCGGTAGATTTCTAATGCGATTTTTCAGTAAAATCAGATTATTCTTGAACGCTAAAACCGATCGTTCGAGCTCATTGGCGCAGAAATATTCCTATTAACATGCGATCATTGTTTTGCAAGCTCGTTCTAATCGGATTAGGAATGATCGATTCCATTCGTTGTTCTTGCATTTTATATCGATGACTAACATGCACTGATCTCTGCGATAATCTAGATCATGTTTTTCTACTAGTCCAATTAGACTGTTTTGTGCCTTCGACAAACAACAAAATAACATTAGATTTAAAATGAATTTATCCGAACACGTGAATGTATGATAGCTTGTTGACGACAAAGAATGCATTCTTCGTGCTGTTGTAGAGTTAACTTTGCGAAGCATTCTCCACACATAGGACAATGTTGACATGGATCGTAGACATATGCAGCAAGATTATCGCGACAAATTTGACAAATATTTTCATCTGTAATGAAGTGATCCATTGGTGGATGCGAAACACTTCGATTCGCCATCAGTAATGATCGTGAGTTCACTTTTTTGACAGGTACTCGTTTGTTCTTGTTAGCTGTTTGACCTGAAAGACGAACAGATAGTTATGCATAGACAAGAAGAAGGTTACACACCGGTTTTATCGAACAAGATACATTTGACTTTTTGTGTACCTTTCATCTCATACTTTTGCCGTGCGTGCGGAACTAGAAAAGAATCTGTTGATTAAAGTTTGCTCGTGATTTAACAGCACGTACTGCGAGGCGATTCTTTGAGAATGCGTTCAATATAAGATAAACCACGTTTTTGAATAATATAATCACATAATGGATGAAAGATCGCATGTTCCTCGAATGGACAATCACTAAATTATCACAAAATTTTAAGAAAAAACTAGAGACAACACTATTTACCGTGGTTCAAAATCACACAAACGATTGCCACAATAGTAACAACAAACTTTATTTGCATCCAAACAGATGAAACCAGCATTGGCCATCAATGAATTCGACAGACGACTGCCGCTGGGAAAAGTCCAATCGGAATCAAATGATTTGATACGTTTTTCAACATTGGCGTACGTTGGATATTCCGGATACTGCATAAAACTTTGAGTCTATATTTAAGAAGACCGAAATCTATACGAAGAACGGATGAGCATTAGAATTTGATTACCATAGGAATATTTGAATAAAGTCCGCTAAGTTCACGTCTCACCCATGAACACCATGGATGGGTTTTATTTGTAACCTGCCCGCTGGCATGTCTATGTACACGCATTGCCGTCCACGGTTCATCGTTCAACGGTGAATGAGGAATGGCAGGTCGTCGCCGTAGAATTCTCTCGCACATGGCTTCTGTTAGCTCTAATAGACACCAAGGGCATTGAATAATTGTGCCCTCTCCGTTTAAATAAAATCCAGCATAAGCAAGCTCGTCAATATTCATCTGAGCAAATGTTTGGCGATTTAATTTCTTGAATGAATCCAAACGATTCGATTCATAGACGAATAAAGATTGAGGATCAACCGGTGAAAGATCAGTAGCAGCAATATCCATAGGTGGCGATCTTGCTTGGTTTAAAACTTGTTGAAAGGGATTGATGTGATTGATCAAAGTCGGTGATGTCAGCCGACCATGATTCGTAGTTATCATTGCATCTGTACAAACTTGTGCAGGCATCGCTGTGGTAAGTGACGTCGGTGATTGTATCGGTGATACATAGTCATTATAGTCGGCACGAAATGGTGTTGCCACTGTTTCGTAGCCATCATCGCTATCGGATTCTTCGGAATAATCAGACATGTTCAATTCATTCGAAGATCGCCGGTCAGTCAGACTTGACACTGTTGAAATCGACGAGAGAGAATATAAAGGTGCCGGTGCCGATGACGATGAGAACTGGGTATTGTAAGATTGTTGATGTTCGAATTCATCTGATTGACAAACAAATACATACGATTTGTCAGTGCATAAGAAACCTACTTGATTTCGTTCGATCGAGAAGTACTTGGGCAATATATTTGCAACCCAACAGCTCTTTAACCCATTCGCACGTTGGATAGAAATGAGCATGCAGTTTTGCGATGCTATAATCAGGAAACTTGTCATACAATTTCCTATCATTAATTAATAATGTGTTTCCACATTGAAAACATCGCATACGTTTCATCGCTAGAGAACAGAGAAATTCAAATAGAAAATCAGAACATCCACTAACAGACATATCTTACTATCAAGGAAAAACCCTGCGTCAGATCTTTCTCGAATGAATTTATCGGATTCTTTATATTTTTCTTTATAATCATCAAATGATCTGATTCGATCGAATATTGATTGATAATCTGGATGCTCAGGAAAACGCTCTCGGTCAGGAATAACCACATTTGTTGGACATTGTGCTCGAACCATTAAACAATCGAGAACAGTCGTTTTAGGTAACTGTTTTGCTAAATAACGATGTTGAAACATAATCGATGAGTCCGACTCTGGTTGAATTAAAACTGCACAATATGCACAACGAATATGATTCGTATTTTTCAAACGATAAAAACCGCATGCTGCTAATTCTCGACATATGCGTTCGTCACGATTTGTACCAAATGATAGTCCTTCAAGTGTTTTCAAACGCCATCTTTCATTCACACATTGAAAATCATTTATTTTTGTGGAAAGTATCGCTTGGATCAATTCACAGCTCTTCCGACGTCGACTATGAGTACCGAATGCCGTCATACCACTATGCCAATCATCAACTTCTAAGTCACAGATGTAACACTTAACTGACAATTCATATCCTAAATAATAAAAACCGGCTTGAGCAAGATTCTCAGCAGATATTGGAGCATATTCCGGCCAGCATTCAAATGTTGATAAACACTCATCTATAGATTGTGGCTTATCTGACACAGTCAGCGATTTCGACGTGATCGGGTTACGAGCACGGCGTTCTGAAAAACAAAACACATTGAATAGTATAGAATTTCTATTGATCAGTTCATTTCTACCTCGATCAGAAACTACATGGAAGTATCCAGCATTTGTTACAAATTTTCCTCCAACAGTATGGTTGATAAACCGACATGGGAAAAATCTTGCATGTTCAAGTTGAACAATCTTATCATTCGACGATTTAATTGCATCAGCCCAATCTGTTAATGTGTTACCGCAATAGAAACAAGTCACACCATCTTGGGGTCCTACAGTATGGATTCAAATATAAAATGAAAATTGATATATCAGCTTACCTGAATAATAAAATCCATGTTCTGCCAGTGTAGCTGGTGTCACGAAAGTATTCGTTAGTTGCTGTCGATGTGGCCATGATTGAAATGATTGTAAACGTGTGCTGTAATCGATAAAGTCGGGCTGTTCAGCGTCTTCCCACAAAAGCTTTTCATCTTGTTCAGCACGTAGATCATCAATATTCGTGCCCAGTTCGCACAATAAGAAAGAGCAACGTTTGCCAAGATGTAAAGCTTTTTGTCGATGTAACACGCGAAAATAATTCGAAGCATATGTTCGATTTTCGTCCAAAGTAATTAGATTAATTGTCACACCACATGTCGAACATAAACATTGACAATCACGGTAAATAAAACCAGCAAGAGCCAATTCATACCGCGTCGTCAGAGGGAAATTCACAAGACTAAAAGAAGTTGTTGAGATACGAACGATATGATCAAATGTAATTAAATTACCTTGAAAATGTTTCGAGTCGATACTTTTCTGATGCAAGAATCGGATCAAGTGTTGATATCATTGTCAATACATCTGTGACAGTTCTCAGTTGATCTTTTCGTTATCAAGGCATTTGGTAATCTAAAGCAGATGTGAAAAAGCACATTTGCCTTTTTTCTGTTTTTCTTCCCATACAAAATCATCGAGTATTTACGTCAACAAATATCGACTTTTTTCTGATTCGTTCTTCGAATCGAATGTTTTCTTTTCGATCTAGCATGACATCATTTGTTTTTTAATCTCCTCAAGTGCACGATCATGTTATTTCATCATGATATTTTAAATTCAGCTGAATCAAAATAAATAATGATACTCGATCATTCACACATATACCTTGAAATAAATATCAAATGCGTAGTACATGACGTTAACAACTTATTTCAATCAGTTTGGTTCTAGTCGATAAGTCTAATTAATGATAAGCAAAAAAAACATTCCCGAGAGACATAACGATCAAAAAACGCTATTGAATAGAAAATAAGCATCGACATGTTTATATCGTCACGAAAAATGTTATTCACTCGTTCACCTATGATATGATTGACCGAAACACAACTGTTTTATTTACTGATAAAAAACCTTTTTCTTGTTTATATCATACTTATACATATTTATAAATATAACCACAGTTGAAAAGAGCTTACAAGCAGATGTACAACATAAAAATGAAAACAACAATTATTATAAATAAATGATATACATTTCACAATACGGTAAGACACTTTGACTAAAAAAAAACAAAGAAAATATTTTGGTACTTCTTCTTTTCTCTGGATTTGCTGATTGACAATGTGGAAGTTGAGGGAGGAGAAAAGGACAAGATCAAAGACGAAGAAAACTAACCACCTTTTACTTTCATACAATTAAATCGAAAAGAAATCACCGTTGAGTATTTATTCCCGTTGTTGCTGTTGTTGTTTTAATAAATCAGGTATAATTTCAATTTCTTCGAAAATTAGTTGTTTCAATTGTGGTAATGGCAAATCATCAAGTTCCATATCGAACGTAAACGGATGAGGAGCAGTCGGTTCATCAGATGGATCATAATACTCGGCAAGATAAGGATGTTTGAGAGCTTCTTCGACGGTTACACGACGATTCGGATTGAACGTCAGAAGATAATCAAGCATATTGAGCGCTGGATCGGATGCATTTGGAAACAACTGTTTCCATGGAGTTTTCTTGCGAACCGGTAATAAACTCACATAATTACGAGCTCGTTCGTTAACTAAACAAAGCCACTGATGAAAACGGTTTTCTCAAACAAATATGAAAGCTTACCAATCGACGTTAAATCACCTTCATCAGGCGAACCCACAACATTCAAAATCAGATTTATTTGTTCGATATAGTGTTTACCAGGAAATAGTGGCCTATGAAATGTACAGGGAAATAACATGAAATTCGAGATTAGTTTCAATAATTCACCTTCCGCCAATCATCTCTGCTAGAATACAGCCAACAGACCAAATGTCAATCGGTTTATAATAACCGCGAGCATTGAGCATGATTTCTGGAGCACGATACCATCGAGTAGCAACCTGAAACACATGAATAAGTTTCAATGTGTTTTCTTTTCAAAAGAAATCATTTACATATTCAGTCAGCAATCCCGAATGATCCTTATTCGGATCTGCTATTCTTGCCAGGCCGAAGTCGCATATTTTCAAGTCACAGTTGGTATTCAACAATAGATTACTCGGTTTCAAGTCACGATGTAAACTAAACAAAATAAATCTGATCGATGAAGTTTTCCAACTAAATTCTACATACACATTCGCTGAATGAATGTATTTCAATCCACGTAAGATTTGATAGAGAAAATAACAAACATGTTCATCGGTCAGTCGTTGGTGACGCAATAGTTTGTATAAATCACACTCCATCAGACATTGTACGATATAAATATCTTTCATTTGGTCGATGGTTGGTGCACGGATGACTTCTTGAATGTTGATGATGTTTTCATGACGAAAACGTGCGAGGATTTTTATTTCACGTAGTGTTCGTTGACAAAAACATTGATGTTCGAATGGAGTGATCTTTTTTATTGCGACACGTTGCTGAATATTATGATCATAAGCTGATACAACCATGCCTACGATGAAAGTCCGAACATGTTGATGCTGAGTCAGTTTAGAACGTGAAAATACTTACCATAGGCGCCTTCGCCGATGAATTTTAAATCAGTGTATCGTGGACCGACTTCGAACCGTTGTTGTCGAACGATTTCAACGTTTGGTCCACCTAATATCGCTTGGTTCGTTGAAGAAGTGGAAGCATTGTCAGTTGACATCTCATGATTATGTTTTTCATTTGATTCTCCCTCTGCAGCAGCACCGTTCATTTGCATTGACAGCGACTCTTGAATACAGTAAACTATTGAAAACTAATCGACGAGAAAGATATCATCCAGGGTGTAGATGAGAGTCGTTCGTAAACGCAATTGATAATTAAAGTATGTCGACGGATGATGATAGTGTGTATGTGTATGTTGATTGGTGACGACCTTGAAATTAAAAGCAAAGAAAAAAAAATGTCATGCTTTTTTCTCCATCATGCAACAAGGTGTAGTGGAGAATGTAAGAGAAAAAGAGAAAGAAAAACGACTTCGACCCCTCGATGCTGTGTTACACGTGGAGACGAAGTGTTGGAAAATAGAAGGAAAGAATAAGTGAGAAGAGAAAGACGATGACTTGACTCTTGATTATTAGATTAAAATCTGGTGAGGTTTTTTCCTTGTTCTATTCTGTTTAATCGCATAGTCGGAATGTGATTCATTCACAAACAGATGTTTTCTTTTCAAGCGAAAGAAAAGCTAAGTAATACACGTTTTCTTTTCTCGAATTACATTAGTTTATGTGCTTCTCGGATTGTAAACTCAGTGAGATTGATGATGTTTTTACATAGCTAAACAAACATCACCAATAACAAGATGCGCAAAAAATTGAAACTATACTCCTGTCATGTCTGATGCGTGTACGACGTTGATGACGTCAACATGACGTCAATAGATCTTTCCGTCGAAATAACTGACGGGAGAAAGACGACAACAATAAAGAGAAAGAAGAAATACGATTAACTTTGACAAACTACTCCTACAATAGATTTTGCTCTTTAGCAAGCTATTTTCGTTCACATCTATTCGACAAACTTCCTCATTGTCATTTCGTCACAAGAATAGCTCGTCCATGCGCTGATGACATCAACAACACTGTCAAAGAACACAGTCACCTTGTCTAGTGCATTTCATCCAACAATATCCAGGGTGTCGACTCCCTTCGAACGCAGAGAACTTGTGTCATTATTGACATATCACATCACATATTCTATCTATGTACAGTTCTCCAATGCATTTGTCAATATCATAAATGATAACGATGATGAATTATTTTATCACAACAAAACAATTTCTTAATTGAATTCGTACATACCAATTTTGACGAGACCTCTTTCGTTTCGGTATTTCAACGTAATAATACTAGGAGTACAAATTTGAGTAGACTCTCTCATTCGGCCTTTCTTTTTCTTTTTAATGGTAGTTGCTCTTTTTTTTCTCCCTCATATTATTTTATTACACTTGGTCTCGTACGTTCGGCTAATGTTCCTACCAATAGCCCTGAGAGACTTGTCTGCGCCATATATATATTCATATGACTTTTCCTATAATAGACTTTTTTTTAAAGTTTAGATCTTAACTAAGATGAATACTAAAGTAAGGAAAAGAAAATCCATGCAGATACTGCCTACATACTTCTGCAAATCACTTGATGATTGACAATTGGTTAAACACGTAAATAGAGATTTCAATGTTCACTATAAATAGAACATCTAAAAAGAGAAATATGATGTGAATTAGATCTTATATAAATATTTTATTTAGACAAGAGTATCTTCTCTCGCCAAGTTCGAGCCGACGGTGTAAATGTGATGCTTTGTCTTGTTTTCATCGTTTTTATGTCTCATAGACATAAATATAAAAGAAAAAAAAACGAGAGAATACCAATTAACAGTCTTTTTTTCCCTTCTTCATCATCTCTCTATGATTCGCTTCGTCGTTTACTCCTTCCTTCCTATTCCTTTTGCGCGTTGGCATAAACCCGTGTTTTTCTCTCTTACTCGATAACTTGTCAGGCTAGAAAATATCTCATCGAGAGAAAAACAGGCTAGCGCGTTGTATGCGAGCGAAAACAACTGCCAGTCACAGCTGCATGCATTAAAAGGCAAAGAAAAACGGCCGATAGAATGAATTAGATAGAAGTTCTCTCTCGATGTGAATGTAACTCATCCGAATCAGAAGATACGGCTAGATCAGAGATCAATGTAAAATCAAGAAGAAGTTTATATGAAACCATAAACAAAAAATGTATGTTTGACACTGTTTATGGATAACAGAATGAAGAGAACGAGACAAAAAAACATGCACACAAGGACATTTAGCAAATCGAGGCATCATCTAGTCATCGATATAGGAATGAGAAAAAGAATGGAATAGAGGAACTAATCGAAGCAATAACACAAATACATTTCTGAATAAAAAAAAAGCGTTTCATCCAAGATCAATTTACTTCATTAGTTATTCATTGATTCGAACTCCTATTGATTAGACATACAGAAAAAGAAAACATTATTGTATACACAAACATTCGATTATCTCTATATATGTATAAGAATGGACGGAATAAAGAACCAAGGTTTACAACCTGAGAAAGACCAACACATGGACGGAGTAAAGATCATAGAAGCAGAAAAGACAAAAAAAAGAAGCTATACTAAAGTTACATTTGTTTTTCTGAGGAGTATGCGGAAGCGAGTGGAGTTGTATTGACGGAATGTTGGCGAGCAGATCGATTTTGTTGAGCAGACAATGGTTTGTTCGTAACTGACGATGTTGTTGTCGTATTCGTACGTGCAGAATGTTGAACATTTCCAGCTGACACGGACGAACGAAGTGGTAAACTATTTGTAGGTAGCGAGGAATTAAACTGGAAATATTTAGGGTCTATTCGAGAACTCATCGGTGGATTGATCGAACTGAAATTGTCATTTATACAATGAACAATTGTGAATAGAAAAAATTCTTACTTGGCTTCAGTTGTCTCTTTAAGGTCGCCATTACTAGCAGAATGATGTCGTACATTGGATGTCAACGGCATTTGTGTGCTACTCATTAGATGTTGATGACCTGTTGTTGAACTATTCCACGTTGTTCCCTAATTGAAAGAAACAAAGCGAATGAGATTTGATTATTTTCTATGGAGTATTGTTCTACTTGAGATTTATTCATCGGTTCGTAATGTGTTTGTAGACTTGGAAATTGCGCTACATGTCTCATTGAATTCGGTTCACTATTACTATGCGAGTTCGACTAAGAAAAACATGAGAATGCTTTAAGTGTTGTTCGATACTCATTGAAAGCAAAGTACCAGAAATGACGTTGGACGAAAATGATTTGTTGTTGTTGTGGAAGAGGTGTCCAAAGTCATATTTCCGTTTAATATACGTGCTTGTTGTTGTTGAGATGGAATGTTTTGATATTCAGTTAATTTATGATTGAGATAGTTAATCAACGCTTCATTCTTTTTCAAAATTTCTTTCGCTTCATTATGTTGTTCAGTTAATTTCTTATATGAATCAGTGGATTTCTCCAGTTTACTAATCATTTCCGAATTCTCTTTTTGAATTGAGGCTAATTCTCGTTCTTTTTCTTGCAAAATTCTTTCCTGTTTTGTTGCTATTTGATCTTTGGTTTTCATCTAGATTTGCAAATGAAGAAGATGAGGAAAATTCTTACGTGACCTTACTTTTTCTTCACATTTGGCCAATTCTTGTTGTTTCTTTTGCAAATCACTTTGATATTTTTTCAAATCCGTACCGAATCGAACAATGATTTCGTTAGCTTTGTCTAAATCGCGTTTTAATTCTAACATTTTCTCCATCTTCAATTGAACTGTTTCTTCGTATTTTTTCTAAATGGAAAGATTAACGAAAAAACTCACATCGAGAAAAACTCTCTGAACGATTTACCTTCGAATCTTGCTCAATCGCGATGCGATCGTTTGTTTGATGAATAACTTCTTGTTTACTCTTCACTTCTTGTTCTACCAAAGCGATTTTCGTTCGCAAATGATTAACTGTTTTTTCATATTGATGAATATCATTCTCGAGGGTTGTATTTGTCTTGCGGTACTTGACGATCTCTTCCTTTGCTTGCTGATGCTCTTCGGTCAGCGTTGCTAATTTGGAATTCAATTCACTGATCGTTATTTCATTTCGGTATTTCAAACTTGTTAATTCCTAAAATGGAATCACTAGTTGAGGGTGAGTCTCGAGTAAATAAAACAAACTTTGGTAGTTTCTTCGAGTTTAGTTAAGCGTTCCTGCATGTCACGAACATTTCTCGTATGTGCTTGTTCGAGATCACGACGATCATTCTCGATTTTTTGTTGTAAACTTGTTCGTTCCTGGAAAAACAAAATACTTTTTTTGTTGAAATACTTTGATAACATACTTGTAATGCTTTTTCTTTCTCTTCGGCTAACTCCTGCATATGTTTACCGATAATACTGCTTGTATTCGAATCCCATTCGAGTTTCAGTTTTTCGAAATTCGTATTTCTTTCCTTCAATTCCTAAAAGTAAACGTTCACTCAGCAAACTCAACACATCGATTTCAATTTCATCGTACTGTTTGCGTTGATTCCAATTCTTTCTTTATTCGTTCATATTCATTGTACAAATGATTATACTCATTCTAAAGAAAACAAAATAGATAAGCGAGCAATCATTTGACAATTACCTTTTTCAATTGTAAACATCGAGCGAGATAACTTTTGATTTCATAATCATTCGCTGATGTAAATGTTAACGACAAATGTGTTAAATGCTTAAACGAACTGATTTCCACGACACGTAAATAGACTTGGCCAGTTGTTAATTGCGGTTCACCACTAACAACTTGTAATTGATAACGCGAACCACTACATTCAATTTAGATCGATGTGTTACATGTTTCGCTCAAGTTTTCTTACTTTCCCGGTGTAACATCGATGTGCTGGTCACGAATACACAGCTTCAAGTAGCCAATCACATGTTCAGGAAATGCGTTGAAGTCAACAACGATTTTTTCTTCTTGTTTTAGACTAAAATGAGAAAGTTCCGAACGATTCCGATGCTATTTTTTCTTTGCTATTACTTTTTGAAATCTTCAGCATTGATATGAACTTCATAGAGAAAAAAAGGATCATCATCATCTGTTAATTTGATTACTAATTCCTAAAATGACGCATTTCTAATTAAAATTCGAATCGATCGAATGAAATACGAACGGTTTGCAATGAACTGCCTGTTTGAAATTCGACAGTCACATGAATATTTCGAGATCTAAAGAAAAACAGATTGATTGGTTCAACTTAACTTGTTTTTCTTTACTTGTCTTCAGTTTGACTGTTTGATACGATTCTCAGATAGATATTTTTACTGAATAAAGTTGAATGAGGTGCCGATGATACGACTGTGTCCATAACCACAAAATAGAAAAATAACAAGTCGAGAGAAGAAAATTTCAAAATAAAATTCTATTTGATGACTTTTTTTAACCAATAAAATCCTAAGCGACGCTTAACAACCAGTGACATCGTTTCAATAGGCAAAGAATGAGTCTAATACTCATGGTTACATTGTCTACAACGCCAAAGTGTCAAAAATACCAAGGAATCTCTTATGTCATCTGACACACGATGAATTATCTCCGTGGAAATATCTCGCGCGTACTTTTCGTTTGTTTCTTTATATATTTTTTTTTCTATGTCTTCTTGTCTTACACCACATCCATCACGTCTAATCGAACGTTTGAATGTGTCTATTCTAACAATTAAATGGATACGTAAAAATTGTTTTATATTTGAAAATATTCTCTTCGATGAAGACGACAACTTAGAAAGATTTTCAGTGAATCTCAATAGATATCAGGCAAAGTTCAATCGAATCTTTCCTTTGACTTCACAAGTGAAAACGCGTTCAGAATATCTAACCAAGCTTCTCTATGAACTCGAATGTTTAACTATTCGATGTTCAGTATGGTTAAAGAATAATTCAACAAAAGCCATCCGTTCTCGATTGAAACATTTCGGTAAACGATTAGATATGTTCATTCATTGGAAAGAAAATGCACAGAAGATGAATGTGTCGAGAAAATTTTCTACCGAATTCTCGATATTTCAAACAAATTATCAACAATTCTGTGTGCAGATGGACAACATTCAGCGTGAATATCTAAACCTATTTTTTGAGAGTATCGAATTATTTGCGAAGATTATCCCAACAGAAAACCCAGAGGCATTTCGGTTTTCGCGACAAAATATCGATAAAAGTCTGAATGAGTGGAAAGAACAGAATCGATTTCATATTCCATGGTTACCGGATGAACATCAGCAACCGAAAGAGACAGATATCGAAATTAAAGTCATTGACAACAGTGCAGGTGACCACGAAGCAAAATATGTGCACAAATCAAATTTAAGCTGGTCCTTCATCGCCCCAGAAAAGGAAGAAGAACTTCCAGTATGCCAATGAATGCTGCTTTCAGAGATTCGTTTTCCCTGTGGATGTACTTCATTTTAGATAGTACGACCTGCTCATTCTCAAGTATCACCTGTGATTAAATCCGTACCGATAAATCGAGTACGGTTAGCCATTGAAGCCATTGAACGAAATACGAAAACATTTCCACGAGAGAGAAAGTCATGAATCTTTTATTAGTTGTATAAAAAATTGATCTTGCCGTTATTTTCTTTTCTCTTTCTCTCTCTCTTTCTCAATCAACATCGCTCACGCTTTCCATCATCATCATCATTGTTTTTTCTCTGGACACAAACAAAGGAAAAAAGAAGAAGAAAACTCTTCGACGCGTACAAACACATACGTACAGAAAATCGGTCAACTGAACAAAACAAGAAATTAGAAGAGAAACAAAACAAACAAGTAGTGTTTTTTTTGTGTGTTGACAAAAGAAAAGAAGCATTTAAGATGGATAGTTTTCGAAATGAAAGAAAGAAACAACCACAAAAAGAAAAAAAGCACACACCGGGAGACTATAAAGTTTTGTTTTCTTGTGTGCGAGTCCGAAAAAAAAGAGAAAGGGTTGAGTGGTGAAATCCAAAAAGACAAAAACGAAACACTTGTATCTCCGGAAGACGAGAACGAAAAAGAAAAACGAAAGCAGAAGAAATCAAGAGCACCAAACACACGCACACACACGCATACAGAGTGGGTTGAGAACGAAAAAAGAAAGAAATTTTTTTGTTTTTTTAAATCGTTACAAAAAAGTAGACGATACGCGAGAGAAAAAGAGTGGAACAAACACACACACACATACAAACGTTTTCTTTTAGTATTTTTTTTCTGACAATTTTTCTTGTTTTTTTTGTCTATTTTTGCTTTTCTTGGGTTCATTTCAAGAGACAGGAACTACAAATAAATAAGCAACGAAAGACGAACAACTCGAGAAGATAGAAATCATGTAATGTTTTTTTTTAAATATTTATTCAGCATAGTGAACCTGTGGTTCAACACTGCCTGTGTTGCCGGTGAAGCGATGCACCGTTTGATTACTATTGTGATAGTTACCACCTCCACCACGTGACCGATCAAAAAATCGTCCATTACCACGACTACCGCTGCCACGTGACTGATAAGCTGGTGGTCCATTCGGACCGGCATTGTTATTTACTGAGCGACGACCATTTCCTCGATTGCCACCACCGCCCCGGTTCAAACTATTGCTCGAACCAGAACGGCGTTCATTTGGATAGCGATAATTACCACCACCATTTCCTCCGCGACCTCCGCCTCGACCACGTGAATTGTTATACTGTTGATGTGATGATGGTGATGAAGAATGTTGCTGTTGTTGTTGTTGTTGTTGTTGTTGTTGTTGTTGGGGATGATCCGACGCTGAACTATTACGACGAGCAGCATTGGAATCATTAACATTTGATGATTGAGAGGTCACTTGTGATTCATTTTGATTCGAAGGTGAGAGATCTGAGGACGACGACGATAATGGTCCATTCGTTTCTGGATTTACGGAAACAGAATCAGCTTTAGGATTATTATTAGTTGTAGGGGACTGAGCACGTGATGAAGATAAGTCATTAGTTTCATTGGTTGGGGATTTTGTTGATTCACTTTGTTGTTGTTGGGGAACTTGTTTGACTTTGAGCATATCAGCATAAGTACGTGGACCATTATCGTTAGCTTGCTGTTGTTGTTGTTGTTGTTGTTGTTGCTGAGCTCTAGCGAAGGAAGAACAACGCGAGATATACACTAGATTCTTAAACAATTGACTTACTTTTGATTTGAATTCGGTGATTGTGGTGATGAGGATGATGTTTGATTACCATAAGACGCCGATGGTACTTTAGGGATTGAAACACTCAATGGTGTGGATGAATTTGGATTCATTCGGGGCTGTTGTTGTTGTTGAGATCGTCCTTGTTGTTGTGAAGACGATGGACGGTTGGAATTTTGTGCTGATCGATTTTCACGTGGCATTAATGGACGGATTTGTGCTTGCTGTTGATTAGCTTTTTTATTTGATTGTGATGTTTGTTGCTGCTGTTGATTTTCATTAACTGAAGAGTGTTGTTGTTGATCTTGATTATTTATGGATGATTTTCGTTGTTCTAAGGGTTGATAATTCAATTTCGAATTATCCACGGATGAAGACTAAAAGAAAATCTCTTTAGGTAGAAAATTTTTCAGAACTAATCTTACAGTCGAATATGATTGTTGATTTGAAAATTTGCCTAAATTTTGTGATTCATTTGTTTGATCTTGGGATGGATTCATATCAGAAGATCCTTGATGTTGGACATGACTGTTCGCATTATTGTATAAACTATCAGATGTAGACAAAAAAGAACAAGATAGACATTCTTTTCCACTAGTGAATACTATTCCTGTCTTACACATCATTTGCTGGTTGATGATGATAATGATCAACACTATCATTAACTGATGCTTCTATTGGATTTGAAGGATATGTCTGAACGTGTTGTATCGATGTATTTGGTACTGCTTGTGCTATTGGTTCATTGGTACGGTTAATTACTGCTTCGGCACGAGGGACTGGTGAACTGCTACCTTCGGAACTAAAGAAGAGCGCGTTTTGTGAGAGATCAAGAAGAAAGATTCAAAAATACGAACTGTGGAGTACTGTGTTGACAATAATCAAGTAGTTCGTTTGAATGTTCGCTATTCATTTGAACACCTTCATGACGAGAATTACGTGTATTAGGAGGTTTTGCTGAATTTCTACCAAAATAAACTTGGTTAGTGAACATAAACAATGGCTGAAATGAAATCTACCGTAGTTTCGATGTCGGTGGATATTCACGAGTCATTCGAGATTTTTGTTTATTGGCACCGTTATAAGCCTAGAAAAGAAAATCGCAGTCAGAGGTTGTCTTTAGTAAGAGACTCTTCATACGAGCAGCAAAAAACAAGAAAAAACGAAGCGTCATGCTAATTGTTTTCATTAGCTGATTTCTTTCTTTCTTACGTATCCGAAATTCTAAATCTGAATCGAATTCTTAAGATCGAGAAGAGATCCTCGTGCTGTACAGTAAAATATGTATGAAATTCATGCAAATACGTAGTGAGGAAAAAACGCGAGGAAGAGGATCTCTTGGACTCATCTGCGAGATGTTTTTTGTGAAATATCTGCTTCTCAACAACAAAACAAATTCGGGCTTAGCAAAGAATGCGGTTGGGGGTGTGCACGCACATCAAAACATCCACAAGAGAAGAAAAAACATAATGAATAATAATAATAAAACTGATTCGTACTCTGATCAGGGAGTTGAGAGGTACAATCTATAAAAAAAGATTAGGCCCGTGTTGTTTTCGTCATCTTTTCATCTGATTTTATATCGATTTGACAGCAAAAACAATGCTCGGAAAACATACCATTGTTGGATATGGTTCAGTTGCTTGGTAAGGAGAAGGCATATACCACAAGTTTCCACCTGGGAATACGTTTGGCTAAAACGAAAACAGAATTATTGGTGGAATCACCTAATCGAATGAATTTACATTTGCAGCGATAAACTGTGCTTGTTGATGAATCGATGCTGGATATGAACTCATATTGGCTTGTTGAGCGGCTGTAGCAAATGAAAGTGTAGCTGGAGTTGTTTGAACACCTTGCGGATGCGCAGTTGTCCATGTAGCACGATCGAATGGTGTATTAGCACCATAGTTTGGATAGCCCATACGTAAATGTTGCAATGCTTGTGCTTGATCGATTGAAGACGGATGTTGGGCTTGATTTGCAGTTGAAAATTGAGCAGGAACGTGTTGTTGAGACGATGGAACAACTGAGGGATGTAGTGGATGACGATAGTTGTTGGTTTGTTGTTGAAGATTTCCTAAAATAGACGCTTGATTTGGATGAGGATTTGTTGGTGTTGGCATATAAACAGGAGCGTGCTGTTGCTGTGGTGGCGGAGGAAGTTGTGGTTGATTAAACTGTTGTTGCTGTTGAGCATGAGATGAGTACTGTGGTAGAGCAGATTGAATTTGTTGTTGTGGAACAAAAGCTGGATTTGGATAGGTCTGAATCGGTGGCGGCTGCTGTTGTTGTTGTTGCTGTTGTGGTAGAGGCGGCGGACTTGTCGCACCGCTACTTGTTGCAGTTATAGGTGGGGAAACCGGTGTAGATGGATTTGTACTTGGTACAGATGATGGTTTTTGCCATAGACGTGCTTTCATTCGAGCCTAGAAGGAAAAACGAATCAAATTGGAAAATAGTTTTCATAAAACTCAGTATCAGTTTACTTACTAAGACCTTCTGACCACGTATTGAAACGTTTTCTCTTGTTAAATATAAAAATGCACGTTGTGCATCATCTTCGCTGTTGAAGGTCACGTACCAGCAATCAGATGTACCCGACTCAA